AACGATCAACTTCAGAGTGCCCTTTCAGATCAGCCTACTCAAGCCCAAAACGGCGACTTGTCAGAGCGTGAAAAGGAGCTGGAACGTATGCGCAAGAGCATGGCTAAGGAATTGGCCGACTTTGAGACCATGAAGAAGGTGCTGATGAGAGATCTCCAAACGCGTTGCGAAAAGGTCGTTGAACTCGAGATGTCTTTGGATGAACCCGCGAGCAATACAACAATGTCTTGAGAGCAAGCAACAACAAGGCTCAGCAAAAGAAGATGGCATTCTTGGAGCGTAATTTGGAGCAACTCACCAATGTGCAAAAGCAGGTAAGAGACAACCACATGTCATCCGTATGCACTCTGGCCATTTGATAATTGACGCTCTCTGGTTTTATTATAGCTTGTTGAGCAAAATTCGTCATTGAAGAAGGAAGTTGCTCTTGCAGAGCGCAAGCTGATTGCTCGTAATGAGCGTATTCAAAGCCTGGAGACTCTCTTGCAAGACGCCCAAGAGAAACTGATCAATCAAAACCAGAAATTCGAAGCACAACTCCAAGCTGTCCGTGAGCGTCTTGAACAAGCTCGCTCTCAAAAATCTCAAAATTCCATGGCATTGAACTTTGGTCGTGTCGCTAAACCTCTTCGTGGTGGTGGAGCTGTTGTTGAGAATGGTGAAAACTCGCCTACTTCACCCACTGAGAAGCGTGATAAGCGTAACTCTTGGATTCCTGGCTTTATGGGATCCAGATAGATTATATAACTATTTTCCCCTTTTTGTATGTCCTTTACCCCTCCTATCGACCCTTTTTACCATACGTATACACAATGCTCATATACCAAACAAATATGCTCCTAGTTCGCCTCTCTTCAACCCAAGGGAGGGAAACAAGTGTCAACGCTACTGCCTTGAATTCCCAACTATTCTACATAAATTCAATTTTATATGTAATTTTCTTGTTTTATTCAATATCAACTGCAAGGTATAATCTCACTTGCTATTATCCTCCAGGGATTCCTGTACAATGTCATGCAAACGATCAACCAATTCAGGCCATCCAGCCAGAGCCTCCATGACGCTGTTTAACCAAGCAATGTCATCAGGCTGCTGTCTGCGAGTAGTGCAAATGAGTCGAGCCAGATTGTTGCCATCCTCATCCTCTTCATCCATCTCGGAGCAGGTCTGAAAGCGAGGTTCATCCAATTCAGTCACTGGACTAGGTGGCATAGCATCTTCCAGGATAGAGTTGCGTCTTACGGTAGCTGTGAGGCGACGCGAGGATGGTGCGATGGACAGCAAGTGCTGTGCTTTGCGAAAGTAACTAGCATGAGTCTGCGGTAATCTTGTTTGGAAATCAGGGTCTTCTCGCAGCTTGATCAAATCCATATCACAGTAATTGCGCGAGCTACGACCCCTGCCTGTTGGGGTTGAAGAGCCTGCTCCAATGTCTTTGATTCTGTCATTTGTGTTTCTCAGATGGTTTGTATCTAGGCCCTCTTCTTGCTCGTCATCCTCGCTATCCAGCAAGTCCCCTAGATGATCGCTCTTTGGCCTGATTCCTGAGCTTCGACTTCAATGTTGGCTTCGTCAACTTCGTCAATTTTGGATTCAACAAAGGTAGGATGAGGCTCAGATTGAATTGAATGATACGATGAGCGACGTCTTCTTCCGCCATTGAAACCACCAGCGGGCGCGTTTTTGTTGTTGGTATTGATGATAGAACTGATCCTCAGTGGCAAACATCTCTTCAGTGACCTTTGGTGCATCTTCAAAAAAAATGCTATCTTGGTCATTGTAATCCGGAGCAGCCCCTAGACTCATGCTTGATAGTCTTCGGCTTCTACGGCGTCCGCCTCCGCCTCCGCCGTTATGGTTGCTGCCTATTGTGTTGATTGAACCAGTGCTTTGAGAGGAAGTCAGTTTGCGTGGTGGTACAAATGATGTCGGTAATGTACTGGTTGTGTAATCTAGTGTAGAGACTGATACTTCATCGTCTTCATAGCCAACGCTTTCCTTGAATTTGGTCAGAAACACAGGATTGTAAGCCAAGAATTGACTGATTTGATTCATCCACGGGCGGTCAGGCAGCTTATCACGAGGTTTATACACAACATCTTGAAAGCGCTGCCAGGCATCTTTACCTTGGGTTTCTGTAATATAGTGCTCAAGAGCTTCATAGAATTGAGCGTTGCAAACAGCCAAACCTCTCATTTCGCTGGGTCTGTCCAGGAGAGCAACAAGAATATCAGAACTGACGGGCTGACCATCAATGTCAATACTACCAGCGGATGAAATGCTGCAATTTCTCAAGTCAGATGCCAAATCTTGGCCCAAGTGTTGCTGTTGATCTTGTTGCTCTTCTTCTTCTTCATTGATGGTGTTGCTTGAATTCAAAAGATTGTGAGTGCTTACATCGATAAAAGCAGAAGACATGATGAAATGTAGATTCCTTTGTGAATAAAGAGTGGGAAGAAAATAGAGTAATATGAGAGAAAAAAGGAAAGGTGACTTTTTGGAATAAAATCACCCTAGTTGTGTTGATATTAAACCTGTTTCCAAAATGGAAAGAAAAACGAGAGCGTTGGGCGTCAAGGTTTGTTTATGCGAATAGCATGATTGGACATTTCATTTTGGATATTCTCACATGGTGCTTTTAAAGAGTGGGAGGGGCATTGTGTTCTCAGCACGATAAGGCAGTGTCAAGATGGATAATGGCATTAGCCAATCCATGTGCAACTCGATTTTGTATATGCATTTGCAATCATTCTTTTGTGCTTCCCATGAAATTCAGTTTTACCCAGATTTTCAGTATTGAGTTTCGAATGGCGAAATGCTGAACGCTTATATTGCTGCTTCCATGATGTCTTGCATCCAAGTGTTCTGTTACACTGTTGGTTTTCAAGCTCATCTATAAATTCCAACGTACAAATAGCATGAAAAAAGTGCCGTCGTGATCAATTAGAGGTATACACAAGCATGCTCCCAAAATCCTGAGCAAAGAAGAGGATCTATATGTCTGAAACTATCAACGATGTTGCAGCCATCATTTTCAATGACTATTCTTGATACAAATTTTAGAAATGTCCTCATCACATACCAAAATGGCTTTTCAACCAATGGCAATAGCCTCTTTGAAACGAATCGATGAAACCCATACTGCCTACATGATATATTGAAATGCTGCAAATCATAATCAGGAAGTTGTGATTACATATATTTTGGTGATGAGCTAGGCTGACTGGTGTTGTCAGATATGAAATTTTCCAAAAAAAGCAAAGAAAGTATTCAGTTTGAGCGACTGTCCTTTTAAATTCATGATCTTCATTGATTTAGCACCCTAATAATCATCATCGTCATCATCAGAAACGCATTTGGGTCAGCCAGCAGCAGCGCCGCCGCCGCCGCCAAAATTGCTTCAAACTCAGCTTATTTTTCTCTGTTCAAGATTCGCCAGATTTTGTCTTTTTTCGACTTCTTTAATGTATTTTTCGAGACTCGACTATACAAGCTGTAATGAACAGCCCGTACTTCCTAATACATTCTTGGAGTGCTTTTTAAGGCGCTTCCAATGATGCCAAGTAAAATAGATGTTTTGACTGAACTTATTGAGCAATTTCAGAAAATATGAAATGAGGTTTTGGGCAAAAATGTATAGATTTTACATATGAAAGATTCCCAAACAAAGTTCCAGGGGGTAGCATTGGATTTAGAGAAACATTTTGAGTTAATATCATAACATAGTAAATGTTCAGTCCTTAGACACTTTACAACCCTAATATCGAACCTGAGTTTCAAGGCATCTGTCAGGCCTGGCTCATATGAGAATAATGATTTTACAATCAATCAACAAAAACCACTGTTAGTTCTACCCTCTTTCCTCTGCTCAATGCTGTCAATGTTTTATTTGAACGACGTCTCAGAGCCTCAGAGATTTCACTACTTACTGCAGACATCTTACGCAGCCCATGAATCGTCAATGTCCAGATTAACGTTATTAAATATAGAATGCAAGACGATGTCATTATGAACGATATAAAATGCAATAAAATATCATTATAAACGATAGCTTTATTGGCCTGCCACCTACTTTTTCATACGCTTCAAGAGCATTTACTACTGTATTGCAGTATGAAAAGGGCATTGAGTTTGCCAGCTGGCCCCACAAGCCAAAATTAATTCAAATCCAGAATCATATAGTTTGCTCCAGATTGGACAAATCATAATAATTTTGGACCCAATTAAGCTATTTTTGCAGATTCGACTAAGTAAAATATGATGATCACCCCATGCTTCCTTAGGCCGGGCGTTTTGCCGTAGCATTTTCGTCCCTCCTTCTTCCTCGCCTTCGCGTAGTCGGTTGCCACTCAACAGCATCCGCTTTTTTTAAAAACTACGCAAAAACCTACCCTCTTCCTCCTCCTCTCTTTCTCCTCTCCAACCTCCTCAATGGCGCTCATTCTGGACACTCGCAATTCCCCTTGCTGCTCGCACGGTCTGGTATCGGGCTATATATGAAAAAATCCCCACCAGAGCCCTCCTACATCTACGCGTTCCTGACAATCACCCTTCTCACCTCTGTACAATCTGCCCTGCCTCTCCCACGGAGGATATCACACATGCTCTGTTCTCCTGTCCTCCAAGTTGCTGGTCTGGCGATACATGTATCACACCTATCTTTCTGCTTCTCCATCAATCTCTGATGTTGATCTGATTCATTTCTTACAACAAACTTTACTCTGTTCTTCCCCTCTTCTTGATCGTGATCCCTCTCTCTCGTTCAATGAACTCTCTATTCCTCAACTATTCGCAACTACTCTTTTGACAATTTGGCAAGCGCATTGGCGCTGGATCTTCGACCGAACCCCGTTCATCGCTGACACCGTTCAACTTCGCCTTGCTCGCTCTCTTGCTCGTTTGGATGCCGAGTTAAATCTTGATTCGTAAGTATTCAGTTTTACCTTTTCGTTCATTCTTCTGTCACCTTTTTTTTTTTTCCAACCCATTTTCCATCCGATCCTTTGTCTCTATATCCAGTCTTTTCTATCCCTCAGCACGACATTTAAAGGACTTTAAATAAAAACTGGAGCTCGTCTCCCCTACAAAAAAAAAAAAAAAAAAAAAAAATGCTTCTTAGGCTAAGGACTTTAAATAAAAACTGGAGCTCGTCTCCCCTACAAAAAAAAAAAAAAAAAAAATGCTTCCTTAGGCTTTCCTGGAGTATTTTTCAAGGTGCATCCAATGGTACCAAGTAAAATAGATGATTTGAATAAACGTATCAAATGATTCATGAAAATATGAAAAGAGGTTTCTGGCCAAAATGTCGAAATTTTACATATCAAAGTCCCACAAAGATGATTTCAGAGGTTGCTTTGGATCGATAGAAACATTTTGATTCAAGATATACCATAGTAAAAGTCTTCATTTTCAAGGTCAAAAATGCGATCGTTTGATTTTCGATGAAAACCATGAGGGGTACATCATGCTTTTTGATCGATTTTTGGCAATGTTTTTCGGATCCCCAAAAAGTTGAGCAAACGTGCCAGGAAGTTGCTGCTACTCGAGTACAATCGTTTAACGCTATTCCGGTGGCTCAGAAAAGCCTACATGTCAAGATCTTAAGGCTTGAAAGCTGTTAGTTTTAGTTGTGTCCATACGTTTGCTTGTAGTTTTATATACAAAATTGCTGGCTAGATTTGCTCTGTACTTTAGTCTACATCTTTAAACCTCATTGAGAAAATGGTTTTTACTACTGTGAGCGAGGGGAACCCTATTTAATTATTACTTGTGCATTAAACAGCAGATGAAGAAAGCGTCAATTTGCATGCTGGTCACTTGAAACCATTTGGAAGAGCATTGTCCCGCATACAATGCCCATATTGCTTGATATTCATCCATACAAACATATCCATTTCCACTGGCAAGCTGTATCTGTTCAAGTGGCGTCATTCCAATGATACCAGGGCATGCTGGGTGCTCTCATTATATGGTTCAATGTCTGGTTTATTGCACAAACTTTGCACAGATGATCTGAATTCTCAGCCAGTATGGCAGCTTTCAAGCCATTGACAAGAGATATATAGAACCATAAGGGAGGGCTATCAAGACATTTGAAAAGTGACAATAGATCAATCCCTGGCTTGATAACGGTTCTAGTGATTCATCTCAATTTTCCAACAAAACTTTTACTATGTCTTGCTTTGCGTGAATAGCATTTGTGTACATCAGTGCCTGTTAAAGCACTACGATATCAGCATTATCGTTAGCGATGTGCTGCTTATCCTAATTAAGAAAATGGAATATACTATGCTGTAAGTGAAGCGATCGAAGTGGACCATTATGATATAGGCTTCAATGCTGGCGTGTTCTAGTAACATAATCAAACTTTTCCCTGGATCTGTGCAATGTTACAATTATTTGAAATTCAAGCAAATGCGTAGTCATCTGTCACATTGCTCACATGGCGCTTTTCATTATTGATCCAGCAAGAAGACCAGATCAGATTAGATCAAATCGAAATGCTTTTGTATATATATAAAAACAATGATAGCATTATTCTACGTGATAGCATCATGAATGAGGTAGCGACGCATTTCATCTTATAGGAGAGAATGTCTGCGCCCTTGTGAAGGCAGTTTCATTCTCACATTTTTCTCCTTCTGTCCATTCTCAGCGTTCTTACATTTCCTTATTTATCAATTGTATTACAAGGGAAAAGCATATAAAACAGCCCCTTTGATCCTATGGATCCCTCTTTCTTCACAATGGCAATTGTATATGAAGCTGTACCTAACAAGGCACCATTACTAGAGGCTCTGCCTGAAGAAATCATCACCCTTATCCTCTCACAATCCTCAATTGATATCAAGGCATTAAGGACATGTATGTCGGTATCCTCAAAATTGCGTCGAATCAGTCTCTATATCCTAGAATATTATCGATTACCAGCCACCCAATTGTCCCTGACGATAGATCAAGAAGGCAAGAGCAAAATGACCACTCGATTTGGATTTAGCCATTTCTGCCCAGTGTCTTTGACCACATTATACACATCCTATCAACCCATGGCAAGACGCTATTATACAGACAAAGCCTATCCAGTCGTCCGCTCAATGGCAATAGACTATGCTAGCTGTGATATTCAATCTTCCTCAGTATCAATCGCGTCATCCACATCAGGTACTTTGGTTGGCAGCTGCTCGTCCTCCTCATCGTCATCATCAATATCCGTTGCTAAGCAACCATGCTACACAAACACGCCTTCTGATTTAGCTTCTGTGTATTACCATGGTAACGCAAAAAAGCTTTCTGCACAGAAAGAAGGCCTTCATATTCTTCAAGTATCACCACATTTAGCCAACCAGAGATTGTCATGGAAATTGGCTTACAGAATCACGGATAAGCGTAAACCTGAATACTATATGTCGCTGATCAGCATCTCTATTGGATTCAAGCATCTGATGAAATTGGACGCTCTAAATCAGGGTGTGGACGTCAATGCGACGACGAGAAAATTACCTTTAAAAAGCATGAATAAAATGAAAAATTGGGTCAATCGACTCGTTTGACATTTGTATTGCCTACAGATTTTCCAAGATACATGCTCGTCCTTTTGATCCAATGCTCTTCATGACAGCAACAATGAGACAAAAGCTACAATGCTATCAATGCTATCGAAGCATGCATGCTTAATGCACAAGCAGTGCTGTAGCCATTGTCGTAAAATCTTCTTGACTTGGACAACCATTGATATATGCTTGCAGCCTTGGTGAAATTTCTAAGCAGGCGGTATTGTCGCAACGCTGGTGAGGGAAAGAGGTGTGCACTGTGCTTGCAAGATCTGGTAAACGATATCTAGATGATAAAAAAAAACGTTAATATGATGTTGAGAATACAACCCTGTCAAGTACACTTACACACTGGAATGATGAGATGGATGGGAACAATTTCTTGGCCAAGGCATTTAATTTCGACTGTACTTGTTCTTGAGCTGCACTCGATGATTGAATGATATTCTCCAAGCAAGTCGTGCAAAATCCCAATTATACTCTCCAATATATCCAGCAAGCTCAATCCTTCTTCGTACAATGATTGGGTATAAGCACATCGCAACAAAGTCGTATTCAGGAACAAGTCGAGCGCTTAGATTATCAAGTACCTTCTTGTCAGGGTGCTTTTGCTCATGCAGTAACTCGAAAATCTCATATTGCACTTGTGCCACTTTGTATTTGCGTTGAAATAGCTTGACATTTCTCTTGGCTGAACCCAGCGGCTTGAGGTAAATATTCACAAGCTTTCTTCAATGCTTGTACGCGTTGTAATAATCCAACTTGGTCTGCTTCAGTCGCTAATTGATAGACAGCATCGGCAGATTTGGCAATTTCATTTCGATGGGCATAGTACAGCTCGAGAAGAATCAGTCGCTGACGAGGATCGAGCGTGCGTGTGTTAATAAAGTCAAAGAGTGTAGGTGCTTGCAAACAGGTTAAGATGTGGTTGTGTTCATTGTTGGTAAGCCATTCGTAAATATGATAATGATAGTCTTGGTTGCTCGTCATTTCCAGTGCACTGGCAATCACATCAATCGCATGTTGCTGGTGTTGTGTGTCAATTGGCTTCCTTGATAATGTGCAGCACAAATGCTTCAAGTTGATCGAGTGTCAACCCTGCTTGTGAATAGCTTGTAAATGCAAGATCGACAGCAGAATGGTGATCTCCCAAGTCGCAGAACTTTTGTGCGAGCGCTTTAATACGAGGAGCATCGCAAATGCCGACCACGCTCTTGAAATGTCCAATAGCTAATGCCAATGCCTGCTTCTTGTCGTTGGCATCTGTATTATTTTGTGCAGCATATAAATTTTCGACACCCTTAAAGTAAATCACTTGTTCTGTGCCCAAGAGGTTGGAGCAATTGCTGTTTAAAAAGTTACCGATAAAGCTGTAGTTGTTGGAAGCATTTGCAAGTTTCGATGTCTTTATAGCCTTGTAAACAATATCCTGGATCAAGTTGGCGCCCTTCACCGTTGTAACGACATCACTAAACTTGCTGACAACCCAGTTTTTGTCAAACCTAGATCTATATATCAGCAGTCAGCTATTTGCAATACACCCTCTTCCATACCTTGCTACAATTTGTTCCCATTCTAAATCATTAGCAAAGCATATCAACGAAATGAATTCCATAGTCTTCAACACAAGATCCATGTCATCCTACAAGTGCTCGTCAATCGTTGTGTTCAATGTGCTTTTCACTGCATAACTTACTGCTGCTGGAATGTCGTATTGTTGATATACATCGGCAAGTGCTCGGAGGCGTTCCTGAACCACCAGAAACTTTTCTTTAGGGACTCTGTCAAGTCTGTTAGATTCGAAGAACTTCATCTCATGCTAGTCTGTACCTACTTTTCATTTTTGATATCGACCGTCCAGATATCCTGAACGATGCGAGCAAAATAGAGCAGCAGGCCTTCTTGTCGTACTGTGCATTGTCGAATAAAGTCAATGACATATGGAGTTTGCTTTGCTGAACAGGCCAACACATGAGCTATATAACCAGTCTCAATGGCACCATAACGCTCTTCAAACTTGTTCAAATGTTCAGGTGAAGGCGATTGCAATGCGTGTTGAAAATAATCTGTAATGTGTTGCTTATTGTAGTGGATGATGCCTCGTTTCGTCAATGCTGAAATCTGGCGATCTGAAGTATCCATAGGCTCTAATGTCGATTTCATGTTGAATCTTGTGTGTCTGGCTTTTCCTCCTTCCATGATAGACCACACTTTGTCGTCCAGCTTTTCATAATAGAAATCCTCCACCAACACAGGCTTTGATTCCTTGACCGATGCGACGCTTGTGTTGGTCAACACAAAGTACTTCTTTTCTGATTTGGCCAAGACAGTAGCAAAAACGCCTTGCTGATAATAAGCCAAGTCAGCATGTTGATCGGTCAAGTTGTTGAATAAAATGGATCCGGGCAAGGGTGGTGCTGGTCGGGTAAATATGAGCTGGATATCTAGACTTTCATTCTGTAAAAACAGTCTGTCGCCGTTGTTTGCAACTGCCATGAGACAAGGCTTTTTGGTATCTTGAACAAGGTGAATTGATTCCAAGTGTTGGCTCTCGTAGCGCTTCAATAACGAGTAGGTGGTGCCACGAATCTGAGCAACATGGATGCTGGAATCTGACAGCAGCATGTACAGCAATTCCCCTGCTTCATCCAATACCAGAGATTTCACACTGGCCACAGGTGGAGATTTGAAGAACATGGTCAAATAGCGCAGTATTGGGTTCATGGTAAGACAGCTAAGACTTCCATTTTTTGGTGTGTTGTCTGTCCATACAAGATGCAATTCGTACAAATGTCCATCATCGCCCTTCATAAAGACTCGTCTTAATTCCTTTGCTGTAACGAAATTTGACATGACAACACCCTCTGAATCCACTGCCACACCCTGCGATAGCTGTATGTTGTCTTGGCCTGGTGAAATGGTGTGGAGGTAGATGTGGTTTCGAGTAGTGACAACCAGCTCGTGGTGTGTTGTGAATGTTGCAATATCGACATGTTCAATGGCTTGGGTGGTGTCGTATCTGAATACTTTAGAATTCTTCTTACTAAAGTCCCATAGAAACAACGATGATCCTCTTGCCAACCAGACATGATTGATAGCTTTTAGAAACCCAAGATTGTAGTCACTGCGAGGCTCTAATGATCAATGTGTTAATATAAACTCGGTTGGTATGTAGTAAGTTTGTGCTCTTACGTTCAATTTGCCTGGCAATTTCCTCTGGAAAGTCTACGTGTGCGCTTTTGTAGAATGCATTTTCGTTGTCTGTACAGTATTGCAAAGGAGTGGACTCTATAGATTTGTGAGTCAATTTCATGCTTAAGCAAATCAAAAGGTGCAGAAGCTTACCTTGCAAATACAGGTCGAAATCCACATGTGTACCATCATTCTGCTTGCAATCATCGACTTTTTGGCTGAATTCAGTGAGTAGTGGGTTTAGTTGAGATGCAAAAGTCTTCTCCATGCTAAAAGTCGTAGTGTTGGTTTGTAGAGTAACCTTGGCCTTTTTGCTCTTGATCAAAGAGGCGCGTTTTATCTCTCAAATTTTTTGAAAAAGGTGACTTTGATATATGCAGAATTGCAACATGAACGGAAGAGGATCTCCTTGCCTGACAACATGGCTCCAATTCTGCGAAGGAGTCATATTCTGCTATGATGTCACCTAAATCTAATGCTATATTGTCAATGTTAGCTCAAAACAAAGCATTGCAGGTGCTATATTGCCGTCTCTGAAGCGTGTATTACCTACAGATGCATTTGTATGATTATCTGGACCTGAATCATCAGTTTTGAGAAGCATCATATATTAGTATATAGGCTAGAGTACATTGGGGAAGAGCCTTTGCGTTAAGCACAATTTGTCTCCACATTAGCGTCCTGTTTAACAATGAGCTCAACCAATTCAAATCTAGTTAACTCGGCTGCTCTAATGGATTAATCGCATACAGTGTACAACACGCAATCAATGCTTAAGAACAAGTGCCTATACTTGAGTGTCAACATCAGATCATGGTGCAGTTTTCTCTGCTGAGGCGCTCGACTAGTATTTGAAGACTCCATTCAAGGTATGGGGCTATCCATTATGTCAAAAAAAAAGAAACTATATTGCTTTGCGCTATAATGAATATATTTAGAGCAGGCCTGATACGGACCATCTTGAAAATTATGGACCACTTATTGACTCCATACTTATGGCACCTGAGCACAATATTAAGTATATTGAATAATACAGAATGCTATACATTTACACTTGTCTCTTTCCATGACGACGCACATGTCATTGTTTTTCATTGTTTATATGTATACGAGTGTTTATGCTTCGGGTGGCTCTCTACTTTCGCTTCGCTTCGGTAAGAACCAACCTGCGCAGCGGCAGCTCGCGCTATCGATTGCCCTTGCGTATCTTGTCAAAATACTGATACTTTCATTTTGACCCTCTACTTACACATGAAAACCCTTCATATTACCTGTGGATCTGATTCTTGTGTGATGCTCCACATCCATATACACGTAACTACTTCGTATACGGGCAAGTGCCATACGTATATTATCCTTTTTAATCAGGAGTGCGCCTAATACAGCAAAATCCGAGTGCATTTGAGCCGCATTTTCTTGCGTTCAATTGCCGTTTTAGATGGTCAGAATAGCCCTAAACGATTGTTCTTATCTAGCATTTACTTGCTAATACCTTTGCTCAACTTTTTGGGGATCAAAAAAACATGAACAAAATTCGACCAAAAAGCATGAGGTACCCCTCATGGTTTTCATCGAAAATCGCACGATCGCGTTTTTCACCTTGAAAATGAAGACTTTTACTATGGTATACGAGCCTTTCAGCACTTCGGGTGGTTTCCTGACCTACGCTTCGCTTCGGTGGAAACCAACCTACGTTCAAACGGCTCGCGCTGCCGCGGGCCTTTGGCTAATATCCCAAAATTAATAGAGCTAAAATGTTAGAAGAGGAACCCTGATTGTTGATTGATATATAATCACTAATCATATGAGTGTTTATGCTTCGGATGGTTCTCACCGAAGCGTAGCGAAGGTAGAGAACCAACCTGCGCAGCGGCAGCTCGTGCTACTGATTGCTCTTGCGTATTTTATCAAAATACTGCTACTTTCATTTTGACCTTCCACTTACACATAGTAACCTTTCATATTATCTGTGGATCTGATTCTTATGTGATGTTCTACATCCATATACACGTAGCTACTTCATATACGGGCAAGCAGCATACTGGTATTCCCAATTTTTAATCCTTAGTGTCCCTAATACAGCAAAATATGAGTGCATTTGAGCTGAATTTTCTTGCGTTCAAGGCCGTTTTAGATCGTCAGAATAGTCCCAAATGGTTGCTTTCATCTGGCAGTTACTTTCTGACACTTTTGCTCGACTTTTTGGGGATCAAAAAAACATGGTCAAAAATCGACCAAAAAGCATGAGGTATCCCTCATGGTTTTCATCGAAAATCAAACGATCGCATTTTTCATCTTGATAATGGAGACTTTTACTATGGTATATCTTGAATCAAAATGTTTCTATCAATCCAAAGCAACCTCTGAAATCATCTTTGTGGGACTTTGATATGTAAAATTTCGACATTTTGGCCATAAACCTCTTTTCATATTTTTACAAATCATTTGGTAAGTGTATTCAAAACATCTATTTTACTTAGTACCATTGGAAGCGCCTTGAAAAGTACTCCAGGAAAGCTTAAGGAAGCATGGGGTGATTATCATACTTCACTTAGTCGAATCTGCAAAAATAGCTCGATCGAGTCCAGAATCATCAAAATTTGTCCAATCTGGAACAGACTATGATTCTGGGTTTAAATTAATTTTGGCTGGTAGGGCCAGCTGGAAAACTCATGACCTTTTTATAAGGCAATACAGTAGTAAATGCCCTTGAAGCGTATAGAAAGTAGGTGGAAGGTCATAGCACTATCGTTTATAATGATATTTTATTGCCTTCTATATCGTTCATAATGATATTTTATTGCATTCTATATTTAATAACGTTAGTCTGGACATTGACAATGCATGGGTTGCATAAAATGTCTGCAGTAAGTAATGAAATATCTGAGGCTCTGAGACGTCGCTCAAATAAAACATTGACAGCATTGAGCAGAGGAAAGAGGGTAGAAATTACAGTGGTTTTTGTTGATTGATTGTAAAATCATTATTCTCATATGAGCCAGGCCAGATAGATGCCTTGAAACTCAGATTCCATATTAGGGTTATAAAGTGCAAAAGTACTGAACATTTATTATGTTATGATATGAGCCAGGCCAGATAGATGCCTTGAAACTCAGATTCCATATTAGGGTTATAAAGTGCAAAAGTACTGAACATTTATTATGTTATGATATGAGCCAGGCCAGATAGATGCCTTGAAACTCAGATTCCATATTAGGGTTATAAAGTGCAAAAGTACTGAACATTTATTATGTTATGATATGAGCCAGGCCAGATAGATGCCTTGAAACTCAGATTCCATATTAGGGTTATAAAGTGCAAAAGTACTGAACATTTATTATGTTATCACCTTTCTTCCGCTTTTCAAATTTTTACATAGTTTGAATCACCACTGTAAGAAAAATCCCTGAAAAAGCGATAGTAACAACAAACATTGCAACTTTGATCAGCATGTCAAACATTGTGATCGATCAAACCACCATCCAGGCTCTCGTCGAGTCGGTGAAAGCCTTACACTCCCGTCTCGACATTTTCGAACGTGCTCAACAAGCCCAGCAAGCCCTGAACGCTCAGTTCCGAGAAGAAGTAAATGATCTTCACTCCATCATCAACAATCTCGAGAAGCTTATCCGCTCTCCTGCACCCGTAACTGCTCAACCCCCCATCGCCGCTATCCCAATTACACCTGTGGTCCCTGCCGCTCAGGCTCAGGCTCAGGCTCAACAACCCCGCAACAACCCACCCCAGTGGAGCCAAGTCCTCAAACGTCCCTCCGCTGCCTCTAACAAGCGCCGCCGCGAACATGCTCTCCGTACACTTCAACCTCCTCAACCTGCCACTGAAAATTCCAACTACACTGTTCTGCACCTCCATCGTGCTCATCGTATGACTCACACCGAATATCGTGCTACCCTCGCTGCCATCGGCATCGATAGCAAACGTATTCTAGATGTCACTTTTCCTGCTCGCAACATCTCCACCATCCTGATCCACACTGCATACAAGGCGGATATACTTCAACTCTTAGCCGCCGGTGAACTGACTGAAGTCCCAGACTTTAACCCGCTTGACCATACACATGTAGCCGATCCCCAATTTGCTGACATGCCTGCTCCCCAACTAACCCGTATTGCTGCCGCCCTTCACACTGACCGATGCATCCGTACTGTGCGCTACATCAAGAAACATACTGTCCCCGGCGTCCTCAAATTTTTCATGGCCCAAAACTGGATACCTCTCGTCACTGCTCAAGATCTCTCTGCTGAACTGCTTCCTCGTCCTGCCAAACGTGCTATGGACCCTCATTCTGCCGTTGGTCAATTGCTCCTTGATCCCGTCTACGCCACCAAGTTACGCTCACGCCAGTTGGTTGATCGTCTAGGCAACGTCGTTGAAACCAATGCAATGGAGATTACTGAGGAATTTTACGATGATCCCAACCACTCAGACACCGATGACTCTCTTGAATGAGTGAATCCTCATCACAGCCTTTAAATCAACGTTCTGCATCCCCTGATAATGTTTATGTCCCCCCGGTATCTGCTCCTCATTCTTCTAACAAACACACTAACTTGATTATTCGTAGTCTCAACTGCCGTAGCCTTGCTAAACCATCAAACGTCCCCAACAGCCAAGCCTTTTGTCGATTCCTACGTCAATCTTATGATCAACAACCACACATCCTCTGCCTTCAAGAAACCCACGCTTCCGATCCCAATACCCAAGCTCGCCTCGACTTACAACTCCAAGCAACATCTTCTATATGGTCATCCCATTGCGGGATAGTAAGTCTTCACCCTAATATTCATATCAATCCCATCTTCGTCTCGGATGATGGTCGAATCATATATTGTACCATTTCCCACACTACTAACCTATTTCCTCCCCTGAAGATCATGAATATCTATGCACCCGTCACTACTCCAGATAGATATATCTTTTATGATCAGTTACTTCAACGCTCCTTCTTCCAAACTCTCGTCACCAACATGAACACGGCGGAAGGTCTACACAACAATCACCTGTCTAATGTCACCGATGCCCCATCTATAGTCGTTGGTGATTTTAATTACAATTTCCGCCAATACCGTCCACCATCTATTGTCAAACCAGCTAGCATTCAATCACAATGGCTATTTCATTCGATGCTCACCCACTACTATCAGGAAAGTACTCATGAATTAATCCACGAACCTCAAGTACCTACCTTTCGTCGCAACACTACGTTCACTACCATCGATTATATGTTCTTGAATCCTCAACTGATGGACTTCCGTACTGACCAGTTTGTCCACTTTGTCCACTCGGACTGGACTGACCATGCGATGCTGTCTACCCAACTAACTTTTGATAATCCAGATCTCGGTAAAGGTCTGTGGCGAGCCAATCCACAATTAGTCCACAACGAATACTTCTGCCAACGCCTGTTCACAAAGCTTGACGATTTCCACACCCTTCTCGCTTCCAATGCTAATGATCTCACTCCACAAGTCATTTGGGATCAAATCAAGGAATTAACTCGACAGGTAGCCAAATCTTGTAGTCGTCGTCAATCGGAATGGCGTCGCCGTCTACTTCGTCGTCTCCAAAGCAAGCGGAACAAGCTGATACGACTCTACAAAACGACTCAAGTACGCAATGATCGCCTTCCCAAGATCGAATCAATGATAGGTAACCTACAACAAGAATTGGCTGATATTCAAGCTTTACGCTCCGGCATCAAATGGCGTGAACACGGGGAGAAATCCGCTGGTTTCCTCAAGCGTCTTACATCCCAGCGATCCCAACAACGAGCCATCCCCACTCTTCAACACCCCATCTCCTCCTCCGATTGTGCGACTACAAAGGACAAACAGGCAGCTGCGGTAGCTTACTACGAACGGCTCTACACTGCGGATATAGTGGACACCGAAGCGATTCGCTACTTTACTAATCAGATTCCTCATACTGACAAAATTCTAGATTCAGACCACCCGTCATTATGTGCTCCATTTACCCTCGATGAATTAGTCGAAGCCGGTACTCGGGCCCCTAAACAATCTAGTCCTGGCATTGACTCCCTACCATATGCCATAATACAATTGCTTTTCACCCACCCACTCACCGCTGCCATTGCTCTCCGTGTTTATTCTGACGCCTTGTCAAACGGCGTATTCCCGCAATCGTGGCAAGAAACTTGTCTGGTCTTGCTCCCTAAGAAAGGTGATCTTGCCTTGTTGCAGAACTGGCGTCCCATTAGTCTTATCTGTTGTGATGCCAAAATCTTCACTCGGCTGTTGAATGCTCGGCTCATGCTCCACTTTGGCACACGATTGACCACCTCACAATCCGGCTTCATGCCCCATCGCTTTATTGGCGAACCAGCCATGACCCTACATTGCGCTCTGTCCCTCGCCACTGCCACCCATTCTACGTCAATCGCCTTGTTGTTAGATCAAGAAAAAGCATATGACCGTGTCAACTTGGAGTACCTCACCGCTGTACTCACAGCTTTTAACATGCCATCTTCTCTAATCTCATCACTGCTTTCTTTGTTTACTAACACGCAGGTACGGGTCAACATCAACGGATTTCTCTCTGAAGCATTTCCAACCCAACGTGGTATGAGACAGGGTGACCCTATCAGTCCTTTGCTTTTCAATATCATCTTCGACCCCTTCCTCCGTGCCATCAACCAACATCAAAACATACTTGGGTTTGACTTTACACGCATTGCAGCCACTAATCCTCGTTTTTCCTCCCCTCTCGCTGACAATGTTCCTCTCGCAGATCCAGTCAAAGTCCTGGCATATGCCGATGACACACTAGTTTTCCTCAACGATCTTAGTGAATTCCACCAACTTCAACAGTTGATAAATAAGTATGCCGCCGCGTCCAATGCCTCTCTCAACTATCACAAGACGCAAGCATTGTCTCTCTCTGGTGTACCGCACGAATCCTGGATTCTCGGCCTTCGCGCGTCTGGTATCTCGTCTTGGCATGACCAGAATGCTACCGCTCCCATCATCTATCTCGGATACCCTATTTGTTCATCTACCGCTCAAAAGAACTCATATTTCGATGCTCTTCTCACTCGTCTCCGGGACTTTTGTCGCCTTCATTCGGTACGCAACCTTACCTTTCGAGGACGGGTTACTGTTCTCAATTCACTCTTGTTCTCTAAAGTGTGGCATATTGCACGCTTGTTTCCTTTTTCGGCTAACGATATTCACAAGCTACAACAGCTGGGCGCCTCGTTCGTTAACCAAAATGCCAAACTAACTCGATTCTCTTTCGCTACTCTCTGCCTCCCTCGTTCTCATGGCGGCCTTGGTCTTTTGGATCCTGCTGTGCAGATCAACGCCCTTCAGTGGCGCTGGCTTCATCCACTTTTGCACCCATCCGATCCCACTCCTCCTACCAAGACTTCTCTTCCTTATCTCCGTGTCATCCTCAACTTCTTCCTCGCTACTCCCTCATACCCCACCTACCACTGGTCTCTCCTCTTTCCTGCCTGTAGGCCATCAAGCGCCAGAAAGGTCATCGCTCCTCTCTACAACATTCTTCGCGCCGTAGATACCATTGTTCGTAAGTTTGGTGTCTGTCATGTTTCCTTCAGTACTTGTCTACGCCTGCCATTTTCGACCTTGGTTGAACATAACCTTCCACCCAACCATAGCTTATCGCCTACATTTCGCTCACCAAAGGAAGTGGTAAAACACTACCCCAGAGTGCTTCAACTTACAGGTAATGATGTTTTCATCTTTGATACCACCACTCAAGCTCTTCAACTTCGCACTTCGGTCATTGGCCTACCCCACCAACCCACCAGCTTACGCGCTATCAATTTTCTTCAGGCTCAAAACCTACTGCTCACCAACTTCATTCACTTCAACATGTTGCTCCTTGTCCCTCGTCCAAACATCACACATATCGACCTCTCCACCATCACCAACTATTCCGATAGTATCAGCCTCGTATCCACCCTTCTACTCTCTTTATTGGCAACTTCATTTTCTTTTGAGTCTCATTCATTCCTTTTATCCCTCCCTACTAATCAAGGATTCAAATCCCTCCCCCTTCACACTAACCCTTCCTCTTATTCGTCCCCTTTAGGTGTTGCCAAATGGAAGCAGTTTTGGACTCTCCAGATTCCTTTGAATGCTCGCAATACTTGGTTCCGGATCCTTCATGAAAAAGTTACTACTCGTCAATTATTACATCAACGGCTTCGCGATTCATTTACCCCGTACTGTCCTCACTGTCAGTCTTCGTCATCCACAATCCCCACCATCATCGAAGATACTGAGCACTTCCTCTTTTCCTGTCCTCGAAAATTGGACGTCTGGCGACAAACTCTCTCTCTTTACATCTCACCTCGATTCTCTTACTTTGCGTACGAGGAATACATTGCCATCCTCCACCTTCGCCTCGATATTGACCGCTCATCTCATGAACTTTTTCCTGCATTATCCGTGTTCCAGGTCTTTGCTTGCATCCAACAGGCTATCTGGTCTGCTCATTACCGCCAAGTTTTCCAGCACGTCCCTTTCATCCCGTCTACTGTCATCCACTCCATTCATCGTACTCTCCTCAATTTAGACTCCCAACTTTCCTTCGATACAATTATCTGAGCTTCCCCTTATATCCTCCAGTCTTTATATCCCCTCCCTCTATATTAGGTGACGATTTAAGGACTTTAAATAAAAACAGAAGTGCCTACTTCCTTATAAAAAAAAACATTTATTATGTTATGATATTGAATCAAAATGCTTCTCTCGACCCAAAGCAACTTCTGAATCCACTTTTATGAGGTCTTACTATGCAAAATTTTGACATTTTGGCCAAAACCTCATTTCGTATTTTATAGAATTGTTCAATAAGTTTATTCAAAACGCCTATTACAATTAGCACGATTGGAAGAGCCTTGAAAAGTACTTCAAGAATGTATTAGGAGGTACGGGCTAATTATCACAACTTACATAGTCGAATCTCACGAAATAGTTCAATCAAGTCGAAAAGTCCCAAAGTTTGGTCAATCTGAACAGAAAAGAAAATTCTGAGTTTGAATTAATTTTGCGCTGCTGACTGACCTAAAAGCCTTTTTGATGATGACAATGATGATTGAGATGTTGATTGTATGAGAATCATAAACTTACAGAATTATCGCTTAGCTTGAATACTTTCTTTTGATTTTGTTGGGAATTTTCATACCTGACAGCGTTAATCAGCCTGGGTCACAACCAAAAAAAAAAAGGTAATCGCAGCTTCCTAATTATGATTTGAAGCATTTCAATATGGTATGTAGGCAGTATGCGTTGCATTGATACACTTTCGGGCTTGTCGTTTTTCTTCTTTGCTCAGAATTTATGAGCATGCTTGTACTGTATGAATCAATAAACCTGACGTTGCACTCAAGCGCCGTAAGTATGGAGTCAGTAGGTAAACCACATCAAGCCTGTTTGTTATGAGTCAAAACATAGTTTATTAAATGTTATATCGTTTAGTTTTGTTATCGCATAAGTTTGTATATAGATAGATAGATGAAGTGTAAGCCAACTACCAGATGGAGCACTTGTTGGCAGGATTCATGCCTTGTTCCTTATTGACACACTTGAAAGCTTCAGCGAAATCAGGGCTGTTCTGAACAGCAGCATTGACTCTGACTTTAGCAGGCGAGTGGACATCACCACGGATTCTTTGGACAGCCATTTCAGGACGCATATTAGAACACCAGACACGACCAAAGTTGATAAAGAACAACTGTTCGGGAGACAAGTGATCCAGTTGAGGAAGGATCATGTTTTGATCGGGATTCTGTTGCAAAGATTTGCGCATGGCAGTAAGAGCAGCATGGACACCACCATTGTCAGCCAAGTTTTCGCCGAGAGTCATCTGCAGGTAATAATTAGACTAGGGTACAAGCATGACAACATTTCATAATACCTTTCCATTGACATTGTAAGACGTATTGTTGGGCCCTTGGACGGAGAAGGAGTTGTACTGGTTGATAAAGCATTGACTTCTTGCCTCGAAAGCCTCGGACGTAGTATCTGACCACCAAGTGTTTAATTTGCCATCACCATCGTAAAGACGGCCAGAGTTATCAAAGGCATGCTATGTCGTTTGGGTTAATGTCATCTTATAATAAGTCCATTCTATGCCACTCACTGTAAATTCATGGCCAATAACAGCACCAATACCACCGTAATTGAGATAGCTAGGCAATTCAGAGTGATAGAAAGGCGACTGCAATATACCAGCAGGAATGACAATCTCATTAAAGACGGGAGAATAGTAAGCATTGACTTCATGAGGATCCATGTGCCAGACGGACTTGTCCACCTTTTGACCGATTTGATTCCAATTCTTATTGATGTCCCACAAGAGAGCAGACTTTTGGTTGCCATAAAAGTTGATCACATCAATGTTGATGTCAGCATAGTAGTTGGCCAACGAGTCAGCAGAACGCACGTCTGGAGTCACCACACTATAAGCTTCCTTGTGATTGATCTTGTTGACCTTTTCGACCGCCTTGGCCCGTGTAACAGCATCCAACCAGTCCACTTGATTCAAACGCTCAGACCACGTAGATTGAATGTTGTTGATAAAGGAAGCCACTTGCTCACGTTGGACCTCACCACCAAAGTGTTTCATGACAAAGTAGCGGCCCAGGAGTTGACCAAACGTATTGCTAGTGGCACGGACACAAACACGCGAACGTTCGGGAGGAGCTGTCGTACCACTGGCAATCTTGCTGTTCATGTTGCGGTAGATTTCACGCGTATCCTTGTCGACGTTGCCGACGTTGGCCAAGATGGTCTTGATGGTAAAGAACTCGCGTATGGATTGCGTTGTAGCGCCATCGTCACGATCAGCGCTGTTGATCAACCAGTCAGTCAGTTCCTTCATGAAACGAGGTGTAGAGACGATAACACGGCCAGGCAAAGAGACATCGCTAGGCGTAAAGTGTCTCAAGAGTTGGATCCAGTCAACAATAGGATAGATTTGGTGGAGTTCAGCAATCGACTTGGGATTGTACAGGTCAATTGGATTTTGAAGTTGGTCACTGTACAGAGTTAGTCGGTATATGGGGATTATTTGATTTGAGAGAAACTTACTTTGGCAAGGTCAACTTGGCTAAATGCGACTCAAACTCAATGAATCTATCCACCATGTACTCAATATCCACGTCGTTCAACATCATCAAGTTGTGCTCTCTCATCTTGTCACGACGCAAGTTATCAGTAGCAGTGTCTCCTTGAGGCTGACCCAAGACAGCTTTGATCAAAGAGGTGAGACCAGCTCGATAGCTGTCAATGATTTCAGGCTGCTCATAGTACTCGCGAGAAGGCAGGCCCAAGGAAGGTTGGTCTAAAACGATGACACTCTCATCAGGCGATTGATCGTCAATACCCACGCCATACGAGATCAAGCTTTCAACACCTTGTGTACCGAGATGGATCAATGCGTCTGTGAATTGATGCACATGGTCCGAGGTAAAGCGACTATCGACAAAGTCCTGGTTGTAACCGAGCTTGGAGAGCAGTTGAGAGAGTTCGGGGTAGATGGGAGTAGGGCCTAAGCTATTGATGGTGCCCTCGTCCATGCAGGATCTGTAGTAATCCTTGATCTTGTTAAAGTTATCACGGTCCTTGTCGATTTGCGTATCGTCCAGAATAGAGTTTTCTCGGTTGGGAATGCCTTGAAGAAGGTCCTCATAAGTACCATCCAACATAACAGCAAGGCCATCCAGGTTGGCATTGTGAAGATTGTTGAAACTACCAACAGCTGTTTGAAAGAGAGTGGTAAGTCTATTTATGTATTGATTTGATTCCTACAAAAGCCTTACATGATTCAGAGTCAGGGATTTGGTGATCCTGGATCCAATTTCCACCTGGCAATGGATATTCAAGATGTGAGTTGTGGCGTGATACAACAGCGCTAAAGCAGCTTACATGTATATTGGTAGAAATCACTGCACGGATCAACATTGAGATCCAGATCATGAAGAATGGAATGAGCCGTGTTCTTGCAGACCTGCGTTTCACATGTTGTAGCACCAGCAGGATAGGAGGACACAGACCGAGCAGCCAATAGTTGAGCGGAATGACCCGAGAGTGTATTAGGCAAGATACCGCCAGCCATAGATGATAAGAGAGAGAGAAAAGACGAGAGATGACGGTGAAGGAGGCCAGCCAGGAGGCCCTTATTTATACTGTAGGAAAGAATGCGATTATTCTCAGTGCAAGCAAACATGGAATATAACTGTGTGAGTTTATCCAAAAAGAAACCTAATTTGACAGTTGGATTTGAAATGCTTCACAACATGAGTATGAGTCGAGTAGCCTTTTCCACCTGTTTCTCTTGTTTTTTTCTCTTTTTTTTTTCTCTCTTTTTCCCTTCAATTTTTCTCACTCTGTACTTGCTAATTACTACTTACACATGAGCACAGATACCAAGTTGATACTGAGTCTGGTGAATAGGATAGCTGTCAGGGTAAATCTCTCCCGTTACGACAACACCATCAACTGCTAATGACACACACACATTGATACAGTTACCAAGCAACAATGGCACACAGTTTGACGCCCTTGAAAGCGACCCTCTTATCCAACAAACGTAAGCTGTCCCCGTAGTAGTGATGAGGATGTTACTAACATCATCTTCTTTTTTCAATTGACGTCAGTGGTACGTTCAACATATGCTTGATTGTGTTCCCTTAAGTAGGGTCGTACCAAACTGATTTTCATTTCATACATGTAGTGGCAGCATTGATAGAGCTATCGAAATATAGATTGCCTACAATAGCAACTACCATTGTCACTGTGATTGAAAATGTATCCAAGGTGAGTCTTATAGTAGCAGCAGCCCCCCCATCAACGATCTAACGCTTCACCAGTCCCCACTCTCCAGAAACGATGATATAGTGCCCAGAGACGTATTACAATCCCAATTATTCCTACTTCGCATGCTGTCCGCCTGCATGCACCACCATTGGAGGTACTATCAAGATTTAGACACCAAGGCACGCAGTAAAAAGCAACACCAAGACGGTACCGAATCACCCATACGACCTTCCCTGAACCGCGTAGATGGAGCAACACCTCAACACGGCATGTGGTCTCCACCGGACGGTATTCCACCTGTGCCCATTGATCCACCACCGCTGGAAGACAACCTAGCCAAGCATATTGTACATGTCATGTCAAGATTCATTTATCAGATTGGCGCCGTCGACGAAAAGGAGCACGGCATTGTTGCCAACCATTCAGCCAGCGCCTGTTCCACCGAGACCTACACTAGTTTCAATGGCCAGACATTACTGACCAGTTTGATGGTGGATATATACAGGGCAGCGAGTCGAGTGGTAGCCTATGTCAGTGCCAGTAATTGGCCCATCACTTTTGCCAAAATCAAGAATCGCATCTTGTATCTGACAACCACACAAGAAGAGAACCCCGAAGTGACAGATGTCATGCTGTTGGAATGTGCTTCATTAAATTGCAAACGTCTTAGTATGGTGCTTACAGGTAAAGCAAGTTGGAAAAAAAAAGAGGGTCTGTGTGTCTGTTGGTCTCATTAGTTTGTATTAGAATTATGCAGTTCAGCTTTGCATTTACGAAAAGCAGCGCAATTATTTATTGCAGTGATGTTAAGAAGGGCGATTTGGAACTGGATTGAAAATTACACTGCTGAATTCACTTTATTATGCCATAATCAGACACGCATTGATGGATCTCCTGAAATCCTGTTTGATATCTTCAACTCTTTGGCAGACACCACCAAGCGAAAAGCCATATTTTGGCCTGTGCAAACCATGCTGTTGGTATTGTGTCCTGATATCATGATTTCTCAATCGCTGAGTGGAGGTCGAGTAGAGAACAAAAAGGTGAGTTCATATCAAGGACCCCCTCTATGGCACCCGCTCATTTTGTCCAACATTAGTCTGCATTTTTTGGCTCGCTCAGAAAAGCCATGAAAGGGGATCGTATGGGAGAATTGGCAGCCATTTGCTATGTGGATCTCTGTCGAGCAGCAACCTACGTATCCAAAGACGACATGACAGCGATTCGACAAGTAGTGCCTGATGTGGAAAACGAACTGATAGACAAACTGTTTGATATTCATCGCCCTGCAGACGTCGACTCCTTATCCACTAGTCTGGGTGTCTACATTGATCATCGCAGCTTGATGGCAGATTGCATTGTCGCCATGTTCAGATTGGACACACAAAAGACCATTCACTCATTGATTCCCACTTGCTTTGACCACGGCGCACCGACCATCTTCAAGCTGAGCGTTGTCAAGGCAGCTGTTGCCATTGCGTCAGAAGAGAACAATTTGCCCTGGATACCGTCCATATCTGAGCTCTATCTACCACTGTGCACTCGCATTCGAAAGCTGTTTTTGGAATTCTTTACTCGTGATTTTAGAGACAAATCATCAACAGATATTGCTGCTACTTCCTCCTCCTCCGTGTCGTCTCGCAAGACATTAGCCAGCAATTTAGCGGACAAACGCAGCAATCGAAAAGACGGGAGAACAGCCGCCCAGGAACGTTTCGAGTTGATTTTGGATGTACTGAGATTGTATCAAACCGATCCCAAACTTGCTATTGAGGTAAGGTGTCTGTTGTGTATATGTATACACTGTTTCACACACACTCTCTCTCTTTCTGTATCACAGGGAAAAGTCGAAGATAGATTTGATCAAAATGCAGCCCTCATGGTAGCCATCACCAACTGCCTTCGAGACCCAAGCGCTTGCGTCAGGGATGCAGCTGCAGAATGTTTATATAAACTGCATGCACCTGATAATATTATATTATGGGGCCTTCCTGACAGGTTTATGGAGTCATTTTGGAAGATCTCTTCTCAAGTCCTGTTTACACTGGCAAAGCAACTTTTGGACAGCAGAGAACGAGAAAGCGGACTGAGAAAGCTGCTGGATCTATTAAAACGGTTACTGACATTGAGAAACAAGTTTCTGGAACAGCATCGAGATGTAGCGATCTTTGGCATTGATACGCGCGAACGGCTGCAAGCATCAATTGGCCTGGAAGTAGCCTTGTTAGTGCTGCTCTGTTCCTACGATACGGATATATGCACACTCTCCATCGACTGCTTTGGTTTGCTCTGTACGGAAGTGCATTTGACAGAACGGCTGGACGATCCACAGCCCTCTTCCATCACCATTGTTGAAAACATGGCTTGCTATACAGAACTCACAAACAACTCGGGTGTGGTGACCGGGCGCAAATCACAACAGCGACGTATTCGCCGTCTATTGAGAATGATCAACCATAGCTCACCTGGCATGCTGGCTGCTTGGGAAGAGGCTTGGAAGAGATGGAAGTTCATGACACCTTTGATTGCACGCACACCGGATGACAACGCCAAAGACGATAGCTCATTTTACGAGAGCAGCAGTAGCAGCAGAAAGGGAGGTGGATCTACTTGGCATGACAAGCTGAGAAACACATCTTCTAGACAGCTCATGGTGCCCACATCCTCGACTCGACTGGACATGATTGACGACGATCGCTCCTCTGAATGGCAGAACTATGCTGGATTCTTGGCTGCTTTGGGTGGTGTCTGCTTAATGACAGAGGCTTCTTCTTCTTCAGTGACTACCGGTAGTTCATCTGTCCCTCCTTCGCCTTCCTCTTCCATTCGTTCTTCTCGTCCTAGTAACAATAGCAACAACGACTCCATCAATTATAGCAGGCACATTTCAGCCCCCATTGAATCTGCCAACATGGTCGACAAGTTTATCATGGACATGGTAGATTTACTGGCCTGCGACAACTTGATTGTGCGTGAATGGGTGCGAGAAATTCTGGGAAACGACCTGTCACCAGCCCTGTATCATATCATGTTTCGCCACCTAGAGAACACGCTCACAAAGTGCTTTGGGCCTGACAATAACAGCGATCCCATGTGCGGACCAAGCTTTACGCTCTTTGTCGAACAAGGCATCTCGGTGCTCAAGCAGGTTCTTGACCGTCTCAGCGAGAAGACAGACAACTTGTTTACTGTGGATTTCAGCACACTGATCAACCAGTATGCCCTGTATCTCAACAAACTGGGCACGAATCAGCTGTCCATCAAGATCAAGATCAAAATGTGTCAGTTGGTCGAAGTGCTGATGAGCAAAAAGGACAGCGTGACATTAAGACAGGAGTTTCGCCTAAGGAACAAATTGCTGGAGATTATTGTGGAGTGGACTAGTGATTTCTCGCTGGTAAGTTTCTAGTGTTTTGTTTGTTTGTTGCGCTATATATAATGTTTGCTTGCCATGTAGAAACCGGACAATGTGTCTCAGTCATCCAACTATGAAGTGAATCAATTAGAGAAGCTGCAAAGCGATCTAGACATTGCTTGTCTCAAGACCATAGTCGCACTGCTTCATCATTTGCCGTTGCAGCCTTCTGAGCCTGTAGTAGAATCAGATGCGCTTGTAATCAAAAGCAGGATTTTTTACAAGTACTTTACCTATTTCTTCAAGCTGCTGAATCGATGTCGTGTGTCTGAGGCAAGTTATCATTTAGGGGTAATGGATATACAAGTATATTAATGTGTGCATGTCATTAGATTGAACATTCGCAAACCAGAAGCTACGATTCACAGTTTAGAACAGTAAGTACTGGATTTAAGCAGCAGAAAGAGTTCTTGTTAACACCTACTCTAACATAGGGCTCGGAATTAGCACCACTCAAAAACTACACCATTCTAGCCTTGTCCAATCTACTCAGTGCCAATGTAGACGCAGGCCTGAAATACTCGTTTTCCATGGGTTATCATGAAGATACACGCACACGATCTGCATTTATGGAAGTCTTAACAAACATTCTGAACCAAGGCACAGAGTTTGAGACATTGGCGGAAACTGTCATGACGGATCGCTACGAAAAACTGATTGATGTAAGTGGGTGGCAAGCGCAATATGACTAATTGACATGGCCTGACACTGTCATATCATTAGACGTTGGTTCAAAACGACTTGAGAATTGTGCTTTCTCTATGTGAAGTTTGTCCTTCTTCGGATATTGATGACGTGACGAATGCTCTGTTGGCTTGCTTTGCGTCAAGAAACAAGACCATGACACTCTTGAAGGCTGTGATCGAAAGAGAGGTAGAAACAACAGGTAAAAATAGAGTCAAAGCTATGCCCAAGGATGCCTCTTATTGACTCGATCTAAATAGAAACCGAAACCGACTTGTTTAGAAAAACCAGCATTGCTACTCGCTTACTCTCTGTCTATGCCAAAAATAACGGTGCCGACTATGTACGATCTGTGCTTTTACCAGTATTCCAGAAGCTGTCTGAACGGCCCCGCGAAGACAAGTGCTTTGAGTTGGACCCTTCCAAGGTTGGCCCTGATGAAGATGTCAGCAAAAACCGTAACAATGTGATTGAAGCCACTGAGATGTTCTTAAACGCTATTTGTGATTCTGTCAATGATGCGCCACGGTCCTTTCGCGAGATTTGTCATTACATCCTGACATCGGTGCGGGAGCAGTTTCCAGAGGCAAAATACACGGCTGTGGGCTCCTTTATCTTTTTGCGATTCTTTTGTCCTGCCATTGTGTCCCCAGAAACAGAGGGACTGATCAAGAATACAGCCTCCATTTCTCGTGAAATGCGTCGAGGATTTCTCATTGCTACCAAGGTAATCCAGAATCTGGCCAACAATGTCCTTTTTGGTGCCAAGGAGACCTACATGATTGTCCTCAACGATTTCCTGACCGGGAATATTTACAAGGTGGCTAGCTTTTTACGAGAAATCAGCAAGTTACCTACTGCTGAAAATGCTATGGATGCTGCTGATGCTGCTGATACTGCCACTGCGACAGAAGACGTTGTGGAAATGCCTCAAATGAACGACAAGCTGTATGCCATGCTACATCGTGTGCTTGCCGACAACATTGAGCGTATCTCGCGTGATGTTGCATCCAGACGCTTGGGAGGTGACAAAGACCAAGATTCCATCAGTGCCTGGAAACGCGAATTTGACAAGTTTGCTAACCTGTTGGCTCAATTGGGACGTCCACCTGAAGTGCCTCAAAAGGAGTCTGTGGGTACACGCAGCTATGTCTATGCTGCCTCCAACCAATTGTACGCTGATTTCATGCGTCGCAACAGTCATCGCAGCGTTGAAACGATTGTGTCCAAAAACATCTTTTATGAAGGCGGTGTCTCCAAGGCGGGTCGACCTGTGTTTTACTTGGTCATGCGACATATTCATGCGGATAATATTGATTTTGAATTGTTGATCTATCATGTGCTTCAAACACTGGAAAGAGCATCCAACAGACACTATGAGCTGGTGATTGACTTGACGCGCTTCTGTCGCCTGAATGAGATTCCAGGTCAATGGGTCCATCAACTGATGCAAATCTTGAGCGAGGACAAGTCAGACAACATTGCTATCTGTCACATCTACAATCCCAACACGTATCTAAGAACATTTATCAAGAAGCTGGCTCGACCTCTATCACACAAGTTTACCAAGCGCATTCTGTTTGCCGTGACACTAGCTGAATTGCATGAGCATATACTACCATCCGAGGTGCGATTACCCAAATCTACAAGTAAGTGCCAAATCATTGCTCTGATGGCATGCGTTGACTGATATTTATCTTATGCATAGCCGGTCTGGAGACAGATCCCAGTGCCGTCTTTTTCCCTGTCAACAAGATTCTCAAGTACACTACGCATCTTCCTGTTACTGTCAAGGTCAGTGCAGAGTACGTGCAGGTTATGACAGTCAGAAAGCAGGAAATCTTTTATGGCCTCAACGCGGTGACCAACGATATATGCCATATATCTGAAATTGAAGACATTGGCACCGCGCACCATGAACGCTCCTCCTCGGAATCATCACAGGATTTCAGTTACAGGTGCACGCGAGAGAATATCGTCATGACATTCAACTCACCAAAGAAGGTGGCCATTATCAATGTAAGTAAGGGTATGCAATACAAGAGAGCCCCCATCTCACCCTATCTTACAGACCATTCGACATAGCAAACGACGCTATGAAATGTCAAGACCGACCAATATTTCTGAACGTACCATTCAACCAAACGATGTGCCTGGTAGACTGCTGAACATGGCCCTGCTGAACCTTGGAAGCGACGACCCCAACTTGAGATTATCGTCCTACAATTTGCTGTATGCTCTGAGCCGAGTGTTCAATTTTGATGTAGGCAAGCAACTCTTGGATGCCAAAGATCTGTGTTTGCCAGCCAACAGTACAGAGTTTATTGTCAGCATCAGTGAAAAGATTGCAGCAACAGAACCTTCCTTGACCATGGAATTCTTAAACGAGTGCGTCCTTGGCTATGGCAAATCCGAGCAAGGCTTGCGGTATCTCTCTCTGCTCTACATGATTCCCTGGCTCCCCAATCTAGCTCTCTACTGTAACAGATCGCCTCAGGATATAGTGAAAACCAAGGAACTCCTGCGGCTGTTGGTTGATCTCACATTGGCTGGTGACATGTCCAAACTGATAAAAGCAAAGATCTGGAAGACCATTGCAAAGGTAGACGACATACTGAACCTGGTAATTGATACATTCATCTTGGTATCCAACGAGCACGGCGTGGGGTCCATGCAAGCAGAGGCTTTGGCTGATACGTTGGTGACCTTGTCCAATGTTACTGTGCGATCCAAACTGACGTCCTATCTACGCAAAATTATCCATCGCACCTCGTTCAAACCCACGCGCTCGTTGACGGATCATCCATCCTGGCCAGAAATTGCTATTCTGGTGCGCTTCATCTTGATGCTCTCGTTCAATAATCGCGGCCCGGTAAAACGTGTGGTTCCAGAACTGCTCCATATCGTGTCCTTGATTGCTGGCGTGGGCTGCACCGTTGTACGTGCGTCTGTGCATGGTGTGGTCATCAATATGATCCAGTCGCTGTGTACATCCATGCCTCTGTCGGCTGCCAATGTCAAGAAACTGCAACTGTTGTTGATTGAAATGTCAGAGTCCAAGTCGCGTCTCTTGTTTGGCCTGACGCGATTCAACGCCAATGCGTTTACCATCACGCCAGAAACACTAAATGACACTATTGAACCCATATCGCTTTTGTCGCTAGAGACCATTGTCAGTAAACTGTCAGAAGTCATCAATTATGCAGCACCCTCGACAGATATTGCTAATTTCTGGAGAGCCAGGTGGATGAGTCTGGTCGCCAGTACAGCATTTCAATTCAATCCAGCGGTGCAACCGAGAGCCTTCATCGTGCTGGGGTATTTGGGCCGTGAAGAGATTGATGACGATTTACTGTACCAAATCCTGGTGGCTCTGCGAGGTGCGCTTGCCATATTTAATGACTCGGATCCTCATTTGGTCACTAGCATTATGATGTGCTTGAAGAATGTGGTAGAAAGCCTCCCTGGTGATTCGAGGTACTTGCTTCAGCTGTTTTGGGTCGCTGTTGCACTGGTAGAGATCAATACAGGCCCTACATTTGCCATGGCTGTAGAACTCTTGCAGGCAGTTGTGCGTGCACTGGACTCAAGCGGCTTCTTTTCAGGAGACACCATGATTGATGTCTTGTTAGCAGCGCGTGAGCCTATTGCCGATGTAGCACGTCAATTGGACAATCTGTGTGGTGTCAATTTTGATTCGCATTTCTCGTTTGCCATTGCTGGTATCTTAATGAAGGGGCTGCGATATAACGATGTCAAAGATATCATCTATCATGGATTGCATACGTTTTTGGACATTGAGCGCAAACAGTTTCCTCATGACGGGTTGTCAGAAGAGAGTAGTATCATCGAGACATCGACATTGGGTTATGTTACTGGCTTACTTCCACTGGCCGCTAAAAATGACACGGTCAAGGATTTACTCAAGGTGGCTGGATTGACGGAAACAGACATTGATAGCCATGTACTGAATGGCAAGACATATGCTGGCATTTTTGATAAGCTGGATATTCCGGATAATACCACTGCTTTATTATTGATCTCGTTGCTTGCCAACATGTTGAATGCAGCTGATAATGAATCAGAGAGGTTGTTTATCTATGGCTTGTTGTCTGAAGCAGCTATTGCTATCCCTGAAGTGTTTTCTCTCGTGTAAGTAGTACTAGTAGTAACAGTAATGATTCATGTGTGCATGGTCAACTCCTTTTACTCACACGTCTCTTTTCTAAAGATATGATTCTCTTTTACCGAAAATGAATCAAATTGTTATCAGCAGCCAAACACAACCCATTATTGAATCTGTAAAGTCCATCTTATTAACAGCATGCTCTGACCCTATGTTTAACGAGTCCAAGGGCAAACCATCGCAACGGGTTCTGTTGGATCAACTGGGATTTTCTTCACTGGGTGATCCTACATTTGGTGCTTCTTCCTCTAATGCCTTTCAAAATGCTAAACTTGCTAGCGAACTGATGGAACGCATCATTTCCTAACTGAATCACCATACATTTAAACCATATTTCATCTGCATCTTTCATTCATCTTATTTATTTATTTCATTGATTAAAAATTGAGTGTGGCATCTGTTGAATAAAAGAGTGCGACTCAATTGTAACAATTACTCATGCACTGATGTATTCCAATTATGGACATGCGCCGAGAATCAGCAAGGTACGGATCGCCGAGAATATTGATACACAGCAATGTCAAATAAACAAAATGGCCGTATATCATCAAATTCTGGCCAATTTTATTCAATCAAATTTTCTGTATCTAACGATATACATGCTCGCTACATGGTCCGCGCGCTATTCTATCGAAGTAACCATTATGTGATCTCAAATGTGGCATTGTACCGTAGCCGTAGTAACTCGGCCTTAGGAGTATATCCTAGATACACCCTTTGTTTAGTAAAGAAGGTTTGAACGCAGAAACAAGTATAAATACACCGCGAAATGCGCAAATGTCATTCATCTCTCATCACTATACAACTACAATGGCCAACGTCGAAAGAATCAAATACATTTTAAACGAACCCTTTACTGATTTCCTCCAGGTTTGTGTGCTTTTATCTATCTCTATGCTCATGCATGTATTCATCTTCTTGCGCATAGAATCTTTTGCATGAAAAATTCTACTCGAGCTCACCAGACAAGGTTGTCAAGCTTTTGGAAGTAGGCTGTGGGTAAGTGCTGGTCATCATTGCATCCCGGTAGTGCCCTGTATCTTATTCGTTCATGTAGTCCTGGTGATTTTGCATTGATTTTAAAGGAAACTTTGAAGGAAAAAATTGATATTACTGCTATTGATCCCTCTGACGATATTGAACAGGCTCTAAAGAAGTCCACTGGCTCTGATGTCCATTTCTTGAAGGAAGATATCTTTACATTCAAGCCTGGTCAGCAGTTTGATTTTGTCTTATTCAGCAAGTCTCTTCATCACTGCAATCCCGTTGATCAGGTAAAAGCCGAGTTTTATATCAAGTGCACACATTGAAATCTCACATCTTTTCCCTTTGATATAGGCGTTGAAAAACGCTCATGCTTTGCTCGCTGAGAACGGCGTTCTTATTGCTGAAGAGATTCAATTTGAAATCGTCAATAATGATGATGTTGCCTGGCTCTTGAATCGTATTGATCTCGTGCGTGCAGGCGGTCATTTTGTTTCCTTGGAGGAGAGATTGAAGACAGCTGGACCTTCTCAAAAGCCAATGCTCAATCGTATTCTTGATACTAGTCTTCCCATCGCTCAAAGATGGTTCAAGCCTCATACGCATGGTCCTAAGTCTGAACAAGGTCATGCCCACGGTGAAGAGCATCAGCATCACCACTCTCATGAGCATCATCACCACCATCATGACAAACTGGATGACGAAGAACAAAAGAAATTGGACAGAGAAGACCCTGACAAAATTGCTAGCTCTAATGCTATTCGTATTGCTATTGATGCTCAGTTCGGCAAGGACAACATTCAATTGAATTTCGTGCCCTTCTTTTATCAGTTCCTTGTTCATTTCGGGTAAGTTCATCATGTGTGTTTCTAGCAGAAATCCAAAGCTGACATCCTCTTGCATAGATTGAAATCAGATGAGGCTTGCCAGGCTATTCTTCGCGAGACTTTGAAGCAAGAGCAAATTGCTATCAAAGAGCACAAGTTGCATCCTTTCGGTTTGACTATCGTTGCTTTCAAAAAGAACTAGTTGAGTTAATAAAAACGAGAGTTTGAATCCCACATGTTGGGTTTCACTCCATACATTTAAGCTGATGGACTGCTGCGAATCTGTAATTTTACCCCTTGTCTTACAATATGTCCTTTAGCAAAAAGGCATTTCATACAGCATGTCGACAGTTGCATACAACAAGACTGCAGAGACCCATCAGCGTGGCTCCTATGGTTGATATTACGACACCTGTAACTATATCACTTGATTCTGTTCAATGTACACAGATCTAATGTTTGAGGATAGCAATTTCTTGAGCTATTACATATCATCAGTGGCCAAGATCGGTACGAGTACTACACTGAGATGCACCATAGTCATGCCATTATAAACCATGCCTCTCATTTGCATCGATTCGTTGGTAACCCAAGGCCCAATGTCACTGTTCAATTGGGCGGTTCGGATGTAGAAGCCATGGCTACAGCAACCAAACTATTGCAAGATCACGGCTACGCTCAAGTAAATATCAACAATGGATGCCCTAGTCCCAATGTCCAGCATGGTAAATTTGGAGCAGTGCTAATGAAAACCCCACAACTAGTAGCCGATATGCTGACAGAGATGGAGAAGCGCCATGTCACGATACCAGTAACTGTCAAATGTAGAACAGGCATTGATGATCAAGATGATTTTGGATTTTTACAACACTATGTGGATACACTATTGACAGGCACAACAAGACCTCCACCTCATCTGATTGTCCATGCCCGAAAATGCATCTTGAAGGGATTGTCACCAAAGCAGAATCGAAGTATCCCTCCACTCAACTATGAGCGAGTGTTTGATCTGAGCAAAGCATTCCCGGATCTACCAATCACTATCAATGGTGGATTCACCACTGTGGAGCAGATCAACATGATGGTGGAAAAAGTAGATGGTTGTATGATTGGAAGAAAAGGTGAGTATTTCAGTCAGCACACAGCACAATGAAGCAAAGCACTCATATAACATTTAGTCATGGACGACCCTATGTTTCTCCAAGAGATTGATAAATCCATCTACAACCAGCAACAAGTCAAAACCATTGAGCAGATCACTTCTGACTATTTAGGTAAGTTGGCAGTGGTGTACTTCTTCCTTTATCCATCATTCTCATTCCATCCCTTGTAGATTACGCTGACAGACTCTATTCCACTCGTCTGGATAAAGAAGACTATGGCTTACCCCCACTCACACTGATGGTTCGACCTCTGATGGCTTTGTACAAGGGCAAGAAGGGCCGTATATTCCGTCGAGAGATACAAAACACACTGAAATCCGATACGCCATCAAATCAATTCTCCACATTGGTGACAAATGCATTGAATAAAAGTGTTGTTTCCATGTAAAAACCCCCTCTTTTTTTTTTAATGTACAAGTGTGTGTAGGTGTGTATAATATAAATGTAAGTCAATCTAATGAGACAAGAACTTTCTTCCCTTCATACGACGTCTAACGATGACACGACGACCATTTTTGGTGGCTAAACGAGCTAAAAATCCATGTCTTCTCTTGCGAACAAGTTGAGAGGGTTGATAGGTGTTACCGTATGTGACGAAACGCATCTGTGTTGCTCCAAAGCTAGTGGTGTTGGTGATGGTAGATGGTGTGCGGAAGGCACCCAAGCTATACAGGATGTGTGAGTCAGAAGGGGTTTATTTGACATGTCATCCAGAAATTCTCGTTACCTGGCAGACAAAATGTTGCTTTGACCGAGCATCGATGGACGTGCGGCTACAGCATTGAATCTAGCAGAGGCTGTCGATAACAATTGTTGAAACAACATGGTTTTGATGGGTGTGTAATGAGAGAAAAGAGTATAGATTCCCCCTTGTCAAGAGCGTTCAAGGGGTGCTTGAAATTATTTTTCACATCCAATGGTCACTGAAATCAGTCAATTCAATTGGACCTCTCTGCACAGTGATTCAGTGCTAGATTTTGGCAGTTTGATTAGTGTATCCATATTATGAGAGTGAATATGATTGCACTGGTGGTACTTGGATCCGTCGCCATCTCATTCACAATCGCTGTATATCAAATCAACCACTGCTACCATATCAGCATTCGCAGTATATCCAATTCATCTACGTCCCTATATGTTTGTGTAGACGCACAGCTCTGTAACATACATACCTGACATGCGATGACACCCACCAATCCATTAAGAGCCAGATACACCTATGTGTACTGTCAGTGCAGACATACACAGTGGGGTTTTTAGTAGAGGCCATGGAAGCTACCTCACAATTGCAACATTTGTAGAATCAATTTTAGTGATACAGGATATTCGTTCTACAACCAAGCCTACAATATGCCAGAATCATAGCTTACAAGCATCGCACACATTGCCTCTATATCGCTACTGTACCAGCGTTTACTTATTAAATAGGGGGGGCTAGTCAACTCTCAAGGCAATTAACAGATGAAACACATTCGGAAAGAGAGTGTAACCATACCTCCCAAACCTCAATTGTGTAAATCACGAAAGAAGAGAGCAAGAAACGCCCAACAAACGCGAGATGAAGGACATTACATGATATAGGTAGAAAGTAATAATACATTTTTACGGTTGATTCTATTCAATTGATACAGAATACAACACATTTTATATCATGAGTTTCCAAGCTACTCTCCTTAACAAGTCTCAAATCTAAAGCAGCTCATTGGCTTGCGAAAGTGGGCTCAATAAACTTTCTTGTACAAAAGGTAAACAAAGCAGCATCAAGAGAAGAGATAGAGAGGATGAAAGGGTGAATGTGAAGCTAAGAAGAACTGGTGTGATTATATGTCATACATATCATTTGAAAGCGAATTCGTTTGGAGATTTCAATGGTGCCACTTTCATGATGCAAAGTAAACGGTAGCTCACGAAATGCTTATGCAAAGCCAAAAAACAAGGGTTTAGATAACCCTGTTTTCAAAGTGTTCAAGCAGAGGAATGGCACGTTTGATTTGATACAGAGAGAGCAGATCTGATGTTGGCCTACTGTTGTCTCCAGTTTCGAATGCAATGAAACGTAAGAACGGACTCACTGAAGAGTACATTTCGCTCAACAAGTGTTCAATTTTCCATATGTTTGATAATCCATAACAGCAATTTGAAGCAAAGATGTATAGAGTGCCAAAAACTCGTAAAGCCATTTTCAAAAGGATCTTGCAATGGCCAAAACTCGTATCATTTATCAATTGTTTTAAGATATTTAGGTATGATATGCTGCAACTAGTGCATTACACATGGTGAGGACAATGATTAAGCATTCAGCCATTTTATTCACGAATAGTACGCATTTATATGTTTTGTGTTTGATTCAAAAATTTTTTCATTTACATTGCAACTTTCAGAGATGGCCCGTGTGCCTCTTCAGGGTAGAACTAGATGGTACACGATCGCCCACTACTAGAGCACCCGCTACTGCTGTCCCTACGGCTTCCTGATGGGAGCTGCACGCACCTCTCTCAGTATCGCTTCACAGAGAAGGAGCTACTACGACCATTCCACTTTCAGAACAGAGAGCCTGAGGAAAAGAAGAAGAAAAGAAATTTAAAGAATGGGCAAAATGGTGGCCTATTTATACTCTTTTTGGCGGCTTGTACAGGGCGTCACAGAGTAATGCAGTCTCCAAGCTTAACTTAGTGGCTTGTTTTGTAGTTGTAGAGCGTTGTCGATACCATTATACATGATTAGAATGCAAAAAGTCAATGTAAAGCAACAGGTAGATGCTATTTGCCTCCATCGGATCAATCGCTTGTACCTGGTACAAAGTCTATATCCGCTCCAAATATTTCAAAGCCAAAACATTGATGCAACACCAACTGGTTGTGTTTCAATGTACACACTCGCCACATTACCGTCATTGCGGTTTCCGTGCCTGTAACTAAATTAATTTTTAAGACGTTTATGGTTAGCCACCACGCAATCTCGAGTGATTTGGACACACTCAGCCATAATCTACTCATTTAGAGATGCTTTGGTTTCGTCAAAACTATGTTGCCTCCTAATTCTGGAGAATTCTCGTTGTGATTTCCTCAGATGAAGAGTGTTTCTACTCTTTAGATTGGCTCTCTACCCTCGCTTTGCTTTGATGAGAGTCAGCTTACGCATCGACGGCTCGTTACGCTAACCGCCTAGATTTATCTCATAAAAATACTGTGAAATTTATTAAATCTTCTCTGAATGAGAACCGATTAATTGACAAATATCACATGGGAAGCCCCCCATAACTGTAGATCTGGCTTTTTTTGAGTGCTCCATAGTTGTATTAATCCAGCCAATTCATATACGTCTAGCCAGTACACCTGGATGGCTTCCTATTGCTCAAAAGTATGCAAAACACAGCGAAATTTGGGCGCATTTGAGCAGGGATTTCTCGTGTTACAAGTCGTTTTAGACCCCCCCCCCAGAATAGCATCAAACAATTGCTCTCGTCTAGCTCTTAATTTCTGGCACCTTTGCTCAATTTTTTTTTGGGATCGCCAAAATTCCATCAAAATCCATAAGGGACACCTCATAGTTTTCATCAAAAATCAAACGATCGCGCTTTTCACCTCAAAAATGAAGACTTTTCCTATAGCATATATTACATCAAAATGTTTCTCTGGATCCAGTGCAACCTCAGGAACTTTATTTGTGAAACATTCATATGTAAAATCTCGACAATTTCGCCAAAACCTCATTTCATATTTTTATAAATTGCTCCATGAGCTATATCAAAACACCTCTTGTAAATAATACCATTAGGTGCGCCTTGAAAAGCACTTCAAGGATGCTTAAGAGGGTAATGGAGAATTTGTACAACTTACATAATCGAATCCGGCAAAATAGGTCGAAAGTTGTCGAAAAAGTCTAAAAATCAACAAATCAGGACAGCACGCCGGGTGGCAATTGAATCAATTTTGGCAGCTGGTGGACGTTTTTGAAGAGAAATATGGAGGGAAATGCGAATTGGAGGGTATTGTAGCTCTTGTAGCCACAACAAAACTATTTCAGCACATAATCTTGTAGCATCTGAATTAAAAGTGTCCAGCAATCATAAGTTTATTATATTATGATGATCATTTGGTAGCATAGATGAGCCTGAAACGAGTAGAAATTTCATATTGATCAACCTCCTTGAAAACTTCTTCCATATTAGCATCGTAAACCTCCGAAGTAACTGGAGTCAGTTGATTGATCATGACTTTAACAGCAGGCAGAGCCAAGCGTTGTATAGCCAAAAACAACTCTCCAGGATAGGCACCCCAAGCACCAATAGGGACATCATAGTTGATATCCTTGATGTCGCGGTATCCAGCATCAGCGAGAAAAGTAGAGATCTTGTCAGCGACATACGAGTCCATGTTGCGAGCCACCAAAGCCTCATTGACTGATGAACAAAGGGTAAGATGTGTGTGTGTGTGCGTCAATATGTGTGGACTATTGACTTACTCCAGAGATTGATGTTTTTGAATGCAGGACCCGCATTCTTGTATTCGTTAACAAGCTCAAGAATCTCGATAGCTCCTCCTGGCTTGAGAATTCGCTTCATTTCTTTGACAGAACGAATGTACTGATCCGTTGGAAATCCCATTACCAAAAAGCGCTGAAATACAAAATCAAACGATGCATCTTCAAAGTAGTCAAGCCCAGTTCCGGCGTTCAACAATTGAAACTTGACATTAGGAGGAACATCTTCAGTGACAAAGACGTCAGCCATATCAATACCAATGAACTCAGAATTGGGATACAAGCGAGCCATGTCCAGTGTCCACCAACCAGGTCCACAGCCAATATCAAGCACCCGGATACCTTGAGTCAACTTGTCATGAAGAGGGGATTTGAACAATCTAATAGTTCAGTTGATGATGAGTAAATATTGCTCATTGCGTCCACAGTCATTGGCTTACCCTCCAAGCACACATCTATAATAGACACATAGTTAGTATTGTGGGTGCTTGCCAGATCAAAAATGCATAGATGGACTTACTTCCAGAGCGTGTGATTCAATTCCAATCTGTCAGCCTCCTTTTGATCACTGGGCAAAATATAGGCAACATCTTCATTGACAGACAAACGGCGACCATCCTTCCATTCAAAAGCGACCTGATAGTTGGAGTGCGTGATTTGATTACTGTTGGAGGAAATCATTGGAATTATATGATGTTGTGATGGAGATGGAGGCAATTTACAAAAGAGAGAGTCTTTTATATATCTTGCAAGCACTTGTTTGTTATTGGCTCAAACCGTGAATACAACACTCCTGTCCAGATATCTGTCATTTTCAGGAGAGCTGCTTTTGCCCTTGCATGCATCTCGAATTCGCACGGATTTAGCTCAAAATGGCGAATGAAGTTACTGGCCCAAAAGGGAGCTTTGATAGATTACGCCGCAGTAGGTGATACATGATTCGCTTTGTGGCTGTTTTTTTTTTCTTTCTTGCATTGAGATGAAAGGCTCATCAAGAGTGATAGAATGACAACTCTTTTCCACTTTATTATCATCAAACTGACACCATTCTTACCATGACAAATTCTTCATCATGGACACAACTCCCACATGAAATACAGAAAAAGATATTCATCTACCTGCATGATAGAGACTTGATACAGTTGCAAAAAACATGTAGACCTTGGAGATTGGCTGCAATAGAGCTTTACTACAACCACTTATCAGTCATTTTGGATTGCAGAAAAAAGCGCCAAAACCAGTTGATTAAAGCACTTGGATACCCTACTAACCCAGCTAGATTCTTTGTAAGAAAACTGGTGGTGGATGAGCAATGGCTCCATGAAAGGTCGTCAAGAGATTACACTATATTGTCAACACTCGGTTCCCTTTGTCCCAACCTAATAACGATCGAGAGCAATAAGCCAACAAGAGAGTTTTACAAACAGCTATTAGACTTACGCCGAGCTGGTCATCTTTTAAAAGTCGAACACATCAGCGAGCCAAAGCACTCTCACACAGGCAACTACTATAATACGATGATGGCTTTCAAGGACACCTTAGTTGACATCCTGGTGAATAGAGATCAAAGCATCGATCTGCCGCAAACTGGTCCCATCAAGGACGCTTTCAAGATTGCTGCTCACTTGGGCGAGTTTAAATGCCTAAAAAGGCTACATATCGATTTTGCAAAGGATGTCGCTTTGCACAAAGTTGATGAGTTGCTTGCATTATGCCCCAGCGCCAGCACACTTGAAGATGTCAAAATAACAATGGCCATCAAGACAGAAGAAGAGACATTTGATGATGATTACGTGGATGTGCATGGCATCCGCAGACTGCCCAGCGTCAACAAGTTAACATTGATCAATAGGGAACATCTTTCCAATCAAGATATGGTTTACATTATGCACAAGTTTCCAGGACTGACGCATTTGCACTCTACTACAGAGGGTCATTATTTGGAAGAGCCAGAGGTCGGGTGTTATACCTCAGAGGTTGTCCAGCAATTTTCTCGCTATATATCAAATCTCGATCGGTGTCATATCAGTCTGTTCAAGGCAGCCCCTGCGCTCATACTCGATGCCATCAGACAACTGTCAAAAGGCTTCAAAGTAGACGATCTATTAGTTTATGCAAGTGACGAAACTGATGATGAAAAATGCGCCTACCTGAACATTTTGGAGCCTACTCAAATGCAACATATGTCACACACGGTCTATCTCATTTTGCCCACATTGCACATTGATCCACTAAACCAAACTGCACTAGAGGCTTTCGCGCCGCAAGTAAAAAAGCTTCAACTCTATGGTACATTGAACCCGAAGAGGACACGCACCAATGCCACGCCATTCTCAAATGTGCAGATGACCACCAACAAAATTTTATCAGAATCAGCAGAGTACATTTTAAGCAACTTTTCTCGTCTCAGAAAATTGTGCCTCTACAATCTGATTATCAGCACTAAATCATTCACTGGAACAATACCTGCCGCGAGACTACAGCTTGAAGATGTATACATCTATCAATGCGCCCTGAATTCAAAAACATTACGCCAATTTTCTCGGTATTTGGACTTTGTCAAGCGATTCCGTTTGGAAGACGTATCCTTTTGGATCAGAGATGACTTGAGTATAGTAGATAATCAGAAAAATTACGAGATAGACATGCCATATACTGCATTTGGCACCATTTTTATGCCAGGAGACAATCGAGCGGATTCCATTCTTGTCAAGATTTGTACGGATACAACCACCAACCATTTCCTCCATGGCAGCCATCATGATGACAGCTATGAATTGACCGAACAGGGCTACAATGAGATCGAGTCTTTGGATAGCAATGCTCAGAGCATCCATGTCAAGTGTCGCCGTTTTACAGCGATTGATTTTGGCTGTTGCAAGTTCCCTATCAGTGAATGATCTATTGTGTGGAGAGTGCCGCATGTACAGCACACATTGACATCAAATAAACCTCCTGTTTTTCAGCCCAATCTTGACCTATCACAGGTGGATTCCCATCTTTTATTACCTCCTGAAAAAAAACAGTGACAGCAAAATTTACGATAATTTCATTCAATACACTCCTCTCTTTGATTCACTTACGTTTCCCCCCCCCCTCCCTCCCTTTCTTAACCGTTGTTGCTTGTTGTCTTTCTTGATTCTTTTTCAGATATGAACTTTCCATTCACTATCATCAAAAGGGCCTCAGGCATCGTTTATACATGGGAGAAGAATGATTGGTCTAGAAGACACGGCTACCAAATGCCAATCGATTTGTATCTGGTGATGCAATGGATGTGTCTGCTGCTGCTTGATTCAGGATTCTTTTGCTTCCTCATTTATTTCACTACGGCCAGATCAGCATCTACGGCCAGCCATGAAACAACACTGGAAGCGCTACTAAACGAGTTGCCGCCAACAAATGACAATCCGTACACAACTTGGAGTTGTAAAATATCCTTTTTGAGCCGAGTCGTTTAATTCTTGTTTAGCATATGCCACAAAGCCACTGTTTATCCTTAACTCTTTGCTTATACATCATGATAGGCCTCACTACCTTGGTCAAGATCCTCAGTATATCCACCTCGATGGTTGAGACCGAAGATCCAGATGTAACCAAACAGCGCCATCAAGTCAGTCGAAGTCAAACGTATGTAAGGCGGTATGGAATTCCTGTTATAGACAGCTTTACAGGCATCTGCAACATTTGTCGGATCAAAGTGTGAGTTTCTCTCTCTCTCTCTCTCTCTATCTTTATTTTGCCATGTCAACAAAAAATCACTCATCATTTGTTGGAGAGCAGATCAAAGCAAACTCGACACTGCAAACTATGCAACAAATGTGTCGGGCGGATGGATCATCATTGCAAATGGCTGAATTGCTGCATTGGACAGAGCAATTACAGGTAGATTTTAAAGGGTGGATTAGGTGAGCATGCCAACTCATGTATGGGCGTGTAGGTTGTTTCTGGTGCTGGTGATCACGGCATTCACAGCGCTATTTTGGTACACGTATATCGCCCTGTGGATTACTTGGTCATGCTTTTACGACAAGAACTCGTTCATGGTGAATGGTAAGTCATTTGTGATGAGCGGATTGATTTGATAAGCAGCTCAATGGGCCTACTAGCTTTGGGATTCTTTGACGTGGATCTAAAGCAGTATGAGGAAATCAACTTGGATCACATCTATTACATGAGTGCGGCAATAACGGTATTTATTACTCTCATTGCTCTGATATCATTTGTATCCATCACAAGATTGCTGATATTTCACATCAAACTCGGTAAATACCATGCCCATTGTCAGCTCCAAAGAAAGAAAGAAAAGACTCACTTTATCTATCAAATATCCCTCAAAAAAAAAAAAAACCTCCCCTTAAATTGCGATACACAGCTAAAATGGGCATTACGACGATTGAATACCTTAATTTACCAGCCTACAGAAACAGCCATCTTGACTCTGAATCTGACTCGGATGACGATGAATACGACGATGCCGACTACGACTCGGATTACTACTACTCAGAGGCGCATGCATGGAAGGAATCAGCGCCCAAGCCGCACCACCAATGGGCTATCTATCGTCTTTATCGCATGGTTGCACACAAGGTACGACGTGCCTGGGTTGTGACATTAAGGGCCGTCATTCCCAATTACCGCTATCGTCGTTTAAACAAGTCAAAGCATCGTCGTACCTGCGTTAACTGTTGTTTGATCTCTTGCTCGGCATCGAAAAAGCCTCATCTGCTGCCAACAACTAGTCATTTGTCATTGAAAAAGCAATCAAGGTTCAAGAAAAAAACGCATGATAACGTCAACATGGACGAGTTTTTTGCCACAAAGACGATCAGACCCATTATCACGTTGAGCGAAGAGGAGGGTGAGCCTGATTACAGTGATGATATGGGCCTTGATTTAGCCATTTTGGACGAGGAGCACGCAGTGAAGCCCAAGGCTCGTACAAGCAGCAATAAGCTTTCACGACTACTGGACATGTCGGAGGAGGATACGTTGATGCGTATACAACAAGAGCAACAGCAGCTACAAACAAACCGAGTATTGGATATACCCAAAGAGGAGGAGGAGGAGGAACACGCACTCAGCGAACTGTAAAGGCACTCTATTATACCCTATAAACTATATATGAGGATTTCTCACATGCATCGTGTACAACAAATATAATGGATTTTAATAATAACAACTGATAAACATGTTGATACATTTGTGTGTGCAAGTTTTGATTGAGGTGCATATATATATATACAAAATAAATAGCTCACTGGTAGCAAAAAAAAAAAAAAAAAAAGTATATAATGCAGAAGCATCTAGTCAACTTTGCTGTTTCCATCGTCTTTCTTCCTCCTTCTCTCCCCCCCTCTCTCTCTTTCTGTTTCTGTTTATATACACATACACATAATATCTAATACCGCTTTCCATTGACATAAACAAAATGCCCTCAGATCAATGTTGCAGACTGTCCATGACATTGGGCCAAGACTCGTTTGCATTAAACTCACAAAAGTCAACGACTCAAGTCTTTGGCACAATATACCTTACTTCCGAATCAACACGTTTCAAAGCTCCATCGTGGACACAAATACGGCTAGTAGGCAAAGAAAGAGTTGCAAGTACTAGTAAGACGTTCCTTGACGACACCTACCACTTGTCGAATCAGCCAAGCGATTGGGTCTCTGTAACAAGCAAAGAGTGGCGTTTGCCGTTTATTCTAACATGTATTCCAAACAGTATACCCAATTCGTTTCACATGGAAACCAGCACCGCATCTGCCTACATTTACTACACCCTGATTGTCACCATATCCGCTTGCATAGATCAAAAATTACTGCAGCCTATCCATTTTCATCGAACGTGCTATCCAGATGCTGCTCAACCGTCGATGGCACTGCCAAAAAGAACATTTTGGGGAATTACAAACCAGTCCAAACAACAACGATGGCAATACGAACTAGAGTTTCCAAACACACTACATGTCGAGACTGCATGTGAAAGCATATCCATACGGCTCAAGTCCTTGTTTCCGTCGCAAAAGAGCGATTGCTGTCTTGTGGGCTATCAGATCATCCAGCTGGTGCATTTGGTGGGCCAAGAAGAAAAAGAAGAGTTGTAAGTGGGCAATGAAACCATCTCTATAAAACGAAGCGTCACCTAATCTCAATGTGTAGTAGAAGCCAGCATCAAGTGTTAGCCACTGGTACTTGTTTGCTGACACTGCCCAACAAAACCTGGTCTCAGCCTTGCCAACTCACGCCTGCTTTGGACTCTACCACCGTGCTACCAACCATGACGGAGAGCCAACGAATAGCAGTGGAGCATTACATAAGATTCACGTTTGCATTCTGCAATTTGCAAGAGGAGCATCAAGAGAGTTTGGAGTTTCCAGTCAACATGACGGGATGTACCGCTTCAATGATATCGAGCCACATGGACCACATACACATGTTGGAAACAAACAGCACCTCTTGCAATGCTAGTGTAGATGACGAGATAGATAGTGCCATTGATGTATCATCTTTCAAGTCATCCTGCTCTGGTAACAATTACCTCATATATCGATTCCAGGAATTTGTTTCAAATTAAATAAACCCTGATCTAATAACAAACTTATCCGATGTTTGCGCGGTACAAACTAGGAACTATGCCAGATATAATACGTGCAGAGCCTATTGACACTATCTGCACCTTGTGTTTGAGATGCCTTTCTAGAGAGCTCTTGTGGAGGCAAATTCGCATTTTATGAAGCTGATCACTACAACTGGGTCAAATCTCGAAATGGAGGCACATTCACTTTGGTGACCATGGAACATACGTATAAGAGAAAACAAAAGTAGGTTGTATATTTATTAAACATACAGAGTGTATAAGGGTTGTAATGTAATGTTTATATGCGTGTGAGTGAAAGGTGTATGATTAAATTAATTGTATTCAATAATCTTGTATGGATTACCCGTCTTTTCCAAAAGCGCAGACCAGTAAGGCTCTAATTCGTATGAAAAGTTGTAACGACCACCAAAATCACACTCTAATTGATCAGGGTCAATGTAATCTTCCATATGCACCCACTCGTTGCTTGTGTTTTTGTTCTCCTTTTCCTCCTTTCCGTCATAAACAAATTTGATTTTGTTCTTGGTCACAGGATCCATGAATGGTGAAATGATTTTGAATGTAGCAAAAAAGAACCAGGGTGCTACAAGACACATTAGGTACAGAAACCATACAAGAAGCAAGCTTCGACTTACATTTGACAACAAACGCAATGCCCAATCTTTCGGGGTAGTGATTACCCAAAATGTCCAAAAACTTTTTACATGTTGAAACGCTGGGATTGTGAGACGCCGATGAATCTTTGAAATCGACAATGATGGCCAAATTCTCGACCAAATGAGGCATTAAACGGATACCACGCTCTAGACTATATACAATGTGCTTGATTTGACGCTCTCCATCCTTGGAGTTTTGCAATCTTGGTCTCATAATCCAGACTGGACGGCCACATTTATCGAACCCGTTAAAGTACATTTTACCTGTTTCGGCCTAAACAATAGGAAACGAGGTGTTTAGAAAAATCTTTTCCCGGAATAGAGTAACAAAGCCCATGGAAACCATATGACATTTGAGAAACCCATTCACTTATCGCATGTCTCTCTCTTTTTTTTTTTTTTTTTGTTTTTGTTTTTGTTGATAATTACCTCTGGTTTAATGTATTCAGGATCGAGTTCATCAGGACGGTAATCACGTCTCCACAGAACAGAATTCTCCAACATGGTCTTTGCATGCTATCATGAAATTTAAAGTTTAGAATGAACTGAAGTTTAAAATCGTATTACTACTATTGCCACTTACCTCATAGTCCCATTTTCTAGCACGCATATATCTTTTGACGGTACTTTCTGTGACAAAGCCTCTTTCACTAGGATAGTACTTGTCTGTTTCAGGGAGCATAATTGACTCAATGTACTGCAGGAGCTTGGCTACCTTGGCTTTTTGTTCGTCATCGAGAGGTGGATGAGTTGCAGGATTGTAATGAGCAGGAGGTGTCAATTTGGGTTCATGTGAGACAGGACCGAATTCCTCGGAGGAGGAGACTGAAGGAGACTTTGAACTGGCATTGGAGTTGGATTTGAGTCTATTGAAGACATTCATTTTGTGATTGTGTGGATAGGAAGAGGGGAAGAGGGAAAAAGAGATGATGAAAATTTAGCAATCGTATTTATATAAGGCTGCTAGACGATCGCCCTCCAAAATTTCAGTTTGTAAAACAATGGAGCGCCTTGCAAAGTTCGGTCTTTCTGTTGTTGCAAGAAAGCATCCGGATGTATTAGATTATCCGACCTCTGTTCGTCCCTTTTGCTTCCGTATAATTTATTTACACTAAACTAGTTTTAAATATCTGCTCATTCATTTTTGTTCTGATTCAATGATCTGGCCAATTTCGATACCAAATCATCCATTGTTTGCAACAGCAATTCAAATTTGCACATTTTGGTTTTTGTTTAATTTAGAATTGCTATGAAACAGATGTATCGCACAAAGATTGACTGATAATGAAAATCTTGTGTACCTTTTTTTTTTTTTTTTTTTTTTTTTTTTTTTTTTTTTTTTCCAAGCGCTCGTTGCAAGCATTTCTTGTATTGACACAAGAAATGAAGAGGAATTGTTTATTTTAACTGTAATTGATCAGTCCTTTGAAGCGTTTGCCTTGTAGAATGGTTTAAGCGCAAATCTCTTTTGATTCGTACTTGTCGCAATGGAACATGCCGATATTTATATGAGTAATAAAAAGCCAGAAAGGCATAAATCATGTCACCTTTCATTTCATTGGGTCCATGATGATTATATACTAATAGAAAGCAATTGAGGCGTTTGATCCTACATTTCCGTCCATCACATGCTTCTTATTTGACTAGTATATCAATGTGATGTAATTCGTCTATCATTTCTATACGATTAAAGGAAATACGGCAAGCCTTATTAATGATACTATCTACGGCCATCACTCGCCGAACATTTGTTGTATTCTTACGGAGCTCAATTTAAACTATGCCTTGAAACCCTGTATTGTGCATTTCATTACTCCTCAGGGCTTTTATACCATTGCTTAGGTACATGCTCAATTGTAAATGTGCGTACGTATTTACAGTAGCGAGGGGCACATGAGCAGTAATACTATACTAAAAGACAGCGATACCGCCTCAATCTTCTTGAACCGCAGCAAAAAAAAAAAAAAAAAGTGTTTGTCATCATTTAGATGTACATATCAAGAACAAACAGTCGTCGATCTTTTTGATGTGTTACTCTATCCTCCGCTTTCTGGCCTTGAAGCACCATGTCAATTGTGTATATCAGTTGCATACAGAAAATCCCTTCAATGCTCATTCAAGTCTACTGTGGTAAATTCATAATTCCCCTTTAATCAGTATTCTGGTCAACAATTCCATCATCATTAGCATCATCAGAAAAGCATTTAGGCCAGCCAGCAGCAATGCCGCCACCAAAATCGATTCAAACTCAGTTTATTCTTTTCTGTTCAACATTGGACAGATTTCGTCTTTTTTCGACTTCTTTAATCTTTTTTGTGGGATTCGACTATATGAACTGTGGTTATCATCCGATGCTTCCTAATACATTCTTGGAATACTTTTCAAGGCGCTTCCAATGGTGCCAAATAAAATGGGTGTTTTGACTGAGCGTATTGAGCAGCTTTAGAAAATATGAAATGAGGTTTCTGGCCAAAATGTCAAGATTTTGCATATGGAGGTTGCACAAACAAAGTTCCAGGGGTTGCTTTGGTTCAATAACATCATTTTGATTTAGTATATACCATAGGAATAGTCTTCATTTTTAAGATAAAAAACGCGATCATTTGATTTTTGATGAAAGCCATGAGGGGTACCTCATGCTTTTTGGTCGATTTTTGGCCATGTTTTTTTGGTCCCCAAAAACTTAAGCAATAGTGGCAAGAAGTAACTGCCAGATGAGAGCAATTGTTTAGTGCTATTCTGGCCATCTAAAACCACCTTGAACGCAAGAAAACGCAGCTCAAATGCACTCATATTTTGCTGTATTAGGGACACTAAGGACCAAAAAGGGGTGATACCAGCACGCTGCTTGCCGTATATGAAGTAGCTACGTGTATATGGATGCAGAGCATCACATAGGAATCGGATCCATAGATAATATGAAGGGTTTTTATGTGTAAGTGGAGGGTCAAAATGAAAGCAGCAGTAATTTGATAAGAGATGCAAGGGCAAGCGGTAGCGCGAGCTGCCGCTGCGCTGATTGCTTCTCACCGAATTGAAGCGAAGGTAGAGAGCCATCCGAGGAATAAACACTCGTATGTTGTATTAGAGATTTAAGATATGCAGAGAGCCTACTTATAACCGCACCAGGTTTCCAAGGTAAAAATTATTTAGATGATAGATGGTATAGATTGGTAATTTTGGGATAATAATTGAATCTAAGGATAGGGGCAGATATGGATTCTTGGTAAGGTTGATTTCTGGGCAATTTTATTAAGTGATTTGGATTGCTTGAATTATTACTTGTAGAGCTTCTGAACCAGGAGAGACCAATCTACGCTGATGTAACGGCTAACCTAAACGATTAAAGCGGACGTTTGGGTCCTGCTCAGTATATCTCACGGTAATATGATACAGAATTTTCTCTGCTCCATTCAGCTAGTGGCTTCTTCCTGAAAATAATACAAATACTTGTCATTTTTATAGGATTGGAAGCGTATAGCACTGATGATTACGTGTTTTCAGAAATCAATTGACAGACAGGAAGGGATTCAATGAAGATTTGATAATAATAGTTGAGCCAGATAGACAGATGAGGTGAAGAGGTAGAATGGAGTAGATTGTGAAATTGATCGAAGCGTTTCCAACAATTGGAAACACGTAGCAATCTTGAAATCATTTGTTTTCTTCAGCTATTGCACTGATAAGCACTGACTAAAACTGGGACACGGCATCATTAGACATTAATGATGCAAATCGACAGACGTCTACTTTAATTGAAGGGGATGCTTGCCAACCTGAAGTTCATAACACTCTAAAGCAAGCATACACACCCCCGTTTTTTTTTTTTTTTTTTTGGCTTGTAAACTGTAAATTGGCTAATAAGGCATTATTTTATTCTCAAACAAAATTTACATGAACGGATTAACAGGATAAATGTTGATAATGGGTGGGGAGCGTTCGACATTGACTTGGATTCTAACAGTCAACTTTGAGAAGGATTCAAATCTTTGCATCTTGGTAGTTTCATCGATCAAGTTATCGCTCAGCAATTCTTTGGGAATTTCGTAAGCAAGCTTTGAGGCAACTGAATAATCGTTGTCCTCGTCTTCTTCATCACTGACCGTGCCGTAAGAGAGTTGAGTACCAGAGGGCTCCACATAGTTATCGTCCAGTTTTCTGTTGTGATCCCATTCTCTGTTGGATTCAACGCCCTCTTTCCAATAAGCAGCCAAAGCTGTTTTATTGGGATCATAGACAAACTTTTCAATGGGCAGAGCATCCATGTGAATACGCTTTTCAAGACCATACTCAGGGACCAAAATTTCGAAGCAATCCTTCAATACTTGCGTAACAATGGCAGCACAGATTACAGGCATCTTGCGTTGGGTTTCCAACATATGGAGGTAATGGGCCAGATACAGCTGGATGTTCATATCTTGAGAGTTCTTGGCACCTTCCTTGCGTTCATTGCAATGAGTTGCAGCAGAAGTAACTGATTTCTTTTGGTAGCCACAGGACTCCTTGTTATTGATGGCGGCTTCCAGTTGGCGATGGACAATGATATCAGCAAAACGACGAATGGGAGATGTAAAGTGAGTGTACAAAGGCACATTCAATGCATAATGTCTGTACTTGACCATGTCGCAAGTACCAGTACAAAAGTATTTGGCTCGTTGCATGGGCTTCACAGCTAATAAGCGCAAAACAGCTTTGGCATCCTCGCTTTCGATTGCACTAAAAGACTTTTGCATGGAACCAGCGGTAGAAGCATCGAAAGAGTATCCTAAATTCTCGGCAATCTTGATGAATTCGTTCTAAAGCAGCTGTTAGTAACCATGTGCTGCAATGATACACTTGACAAACTTACCAGAGTTCTTTCATGAGGAGGCGAGTGTTGACGGAGGAGGGCTTCATTGGGATAGTGTTTGGCGATTTTCTCTGCAACACTCATATTAGCACGGAGCATAAACTCTTCAATCAAACGGTTGGCATCCTTTTGCTCGTAGATAGAGACACCACAGGGCTCACCAAGGTCGTTCAGCTTGAATGAAAGACGAATAGAGTTGATCGAAAGGGCACCATTGGAGAAACGACGTTCGCGCATTTGCTTTGAGATGGCGTAGAGATACTTGATGTCTTGTTCGACTTCTGATACACTGAATATTTTGACAGAGGCGGTCTTGGGTAAGCCATGGTCCTCAATGACGCTTTGAGCATCTTCATAAGCCAGCTTGGCACAAGATCTAAACAAACCATTCAGTATTCAGCTAAAACACAATGTTTTCACCCAACTTACTTGATGACAGATTTACCAAACCATGTGTCCTTGATATTACCAGCACCATCCATCTTCCAGATAACAGAGAAAGCAAGTCGTTCAACGCCTGGGTTCAGACTGCACAATTGCTCGCATAGCAAGGCAGGCAACATGGGAATGACACGATCGCACAAGTAAGTACTAGTTCCTCTATCAAAAGCTTCGTGATCCAAAGCAGTATGTTGATGAACGAAATGAGATACATCCGCAATGTGAACGCCAATCTCAAACTCATTCTCTGCGAGTTTAGTAACGTGAACGGCGTCATCGAGATCTTTGGCAGTTGCGGGATCAATAGTGAAAATACGAGTACCTCGAAGATCACGGCGTTTGTCGATTTCAGACTGAGAGATAGACCAAGGCGTTTCAGGCAATCCCTTGAGGGCCTTTTGGCCGAATGGCTGCTCCACAATGCCATTGTCCTGCAGCACTGCTTGAGTTTCAGCAACGATATTACCGATATGGCCAAGTTCACGCAAAACAGTGCCAAAAGGGTTCATGGAATCAATGGGCCAACGTGTGATTCTAGCAACCATGAGCAGGTTCTTGTACTTTTCTTCATTCTTGAGAATATCAGCAGGTGCATGCTTGAGTTGGATAGCAATCAAGGGTTTGCGAGTATCTGTGGGCTTGAACCACACGAGGCGAATATGCTTGTTGTTGTCGGGTGTATTTGCAGTTTCGCTGCTATCTTCATCGTCATTCTCCGCAGGTGTGCTGGTGTCCCCTTCGTTCTCCTGGATTGGCATTTTGACAGGCGCAGGTGCGTTTCGATGGATTGAGAGAATACCAGAGCAGACTTGATTCTTGTTTGTAGCTGCGATGGCAACCACCTTACCAACATACTTGGGTTTACCTTTATCATCTTGTCCTTCGTCTTGAGGTGGTCTTTCAACCGCTGTGCTGTGTCTCTGCTCACGCTTCTGAGCCATGGATTCCTTCTTCTTTGCCCAAACAGACTCGAGATCCAATAATTCCACAATAACCGTATCCCCGTCCAACGCACGATTGCGGTCATGCTGCCCATTGATAAAGATGTCTGAATCCAAGGTGTCGCAAGTGACATAGGCATCACTACGACTACGCTTGCTGATACGCAAAACACCCTTATACAAAAGCCCCTTCCCCACCTTTTCATGCCATATCTTGGGATCCAGGTAACGGTCAAATCGGACTCGGCTTGTCTTTGCATTGTGGATAATATCGTTTGGGTGGCAATAGTCCTCTTGGCTGTTGTTCTTCATCCCCTTTTTGATTTCCTTCATTTCTTGTTTCCTCTCGTCTTGAGTCACTTGGTTTGTCTTTTTGGCGGAAATGACAGTTGTCTTTCTCTTTTCTTCTTTGACGAAAACGACGGGCTTGACAGGTGTCCCCAATGTGGTGATTGATTTCTGTTTTTTACCATCGCTTGGCTTGGTCTTTTCGACGGGCTTTTTGGTTTCCAAAACGGCAACAGAGGAAGGGGTTTCTTCAACGTTGGTAATACTAGCTGGTTTTTTGCTAACCTTTGTCTTGGCCTCTTTGGTCTTGGCAATGGCGGTTTTCTCATTGTTGGCGGTTTTAGCAGCCTTCTTCTTTTTGCCGAGCTTTTCGGTGGTCAAGAAAGCAGGAGGAGGGATCTCTGCATGACGATCTGATTCATAAATTTCTGTTAGTCATCGCAACAGGCCATTTGGAGCATTTTCTTACTTTTTGCACTAGGGGATGAATTGTTTGAGTTTCTTGAAGCATCTCCAGTTGCTGAAGTCGAATAGGAAAACTTGGGTGATGCTTTCTCATGATGATGCTTGATCTTGTTTGTGAGAGGGGCAAAGTAGATGGGACCACGTTTTTCATCCAGAATGAATGGATCGCGAAGGGCATCATGCAAGCTCTGATAGTCAATCGAATATTCCCCTTGCTCCAATACTTGGTTGGCGACCTCCGAGAGCGGCTCTCTAGTAGTAGATGCCTTCTTCTTCTTTCCATTCGCTTTCTTGCTACTCTTGATGCCGGTTTCACTGTGCTTTGAATCCGCAGTATCAGCACTCTTGGATGTGGGAATCGAGTTTGGTCCATCCTCACAAGGAACCACATTCTCCTTGTCATCTTCATGATTGACCTTCTTCTTGGGCTTTCTAGCCTTCTTCTTTTTGGGCTTTTCCTTCAACGCCTCAGTCTCTGTTTGCTGAACATTCTCCTTGCTCTCATTCTCAGTTGTAGCTGGTTTGGCCTTCTTCTTGGGGCCATTACGACGCGTCTTGGGCGCACTGTCGCTCTTGCTCAACGTACTGTCAGCTTGAGCCTCTTGATGCGCATTCAGATTCTTCTCAACGGCCTTATATAAGATATGGTCTTGGTCAGTGTGTCGATTTTCATAGTGAAACACCAACATACAACTTACATTGACAGGCTCATTGATATGACTGTTGCTTTCTCCTTCTTTCATACAGCTTGATGTTGGAAATTGGAGTGATTAAAAAGTGAGTAATTTGAATATATAAACAATTAAAGAAAGATGTATAGATGACTGTTGTCATGCTCTTTTTAAATGATGGGCAACCAGCTGCCAAGACTGCTTTATACGTTGCTACGGCAACAACGTTTGGAAGCATGAAATTAGGTTGGATCGAATGAAAGCCAGTCCGTCTACGCAGCAAAGATTGAGAACAAGTTACACGCCATCTACTGATCCGTAGCCTTAGTGTAAAGATAAAAAGAAAGAGATATGCTAGCAAAGTTAAAAACAGCTGGATCTATACTTGATTGATTCCAATGAATCCATGTTGTTGCTTGCAATAGCAATTACAATAACAATATGATGCCAGCAACATGGCCTTAAGCAATTGATATAGTAGATCTTGTTAAATCAGCTTGCGCTGATAAATAGTTTCATTTTATGAATTTCGAGGGCAGCATGTGGTAGAAGGGTCAAATACAGCGATCTGAAAGCGATTTAAGAACGATATTAGAGCGATCTGGAAGCGATCTGCTTACTGGATGGTGGTTTGTTTAAAGGCTTCTTTTTGTACATCCAAGGGTAAATGAGTTTTTAGTTGCCCTTAACAGTCTTTAAAAATCATGGATCGTCTTCCGCTTGAAATATTTTATCAAATAACAGCTCAAATGAGACGTAACGAAGAGCAAAATCTGTCGCTCTTGTGGACATAGATACCTAATTATCTCTGTCCGAAATGCCTAACCTTCAACGTCTAACTATCAAGAGTGTGTCTGGTCAAGCTAAAATTGACCTAGATCACATTATGAATGAAGTGAAGCAACTGGCATCGCTGGTTGTAGCAGATTGTATTATTGGGCCTATTGAAAACGACGCTGAAGACAGCAGCTTTGTAACAAAGTCAGAGAGCCTGGCATTGAAGGACATAGCTTTACCCAATGCGCCCTGCTCAGATGTGGATCAATACAATAGACACATGCCGTATATTGCAAGAAAATGCTTTTTATTGTGCAGTGTAACTATCAATGACAAGCTTCAAGACCCCAATGGACTGTTCAAGGTGGATTTTACTCATTTCAAGCTGGCTTCTATCGACATCCGCACTTCAAATATGGAGTACTACAAAATACTAGCCGATCTATCTCGCTGCGCTCGATGTCAGCGTCGTCCTGTGGGCTCTTGCCAAAGACATTTTAAATCAGATATAATAAAATTTTGGTATATCAAGTAGATTTTAAACGATTAATTATTAGCAGCAGAATGTTATATCAGAGCCAGAAGGAGAAGAGAAGGTATCTCTCTCAGCACCTTTTAGCTTACACTGATACCATACAAAGCCTATTATTAAGACGACGTGAAAGAAAATACAAGTTTTATGCATCATTTGTATACCACAATCTCCATTTTCTGATCATAACATTCGCTGCGGCTAATGCTCTTAATAAGATGGCGACATAAAGCTGGCCATAAGTAAATACAGGACTTGTTGTGTAAGATCTACAGCGACTTTTTTGAGATATAGTCATTGCAAAAGACTCCTTCATGAGGCAAAGCTCCCCTAAAAAATATATTCAGGCTATTTAATTGCCCTTTCAATTCCATGATCCCCATTTAAGCAGCATCGCAATCATCATTGTCATCAACAGAAAGGCATTTAGGTCAGCCAGCAGCAATGCCGCCACCAAAACTGATTCAAAGTCAGTATATTTGTTTCTGTTCAAGATTGGACAGATTTTGTCTTTTTTCGACTTCTTTAATTTATTTCAAGATATTCGACTATGTAAATTGTGATAATCATCCGATGCATCCTAATGCATTCTTAGTATACTGTTCAAGGCGCTTCCAATGGTATTAATTGTAATAAGTGTTTTGACTGAAATTACTGAGCAATTTAATAAAATTTGAAATGAGGTTTTTAGCGAAAATAGCCATATTTTGCATATGAAAACCTCATAAACGTGTTTTCAGAGGTTGCTTTGGATCGAGAGAAACATTTTGATTCAATATATACTATAGTAAAAGTTTTCATTTTCAAGGTGAAAAACGCGATCGTTTGATTTTCGATGAAAACCATGAGGTACCCCCTCATGCTTTTTGGTCGATTTTTGGCCATGTTTTTTAGGTCTTCAAAAAGTTGAGCAAACGTGTCAAGAAGTTACTACTACTCAAGTACAATTGTTTGGCATTATTCCAGTGACTCAGAAAGATCTACATGTCAAGATATGAAGGCTTGAAAGCTATCAAATTTGGTTATGTATTGCTTTATAGAGTGTATTTCCAGGGCATAAATCACATCTTTGGTAGCTGCAATTTACTGGAAAGGCAGTTCTGCAGCCTTTGCAACTTCTAAATCGAATAGAAGGCATATTGACTTTGGTAAGACTAATTCATGCAAATTTTGGTGCGTTTTGTTGTTGGTAAGCTTGATAATAATGGAAATGAAAACCCGAATTTGCTGCTTGAACACTATGGTTTTACACCTTTGCTTGGTTACGGTAAAACCCATTAAGACTAATATTACCAAATGCTGAATTAGATGCAATCTCACTACGTTCAACGACGGTGTCGCCCTGCGGGCTGTCGCCGTAGACATTTCAAATCAGTAAAAATAAAATCTGCTATATAAGTAGGTTTCAGACATCCAATTATTAATTTAGAGAATGAGAAATCGAATCTGCTTCTGAATACTATAGTTTTAAACCTTCGCTTCGCTGCGATTAAGCCCTCGTATAGATCAATGTTACCAAGTATTGGATTAGACGCCTTATTACAATGGCTTTGCATTTTTGCGTCGCTACGGTAAAACCCCCCTATAAATCAATGCTAACCAATGTTGGATTAAATGCATTATTATGTTCTTAGTATATATATATATATATATATATATATATTAGATACAACGAGCATTACATTGCAAGGCACAAACTCGATGAGACTGAAAGCTGACATTCTACAGCAAGAGGCCTGATTTGAATGACGGTTCACATGTTACAATCGTCTACGAAGGCTGCTATACTAACGTGAAAATTGAGAACTACGATATACCCAAATGGTGAATGCTACATATATCCATTGATCGTTAAATATAACATTATATTCACGTGAATAAATAGCCTCATACTAGTTTCAGTCTATAGTGTTATAATCTCTTGTCCAAGAAGTGACACGCCTGCTGCTGCCAGGCAACTAATGTTACTTGTCAAAAAAATATTGAATCTGGAACGTCTATGCTATAATATAACCTTTTCTCCACGTACTCAATCTTCAGAAGAAGATAGCGTCTAGAGTATCCGTCACCAGAAAGTGCGATTTATACCAAGCGTAAAGTATCACAAATGAAAGGGGTATTCTCACAAGCTATGTGCTACAAACCTTAATTTGTTGCGGCACTACATATCACAAATAGGTTCCTGTTTAGAAATAATATAGTAGCAGAATGCAAATTTGACATGTGTATTTGTAAGAATTACACAAACAAGGTGCCTTTTTTCACGATTGAAAATGATGCCATTTAATACAGATAAAGTTTTACTTCTGTACAGGCGTAATGTGAGATATCATACCATGATACCCAGCCTGCTCCCGTCAAGCGGTGATCTATATTAATCCAGGTCAATTAGCAGAATAGCTAAAAATACGTATCATCTGATAAAAGCTCAAATGGTATGGATTCAGTTGCAGAAACATGTCTTGCAGAATATCAAGATTGCTAATCGTTCATCCCAAATACAATGACTCAGAAAATGTGATCAAATGTCGAGGCGTCGCAGGCCCATGTTTCATGCCTTGCTTTGGAGGGTCAACGGGACCCATCACCCTGTGTATTTGGAACATCCCACAGCACATTGCTTCTGATTACTATGCTTTGCACTGTATTTGAAAGGTCGGAATGATCCTCAGCAAGTATAGTAAGATGCGTATGCATCGAGTACATCACCTTGCGAGTTCCTGCCAATGCATACATTGGGCCATGCTATCCGGCACGTTATCAGCCCTGACCTGAATTGTAAGTGTAACAGCAATCAACTCAAATGCGTCTGGGATGCAAGAACCGATGGAGACACTTTGCCTTATTGTTTGCGTGTGAAAAGACTGCTTCTCGTTTGATCTTAGTCAATGTGCACCGGAACCAAAGCACATCCCAACCAATGAGTCTAATCAACATGACGTAGCTACCAATGAGAAAAGTTTTGCTTCAAGCCTTCAAGATTTCCCTTCGATCCCTTAGGCTTGTATAAATTGGGGGACCCCATTTTGGAGGCCATAGAAATTGGATTTTGAATCAAAAAAAAAAAAAAAAAGAAAAAATCTCCCTCTTTTTCTTTACAACAATTTACATCAAAAAGAAAAAAAATTTGGACAACATAGCAAAGTGTGGTTCCGTTTTTTGTTTATAAAAACTTTCCCTCTTACGGCTCTCGTCTTGTCTCTTCTATTACATAAAATACAGCCCCACTCTCCTTCTTCTCTCGCTATAAAAAATGGCCAATTCCCAATCAGTCAGTTTCGAGGACGAAATCATCAATTACGATGACGATCCGCTGGACAGTAATCACCGTCAGCCACATCAGTCTCAACACAGCTACTACAACGACTCGGATGACAGCTTGTATGCTCCCTTGCAACAGCAGCAACAGCAGCAACAGCAGCAGAAATCCAATGTGTTCCAGCAACGCCGCTCTGGTCCAATGCCTCATTCCAACGAAATCATAGATCAATCTCGTTCCCATGACGCTGAAAAGGTCGTTGAGGTGTCGCCCAACGAGCGCTATGTTCGCCTTAATACACTACTAGGTAAAGGTGCTTACAAGGTGGTATACAAGGCTATTGACCGAGAAGAAGGGTACGAGGTAGCATGGAACACCATGCAAGCGACCAAATCCATCGACAACAAGGAAATGGAGCATGAGATTGGCATCCTCAAGTCTGTGCGCCATCCCAACATCATTGCCTTCCATGATGCTTGGTATCAAAAGAACGAATTTGTGTTTGTGACCGAATTGATGACCTCTGGCACGCTGCGAGAGTACATTCGCAAATTAAGCTTGCCCAATATCAAGATTGTGAAGCGTTGGTCTCGCCAGATTCTCAAGGGATTGGCGTATTTGCATGGCTACAACCCCTCCATCATTCACCGCGACATCAAATGCGACAACATCTTTATCAATGGTGCTCACGGCGAAGTCAAGATTGGCGATATGGGTACGGCCGAGATGAAGATGGGCAAAAAGTACACCATCATTGGCACTCCCGAGTTCATGGCGCCTGAAATGTATGAGGAGCAAGGTTACAATGAAAAGGTCGACATTTACGCATTTGGCATGTGTTTGCTGGAAATGGTGACAGGCGACTATCCCTATGGCGAATGTAAGAATGCTGCTCAAATCTACAAAAAGGTGTCTTCTGTAAGTCTATTTTTGAGCATGTTGCTGGTTGAAACCACACTAATTTTTTGAACAGGGAGTTAAACCAGCTAGTCTGTTGGAAGTTCAAAATGAAGAAGTTCGTAAAATCATTGACAACTGTCTAGGCGAAGAGGACAAGAGAATGTCTGCTCAAGAGATACTGGAACACACCTTTCTTGCTGTTGAACCCGATGTCGTTTTGCTCGCTGCTGACCCAGCTCACGTCCATTTGACGCTCCAAGTTGTCTTTAAGGGCATGGATAAACTTTCAGTCAAGTTTGATTTTAATGTCGAGACGGACACTGCTGAACAAGTGGTTCGTGAGATGGTAAGGCTACTTGGTGCGACATTACCTTATAAATTAAGTCGCTAAACTTGTTTTGTACATCTTCTAGATTGAAGAGCAAGTGCTTCCCGAGCGATATCAGCATCACATCACCAAGGAGATCAATCGCATACTGAGAGACATTGAGAAGCCTAGCAACAGCGGAGGAGACAACGATCAGGACGACCAAAGCAAGGAGTCTGTATGGAGACGCGAGAGCGATATCAGATCCGAGCTGGAAAGAACACGCGAAGAGTTGGATAGAGCGGCTGAGCATATGTTGGAAGTAGAAACCAGATGTGATGGCTATGAATGCCGTGCCCGTGAGGCTGAAATTCGATATCGTGATGCTATCCGTAGTCTGCGTGAAATCAAGGAAACGCAACAACTGTCAACTGAACAATTGGAAGTGCTGAAAAAGAATCCTCGTTTCAACCATGACTTGAAGATTGACACGTCTCGCCTTAAGCGTGCCGATAATGCCACCACCACTGCTGTTCGGCTTGCATCCGTCTTTAATGACCCTGCTCCACCTCAAAGTGCATTATCGACGGGTAGTAATGGAAGTGTCAAGAGCGAGCCTGCCAAGCGATCGGATCGTGTGTATGATTCGCCCTCTCCTCCATTGACCGCCAACATTACACGTGAAGCCCTTGTGTCTAGAATCCTCGAAGGTAATTTAGTCTTGTCTACTGCCCATGTGCAATACTAATAACACTGCTTTGATGATACAGAATATGCCGATGACACTGACATTGAATTATTCGTACGGGATTGTGCAATTGCAAGCCATCGTAATATTGAAAAAGCACATGAATGGGCCAACAAACTAAAGAATCAGGATATCATGACGGTGGGTGACCTTCGTGATTTGCACGATGAAGATTGGAGTGGTATTGGTTTGACTGTATTTGCTTTGCGTGCACTCAAGAACATGCTCAAGGGTAAAAAGCAAGCTACGATTGCAGTCAACAACAGTAGCAGCAGTGCTAACGGAACGCCATCTAACTCTGCTCCCAGTTCTGCCCGTGTATCTCCTCCTTTGTAAAAAAAAAAAAAAAAAAAAAAAAAAAAAAAAAAAAAAAAAGTAAAGTTCAGACTGCAGGCCTTTCTAAACACCCACCACCTCTATTATAGATTTCCCGTTTTCAACCTATCATCCCTCATCTGTGGTTTTATATATTGTCCTAATATACCTGTCATGACACGCAGATTGTAAATATTGGATCAGCTGGAATTGACCCGAAATAAATTCGTATTTTATTTAATGCATGTGAGAGATGTGAAATGCAGCGCTACTTTTTTTAATGAGATTTCTCGGGAAGAACGTTTTCAATCTTCTTTTTGGACAGCATGGGATCAACATGCTTGTGGAGGAAATCGGAAACGCATTGCTTGGCAGAGGGAGGCAAAGCAGACAAGACGGCAAACGCAAAGAATTGATGGAGAGGTAGAGAAATCAAGGGAACATCATTCTCAAGGCCCTTCTTGACTTGCTCACCAAAGTATTCAGGTGTCAAGAAGAAGCGCTTATCTTTTCTGGAGAAGCTTGTCGTCATGTTGGTTGCAATGTATCCAGGAGCAATGGTGTTGACAATGATGTTGTCATCTTTGCCCAATGCGCGAAGATCACGGCAGTAAGACATGACAGCCGTCTTGGAAGTTCCATAACTGAGCAATACAGGAGGGTTAAAGAAACCGCAAACAGAGGAGACAACTGCAATTTGACCACCACGGCCACGCTTTTGCATGGCCTTGTATACAGAGTTAATACCAGCAATAGCGCCCATGACATTGATTTGCAAAATCTTTTCAGCTTGGTCCAAAAGAGGTGTTTTCGGAATAGAAGCAATACCAGCATTGGCAATAAAGAGGTCAATACCATATTCCACTGTCTTTTCGTCAAAGAAATCAGTGACAGACTTGGTATCGGCAACATCCATTTGAACCACTTTGACATCGGGAGATCCCATCTCCTTGCAAGCTTTAGCAACCTTTTCCAGACGTTCTGTATTCAAGTAGCGTTAATTTTGAATACATGATAAGGCAATCAGATAGCAAACTTACCCATATTACGAGCCAATAGAACCAATGAAACCCTATCTTTAGCATAGGCATAGGCAATACCTTCACCAATGCCAGAGCTATGTAGCATGAGACAATGAGCTAAATGAACGACAGGCGATCCATTGTTGACACTTACTTTGCGCCTGTGATAGCAACTACATTGGGCGAAAATTTCTTCTTGTTGCCACAAAAGGTGAAGCCGGCAAGACTAGTCTTGACGACATTCCAAAAGGCAAATGGCAGATAGATACTATTCACCACAATAGCAAGTATATTAATAATTAAATCTCGCATCGCAGTGCACAAGGTGGTCATTCTGTCGAGTAATTTGTTCGGTGTAATTGAAAGAAGAACGAGTTTGACAGTTGAACTCAACCCTTTTGGGCTTTATGTAATCATGATGGTGATGGTTTCACATCACGACTGCTATGTCTATTGCTGTAGTACCATCATACAGTAAAAATTCAATGATCCGAGGAGCGACATGTGGGTAAACTCTGGCGGATCTTGCGGTAATCTATGCACTATCGAGCACAAAGTGGAGCTGCTGCATAGAGCATGATGGATTGCGCTTGCATTGGATGCCAAATGGGTCGTAGCAATCCTGAATTAGTTGCAATTTACCAGACGTTTTGGGAGAGACCAACCGGATTTTGACCCGAAGTGGCCTGTTCTTATTCTAGTCTGTCAACAAAGATAGCTATAATCACAAGCAAAAGCACTTTGTTGCATTTCAAAGCATCAGACGAGATTTGTAGTCTACAGTTTGACACAAGCGGAGTCTGAAATACACGGTGATATTTCTTCTCTTGGTCCATTCCAAACGATGTTTTTGAAGGTTTTCGCCAAATATCTCCACAAAACATTAGTGCTTTCTCCTTGAAAAATTAACCAACGTTAATAGAAATTTTTTGTAGCTATCCGATGATACCATAATCAGACATATTTCTCTCAAAGAATTTCGAGAAAATTGGATTTTTTTTAAAATACAAACTATTGACCAAAAGTCTAGATCAGTAATAGCAAATAGCTTCGTAATAAACTCTGAGTAAAAGAGCGGCTCAAGGCGGTTATTTTGAATTATAACATACCTTAGAAGAAAATCCGTTTTTCGGTTGAAAAATCGCATCGTTCAAATTTCGCGAAAAATCATGAGGTATATACCTCATGGAGTTTGGCCTCAAAATCAAAAACCCAAAAAAAAATGAAATAATAATACAGAAAGGTTCTCCTCGTCGAGACATGTCGTTTGGTATAGATGTGAGCTCTGAGGGAAGCGTAAACACTGAGATACGCGCCATTTAAAGTGTAGATTTGTATGTCATTTGGTGAAACAAACGCCAAACGCTTCAGGTTACGCCCACATTTATCAGATAGAGCAAAATGAAAACTGAGTACCGCATATTGGCGTGTTAAAAAGCCGTATACAAAGATGGCATTGCTGGCCCGTTCTTGTTGTCTGTAAGGATCGAGCTCCAAATCTGTGAATCACGCTAATATGCTGTTTAACGAAATCTTGGTATATTTTGAGCCGAGGAGAAGGCTATCTTTCCTTCCAATGCTTAAAAGCCCTTGGTACTGGATGTAATATCGCTCTTGCCGGCACCATATATTATTCGATTGCCCTGCGTATGGGGAACCTAATGACTGATTATGGCTCAAGTTATAAATGCACCTTTTTGCACCCTATATGAATGATGGCAAAGCACGGCCACTACTACAATGTGCCGATCAGCGCTCTTGCATTTATAAACGTACGTGTGGTTTAAGACTATTAAACAAGGTATCATCATTGTAAGATAGCCGCTGCTTGAGTGGATACAAAGCTGGTTGGAGTGATGAAAATTGTGGATCGACATTGTCCAGAAAATCGATAACGTCTCGCAGCTGGCAGAATGTAGTAGATTGGTGTGCAAAGACTTGAATGCTATTTGAGAGCCTATCGTATTCAGTAAAGAAATTGTAATCAAGTTTGAAACTGTACGGCTACTTGCTCAAGAGCTTGATATATGGAACATACTTGATACAATGTCCTCAATTACAATACTGTACACTGAACGGACAATGGCTCAATGAGGGTGAAGATCAAATGGAAATTGAACAATATAAGACTCAAAATGAAGTGAAGGCAGGCACATTGAAGAAACTGGCATTCACTGACTTTTGCGCTATTGAAACGCTCGAGTACTTTCTGTCTGCAGTACACCAATATCGAAATTATTACATTGGATCTCAACATTCCACCAGAAAACACTTTGAATACTAATTACATTGAGTGTACAATGAACGCTTTGAAACAGGTACCTGTCAAAGATATCCGTGTCAAGCTTATTTTCAAAGGAAGAGAATTCTATTATGTCCTCCAAACTATTTGGAGACTAATGATGCCAGTTATATTATAACAGAAATGAATGGCAAGTTTGTCCACATTAGCATCAAACAGCTTTCGCTGTCAAGGTACATGACAAGGTCTTGCAATGTAATGCAACTCAGAAAAGACATCATATGTAGCTCTCTCTTTAAAATAAATCAATCAATACTCATTACAATAAGCATATACCCAGTATTAGACTATTGGAGGGTGCTATTATGGTTGATAGAAACTAGCAGCGACATCAAGACATCTCTCCTGAAATAAGTACTTTATTGATTTCCCTGACAAGAATGCAAATACTTCTCAACATTGCTACAACAAATCAGAGCAAGCGAGTTGGCTAAGTTGGAAGCCCTTACCTTGAGACTTATTGAAGGTTCCCATAGCATTTGAAAGATTGGTAAAGAGTGTTTCATTTGCTCTCGCAGCCAAATTAGCTTTGTAACATCCAGGCCGGACTTGTCTTCTTTCTATCCTGGCAGATGTGGATAGCTTTTTCTAATATGAGTAGAAGGAGTATGTTGCGCCAAGCGTTCTGATACGTCTGAAAGATCAGAAATTCCTTCATGTTGATGGATTTAATAGAACGTCGAGTAAGTTCTGAAGATCTACCATCGCTATTACTACTTTTACTAGTTCACTCTTTGCTAGTATATCCCATGATGAAGATGGTGATGATGAAATACATCAATATCATCATGATGGCTTTTCTCTCTACCTCTGAGAGGGTTGCCCACATCTTTTTGGGGGTTTACAATGTGTATTTAGCTCAAGGAGCAGATCATCACTGTATTTGTTACATGTTTTGATCATGGATCAGGCTGTACCCAAGACAATGTATAGCGAAAAAAGGCGTTGTTTGTGGCCATCATCATCGTCATTGAATGGTTGTACAGCAGTCTAGTTGAGCGACATTTGACCAAGCGAAAATCAAGTGTCAGTGGATATCGATGTGGCCCACGCAGCGGACAGAATATAGATACGAATCTCTATGCATCAACTTGTTATTGCAGAACGACTCCAAGTATTTGTATTCTGCATCATGTATACTTGACGGTTCTTCAACAGTGATCATCTTGTTGGATATTTGTTTGCAAACTGCTGGTTTGTGTATTTTCCTGTAAGAAACGATGATACAAATGTTTATTTGAATGAAATAAGAAAGCCGTGTAACTCTTTTAGCAACAAGTCTGAACAAAACTGTGATACAATTGTACGCATTTGGTTTGCAACACACCAGAGAAGCAGAGAACAAAGAGTTTATTTTGTCGTGAACTTACATGGCTGTTTATATTTTGCATGTTTGTTGTATCTAAAATCTTGATTTATGCAATCGAACGATACCAAGTGTATAAATCAAATGGTACCTTTTTTTTTTTTTTTTTTTTTTTTTTTTTTTCTGGTTGCCCATGTTATACACACATACAGAGAGACAAGATGGGCTTGTAATTTAGGTTTGTTCCATATAAATGATGTGTAACAAGTTGAGATGAGAGATTGAAATAGATGTACATTTATTAAAAAAAGAAGAAAAAGCAAAGGAGAGTGGATTATATGTAGGAGAGTGTGTTTGTGTGTGTCTGTGATTAGTAACAAAAGTAGCAATTAGTTGTATTAGAGCGTATAGTATTAATGGAAGTGGGATGAGTAATGTAGTAGTTTTGGGTCTGTGAAGGGATCTAAATGTGTATTAAAGCGATTATTGCTCGTTGTCTTCGTCAAAGAACTTTTCAGCAACAATGTACTTGTCGTTTGTCTTGTAAAGTCTCTTGATACAGGCGATGGTAGCTGGCAAGGTCATGAAAGCCCATGCAGCGATAGGCAGCGAAATGTAGTCGAAAACGTTACGCCAGGTACGGGTCTCAGATTTGCCATACAGTTCCCGATCAACGACACGATGAAGGTGCTCGTAAATAGCCAAGGTACCAAAGAGCGGAAGAGGTAAAAATACAGTGATAATCTTGACAATGTTCCACAAGGTAGCATAAAATTCGGAGGTGAGGATAGGATTTTCAGTAGGTTCGACAAAGGCAACCATGGAGTGAGGTGGAAACAAGATGAATTGCATCAATGGCACTGCAGCAAACATGAGCCAACCCGAAGTGACAGGAATCAGATGAGCTTCCATCACCTTGGTACACATGACAAGCTTGTCGAGCCAAAAGCTAGGTGCTGCATACATGCTGGTCTTTTTAGCAGTGAGAGAAGCAAAGACGTGGTTGCCATCGATCACTGTATCCTTGACGCCAAATGAGTTGCGGAGCGTGTAGGCGAGATCTGCAATGCCATTATAGTGGCGCTTGGCTTGGACGAAACGAGCATTCATGTTGGCGAGATAGCCAGGTGTTTGGACATTGGTCAAGTTGATGGGCACAAAGATGGGGCAGCAGCGAGCAAGGCCATCCGTCTTGAAGAAGCATTTCAGCATCATGTGCATATCCTCACCCACTGAATCAGCATCCGTGTCCCAGTAACCCACTCTCTCTGCCAAGACCATACTCAGACTGTAAGTAGAACAAGGGAACGAGAGACCACGACTGTTGCTCAAGCTGGACATGACCATGGCAGACCACGTAATATCAGTCATTCTGACGGCGGCAGGGACCTCATAGCAGTTGCGCGAAAAGAAGATGGGTGGAGCAAATAGTAAAAAGTAGGGATCTTCAGCTCTGTTGAAAGCTTTTTCAACCTAAAACGATACAAGGTTAGTTCTGTGGTACATGTGAATCACATCACTCTATTACCTCTTTGGTATACAGCTCAGGAATAGATGAATCAGAATCAGATACGGTCAAGATAACCCGTCTTCTATCGATGCCGTGCTGCAACATTTGTGCACAACCATGTCTTGCTGCATAGGCTACATTGGAACCCTTTCCGCGCGTCTCACCGGGAATGTCGGCAGGATGAGCAGTTACGATGAATTGGAGGAAGCTGTCCTTAAAGTAATCAGCCAAGCTGTTTGATTTCTGCTCATAATTCAGTTCAGATGCTTCCATAGCCAAGATAATGACATAATTAGTTTGAGCATTCCTACAAAAAAAATTTGTTGTTGGTTGGTTAGTATTGATGATACCCTTAAATCACCCCTCTCTTTCTCTCTGTGTGCCTTTCTGTCTAGTTCCCTCTCTCTCTCTCTCTCTCTCTCTCTTCCCTCTCTAACCCCTATATTTACTTGTGATTGGCTAAACGTTTGATAGTATCTCTTAATAAAGCTTCTGGCTCTGCATAATTAGGCACAATAAAGGCATGAATGAAATGAGAGTCATCATATGGGTTCAACGAGGTTTCCATTTCTACAAGTTCTTCAACCGATATAATTCTTTCACGGGTAGTAGTAGGAGAAGGAGGGCTTGCCGTAGTTGAGTCAATCTTCTCTGTAGCATTGTTCTTGTTGGATCTTTGGTTCCATTCACGGATAGCTTTTGTCATTTTGGTTGCTGTGGTATAGAATTTGAAGACATGGTTCACTTGAGTGTATAAAAAGATGGTAAAGTAAACCAAGAGAAAGACGATATAAGTGCGAGGTATCAAGAGTGGACCAAGAGGTAGCAGCAAGACAGATCCAATGGCTGTCATGGGTGCCACTAATTCAAATGGATAATTCAACAATGCCGCTTTCATATCAACGAGTATATGTGATGCAAAAGATGAAAGGAAAAGGAAAAGATGAAAAGAGGGGGGAAAAAAAAAAGAAGAAGAAGAAAATGAAAGGATTGCTTAGAGGTTCTATTTATCTCTATTTTTTTTTTTTTTTTTTTTTTTTTTAGAAGCTGTAGGTCGCCACACATACAAACACACAGATTACACACCAAGCCTTTTTAAAACCTCATTTTCACATTTGAGTGTAACCCCGTAATGTCTTATTTTAAACGCACTCTAAATGTGGAAAATAGCGCAGCTTGCTCTTGCCGAGATTGCGCAAGAATATTTATCCTTTGGGTATACCTTTCATTGCTGTTGTTAGTTGCTATTGTTGTTGTATCATGTATGATTTGACCCTCTAAATAATCCCTTCTTATTTCATTCTGTCTCTGCAAAGAAATAAAGGAGGAATTTTATTTAAACTAGCTGTGAAGAAAAAGCAAGGGGGATTTCATAAAAGTATAAATTATCATTGTTTTGTTGTAGTTGTATTAGTAAAATTGCATCCCATAAAAATTCACAATCATGTCATTAAGTGTAACGAGCGTACAAGAAAAAAAAAAGAGATGGTTTTGAAACGTGATGAAAACAAAAAGTGCTGTTGAATGAAACTTGCCGTCGTCTGCTACGGAACCTTGATGTGATTGCTCTCTTTTTAGCTTTGCAATTTTGATCTACAGTATATCCTTTCCAAATGCTGCCTTTGGTATCTGAAGAGGTCGGATCAAGTAATTCAATCCACTGGGCTTGAATAGCCTTGAGCTTATTTTTTTTGACATTCACTAGGTAAATCATCATGATATCAGTACACCAGTTTATAGCATCATGGGAGTATACATGGATATTCCGTCCAAGATAAGGCATGATTACAAAAACGAGAAAGATCGCAAGTCATATTGCCTGCGATTTCTGCACATAGGATTCAAATTATTGGCAACTTAAGGAGTCGAACTACACGCAATTTCATTATTCATGCCAGGTGACGTGATTCAATCGCTTTCGCTAAGCATTGCTTCATCACCAACGTTGTTTATTATGTCTATTTCTTCTTTTTGCTACTAGTCTTGATCTTTCTCTTCTTTTCCGCCTTGGGAAGCTTGTGCTTTCTGCGCTCTCTAGCCTCTTCCTTGGCCTTTTGTTTTCTTTCTTTCTTGTCGTCTTTGTCCTCGTTCTTCTTGCCTCTGGGTGTCTTGGGTTTTCTATCGCCATCCTCATCCTCAGAATCGTCCTCCTCCTCATCGGAACCATCTTCATGTTGTGAATCACTGTCAGCAACATCGCTGTTATCTGCAGCTTCAGCTTCAGACTTTTTGTCATCATCATCGTCATCGTCATCGCCAATGCTTAGCTGTTGAACAGATTTTGTTACACCCGTGCCAAGTAAATCGGCATAAACGAGATTCTTGCCATCGCCTTGCTCCACTAATAATGTGTCTCGGTCAATATCAATGACTTCTTCCAGTGTCGTAGGTATATAAGATTTCATGAAAATTTCGTCTTCCACAGAGTTGATTTCGAGGCTGGGATTTGCGTTCATTTCCTCTTGGATCTGGAGAGAAGTATAAGTACACAATCAAGCGTGCTTTAGATCCACTTGCCTTTTCTAATCGGGCATCCACTTCTTCTTCTTCATTGCCAAATGTCACATCAGTGACAAATTTAAAGAGCTCCATGATACTCATCACTCGCACGCCCTTTTTGGCAAAGTAATCTGTGACATTGGAGAGATCCTTTCTCAAAAACTCGGATGCATGAGGATGATCATGCTCCACCGACTGCGATACATCAATAATATACAGCTTGCGCGAGTGATAGAGGATGTTGTATTCACTCAAATCAGCGTGCACCAGCTTACAGACTTGATACATGGTACGCACATTCTTGACGAGCTGATAGTACAGGGCTGGATATCTTGAGGTTTCGATCTGAGCGTCCTTGAGACGGGGATAGGCCCATCCGTTCTTGTCACCCAAGAACTCCATGACCAGCACATGCATTCTCAACACGAGCGCATTGGGAGATGGAATGCCTGCTTGCTGAATACGCCTCAAGTTGCGCATTTCCTTTTCTGCCCACACTTTGACCATCTTTCTAGGGTTGGATTTGGAGTAACCATGTCTGAAACGGAATTCACCAGTGACATATCTATCACGATCCTTGAATGTCAAAATGGATGTTTTGTAGACCTTGATGGCTCTGTGTTGTCCGTCTTCTGTCATGGCATGATACACATTGGCTTCTTTACCGGTACTGATACAGCCGTTGATTTCGTAGAAAATGCCTCGATTCAACATTTTGAACAGAATGATACGAGTACGAGGATCAAGCACTTGTTCCACTGTCGCACGGTCTGCCTTATCCTTTTGCACCGTCCTATAGTTCCATGCAATGTCAATATTGATACAGGTGCTCAAATGATACAGCAACATTACTTGTCTCCACTGGCCTTTTTGGAGCTCAATTTGATATCACTCGCAACTGACGATGAGATCTTGGATGGGTTGTAGTCTTCGCCAATGTGAATTCTACTGGCAAAATGGCCCAAACTATCAATCTGACTATCCAACATTTGCTTCTTCTCGGTCGTGGCATCTTGGCCCTCTGCGGATGATGCTGCTGCTTTGCGAAGAGGTGCTGGTGCAAGCTTTCTGTTGACAGCAGGTGCTGGTTTATCGGCTGATACAGAAGGTGCAATCTGTTGACGAAGCTTGTTGTACTGCTTGGTGAAGTCTGAATGGAGTGAATAGTGAATAAGCATTGTCATGGAGGGGGGTCTAGTCAGCTCTCGCCTACTCACCTCCAGTGGCATTGTCCCACATGTCTGTATCATTCAATTCGTCGTCTAGATAATCGTCATAGTCGTCGTAATCCTCGTAATCTTCTTCTACAAACTCTTCATTGTCCTCAGTAAGGCCTTCAGTAGGTAATTCTCGGGTAGCTTCCAGCTCTTTCAAATCTGCTGACATGATAATATGTTGAAGAGATGTTTAAAACTGTCAAAGCAGCAAAAAAAAAATAGTGCCAGGAAAATATTTTGACATGAAAAATGACCCACAAGCCACCACTGCCAAAAGATGAAAACTAGTATGAATGGATCAAATCTCTATTTTTCATAGTAGACAATCGTGTATCTTCAGTCAACGTGCTCACCACCGCCTTTCGGCATAAGGAAGCCAAGTGGAATTCAACGATCTGGCATGGTTGTTTGGATAGATGTAGGATCAATCTAGCTAAATTGATTAGATGAGATGATGGGTACATTTCCTCCATGAATACGTATGGCCTTCTTCAGCTCCCCCCCCCCCTTGAAGGGGATAAAACCTCCTTTGAATATGAGCAAATTATACGAAAACGTTTTCACCCATCATAAAGTATGCCTACATATTTACCCATCACATTTGGATGCATTAGCAGAGATGCCATGCTGTAGATCGAGTTGTTCAAAGGAGGCATCGATGCTTAAAACAATAGAGGGTCAGGGCACCTCTTGTATTAAAGCCGTGGCAATGCATTCTTGTCACTAATAAGATCTTTCATTTGAGAGGATGCTGATGAGCTAGCAGTTGGCATGAATTATCTGATCCAACATTGATCCATTGCCTAGAAAAGCCAGTCATCAATTTCAGACAAATGTGCAAAGGTTCATCCACTCTTCTTACATATACTCCACATCATGACCTCCAAAGCAACACAAGAATACAGATCATCTTTTATCACACTTATATCACAGCTCTCTGAAATAGAGCAGAAGGGGCAGGAATTCTTTGATAAAATGTATGCAAATTTTGGCAGAACACGATGATGAGTGGTGATTGACATTTTTGTTGAAATAGAGAGAAATCTGTATTTACGCCGTATGATCCCATCGAGGCAAAAGGTGGGTGGAATGTAGTACGTCCAATGCCAACAGAATACTGATGCTCTTTTGCCTAGCCGATTACAACCACCTGATGAGTACATTGGAGGCATTAGAGACACATGCTAGAAGTTGTGGATTACTCAGTATATCAGGACAGGCAGACGCACAAAACACTCGCAATCTCGCAACACGCAACGCAGAAACATTGCAGGCAGTGGATACCTTCTTTCAGGAAAAGAATCGCTTGTTGATGAACATTAGAGCTGCCGTAAATGCTTCTTCTGTCGTGGGATCAGCGGCCAATCCAGCTGTTGCTGCTGCTGCTGTCCCTGCTAATACGACCAAATAAGCACATACCGTCTTCTTTGTACCTTGTTTATGCGGGAAAAAAATAATATTTTGCCCAATAAAATGTTGACAACTAAAATAAAGCCAACATCATAAATGGGATCGAGGTGTTTGCCTTTTCCTCTTCTTTTCTTTTTTGAAGCATAGATCCTAGAAATGAGGTTGCATCAAATTGTGTTGCTATTGGTGTTTGTAGCAACATGTGTGTTGGCAAATCAAAGTCAACAGCAGGTGCCTATTAAAGCAGAGGTTGTATCAGACCAACAGCAAGAGCAAGGAAGACCGGAGGGCACCAATCCCTTAGCTGGGCTGCCACAGGACATCCCTGACGAGGAGATGGCTTCTTTGGAAAAGGAAAAGTTTACATTTCAGGTACAGTGGATAAATCAGATGAAGGCCGTCTTTGGCATATACTCAACAACTTGAACAGACTGAAGTATCCCGCTTGATGCATCTCATCATCAACTCGCTCTACAAGACGCGTGAAATCTTCTTGAGAGAACTGATCTCGAACGCATCTGATGCCCTGGACAAGATCCGCTTCCTCTCGCTTACAGATCCCAATGCCATTGCAGCTAAACCTAGTCTCAGCATCACCATTGCTGCTGACCCCGACAAGAAGACGCTGGTAATCACTGATTCTGGTATTGGTATGACACGTCAACAGCTCAAAGACAACTTGGGCACCATTGCAAAGTCTGGCACATCTGAATTTTTGGCCAAGATGGAGAACGGCAATAGCGATATAACGCAGATTGGACAATTTGGTGTTGGCTTTTACTCTGTGTTTTTGGTCGCTGATAGAGTCACTGTGGCCTCCAAGTCCAACGATGATCCAGACCAGCATATTTGGATGAGCACTGCCGTAGATGATTTCACCATTGCCAAGGATCCTCGCGGAAACACGCTAAAGCGTGGTACTCAGATTACGCTTTACTTGAAGCCTGATGCCTACCGCTTCCTGCAGGAAAAGAACTTGAAGGCATTGGTGCACAAGTATTCTCAATTTATCACATTCCCCATCATGGTGTGGAGCGGTCAAGAGGAGGAGGTTCCTGTGTCAGAGGAGGATACTTTGTTGAATGACGATGTGGTAGAGGAAAGCATCGACAATGATGGCAAGAAGGACAACAAGCAAAAGACAGAGAAGCGTATGGTGTACGGATGGCACCATGTCAATGTCCAAAAGCCCATTTGGATGCGTGATCCCAAGGATATCACTGAAGAGGACCACAAGGAGTTTTTCAAGTCGCTGACACGTGAACCCAGTGATCCACTCGCATGGACTCATTTCAAAGGTGAAGGAGAAATCGAGTTTAGAACACTACTCTACGTGCCTCCCGTGGTGAACGACGTTTTTTATCAAAATGTTCAAAAAGACCAATCCAACCATCCCATCAAGTTGTTTGTCAAGCGTGTGTTTATCAGTGATGAAGTCGATCTGCTGCCCAAATGGCTGTCTTTCCTCAAGGGTATCGTGGACGCTGATGACATGCCACTGAACGTATCTCGCGAAACTCTGCAAAAGCACCGCAGCCTTCGTATCATTACGCGTCATTTGGTCAAGAAGGCACTCGATATGTTTACAAATCTCAGTGAGAGCGATCCCAAGGCATTTGCAAAGTTCCTCGGTCAATATAGCACTATTCTCAAGTATGGTGCCATTGAAGATCAGCCTTACCGCAAGAAAATTACCAGTTTACTGCGTTTTGCGACCTCCACCAACACAGAAGCCTTCAGCAGCAGTCTGGATGACTACATTGACCGTGCCAAAGCTGATCAAAAGAGCATCTACTTTATGACAGGTAGCAACATTGCTGAAATCGAGCAATCTCCTTTTATCGAAAGCCTGCTAGCCCGTGGATATGAAATCATTTACTTTACCGACCCCATTGATGAATCATTCGTTGACAATATTCCGGGATACAATGGCAAGCAGTTTGTCAACATTGCCAAGGGTGATTTGACATTTGATGACGATGAGCAGGATATGGATCGAGGATTGGAGGCCAAATTCAAGCCTTTGACAGATTGGTTGTTTGACACGCTTTATGAAAGCATTGAAAAGGCTGTTATTTCTCATCGCTTAACCACCTCGCCTTTTGCTATTGTAGCGCCCAAGACTGGTCTCAGTGGTCATGCTCAACGTGTATTGGATGCGCAAGGTGTCAATCACAAGAACCCAAACATGGAGTACATTCTAGAGAGTATGCGTTTGCAAAAGAAGGTTCTGGAGATCAATCCCAACCATCCCGTCATTACTACTTTACTGGATTACGTCGAGGAAGACAACATTACCGAGGAAATGACCAATTTGATTCAACTCATGTATGAAACAACTGCTATTCGCAGTGGATTTCCTTTGAAGGACATGACACAGTTTGCTGGTCGTGTGGAAGGCTTGATCCGTAAAGCAGTAGGTGTTTCTATTTTGGAGGAAGCCAAGGTCAAGGTGAAGAAGGCCAGCGAAAAGACGGAGGAGGAGAAAAAGGCAGACGAAGAGCTAAAAAAGACAAACATTGTTTACGAGGACGAGTTCAACAATGATATGGATCACGACGAGCTCTAGAAAGATGCATCGCCCCTAAATGTATGTAGTTAAAAATAGTAATAAATATATGGGCTTGGCAAATGATCCAATGTACAAAATCAATGAAAACAGTCTATCGAATGTAGCATAACATTGTCTTTGGCTCTCTTGCTCTCTACACGTATGAACTGACGTGTCATGTCATTCACAGCAAACTTGCAAATCCAAATCAGAAAATTGTTGTGATGACATCCATTGGTTTTACAATTAAGGTAATTCAAGTGGTACCTGCTTTTATGTCTTGCTAAAGTTATTTTGGTACCTTCCATATATAGCTACCAAGAAATACCTATATTAATTGTGTGTTTTGGTGTCCTTGGCTCCTGTACTTTTTCTCTTTTCCTTTTAAACTTTTTTTTTTCAACACATCACAGAGACGAAAATGCCACCTGTCGAGTATACGAGTTATGAAAATTACCTGGTAGCACGACAAGCAGTTGCAGAAGCAACTACAAATAGACTCACACCAACAGAAGATCAAAAGATCATTTTGATCATCATTGGTGTTTACACAGCAGCCATCTTGATTCTATGGAATATGCCGATAGCAAAGATCGTTTTGTCGCCTTTCAAGGTGAGTTCTACCGTCAAATCACTTTTGTTCTTCATCTGATGCATCCAATTTGATGTACATGTAGTTACTTACAGTTGGTTTGCACGAATTTTCCCATGCATTTGTGGGGTGCCTTACTTGTGCCAAGATTGAATCAATTGAAATTGATCCAGATGAAGGTGGCGTCACTAGAATGGTAAGATCGAGCCAATTCATATAGCTTGATTACATGTATATTAAAGGTTTGATTGACTCTATTTAGCGAGGCGGCATCCCAATGTGTACCTTACCTGCTGGCTATTTGGGATCTTCATTGATTGGCGCTATCTTGGTTATGTGCGGATTCAACATCATGGCATCCAAGATTGCAAGTATCTTTTTGGGTGTGTGTTTGTTGTTTACCTTGTGGTGGGCCAAGAATTGGTTGACAAGAGGCATTGGACTCTTGTTCATTGGTGTCATGGTATTTTTGTGGTGGCTGGCTCATGGTGTAGGCTTACGCTATTTTGTTTTGTTTGTTGGTGTCATGTCTTGTCTTTATTGCCTGTGGGATATCCTGGATGATTTGGTATTTCGAAAAGTGCATGAATCGGACGCATCTAAATTTGCTCAAGTCTGTGGGCATTGCATGTCCAGTCGAGTTTGGGGTGTGTTTTGGTTCATTATCAGTTTGGTGTTCTTTGTAGTCGGTATACTGATTGGTTTAGCTGCGTTCAAGGAGGATCAACAAACTCAACAACAACAAGCACAGGGATTTGGTTGGTAAAAAGATCACAAACCCGTCAATTTGATCATTGTATATACCCCTTTCTTTGCTCCCGTTTCTATTGATCTTGACTGAAAGCAATAAACATTATCATATTGTATATAAATCAGTAGCTGTTGCTGGGAATGATGTGCGAGCGAAGCAGTGATTTGAAAGCAGGAAAATGTGTAAATCAGAACTAATCGGTAGGAAATTCTATCCCCTCATGGTATCTGGCTTGCTCGTTACTACTTACACTTTTATATATTGCAAATTGTTTGGTGCTCGATCCCAATTTTTCATGTTATTTTGAAATGTACAATCTAACTCTGTTGATAATTTGAAACCAGCAAGTTAATATAACCCTTTCCCTACGCTCCGGTTTTTAACATGCTCAGTCAAATGCATGATGCTTGTGTGGTCTACACTTGCAAAGGTTAAACGGAGATTCAATTTCTACTGTTCTGAATGATGGTCTATGGGTTTCCTAAATCTATCGACCTTAAAATTACTTGATTCTTGATAGTAAACACCCTTTGAAACTTATATAAAACTTGTAAAAAATTTAAAATAGAATACAATGGTATCCATATCAAGTGTCTGGTGTACATTGTTCAACTGGTATTTAATGAGATAGTGTTTGCCATTTTTTGACTGTTTTCTAAAGATTATTCAGTATCTGTTATCAAAACATTATGTTAAGCATTACTAAATATTGTAGAACAAATTTTTTTCTATCGAATGAGCCTTTGCTCGAAGCTCTAGCATAGCAGTATCATTAGAAATGAACAGTTTTGTTCATCCAAAAAAAAATTGGCGCCCTGATTTTTGCCTTTATGACAGGCAAATTTTGGCCTGAAATTGATGATTTTGCAGGACGACACTTTTGGTCAAATCTCGAGGAAGACGCATCGTACTCTGATAAAACAAAAGCCATTAAATAGCACTACGTTGGATTTATTATGATATAGAAGTTTTAAGTCTTAATTGTACGCTCCCTGAATGTTTTTGTCCAAAGGTCTGTATTTTACGACGTATGGGCAGAAAACTTGTCAAACTATTCTGAATAGAATTATATTAGCCATATAGATTGGTACGGAATCAAAACGCGCATCAAACAGTACCACACATGTAGTTGATTGTTCTACATAGATAAGCTTGTTTTTATATATTTCGGAGGTTCTTTAAAGGAATCATGTACTGAATCTGCACCACCGTTAACTCCAATTTGACGGCTGAAAATCCGAATTTGAAAGGAAATATTGCAGTAGGTACCCAGACGAAGCCTCATTCTGTAGGACAAACACAGGGGAGCAAAATTCAATTGATAGACAAGAAGTCCACTTAACTTGGCAGTTGTATAGATAATATTGCCGAAACATAATAGGTAATTTACACTTTACTGGCTTAATTGCTTCACAACCAATATAGCGATGACTGAAAATCTGTTCATAATATGTTTAGCAACGCCTCAAAGTGAGCATATTACTGCTCAAATAGGAACGCTCTGACAGTAACAAGGAGCGTGAAAAGGCTATTATATCCCTCTTCTGGTGAAATGCGCAGCATTTCTTTGACCCTTCGCCAATCCACAACGAAGCAAGTTATTACCAAATGATTTTTAACACAGCGTTCTCCAACTTGGATCTATCAGTTCACTACGCATAATCACTTGTAATTAACCGATTTTATGTTGAGGTAGCGATAATTGAAATCTTTTACGTGGACTAAACGCTGAAAAGTTCACCAACCATTGTAATAGCAACAGTCTTTTCATTTTTAAAGCTAACTTGCGTAGGTTTCATAGTACATTTCAGGTTGCTACTTACCTTTGTTTACATTAAACATTGAATTTTGATTGAAAAGCTTGCGTTTTTTTTTTACATGTTTTCTCTGAGTATTTGCTCAAACAGAGAACAAGACACTATTCAAATGTGCAAGTTCAGATTTATGACGTTGTATTTCAACCACTCGGCTACCACCTTGAAGAACTAGTCCCTACTACTTCAAAAATGCATTATGACATGTGCCATCATGCATTCAGCGTTACATTAAACATGCATTCAAATTACAAATAAAATAGCCACAGCCTTCATCAATGGATGAATTTTTTTCTTTTTCAAGTAGATTTATCTGTGTAAAATAGTGGAAAAGTGTTTCTGTGCCGACTCTATGATAAATGAAAAATGATGTTCAATTGTTCTTCATGAACAGTTAAGCATTTAAAAGAGAACAGTGCACGACGCCAAGGGATGCGTGCAAAAGCGTGATATTGTATATAAAACACTGCTGATACATTGAACAGATGCTGCAGGTTTGCCTATTTGTTTACTACTACGTTGCGAGTGTTTACGCTTTGGATGGCTTTCTACTTTTGCTTCGCTTCGATGAGAGCCAACCTGCGCAGCGGCAGCTCGCGCTACCATCAATGACCCTTGCGTATCTTATCATAATACTGCTACTTTTCTTTTGACTTTCCACTTACACATGAAAGCGCTTCATATTTTCTGTGGATCTAATTCTTATGTGATGCTCTACATCCGTATACACGTAGCTATTTCATATACGGGTAAGCAGCATACTTGTATTCCCCTTTTTAGTCCTTAGTGCCCCTGATACAATGCATTTGAGTCGCGTTTCTTGCGTTCAAGGCCGTTTTAGATGACCAGAATAGCACCAAACAATTGCTCTCATCTAGGAGTTACTTTCTGACACCTTTGCTCAACTTTTTGGGGACCAAGAAAAACATGGCCAAAATTCGACCAAAAAGCATGAGGTACCCCTCATGGTTTTCATTGAAAATCAAACGATCGCGTTTTTCATCTTGAAAATGAAGACTTTTACTAAGGTATGTGTTAAATCAAAATGTTTCTATCGATCCAACGTAACCCTTGAAATCATCTTTGTGGGACCTTGATATGTAAAATTTCGACATTTTGGCCAGAAACCTCTTTTGATACTTTTATAAATTGCTCAATAAGTTTATTCAAAACATCTATACTACTTAGTACCATTGGAAGCGCCTTAAAAAGTATACCAAGAATGTATTAGGAAGCATCTGATGATAATCATGTTTTATATAGTCGAATCTGGCAAAATTAATTGATCAAGTCGAAAAACCATCAGAATTTGGCCAATCTGGAGTAGATTAATTGTCTGAGTTGAAATGAATTTTGGCGGCTGGTGGGGCCGGCTGGCTAACTCAATGCCCCTCTAACCATGAAGGCAATATAGTAATACATGCTTTTGAAGCGTATTGAAAGTATATGGAAAATTACATAGCACTGTTGGTAGCCATGCTATTCCCCTTGAATTCTATATTTAATAACGCTAGTCTATCCAAATACTTGTTAGATCAGCTTCTTTCCCTTTTGAGGCTTTGATAGTGTCTAATAAGGGCCGTAAATTTATCATGCTACATTCAGGTGGCTCGCGCTGCCGCAGGCCTTTGGCTAATATTGTAACAATAATACTAGCTAAAATGTTGGATGAAACTTGATTGTTGATTGATAGAAAATCTCTAATCATATATGAACCATGCCTGATAACTTAGTTTCCATATTAGGGCTGTAAAAGTGTCTAGGGGCTGAACATTTATTATGTTATGATATCCCATTGCTAATGTCTGGATCTTTAGGCCCTGTAATAATCTGATATTGTGTTTGCCAAAAATAGAATGTTTCTCATATGTGAAAATGGAAGCACCGAGTATTCCGTGACAAACTGAGGATTTTGTGAAGCGTCGTATATATTCCTTTACACACATTGTTGAATGTCTTATTTATGAGTGAGGCTTTTAGGGGACCAATTTAAAAGGACATGTTGAATACAATGGGTTGGATAAGAGTGTCATTCATTGTGTATACAGAATTGCACGTATTTATTTGGCTTTGCGTATGCTCGTCTAGACTGAAGTGTTGAAAATTAGATATTGGGTTTTATCTGATCATCAAAAACAGTAACATGTTACATCCATATTATGGTGGCATTGTTTCACAGACATTATATCCAGTCAGATCTTGTCCAAATAAGTTTAACTTCTTGGAATATTAGCCATGATTCATATAAACACACCATGGATAATACCTGTAACTCATCTTGAAGCCACCGCATCATCTAGATGTCCAGGTTGTCATGTAAAATCACTACAATCTGGAGAGAGTACAAGTTGCATGAATGTTTGCGGCAGTAATACATGATCTCTTTTGACAATACGAAGATCCCATGTGGGTATGATGAGCGGGGTACATGAGAGCATGATTGAATGGAATCAGCAAGGGTAAATGTTATATTTAAAATGGAATCTACGGATCGGAGGAGTAAATGAGCTAGTGCTTACATGCATTAAATGAATAGCAGATAAGATGAACCACTTGTTTGTGCGTCATGAACAAGCCTTACTTGTGCTAAATGTTACTTATAAACAGAATTTCTTTCCGCAAATACAAAAAGATCTCTTTCTCCAATTTCCTTTTTCCCCTTCTTCTTTTACTACTCTACGCAATGCCTTCTCGAGAGCATCAAAATGTACCTGTGAAAAAGGGCTCTTTCTGGCAATCAGGATCCAGCATCAAAAACGTTGAAACTCCAAAGGGAAGCCATAAAAAGACGAAAAGCCGAGCTCCAGCAATATCGCTCATTGACACACTCACTTTGAAGCGCAAATCCGCCAATCTCTCATTGCCAGCATCGCCAGCCACACCAACAGACATGATCAAACTCTCCACCGTCAACAATTGCGGCATCTACATGCCTCCCTCACCTTCCGATGACGATAAATTCGAGCATTACTTTGACTCACTCTCACAGCAGCAACAACAACAGCAAGACAACTTCCATATACCATGTTGCGACAAGAAATATATCATGTGTACCGAGCGGGGAAGTTTATTTACCCCTTCAACTAGACTCTAGAGTCTTCTTCTCTTCTTACTAGCAGCCAACAATCGCCGTCTCTCTTCTTGTTCTAATAGTTGCAATTCATGTCTTCTCTTTTCCTCCAATTCCTCGTTGGTCTGTAAAGTATTAAATAAAATAAATAAGCTTTTTGGGTTAGATTAAGTGACACTACTGACCATATTGTGAACTTGTTCATTCTGGCTTTGGTGAGATTCTGTGTCGTCCAAGGGCATCTGTGTAACTGGCGAGGCTGCGCTTGTACTTGTGTTTGTATTCGTGTGGGCAGCATCTGTATGTTTTGGCGATGCTGGTCAGTAAGCAGCTGCTTTCATCTAGGCATGTGTGCTTACTCTTATCGTTAATGAGTTCAGACATGTAGCTTAATGCTGTGGTAGAGTACATGGATGCTGACGCCTTGGCCTACAGATCACTGCTCAGTACACTTGTTTTGCTTGCTGTCCCTTCAACTGTTACCATCTTGAGCTTTATCTGGTTTTCGTCTATGTATATGAGAGCGCCTCCTTTAGCACAATGCCTCATTTGTAATGCATTTGTAAGACGTTAGAGTGTACCTGACATATTCTCGGTGAAGTGATTCACAATGGCTTGACTCGGTTGAATAAAATGGTCGTATATCACTTGCGGTCCACTCAGCGCATCATTATTTGAGGTCTCCTGATCGAGCAGTTCGCAATTGAATATCCAAGATAGGGTATTTATTCTATTTTGGATTTGGCTGACGGTAGACTTGCAGTGCAATTTGAGTTTGCCAGCTTCTTTCTGGATACTGCAACGTGAAAGGCTCTCGAGAAAAAGCTGCTTCAATCGAGCCAGCACTGCGGCCGCTTCTCTCTTTGACTCAATGTCTATATTCTGCACCTTGGCATTCTGCTGAATACGCTTATAGTCTCCATGTTCAAACCATACCAAGCATAAATCAGTGGTGAGAATTATATACTCGTTTTCCTCAAAGATGTACTTGATGTAATATGCCTTGTTTTCGACTCTGCGAATGATCCAAGCTTCGTTTAATAGTTTTTTATGATGTAAAGTATCAAGCAACATGTACTAAATATATTTGAGAGGGGTGATTTGATTGTCTAAAAGTGTCCAGCTTCCTGTTTCTTTAAAGAAGCTCTGTGACTCATTGTTTCTTGCTGATCTTCAATGAGAAATCAACATGAGGAACACCTTGAGTGATGGTACTCATACTAAGGACATCAATGTCTATGGAGATTTTTTTTTAATAGAGGTGCTACATCATCTGTACAGTGTATGATTTACCTTCACAAAAGTATTCAGCACAGGTTTCATAGGTGATGCCACCACTGCTCTCGACCAAAAAGTGGTTCTTTCCCTTTGCAGCCCAACGCTCCTTGATGCTCTTTGCAGCAGCCTTCAAACCTTCACCAGTAAAGTTATCCAGCATGACAATATCAGCACCAGCAGCAAGAGCCTCATCTGCTTCTTCCTCGGATTGACATTCAACCTCAATCTTGAGAGCGAAACCACACACGCTGCGAGCATTATGAACGGCCTTTGTAATTGATCCTACATTTCACGGTTAATTTTCTCACGATGGCAATCAGCAATGTCATGTAAATGTGTCCAACCTGAGCTCCAGATGTGATTGTCCTTGAGCATCACCATAGAAGAAAGATCCATGCGGTGAGTATCTAAACCACCCACAAGAACACCGTATTTCTCGACCAATCTAAAACCTGGGTGGATGTGTGTTACTCATTGTCATATGCTATCACACACACACATATATCTCTCTCGGATGATAAAAACGAAAAAGTAATTCTTACCTGGGGTAGTTTTGCGGGTAGCAGCAATGACACCCTTGAATCCCTTGGCTTTTTGTAAATCACTGACCATGCGGGCTCTATGGATGTGCCGTGAGATGCTTGTCGAAGGCATTTCCATCTGACAGATTGTCCTGAACTCGAGGGCACTTCCACCTGACAGATTGTCCTGAACTTACCTTAAAGCAATGCCACTGCAGCGACAAATGATGTTCAAAGCAGTGCGTTCGCCCAATAAGATATTGCGAGCACAGCCATAAACTCGGGCAACCTCTTGCTTACCATCAGGCTTGAGCCAATCTCCCTCCTTGCATGTCCATTCAACTCTGTGTGCATGTGATTAATATCTCGAGTGGGAGCGGCTCATTTATACATCATGCGTTGGGAGATCCTACCTGCAATCAAGCTGCTTGAACACTTCATCAAAGAATGGCACACCGGCAACGACACCTTCGGCCTTGCAGTAGAGGATGGCTACCTGATCATCTTCACCGACAACGAAGCCTCCGTAATCAAAAGATGGGACGTCTTCGGCGAGGTAATCAGCGATGAGTTGCTTGTAGTTTGTAGCGAGTAAATGTGCGTATTGTGTCATTTTAATTGGTAAGTCGAGGAAAGAGTGTTGAATTGACAATTAAGAGTTCCGTCTGTGCTTTTTATACTGCTTATCAAAGGCGGGGTTCCCCCCCTTTTTCATTGAATCACATAATTTGATGCCTTGCTCGAGTCACATCTAACTTCTTCGGGTATCGAATAAAGGCATCTACATGAACGATGGCATCAGATTTGATGGCTTCCCGGCATTAATACACATTGAGGCTCTAGTGAGGTCGAGACATCTCAAGGAATGCTATTAGTAATCACCGTTATAGCCATACATTGTAAGTATGATTTGGGTCTTTTGTCAATTGGCTCGTTACTGCTCAGCCTAGGCATGTGCGCACTGATGATTGATCTTTTGTTTATCGCACAAAGCAAGCAGTCTCTCAATGATGATTGCAAAAGCAGGAACTTGCCCAGATTGAAGCAGCAGATGTCTTGTGCAGTTTCGGGAAGGAATCCCTCATTCTGATCATGGTCAATGCAAACATTGATATCACCAAATACAACATGCAGGTGCACTTTAAGGTGGCAAAGTGGATTGAGCCTTCTTGCTAGGCCTAAATGCTTCTAACCAGAGAGTGTGATTTCACTCAAACGTACCATCAGGGTATATAAAAAAAAATCAGCGCAGGACTATCATCATAGGGATTCTGGATGAAGTGTGCTTTTTGTGGATAGAACAAGACATGGCTACATGGGCTATTTCACGTTGGACGTCTTTTGCTTGCTGAACACTGAAAACCATCATCCCTGGTACAGACTGAGCTAAATGAAATCCAGAAAATACACAAGCACAGAAAACATGACAACAAGACACAAGATATGGCATTTGAAAAGCCTTCATATCAAACCAGCTTTTTTACCAAATAAAATAGTATCCCCCTTTCTTTCGCTTTTTTATATATTTTCTCATATTTTCTTGATTTTTTCATCCCTTTCTCTCCTTTATCCCCCTTTTTTTTTTATATAAACAGACACACTCCACATATCAGAATTTTCTTTGTTCTCTTTCTTTTTGATCATACAGGAAAAAAAAAAAAAAAAAACTTGCTTTTCGCACAGGATGACGACCGACCAACTTACGATTTTGATACAATCATTGCAAGAGCAGATTAAGCAAGGACAAGATGTCGAAAATGAGGTTTGAAATCAAGCTGAACTGCGATGGATCCGTTGTACTAAAAAGTGGCTGTAGCTTCGACATGACATTGATAATCAATCAAGACAACAAAAGGCTTTGAGCAACGAAAACGACTATTTAAAACAAGTAAGGTCTCTCGTGGTTTTACAATGTTGTTACTAAAACCAAATTTTATATTAGAAATTAGCTGCTATTCAATTAGACAACTCAAACTATGGCAATACTCAAGCACGCCTTGAAACTCAATTATATGCTCAGGAACAAGACATCAGTAAACTAAGAAAAGACATACAGCAGCTCACAAAAGCCAAGAAGGATGTCGAGAAGAAACTGAGCTCTGAAGTAAGGACGTCGTAATGTAGCACAAAGCCGTTTCCTTGTGTAAATTAAAAAATCTCTCCATAATAGCTACAGGATTACGAAAACGACAAATCAATATGGCAACAAAGAGAAGCGGATCTGTACAACCAGATCAGATCCCTCAGCATCAACAATCTAGGAGAGCCGCGCACGCCGCGCACACCTAGACGACGCAGCGTCACCGCAAACACACTGGGCATCATGAGCCCATTCACAAGTGGTCTGGGTGACATTGGCGAGAACCAAGCGGGTGCCAACACAAACGACAGAGACGCCACTGCATCAACTGTCGACGAAAGACCTACACCAAAGCTGGCTGTCATTGACTCGTCGTATGCTCGCGAGACCAAGATTGCACAGAGAACAATCAAAGCACAGGACAAGATGATATTTGATCTCAAAAACGAAGTCGAAAAACTGAAATCCGTGATCCAGGAACAGCAAAACGAATCGCAGACCCAATCACTTCACGCCTCGCATTTACAGCATGAAATCGTCAGCATAAAGGAAGTCAATCGAGGCTTGATGGAGGAGAACGAGAGTTATCAAATTTTGCTTCATGAGAAGACCATCAACGGCGAATTCATGATGAACCCAATCATGCAGGTAAAATGCCAATTTCATCATTTGCTACTAAGCTATAAATATTAATGAACAACAGGTGGAGGATAACCCGGCAATGAAGGAATCCATCAGCACTTCTAGTAACAATCAGGGCTTGAATTTGGCTGCTGAACTAGCTTCATCGATACCCGACTGGAACAATCAGAAAGAGAGTGAATCAGATCAAACCATCCAGAGTAAGCAGGATTTCAGCAGTATTATTCATGCAACCAAACTAAAAAAAAAAAAAAAAAAAAAACATGTTTTCTAGAGCTTAATGAGGAAATCAAGACCCTTCAAGACACAAATCGTGCTCTTCAACTATATATGAACAAGATTTTGATGAAGATTATCAACAACAAGCAACTGGAAGATGTCCTCAGTATCGATCAACCCTCCAAGTCGTCACATCATCCATCATCCAATGCAGAAGGTAACAAAAGCTCAGCAGCTGGAGCAGGATCAGCAGCAGACACTAGTGGCAGAGGAGGCCCAACACCAACCAAGACAGTTTCCACTGTCGCACCGGCTTCCAGTGGTACAGCATCCAAATCACCCTCTCCAAGCAACCGCCAACGTCGTAGAACCATTTCATATTGGGGGTCCAAGGCAGCGCCACCACCACCACCTAGTAAATCTGCTTCACAACAAGACATGGAGGGGCTAACAGCAACAAGAGAAGAAAAGCGCAGACATTCGTCCATAGTGCAAAATGCACCTCCACAACCTGAAAGATCCATGTCAACTACGACAAGTAGCAGCAGCGGCAGTGCAAATGGTGGATGGGCCAAGGCATTGCGTAGAATGAGTGGTATTGGTTGGACTTCTGTCAAAGAGGAACCTACGTCTACGGTTGCTGTAAATAACGATAGTGCTGTCGGTTCTTTGAGTGAAGATGAGAACGCCGAGATGACATCCAGAAAATCATCTGGATCATCCACTCCTTCTATTCGACGTAGCAATGAGCTCGGTACACTCTCTGAAGAGTAATTTATATCATCCAATACATACATATATCACTTTTCTTTCTTTTTTCTCTCTATATCTCGCTTATTCCCTTTATCTATAACTATCACTCAATGCTCATTATGGGTGACATGATGAAATAAAAATGACTACATGTACTACAACAAAGCAAGGATGTTTTGAAAGGGGATTATGAGCTATTGTTCATTGTGGTTTGAACCAAAGACAGTAATTTACCTGCACTGCGATGTGGACATCTTGTCAGGAATGCTTCCACTATTTATAAAGGGGCTTCATAGTATCAGGATGTGCGCATGAAATATTCGATATTGCTGATGGTAACACAAAATTTAAGGAGTGCTGGTGGACTTGTAGTCTCTAGCATATGAAAAGCAGTTGATTGTCTTTTTTTTTTTTTTTTTTTTTTTTTTTTTTTGTTTACTGCCTTTCATTGATGGGTATGCCATAGATGCAATGAATCAAGTATCATTTCAACCACTGGATAGGAGATTCCCTAGCAAAAGCCATCACCTTGGATCACATCTGACTTTGGATTTGAGGCTCTTCTTCATGGACGATTAATATTCTACCGAGAATTTCAATATTTAGAGCTTCCCATTTTCTTTATTTGTGTGTCTGTCCTAGAAGTCATCATTACCATCATCAAGGACTCGATGCTAGTTTCAATACTAATATTGCCCTTATTACTGTTATCAAAGGAGATATCAGCTACAACATGGCCACTGTATGACCAAACAGCAGGGCCATTTACATACCTTGGTGATACTCCATACCAGAATATTTCGTTTAATTCACCCAACATCACCACAGCTATGCGAATTCAGAGGGACATTGCCATTAATATTACTATCGATCAGCTTGTATGGCCTGCATTGGAATTATCAACTGCCTTTTTCGGAAAGGACTATTCAGCACAACGATTATCTCAAGTAGACAATGTGCTCATCATGGGATATAAACGACTTGTTGTGGATCTGTATTGGGATCCGGTAGATTCAGACTGGCAGCTATGTCCATTGAGCATCAAGCATAATGCGACAGCGACCACACCTACTGCCACGGGCGATGTATCTTTACCGAATGGATACATTTGTGCTTCGAAATTTAAGTTTAGCAACCTGCTGGAAACTGTCAACGATTACCTGGTATCAACCGAAGTGACTCGATCACCATTCAAGACAGACCTTATCTTTCTTGTACTGAATCTGCACGACCTCTCTACCAATGTCACAGCGACAACGGCCAGAACGGATTCCAATCTCGGCCAAATTATTCAGCAATCCATTACACCCAGCACAGAGCTTTTGCCTCGCATCTACACGCCTTCCAACTTGACAGTGGACAGAATCAACACCAGTGCCTCGTTTTATGCGCATGGACGAGAGCCTTATTTCCCCATCATCAAACAGAATGCAGCACAAGTGTCTTGGCCACAATGGCTGTATCTGATCCAAGAAAAAGTACAACTGATGGTTGGTTATGGCACCATTGTCAGCAGTGAAAACTCCACATTTCGGCTCACCATGTATGATAACAACACCATCTTCAGTTCAGATAGTGTGGGTGGCTTGATGAATGCAACGGAGACAACGTGTGTAAATGATGGTCCTTGGGCTTTTGTAGACGATGAGCAAAAGCCATTCACGTATGAAAACGCTTTACATTTGGTAAGAATGATTTAGTGTATGACATAGCCTGGAGATTAACCACAGCGTATACAATAGACTGAATGTGGCTATTCACCTTATTTTACGCAACACAACTATTCAGATCCATTCACAATCTACTCAGCAGTGGACAGTGGACACTTGGCTGATAATGTACTGTCCACAATTTGGTCCTGGGACGTCAACGAGCCAGCAGGCAGTGAAGTGCTTCGATGTGCTGCCATCAAAAAGAGCAACGGACGATGGGAGGCAAGCGATTGTGCCGATCAATACCGTGCAGCATGTAGACAAGCTGATAATCCCAGTGATTGGGTCTTGACCAAGAACACACTGACCTATGATCGAGCCCTGTTAGCTTGCCCTGAAAGCTACATCTTTGATGTACCTCGCGTACCACGACAGAATACCATCTTGAGAAACCTCATGGTAGCTGAGAATATCACAGAGGAGAAAGTGTGGATCAATTTGAATTTGGCTTACAATTTGCATGCTTGTTGGGTGATTGGAAGATATGGATCATGCTGGTGGTCGAGTGGTGTAAGTTTATACAATATGTGATGACAGTAGAATGTGCTGACTCGACCTCGATATAGTCTGACGAGGAGTATCTCGGTCTGATACGAACATCCATTGTAGGCGGCGTGATTGTGCTGATCCTAGTAGGATTCTTCACTTGGGTAAGATGTGCTCGTCTGTGGAGAAATAGAAATTCAAAGTCCCGTAAGGCCATGGTGAAAGCGATGTTGGCTCGACGAGAATATGTTACAGTGCCTGTAAGTAAAAAAAAAAAAAAAAAAAAAAAAAAAAAAAAAAAAAAAGTATGCTTGTGTTTCATTATCTGATCGCTTCTCGTAGGCATAATTGCGCTTTCAACTACTCATACATGTACTGAAAATTGACCTTTCAACAGCAAAGTAGCCTATGTTGTATATACCCCTAATGAAGAACATAGTTTGCTTTGCCTGCCAACTCGTTATAGACAATACGAAACCTAAACTTTGACTGATAGCTGCTTTTTGATTCACCAAATCAAGCATTGCAATTTTTGAATAAACACTGTCATCTAATGGAGGCAATTCACATTGGAGATCAGTTATTGATTGAATAAAAAAAAGAACATACTACATAGCCACTTGTTGAAAGCAAACATCACGAAGCACCTTATAAGCCATGTAGTAGCATGTATTCAATTATACACTATTTATGACATCGAATCTTGATATCGTAATATAAAATTGAGAGACAAACATTTCATAGTAGACGTACAACTTTAAAGCTTGTACGGTACATGATTGCTGTTTGTACTCGAATAAACGATTAGACAACTGTTTAAAATTGAGTATCGGACAAGGCTCAAAAAAAAAAACCTTTGTTCGCGTTTACAGGCATGCTCATGAGATACTGAGTAAGGAAAAAGAACGACAAACCTGAAATTATATCAACGAGGATGCTTACATTTGAATAGACCTTCAAATGAGGTTGGAGCTAATTGTTAATGACGATAGGCGCACTCAGAATCTGCCAGCTGTCAACGAGAATGCAGCTATCACTCCCAATGAATATTCAGATGTAAATTTTAAAGACATCTTCACCACATACCAAAGTAACTTTTCAGCCATTGGCAGTAGTCTCTTTTAAACGAATTAATGAAATGCATACTGCCTACATGTCATTTTGAAATGCTGCAAGTCATGACTAGGAATTGCGATTACATATATTTTGGTGGTGAGCCAAGCTAACCGGCGTTGTCAGATATGAAAATGCTCAACAAAAGCAAAAGATACTACTCAAGCTAAGCGATAGTTCTTTCAAATTCATGATCCCCATTTAATCAGCATTTCAATCATCATTGTCATTATCAGACAGGCATTTGGGTCAGCTAGCAGCAGCGACACCCGCCGCCACGACTAATTCAAACGCCGTCACTTTTTTTTTTTTTTGCTTGTTCAAGATTGGCCAGAGTTTAACCATTTTCGATTTGATTCAACTCTTTTGCAAGATTCGACTATATAAATTGTGATGGTCCGCCTGTAGGTCCTAATACATTCTTGAAGCACTTTTTAAGGCGCTTCCAATGGTACCAAGTAAAATAAATGTTTTGAATGAGCTTATTGAGTAATTTTGGAAAATATGAAATGATGTTTTTGGCCAAAATGTCGAAATTTTGCATATGAAGGTGTCACATATAAAGTTTCAGGGGTTGCATTGGATCAAGAGAAACGTTTTGATCTAATATATATCATAATCAAACTCTTTATTTTCAAGGTGAAAAACGCAATCGTTTGATTTTCGATGAAAACCATGAGGGGCACCTCATGGTTTTTGGTCGATTTTCGACGATCCCAAAAAAGTTGAGCAAAGGCGTTAGAAAGTCACTGCTACTTGAGTACAGCTGTTTGGTGTCATTCCAGTGGCTCAGAAAGGTCTACACGTCAAAATATTAAGGCTTGAAAGCTGTCAATTTTGGCCGTGTTTCATATATCTGCTTGTCAATAAGCATGTTTTTGTCAAGATACAAAGGTGTAAAGACATTGATGCATTAAGCTAGATTCATAGCATGCTGCTACATCCAAACATTCAGTTAGAAATATTAGCTTGAGTAGCAATACTCTATCGCAGTATTATAGCACAATAATACAGTTTATTAGTGAGATGATGGCGGCTGTAAGGCACTCTGGACATTTAAGATGCAATAGATAGTCTGCATCTAGTAAAAGCTATACTATAAACTTAGCCGAAATGTAGGCGGTCTATAACTTGGTTGCTCAAATCACTAGGTGGTCTGTATCATATCCGTTTTACATTGATGGTTAAGCTTTGAAAGTAGCACGTTCCCGTAGATGGTGCAATTGGACTTCTCCTCTCCTTCTAAGCTTTTGCTTGCCTGATTTTTGAATATGGTAAATTTTGCGATAAAATTGACATCAGAAAGCACGAAGTCAGTAAGAGAGTGGGCTAACGCGGGAATCCTTATGGGCGAGACGACCAAGAAAATGCGCTTTGGCTTTGGTTTGTTTTATGGAAAGAATGAGTGATTATAAGGATTTATCTAGTCTTTAGGTCTCGAAATGATGATACTGGATGTGTGCACAGTGTGTATTTAGATGATCATTGATCTCACCACATTGTTGATTCAAATGATGTTTAACTTTTCTTTTCAGACAACAGTAAAAGACATTGGATTTGTGAAAATATATGTTATATTTTTATTGCTGAATTGTTGTAATATACATTTTTTGGAGTTGTTTGTTTATAATGCTAGATTTAGAGGATATGAATGGTAATGATTAAAAGGGGGTTCGAGTAAATTAAAGCTTGGGTCCAGCAGCCAAAGTCTCAGGAGCAGCCTCATCTTCATAGGTCTTGAAGTTCTCGACAAACATTTGACCAACCTTGCGAAGAGATGCATCAAACTCGGCAGCAGTACCGTTCCAAGCGGTCTTGGGGTTCAAGAGCTCAGAGGGAACACCAGAGACAGCCTTGGGAATTTGCAAGTTGAAGATCTCGAGGTCCTCGAATTCAGCCTTGGCCAATTCACCGTTGTGAATAGAATCCAAGATGGCACGAGTGTACTTGAGAGGACAACGCTTGGAAGTAGCAGCAGAACCACCGATCCAGCCAGTGTTGATCAACCAAGCATCAGCCTTGTGAGTAGACATCTTTTGAGCCAACATGGTGGCATAACGTTGAGGGTGGAGAACCAAGAAAGGAGCACCGAAACAGGCACTGAAAGTAGCTTGAGGCTCGACAATACCGTCTTCAGTACCGGGAACCTTGGTGGTATAACCACTGATGAAGTGGTACATGGCTTGTTCAGCGGTCAACTTGGAGACAGGAGGCAAGACACCGAAAGCATCACAAGTCAACAAGATGATGTTCTTGGGGTGAGAGCCCATACAGGGCAACTTGGCGTTGGGAATGTGGTAGATGGGATAGGCACAACGGGTGTTTTCAGTCAAGAAATCGTCAGAGTAGTCGACTTCACGGGTCTCTTCATCCAAGACAACGTTCTCCAAAATGGCACCAAACTTGATGGCGTTGAAAATATCAGGCTCCTTCTCACCAGACAAATCAATACACTTGGCGTAACAACCACCTTCAATGTTGAAGACACCATCGTCTGACCAACAGTGCTCATCATCACCAATCAACTTACGCTTAGGATCAGCAGAAAGAGTGGTCTTACCAGTACCTGACAAACCAAAGAAGAGAGAAACATCGCCATCAGGACCTTCGTTGGCAGAAGAGTGGAGAGAGAGGACACCAGCCTTGGGCATCAAGTAGTGCATGACAGTGAAGATACCCTTCTTCATCTCACCAGCATACTCAGAACCGAGAATGACCATTTCGTTACGCTTAAAGTTGATAGAGACAGAGGTAGTGGAGCTCATACCAGTGGTGTAACGGTTGGCAGGGAATTCACCAGCGTTGAAGATGGTGAAATCAGGAGTGCCAAAGTCCTCGAGCTCTTCCTCAGTGGGACGAATCAACATGTTGCGCATGAACAACAAGTGGTAAGCACGAGAAGCGACAACACGCACCTTGATACGGTACTTGGGATCCCAACCAGCATAACCATCAAATACATACAAACGAGGGCGGGTGTTGAGATAATCGATAGCACGTTCACGATTGATCAAAAAGACACGTTCACTGATGGGAGTGTTGACAGGACCCCACCAAACATCCTTTTGAGAGGACTCTTCCTCGACAATACGCTTGTCCTTGGGAGAACGACCAGTCTTCTTACCAGAATAAGCACAAAGAGCACCAGCAGATGAAATGACAGTACCTTGCTCATAGGTCAATGCTTGTTCGTAAAGGACAGCAACGGAAGGGTTGCGCATGATGGTGACCTACTGGCTAGTTAGTATCCATGGCAACGTGCAGTGCATTATTTATTTACCTTATCATAATCAATACCAGCGAATTCATGGAGATCTTCTTCGACCTTGGTGTGAACAGAGTTGGAGCTGATGGGTCTACCACCAGTGTAAGGAGATCCGGGTCTTGATGCAACCATTTTGAGAGAAAGAGATGTTATATATTTTATTGATATGAAATCAAAGAACTGAAAAGAACAGAACATTTGATACTGGTTCCTTTTATACTTGTCTTTCTTTCTGCTTTCCTCGGGAGAGTCGGGCTTACCATCATGTTGCTATTTGCATTCGTCCAGAACCGGAAATGGATGCCCAATGTGTATAACATTGTAATTTGATGTCCGTTCTTTCCGAGTAATTATAGTGTGAAATTTGCAAACCATTAAACACTACTGGAACGGGATATGACGGAAGTGCAAACATGCTTTCAGTTGTCCGACTTTCTCCTTTAAGAAATCGCAATGTGTCTGTTTGCTTTTCATGAAAGGGATGAATAAGGGGGCTAATGATAGTAATATACTCAATAGCAGCGTGTAGAAATACATTGAAAGAAAGAGCCAAAGCTCAGAGATCCACAAAAGACGTTCAGCGACGGTAAACAGACTCCAAATGAATCATTTCCCCACATTTTAACTAATCCAATGGCATCCGTTTTAGTAAAATATTCACACAGCGTGGGAACTAAATTTCAATTCACGATTTTATTTTTTGATCTATGGAAGCCGCCTTGACTAATTCTAATGGAACACAATCTCTTAAGTGTATACTATGACGTGAATTTGTGTGCTGAATATACTTTGAATGCTATATTTGTTACTTCAGAACATTCTTTTGTCTATGTATTATCAGATTTTTATTTATTTAATCATGATAGAAAGTGTACCGTTCTTCCATCATAATATATACACATGCATCCCTGAAGCTTATTGTACATCATTCATTCAACCTATCATTTTTTAGACGTGATGAAGTCCTCAAAGTATCACTTGGAGGCAACACAAAGAACCATGTTACTCATGTTTAATCGAGTAGTGGGTCCATGCTATGATGACTATATTCGGGAATCCAATAAAGGTCTCATCAAATCATCATATGTGTTTCCCTTGATTTTCACCAAACCCAATAGCATTACTGAAATGACTAAAATGCTTTCAAATCCAGTCGGAATGCCATAACTCTAAAGTTGCTTTCACATGACATCCTCTTCCCTGTTGTTCATTATCAATTCATTGCATAATGAGAAAGATAGGATATGCGTCTTTTTTTCATGAATGCATATCAGCTGTGATAGATAATTGTGTATTTTCATATCTCCAGTCATGGCATCATGGCAATTGGAATAGTCTGGTATCGCGAAAACAAGCATGATCCTAATTTGATTTATCAAGTTGTCAGATCAACACATGGCTGAGATGCTCCATCAACGTAATATTATGATAAATAGTAGTTTGGGTTAGGAGAAGCTTGGGGCATGCACCAGGGGCATGCACACGGATTCAGTGCGATGATGAAGGTGCCAAATGTTATGGTTTTACCATCGATGTATACATCATAGCAATCATGGCGTCTGCAACTGGATCAGATACCTAGAGAAACATCTCGGAGCGACATTCAACTGCTACACCTTTGCTCGTATTTTTGGATTGGAAGGTTATGATCAATTTTAGGTTGATAGTGCATTCATAGTAACGAGGGCGATTTTGCAAAATCAACGGATCGCGCTTTTCGTAATGAGAGAGGTAGTTTCATATGGTGTTTTACAGATAATGAAAGCAGAAACTCGATAGAGCATGTCTGGCTGTTAGTTGGGGGAATTTCATCAAAAGAGGGTCTATACAGAGGAAATATTTATTGCAATTGTCCATTCCTGTATGTGAGAGTATGTTGTTTCTACTTTAAGCTCTATCTGGAGATTTGCAGAATCTCTCATTGGCATATTTTATTCTACTTCAGGTTATGGCCATGTTCTCAGACCTTTTAATATCACGCACTGGGATTGTGTCCCATTCAAATCTCTGTTCCTATCACATTTCGTCAATTGACACATCATGAACGCCATTTCCCTTCTCATCTTGTTATCATTCAAATGCTACTAGTTTGCTTCTTTATCTCATTAGCCTGAATTTTTTCTAGTATCACTACATAGATCAACTCCTCTTCCAATACTGTCATACGCACCAATGTCAATATATAGTAAAAGCTATCGAGTAGGTCTACTAGACCATTGCAAGAACAAATAATCTAAATCCGTACTGCTACAGCACCATGTGATCTGCACATATATAGCGCTCGCTATTATGCCTTAAATTACTTTTATGCACTCGTAAATTGCCAAGCGAATCAAGTAGCAATATTGTAATAATTTGCCCATATAAAGGTATTTAATTATTTATTTTTAGCATTGATATATATAACATTTATTTTTGGTTTTTAAAAAAGGTAATGGTTGAAATAAGAGTATGATGGTTGACAAAAAAGAGGAAATGTATAAGTTCGGAAGGGAGGAGGAGAGGGGGTAGATGAGGTAGTGATTAGGTTTATCCAGTAAAGATTCTGAAAATAAGGTACAATGTTGAACCAGTGAATCTGATCAACGACAAGCCAGCAACAGACCAAAGCACAAAGCCAAGATAAGCAGCAGAACGATCACCAGTGGTAATCACAGAGGTGTTTGTGATAGCAACTACCAAAGCCAAATTAGAAATAATCCATGACAAGACAAGTCTAGTACGGAAAGATCTATAGTAATCCTCTTGTTTGGTCTTGGCATCACGATGCGACTTCTCGGGCTCCACCTTCTTTGATAGTTCTACTTGTGCGTCAATGTAGGCAGCATTGATATCCTTTTCCTCTGTGGGCACTTCGACTTCAACAGCCAAATCACCAGATCCATCCTTCTTGGCCTTGACCACACCCAAATCAGTAGCCACTGTATTATCACCCTTTGTACCCCAAGACACATCATGAGTATTACAGAATGCGTAAATGTTGAGCACATTGGTATAACTGGGAGACAAGAGGATGTACTGAATGAAACTGGTAAACATGTGCCAAGGATCCAAGAACAAGAAACTGGCGACAAAGTACATGACATAGGTAGAACAGAGCGAGATGATGATGTTTCTAAATGTACTTTGGCCCAGCATAGCAATGAACTGACCATCAGAGTCTTCCACAATAGTAGTGACGCCAACGACAGTGATCCAAATAGCAGCAAACATCATGTAAATCATCAGTAGCGCAAAGAACACCATGGAGCCTGTGTAAGCAATCTTTGAGCCTTGAGGACGATTACCGAGAGCAATAATGAATTGAACGACGAGCAAAATAATGTAAATGTAGTTGAGAATGTTATGTAAGAGATTGGCAACGTTGGCAGAGAAAGGAGCATGAGTGAGACCAGGTTGGCCGTCTTCAGCGGGAGCAAGCGCACGTGTCAGGATGAAGAAGGTGAGGTAAAAGTTACCGAGAGCAAACCACGAAAAGATCAAGTTGTAGGTGTTGTAAAGATCCTCAAACATGAACATCATTTTACGGATATAAGAATGATCTGAAGCCCACACCTTACGCCAATGGTACAGCGCATAGATACCAGCAAAGAAGGAACCGTTCAACCAACGTCTACGCTGCGAAATAAATTCATCCACTTTATCAGGCACATCAGTCTCACCATAGGAGCTAGACACATAGTGCAACACCCAGTGAGCCTTCTTCTTAGCCACCAGCTCGTAACACAAAATACGATCCTCAGCCAGATACATGTTGGCAGTAAAGATATCAGCATCACCACCGTGTTGCGTCTCACCCAAAAAGTACTTTTCCAATGGACCATGGCCATCCACATCATTTTGAAGGGCCTTGAAGCGATAAGCAGAAAATGCACCTGGTAACACGGAGATATAACCAAACACAGACTCAAGAGGCTTATCCAGAATGTTGGACATTTTGTATTCAAAGTTCTGAGCAGCCACCAAGGGGTTCAGCAGAGCGACACCTGCTGTACCCGCCATAGCTCGAATCTCACCACAGGCACCAGCAATGTTGGAGTTGATATCGAATGCCTTCCAGAGATGATAAATAGAAGTACCACCGGGCTTTGTACCCACATCGATCAGCACACAGACATGAGGATCGACCACAGGACCGAAGGCTTGGAAAAACCAACGATGGGAGTTGATTTTCTTTTGGTTCTTTTCCTTGAGACAAAATAGCAGTTGACAGGGCACCACGTTCTTGGATCCTGCCTTCATGACCTCCATATCGGGGTTGACAGAGATCTGTGTTGTGTATTCGTAAATGTGGGCAGTGACAGGCTTACCGTGCACCACGTTCTTGGCCACACCTTCTTGATACACACCCAACAAGGACAGTACGTTCAATGTACGAGGATTGACCTTGTTACGACCATCCGACACAATACAGACAGTGACCTTATGCCATCCAGGTCCACCTGAAGCAGGACCCCAAGTGCTTGAACGATCGCGAGAACAGAGGTGAGCAATGTTCTTCATCACACCATGCATTGTACGGGTAAACAAGACTTCGTCTTCCTACAGAAGCAGATCGATTTGGTTAGTTTAATTTTTCTTTCTCTCCCTCGACTAATATAACCTTACGTTGTACATGGTCAAGACAATGAATAGCTCGGTTTTGCGGCCGAGCATCTGTTGACGGAGCGTATAGCCTTCATTGACGAAATCCTTGGGATCACAAGTAGCAGCTACACAGCAACTTAAGACACACTACTCACACAAACACAAGCTCATCCATGACTTACCTGTGTATCTCATATGTGTGAATTCTTTGCCTTCCTTCAAGGGCACGTCTTGCAAATAGCTGGTGGGAACTGGACAATCCAACACCAAGTTACCCTTGGTCAATTTGACTTGTCTGGCTGTAAAAAAAAAAAAAAAAAAAAAAGAGGTAAATTAGAGTTTAATTGCATACTTCAGGTACTCCAATCATCCATACTCTACTTACTTGTCTTGTAACGACGAGGCTGACGTCTAGGTGCTTCACCGTAGTGCATGTTGGGTGATGGTGGATTGAAATACTGTGGAATAGTAGGAGAGCTAGAGTTGTTGCTGTAGGAAGGATAAGGCGATGTATCTCCAGGGCTAGGTGGGTATGGAGGGTTATTTACAGGTGGATAGCCAGGAGGACCAGGAGGCATGCTAGAAGCAAGCAAAGGCTGATGATCGTATTGAGGCATGTGCTGATCTGCTGGATAATGGTCATCATCAAAGGGCGAACGAGTGACGGGAGGCTGATTGGAGAACTGAGTGTCCTGTAGCGGGAACTGGTCGTGTTCCGACTTTTGATTTGGTTGATACATGGTTGATGCAAAAATGAAAGAAAATCAAGAGTGAGAACAAAGAAAACAAGTAGCTTTTTATACAATATTTGTTTGTATTCAAATAAACATTTTTAGCTTGCTGTACAACCAATGTGGGGCTGGGTTTTGCTCCTAATCACTATTATGGGCTTCTTGTTGCTTAGAAACGGACTTACCACTTTATTTTGATTCTGTATTCACCAATCATTCAAAAGTCAGTTAAATCATTTGTGTAATAAACTTGTTTAAATTTAGCCACATGAAGAAAAAAATAGAGGTATTCGGTTGAACGTGTGCTATAAATCATGAATTATTTTACAAGCCACGTTGCTACTGCTCTCCCAGATCAAATGCCCAGAAAACTAGTGGTGTAGAATCCATCACAAAAATGGTTCAATATCTTGGTATTGTTCCTCAAATCATTTAATTACTTCGGCCATCTAATCAAGTTAGAGATGATAATTAAATTCTATTTGGGATTTTAGCGTGCACCTCAGTTAGGGACGCGGATCAAGGTTTAATGACCCTATTACACAAATTTATTGTCAAACATTTCATTTTCTTCAGTAATTGTATTTTCTGATTAAATGGCTTTATCAAGAGAACAATGGGTTAATAGCTATCCAAATGCTTGCTCTGGTTAGAATCGGGAGAAATTTTGAGATTCTTGATTGCAAAACCTGTCGTCGTATGGCTGATTGAGTTGACCAAGAGGTTTAAGGCTCAATTCTTACTGAAATATCAAATCAGACAAATGGTAACCAACACCCGCTTATCAATAAATCTCTTTTTTTTTTTTTTTTTTTTTCAGGGCGAACGCTCGGCTTTCATACAAAGCCATATTCCTTTCAAGCAAAAATGCTAAAGTGTAGGATGACATTTCTTGACATGAAGATAGGTGCAGCGTTTCCTTTTGTTTAGTTGCCCTTGCTGCGCTCCCTTTTATCATAACCATACAATGCGTGGACCAAACAATCCATCTACTCTGACTTCAGTTTCAAGACCATGCTAGATACAAAGGTAGGTCAATTGCAATGCAAAATGCATTCAACTTGACAATACATTTTTGATATCCTAAGCATCATTCCAGCTTAGCTCAGAAGCATTAAATGTGAACTGATATAGTATTAAAGAACGATAGACAAGCCAATGAAGCTGAAAAAAGCCAAGCTTGAACAAGGCACATTGACCATCGCGAAAGCCAACAATGAAGAGGGGATTAGAGTGAGGGCTTAGCCCCTCCTTCAAAAATGTACTACACATCACAATTTGCATAGGGAAATACACATTTTTTGTTAAATCAAATCAAACCATCATGCCTCCTGCTTGGACTAGAAACCGTACAACCTATTTAATGCTCTTTTAAAAGATTGTATTTGTCGAAAATGTGATTCATGTCGAGGATATAGAGAAACTGGCAAGTAAATGAAAGAAGTATTTGAGCAAGCCTTATATTCGTTTTCAGAAACGATTAAATTTATGTTTTAAACATAAAGATGTGTATCAGAAGCACTTAGATACGCTCTGGCCAAATGATGGTGCTTTCGAATCGTAATCCCCTTCTTGATACTATTAGAGACATTCATTGCCTGCATGATGAGAAGGGGTGTAGGATAAAAAGGGTGTATAAAAGTTAGGGTGTAATCCGGATAATAGATAGGCCGTGGGTGTTATAGGGCGCAGGTAGAGATAGGGTGTATAGGTGTAGGTAGATACAGGATGAGTAGGGTATATAGAATGTAGAGGAGTAATGGGTGTCAAATTTTAAGTTTTATTCATGCAGATTTATTTTCTGATCTGGCAAATCCAATTTTTTTTAGCAAGTATTTATTCTCTTTTGTAGCATGCATATACCGTGTTGGAAATATCTTTTAGAAGACGCTCTGCTACGTCCAAATCCGAGGTGAGTGCCTTCATTTGTTGTTGCTGCCAATTGTCAATATCCACGAGATATACAATCCCATCAATTGTTTTATAACACCTCGTATAAAAGTGTACACCATCAAAGCTAGTCGAGTAGATTCTACCGCGTAGTTTATATTTTACGTTCTGCAAAACGTGGATGTATGTTGGCATATAGACATTGTTTCCGGCTGTTTTGCCAAGGACAAAGTTTGCACCATCTTGTACGAACATGAACTTAGGAAACTGATTATCTTGAGGTAATGATCTGTATGATGTAGAGATTCCATCACATCCTGGAGCGTTGCATCTTCCTTTTTGGTGTTCCTCGAGCACCTTCTCTCTGAACAAGTCATTGAATTTCGTATCCAGTGCCGCTTCATTGAAAACCCCACGGCAATCTATCATTTCATTAATGACGTTGGTCGGGAGCATGTAGATAAATGAGAAAAAGTCATCTCTCGCATACGCATGCGCTTTTTCCATAGAGCAAGGCACTTTTCTTTCACATTGCAATGATGGAAATGTGCAAACCTTGCTGGCAAAGACACTCGACAAACGCTCCAATACCATGCTCGCCAAATCAAGAATATCACCCTGACGACCTTTTGGGAACGACTTAACCAGCTGACGAACACCAGAGACAAGCTTGTATTCTGTCATATTCCAAACAAAGTGCCTCACAGTAGAAGTAGCAGCACGGATACCAGAAGGTGATTGCTGAGAATATGATTCAAAAGCATTCATGAGAAGACAATCATAGGCGTTGTTTTCATCAGCGAAAGACATATCCACAAATGGAAGGGCGGCATTGAACAGAAGCTCAAAAAACGCATCGATGAAGCAGGAGTTACTTTCGTTTGACACTATGTAGGTGGGAACGGGCAGAGATGGGTGGCTGTCTGGATGGTTATTTTGATAATCTTTCACGAGCCACTGATATTTCTGCAAGAAAGATGTTATTTTTTGCGGCAACAGGAAGCCAGCAGCGGTAGATGAGTCGTTCTCAAGCGAAGGTTGATCTGCTGTTGTGGCCGAACTGCTTGCAATAGGTTCAATTGCTACTGATGCCAAAATCTCAGGGAGCATTGGGGGAGAGAAAAGATCTATTATAGTAGCAGATGTGGACTTTTGAATGCTTTGTATAATAGGATCAATGTGCTTGTCATTACTTGCAAGACAGGGTAAGTTCGAGGAGGACGAAGACAACGAGAAATCAGAATCAGTTGGTGCTGTCATTTTAGATGCAGTAGGCTCAGACTTGGTCTTCATTATTGGCGAAGAGGAAGAACAGGAAGAAGAGGAAGATACAAGATCAATAACAGACGATTCGAAGCTCTCATCAGAGTTGACAACAACATCTTCGACAGAAACACCAGCACCTAATTATTTTTGATATGTTACAACATGAGCAAGTAAAAACCACCTAAAGTATCCGTACCTTTAAACATATCCTTAATGTCGTTTTCTAGATTCTCGGTTCTATGATATCTGTCGTCTGCTTCATCGTTTTCACCATCACTATCTGAGAGTAGTTCAAGGAAGAATCTCTCATGGCTGATATTGCCATCTGCAATGTCATCAATCTTTGGACAATTCTGCTCTATTTCGATAACCTCATCCAAATGTTCGTTGATCGCAGCGTTCAAATCAGTACCGCGAGTTTCTAGTTTCTTGGCCTTTTTATGCTTGCCATTCTCCTCATCACCAATGATTACTACTTGTTGCTTTCTCTTCTTGGATCCAAAGAGAGCAGCGTTGTTGTCTGGCGCACGGCCGTCATTGATTTCGTAAAGAGTCGCGTACTTCTTTGCCGTTGTTTTCTTCTGATTGTTCCCGTAATGAGGACGAATGTTGTTCTCATACAAGTCCAACATCATCATGCCATGATATTCGGCTACCTGCAATAACAGTCGAAGACTGGTGGCAACAGGTTGTCTCTTCTCAGGCATCAGCTTGTAGAGCGCACTGTGGAATGCCTCAATCGCGTTGGACGTGCGGCTCTTGTGCTGTCTCAATTCCTTTTTCATCAATGACTTGCATCTGAAGATCATGCTTGATACGCCAGGCTGTAACCACCATTGCAGCCACTTTTTGCTATTGGGAAATTTAGAGAGAATCTCTTGGCCGGTACGGTAGAATTCAATTGCATTGCTTGTTGCACGGAAGCGATGAACTAGCTTCAAAAACAGATCAATATCATCTGGCTTGACAACTTGATGATTGGTAGACAGCCGTCTGACTGACTGCATCCAATGCATATAGCAACCTTTCAAAAAGGGCAATGCGTTGTGCTGCTTGACATCAAAAACCTCCCTAAGAGCTAGTATGAACCCTTCGCGTTGTGCAGCTGAGAAATCCATGATGGCTCCCAAAAACCGCTCTAGCTTGATGTCGAACTTTCTAAACAAGGCAACAAAATACTGCTTGAAAACTTGAGCGCTGTTGCTTTTGATTATCGCTTGATAAAAGACGACATGCTTTTGGAGTTGCTTGACGTATATGACACTTGAGCAGAGATAATAATATCCCTCTGGGACGGCCTTGAGTGTAACATCTGTTACGATGGATCGGTCGGCAAAAGGCAGATTGCATTGAAGCATTTCTGGTGAGCAAAAGCTTACAAAAAACTTGCTAGGGAGAATTTGGGCTGAATCCATGAAGTGTGGATACTTCTCATCAAGATCTTGGAACGCAGCTACAGCATCTTCTTTTGTAGTATACAGGTCCTGTTGGATCTTTGATCTTCGGACCTCATACTTAGTACGTCCATGATTAGCCATCAAATTGTTAATTTTTCTGGCACTTTTCGTAATTTCACCAGTATAGGGATCAATGCCAGAAATGGCAGCAGCAGCAGTTATGTTTGGTCTTGTTTTTACCATCTTTTTAAGCTCCCTCTTTTCGTATCTATCGAGATGGAGCGAATTGTAAATGGTGTGTGTGTGCTTCTTCGTTTCTGTTATTTCTTGTCGCATTGTTACGGTACTGCCTCTGTCTTCTCTGCGAGAGTCATTTACACGGAAGGTAAAAGTTACAGGAACACCACAAGGAACCTTCTCCAATGGCGCCTTCCAATATGGGCATTCAAACCTTTTGGAGTAGCCATAACTGTCTTTTCCCTTGGTGGGTGGCCGTTGATCTTTGACACCTTCAGGTCTCTTGCATTGCAAGCTTAAACATCGTAAAGCACCAGCGCACAACTTTCGAATCCTTCTATCGTAAATACTTTCACCATCAGCGAGTTGTTCGACCGGCTTCTTCTCGTTGTAAGCTATGGTGTAGCTTTTCTTCAAAGCCCATCCAATATTCACTCTTTTGATTCTGAATGTATTAGTGGTGCGGTCGAATACAGCGGGAAGAACCTCTTCGACGGTTTCGTCAGGAAACTTATTGACAAAATCATATCCAATTTCATAACTTGAGTTATCCATATTGCTCAAAGTATTAAAGAAATGGAGTAAGGTAATGAACAAAAAGATGTGCCTGATCCCACGTGTCAAAAAACTTTTACTGCTTTCTCCAGTTGAGAATTAAATAATGCACCCTTCCCTCTCTACTCCCTAGGTCTACCTACACCCTATGCAGCCTGTATCTACCTACACCTATACACCCTATCTCTACCTGCGCCCTATAACCCCCACGGCCTATCTATTATCCGGATTACACCCTAACTTTTATACACCCTTTTTATCCTACACCGATTCAGTTTCATCAATTCGTCAATTTTGATTGAATTCAACTTTTCAGTACCATTGAATCCCTACCATTTTCTGAGAAGTTGGAGAATAACCTCTCACGTACTCTAAAGACCCACATTCTCAAAGCTCCCTAGCCAACCTCACAAAAGGTACGCCTCCTTCCTACAATGAAGCTACCCTCCACAACACTTTCGACACACGTTTCCAGTCTCTCGAGACTCGATTTAACCAAATCCTGACAAACATCAAAGCTCTATTGCCTCCCACTATTCCTGTGAATCAACCAACACCTGGCACTCTACCACCTTCTCTTCCCTCTCCTGTTGCATCCGAACTCTCAATTTTGTCCGTTCTCACTTGGTCCTCGGTTTGGCCAAGTACTTCATGAACCAAGGATGGATCCCCGCTCAGCTCGCCAAGTCCCTCATAGACCAGCGCATCCCTAGCCGTGATAAACGACTCACATCTCCCCAGACACTCGGTCATACTGATTCCCAGCTCCACAACAACACTGCACCAGTATTCCAATGTCCCCAATCCCAGACGACTCCCTCATACACTATGGATCACATCCACAATCCAGCTCCCCATCGATATAGGGACCCCATGCCTGATTTAGCCTCCAATCCCTCAAATAGTATGAAGAACCACTCTCCACCAACTGCTTCTTTGGAGTACAAAAGATCACAAACCATAGCTTGAAAAACCACCATCACATATAACCCACCAAATCAACACCAACAACTCATCAACCAACTCCACCGTTCGATACAACCCTATCTCTACCAACCTGTGTCCGATTACTCAACGCGTTCTCTCATTACAGACCGTTACTCCTCCTGTAATCCCACCAGAAGATCCTTACACCACATTTTACCTTCGCCGTCCTCTCACCTCCACCATGGCGCCCGAAAAAGCCAAACCAGTTAAGAAAGCTGTCGAAGCAATCAAGCCCTCTCCCCTCGCCACCAGGCAACAGACCTCTCTTGCAACCAAAGAATCTAATTCCAATGAGCACCTCATGCAAGCTCTCAAAGAATTATTCTTACCAAAATTTGATCTAATCTCCTCTGAAATTCAAACAGTCCAGTCCAACGTTCAGAACCGCTTTCAGGATCTTGAAAACGCAGTTGACCAGATTAACGATTCCATGACACATTTGCAGGTAGATCTCACCCAGAAACAAACCAACCTGGAACAACAACAACTACAACAGGTTCTGGCACGTGTCGAGCAATTGGAACAGGAGAAATCCAACCCAATAAACACCTCAGCACCCTCTACATTTCAGGAGGCAATCACCACTGCGCACCAATCAAGTTCCAGTGCTAACTCCTCGAACGACGCATCCAGCTCCACCATTCAGGCACGAGATCACATTATCTCACCTCCAAGAAATCCTAAACCACAGGCACCCGTTGACCCCTTAGCAGGAGGATTGCGTTATTTCACACCCGTTTCCAAGAATCAAGGCTTCCAACATCTATTCATCCCAGCACGCGGTCGCCGAGGTCTGTCGAGTATACGACAGCTACTCTACGACAAAGTCTTCTTCAAGGAGGGATCCGCTGTAGATCTTCATTTCCCCAACTCCTCCACCATAGGCATCCTTGTCCACAACGATTATGCCGACATAGCTCTAAAAAAACTCCGTATCAAAGGCCTTGAGCCAATTACTGACTTTGATCCCTACCATTCAGACAATCTTGGCAATCCAGTCCTCCAGGCACTATCCATCGAAGAACGCACAGCCAAGATGAAAGAGATCGCGGATAAACTGTACCACACCACCCTCGCAGGGCTCGAACACAAACCCAAAGTTCAACTGGCAGTCGCTCGTGATTTTCTTCGTAAAAACAAGATCACCAAGCAAGATCTCCAAGACCTTATCCAACTCCAAAAATCCACCAACAGAGACATTACCCCCAACACCTCAACTCAGCCCCCTAAAGGTGATCTATTCCGGCTTCTCGAGTCAGAAGATGATATCATGGATGAGCCAGGACCTCACGCCGACAGTAATGACAACAACAGCACTAGTATGGATGCCCCCGCATTCTCAGTCCACCCTTCCTCTGCTGGTGGTGGTGAACCAGCCTCAGCTCTCTAAAATGTCGGCCCATCCGACATCGTACCGTCCGGCGGTACCCCCATATGCTATGAATATGAATATGAATATGAACATTAAGAATAAAATCACTAACGTACAAATCGGTAGTATCAATTGCAGAAGCCTCTCTAAGTCCTCTAAAGTCTCCAACTCGCAATCATTCAGTCGTTACCTTACAACACAGCACCTAGACATCCTATGCCTACAAGAAACCCAAGCACTCTCTGAAACCATACAACAAAGATTAGACATGCAGCTCAAAGCACAACAGTCCATTTGGTCCTCACACTGTGGCATCGTATCTCTCAATCCACAGATCCACATCACTAGCCTCTATGTCTCCTCGGATGATCGGGCCATCTTATGCAAAGTACCTCACCCCAACAATGTATTTCCGTCCTTCACCATTATGAACGTTTATGCTCCTGCTACCTTCCACCAACACTATGCCTTCTATGCTAATTTACTATGCTCGGATTACTTTCAAGCCCTACTAACAAATATGACTACTGACAATCCTTTAACCTCAGCACATCCAGACATCATCGTGGGCGATTTCAACTACAATTTCACCCAATTCCCATCACATACTATTCCGGATTACTCACCATCAGTCCTCGAATTTTTATCCTCTGCTTATGCTACACAAGATCCAACAGAAGCGCCTCTCGATCCAGACTCTCAATTCGTAATGCCGCAACTAGATCAACATCCCACACCACTCGTTCGCAGCCAATGGATTTGGCACGGAGTACTGCTACACCACTGCCGTGAAGTCTCTCACAAGCTCCAAACAGATCCCCCTATCCCCACATTCCGCCGCGAGTCCACCTCCACAACAATTGACTGTATGTTCATCTCGACCGACCTAGCTCCACTTGTCAGAAATTCGGATATTCAATTCATTTCTCGTACCTGGACAGATCACGCTCTGTTACGGATTGATCTCCAATTTACATCCAATACACATGGCACAGGTATCTGGAAAGCCAACCCAAATCTTGCTCAAAATGACTACTTCATCACCCAAATACACTCAGCACTCGATGAATTACATGCCAATTTAGCATCATATACAGAACCTCCTCCAGTTCAAATATCATGGGATGAAATTAAGCGACTCACAATCAGCCTCGCCAAGAAGATCAGCCGACACAAAGCTTGCTGGCGTACACAACATTTGAAGCAATTTCAAAGGAAAAGGAACAAACTCATTAAATCCTATCGAGGCCAAAAGGCCATAGCCACCCAGATCCTGAAGGTTGAACGTCTCATCAACAACTTGCAAGAGGAACTCGTCGAAGTTGCAGCTCTACGCTCTGGCCTGCGCTGGAGAGAACAGGGTGAAAAATCAGCGGGACTTATGAAGCGACTCACCACACAGCGTACCAATCGCAGATCCATTGACACACTATATCACCCGGACACCAATGAATTATGCAACCAACCAGACGATCTACAAGCAGCTGCCCAACGCTACTATGAAATCTTATATACACCCGCTCCGGTAGATCACTCAAATATTTCATACTTTACTAACCAAATCCCACCTTCCGACAGACTCTCCAATACCTCTCATGACTCTCTCTGCGCTCCCTTCACTCCCGAGGACCTCAGTGATGGAGCTTTCCGCTCTCCCAACAAAAGTAGTCCAGGTATGGATGGGCTCCCTTATGAAATCCTTAGTGTACTGTTCCAGCATCCAGCTACATTGAAAATGGCTCTTCAGGTGTATAATGAAGCACTTTCCATTGGCATCTTTCCACCTTCGTGGCAACAAACCTGTCTGATCCTTCTACCCAAGAAAGGGGATTTGTCTCTCTTGAAAAATTGGCGACCAATCTCTCTAATCAACACGGACGCTAAGATTTTTACCCGCTTAATTAACCATCGACTTACGACACACCTAGGATCCAAACTTAGCACTACTCAAATGGGGTTTATGCCACAACGATTCATTGGCGAACAAGGTTTGATCGTTCAATGTATGCAGGAAATCGCCACCAAGACCGGCTCAACTACAATCGCTCTCCTTCTCGATCAAGAGAAAGCTTACGACCGAGTTCACATAGATTATCTTCGCGCGTGCATGGAAGCCTTCAACATACCGCCCACACTTACTACTGCCATCACCTCACTATTCTCTTCAACCACTAGTACCGTGAATGTCAATGGCTTCCTGTCACCTTCCTTTCAACAAGGCCGAGGTCTACGTCAAGGCGACCCACTCAGTCCACTACTCTTTAACATTGCCTTCGACCCACTGCTTCGTGCTATAAACAATCACAGCAACATCACAGGTTTCCATTTACCCCTTGAAACTAATCAATCTATGTCTATGCCCTCCCCTCCTCCCATCAAAGTTTTAACATACGCGGACGACACCCTTGTGGTCCTCCGGAATCCCACAGAATTTGAACACCTCCAAGACATCATCAACCGATATATGGCCTCATCTAATGCATATCTCAACTACAGTAAACCCAAGCACTCTCGTTATCAGGTAAACCGCATCCACACTGGATTTCTTTCCTCCAAGATCAGGGTATCACCTCATGGCACGACCGCACCGCTACCGAACCACTCACCTATCTAGGCTCCGCCATATGCTCAAGTGCCAATCAACGCGCAACCTATGCCCTCTCCATCATCTCCAAGATTCGCGCCTATTGCCAGCTTCACTTCACCCGCGCACTAGCATACCGAGGTAGGGTCACCGTCATCAATGCGCTCTTATCTTCGAAACTTTGGCACGTTATGCGCCTCTTTACATTTTCATCCCCTGAACTCAAACAGCTCCAGCAACTCGCCGCCACCTTCATCAACCGCGGATCCAAAATCTCTCGCCTCGCTTTTGACAACCTCACCCAACTCATCCACCAAGGTGGCTTGAAACTCCTCGATCCAGCCACTCAAGCTAATGCCTTACAATGGCGTTGACTCTACTTCCTGATTCAGCCCCCACAAGCCTCACCTTCACTTATGCCGTCCATTCCCATCCTTAGATACACTCTCAACTTTGTTCTTTCCACTGCCGAATATCCTTCCTATCATTGGTCATTCCTATTTCCCCATTGTCGACCGGTCATTCCTCGCCTTTTTGGTCCCATAGTCAACTTACTACGAGCCGTAGATTCGATCCCCCACAACTACTATTTCAGCCACGCCACCATGTCCACATGCCTTCACCTACCACTGATGGAACTCCTCGTCCACAATCTCCCCCCAACCCACCCAATAGCTCACCTCTTTCAACCCTCTCACAACGTTCTCAAGAACCAACCAACAATCCGTCAGCTCAAAGGATCCGATATATTTATCTTCAATCCCAACCGACTCTGCCTAGAATACAATCATCTCCCCCAGCTCTGCCACACGGCCCATCAATCAACAAAACTATCTCTCTACTTTGCTCTAACCAACTACTTCTCAACAACTTTGTCCTTTACAACTTTCTCCCCAATGTACCGCGACCTCACAACGCCTTGGAGGTTCACAACCTTCCAAATTCCAACATTCCTTCATTTTCAGCTCTCCACTCCTTTGTCACCACTCTTCTTATACCTCCAGAACCCAACAATATTCGTCCAACTACTAAAGCTACTTCTATCAAATACTTCAAATGCCTCCTAATCTCTTCCTCTCCCCCTACCCCGAGTTCTATCCTTTCTTCTACTCAATGGCGTCAGTTTTGGAAGCTCGAAATAGCTCTGAATGCACGTAATACTTGGTACCGAATCCTCCTCAACAAAATAGCCACCAAAGAACTCCTACGCCTTCGTATGTCTGATAAATTCGCTTCTCATTGCACGATCTGCCCTTCTAGAACTACCAACATAGAAACGACAACGCACTTTCTCTTTTCCTGTCCCATCAAATACACTGTCTGGTCCCAAGCACTCTCCACATACATAGACCCAGATCTGCAATCTCCCACTTATGAGCAATTTCAAGAACTTCTCTACCTTCGCTCCCCCTTATAGTCTCAACATCTTCACCCTACCCCACTCTCATCACGTACCAAGTATTTTCCTGCATTCTTCAAACAATTTGGAGCTGTCACTACAGATTCATCTTCGACTCCTTTCATTTTGAACCCCCTCCAAGTCATGCTCTGCATAGACAGGGCACTATATACTTTAGTTTCCCAAGACAACGTTCACTCACTTCTATAGCAAAGCACCTTATATCCAGTCTTACTATTCTCTTCCCCAATCCGGGTACGCTAATAAGACTTTAAACAAAGAATTTTATTAATAAAACAATAATCTTCTTTAAAAAAAAAAGCTTCTTTGGAGTACTTTTCAAGGCGCATCTAATGGTGTTAATAAAAAGAGGTTTTTGGCCAAAATGTCGAGATTTTCTATACCAAGATTTCACAAACAAAGCTTTAGGGGTTGCTTTGGAACAAGAGATTCATTTTGAATTAATATATACCATAGTAAAAGCCTTCGTTTTCAAAATCAAAAACGCGATCGTCTGATTTTCGATGAAAACCATGAGGGGCACCTCATGGATTTTTGGTCGATTTTCGACGATCCCAAAAAGTTGAGCAAAGGTATCAAAAAGATAGTGCCAGATGAAAGCAAGTGTTTGGTGCTATTCTAACTGCTTAAAACAGCTTGTAACACGAGAAAACACGTCTTTAATGCTTCCAAATTTAGCTCTGATTTGCATATTTTTGAGTAGTAGAAGGTAATCCAGGTATACTTTAGACCTGTATCTGAATTGCACCCATTGATATAGACGCGTAGCATTGTTGAAGAGTCAGATCGAGAATTACAGGCTGATTACTGGTGATTTTTATCAGGTGATGCCCAGTACGCTTATATAGTATACACATGTAGTGTTACAGTAATGTATGATAGGAGGGAGTGGTGGCGAATGAGATGGTATGATATTTACAAAGACAAAAACGTGTCAATGCCGTAATGTGAGATGTGATTGTCCTTCATGCTAATATATAGGATTGTTCGGTTTTGATGTTCTTGCAGCAGATGTTCAACCTCAAGGTATGTTTGCTCTGTACATTGAAAATTACAATGATGAAAGAAATGTGTCTCGGATCAAAGGCCACAGAACGACGCCGGCGCTGAGCGTAGCGAAACCAGTCGACTAGTATGTATTTACTTGTTTGCCACTTGCCTGTCTTGGATGACGAGTAGAACTATCTCAACTAAAACCAAATAGAAAGAAGCCGGCATCCCATGAGATGAAAATACTGATACCATCTTTGCTGTAGTTTTTAAATGCCTTGCTTGGTTTTGCAAAAGGCTCTTTGATATTTATCATTCACCAGCACTGTGTCATGATTTGGTAAGATTGTGCATGTGAAGACTACTTAAAAGCAAGGGGATTAAAAACAATAGGATATAATTGTATTTATTAGTGTAGTGAAAGGTGCGTTTGATGAACAGGGTGCTGACAATGCTAATTTGGGGTGTTTGAGTGAATCATATACATATAGTGATGTCTTTATAAAATATACATTATGTTAGATACTAGACACAAGTAACTGTAAATTAGTAACAATAGAGGAAAAACAAAGAGTTGAAGGTGAAAAGTAAGAGAGAGAATGTGGGAATTAGAAGGGATCGCTGTTGATGGCTAATTCTTCGTAGCCAGGTATATAATTTACGTCAAGTTTCACCTTGTGAGAGATTCGCAGGCTATCGGTCAACAAGGTGGGCTTCAAGTCTGGCGAGTTTCTGAGGGCACGGTTGTAAGCTCTTTGGTTTGCAATGTGTGAGTGTTTCAACTCATCAATAGCAGTGAGGGTTTGTCGCAACATAGATCGTAAATTCCACAATTCAATGCAAATGGATTCCACGGGCAGCTCGCAAGAGGCACAGTTGTCGGGTATAATCACACTATTTATCAAGTTCAGAACATATAGACCAGGCGAAGGCATTTCAAAGCTCCAGAATCGTAGTTTGTTTTTTTTGGCGTGTACAAAGAAGATGCGAAGTGAGGAAAACGTTTCAAATGAAGCGAAGTTGTACAAGCGCGCGATTTCATTCAACATTGCTACTAATCCATATCCTGCCTTTACGTGATCTTTGATAGATCTGCTTTCATCATTGAGTTTGAAAGGACCAGAAACCTCTAGGAGGACCAACTCGACACGAACACCGTCTATAGCAGTAGAGATACACCCGTCCGCATTGTAGTGGTGATTACCGCCAATTTTTCTTCTAGCCAGTTCCTTATCTACAGCTCCTAAATAATATTCTCCACAATGAAAATTCAAATGGGTAACTGTGTTGACAATAGTATCCAATAATGGCCAAATAGCATAGTGGGAGTAATTGCCTTCGTGCTCACAAACGCAATTGTTGCTGAAAATTGACTGGAGCAGAATCTTGATAACAGTGGCGACCATTAACACTTGAGGTTTCTGTTTGTCGTCGTAGCTGATCTGGTCTAATAATCTTGCCATGAGCGATTGGTTTGCTGTTTGATCGAAAATATGGTCAAATATGTCGGCATGATTTGAGATGGGATTGACAAGAGAAGGTGAACCGTAAATGAGCAAGTTGTACAGCTCAGGAGGGTAATGGTCTCTGCATTGCAATTGATTTCCACACTGTATGATGCCAAGGCGTTCCAGACTGTAAGTGTTCACAGAGTCATTTTCCAAGTGAGATCTCCAACAGGCCCATATATCGTCTTGACAATTGATAGAGATAGAGGGCTCATTGTCAGCAACAGGTTGATTTGATTCATGGATAGGGTGGTCAGATGGTGTGGCATTGCTATCCTGATCAGCTTCTGTCTCAATGCTATCATTGTCAGACTGTGCCTCGTTACTATCGTCGTCAGCAGCACGTATCTCGCTACTATCAAATTGATTAGTAAATAATATAGCATGTTGTCATTGCGTTTTCTCATTTACAGATATCTCTTTGACGGCGGCGCATTGAGTTCATGATCGGTTGACTCTCTCTTTTTGTAGTTATTACAGCTGTAGTTGGTTACGTTGCCAAAAGAAAAACCATGATTTGTTGATGCCTGCATGTTTACATTGATATTTGGATTCGAAGTACTGGGTTGCATTGTTCGGGCTGATGTTTCTTTTTTGCAAAAAGACTTCCAACTTGTGAGCCATGACTTAATTACACTATCGTCTGCTTTCAGTAGGAGTTGGTGGAATTCTGTCAACTGTTGCTCATTAGTCAAGTTTGGAGCTGCCAGTTTGAAAGCATCAAAAGCATCACGTAGATTCCAAGCGCTTTTCCTTGTCTTTTTGAAGTAGTCGAAGTTTTCAGGCATCTGCTTATGGAGAAAAGACAAAGAATTGTGGCGGGTTGCACTTTGAGCCATCACAATCAAACGAGTTTGCGGAAAGGCCCATAATACGCGTCACAACAATCTGTAGCCGTAATCTTGCCAGGTTCAAAATCCGAGGCTCTTCATCTGAAATCATCTATTTTACCATACATTATACTATCATCTTGAACTAGACGTTAAAAACGTGTCTTAAACATGTACAGCCTACATGGAATCATAAAACCAGAGTCTAGTTAAGTTTACTTAAGCTGAACTTTTCTATAAAATTATGAAATATAACGGAATTCTTAGGGCATTTGGATCTCTTTTCTTGACAACTAGTTTGAAGAGACTCTTGGTTCTTACCAAACCATGGCGCTCTCTTTCCAACGGAGTCTTCAAGAGGGTTTCAAGTTTATCGACTGTGTTGGTTGCTTGTATCTGTCGAATGCGGCAGCCTCTGGCGTCTTGTTGAATAGTGCACTACAAGAGTAATCTATAGCTGCATCCAGGATTGTCTGATTGTTCAATACTTCTGCAAGGAAGAGTATTGTAGACCGTCTAGGGAAATGTATCATTTAGTTTCTTTCAAACTTGTTGTCGAGAAAATGATGTTGTTTGGATTTTCATGATTAGGTATAGTATTTATAATCATCATCAAAACAAAGTAGCTAAAAAGCATATTATAATAATATAGCTGGAATCCGAGATCATGGATCATTCGTTTGCTGAAATGAAGGAGGGAAAGTACAAGGCTCGACATTAGAAATAGCATTGTAGCCATTGTGTAGAAGAAACTCTTGGTTCTTACCAAACCATGGCGCTCTCTTTCCAACGGAGTCTTCGAGAGGGTTTCAAGTTTATCGACTGTGTTGGTTGCTTGTATCTGTCGAATGCGGCAGCCTCTGGCGTCTTGTTGAATAGTGCACTACAGGGGTAATCTGTAGCTGCATCCAGGATTGTCTGATTGTTCAATACTTCTGCAAGGAAGAGTATTGTAGACCGTCTAGGGAAATGTATCGTACTTGCTCTCTTTCCAACGGAGTCTTCGAGAGGGTTTCAAGTTTATCGACTGTGTTGGTTGCTTGTATCTGTCGAATGCGGCAGCCTCTGGCGTCTTGTTGAATAGTGCACTACAAGAGTAATCTATAGCTGCATCCAAGATTGTCTGATTGTTCAATACTTCTGCAAGGAAGAGTGTTGTAGACCGTCTAGGGAAATGTATCATTTAGTTTCTCTCAGCATTGCTGTTGCTATCTCTGAAATGATCGACTGTTGCTTGGATTTTCTATCCGTTGTTCTGATTGTGTTTTCTCTTAGGTTATATTTTCGGCCTGGATATAGTGATATAGCAAAATCTTCCACTTTAAGCACTGGTTCGCAAGAAACTACATTCTTTCCTGGTGTATGGTTAGACTCTATCGAAAGATTCGATTGCAAATGTCAATTCATCTTGGCTGGACATGATAATTCTAACGCAAGTTTCAAGAAATCAATTATATCAATTCTTCGTATAGTCGTAAAAGACGATACTGTTTGCGATGCGTATCCTTGAAAGTCAATGTTGTAACACTCCTAAATGATACTTGGTGGTGCGAATATAGAATAGGAATTGGTTTAGATTAGCCCAAGTTTTTTGCGTTTAATCATTTTCACCCAAACCTATAAAACCGTTAAATTCAATTTACCTATTTTGGAAAACTTGGCTATACAGGCCATGATGATCATGATATTCTCTCTTATGCTTCTTAGAGTACACATGGACCTATTACTAACTCCATCTTTCGATTTAAAATCGAAGAAAAATATATAAAATCCTAACAACATTTCCGATTAAAAATCGGAAGAAGATTTTTATACGTTTTTCTCTTTCATTATTCACTTAAATTTGAAATACTTTCAGAGTATAATACTTGTAATTAGTATATACAATACTACATAAATATGAATGTACATTTACTATTGCTTTTTTGTATTAATCTGTAGTTAAGTAATTGACAGAAAACACAGCCAAAAAATTGCCTTTTTTGGTAACTATTTGCCATTTGAGCCGCTGCAATGGATCAGTCCTTAGTTTGAGCCTCTCCAATGGATCAATCACTAGCGTGAGCCTCTGTATTGGATTAATCTCCAGTTTGAGCCTTTGTAATAAATTAATCTTTAGTTTGAGCCTTTGTAATGAATCGTTATCTAGTTTAAGCCTCTGTAATGGATCAATCTTTAGCTTGTGCTTCTGTATTGGACTAATCTTTAGTTTGAGCCTTTGTAATGAATCAATCTCTAGTTTGAGACCTTGAAACAAAGACGCGGTGAAATAAGTCTTATGTATCGCTCTAATCCAGCCTATGATATGAATTTACGATGCCATTCAGGGAAATTATGTAGATCATGTAGTAAAGTTGGGCAATGTGTGTACATTGTCAACTGCGCTTGGATTTTCCTTTTATTGATGTCTACGTACAATGGCTATTGGGCCATTTTTCATGCCTTCATACACAAGCTTCATATACCAGAAACTTAAATTATCCAAATTTGCCATCCCAGTTAGTTCATGGAAAGGAGACGTTTCCACCTCAGTATCTGGATGTTTATACTCTGGCCAATTGACTAGATGAAGTTCATCATGCTTATTTTTTAGCAGGTCAGTCCAAGGAACTTGTGAGTATCTCAGGGCCGCTAAATGTATGAAAAATAATCAACAATTACAATTTTCGTCATTTTTTCTGGGTTTTCAACTCCCATAAGGCCTTAAAAGGACTAATATACTGTTTGCAGCTGCATAGCTATTGTTGGAAAGGTTTGGAAGCAGAACATTTACATGACTCGAACTGAAGGAAGCTTGCTTATGTTAAGATATTGTTATAAGACCTACTCAAAAATTAAACTTCGTATAACAACGCTTACAACATCATAATATTCTAGGAACTGGTTGTCAGATCAAGGTAACTGTTATTTTATGCATACAACCAAGTTACTGGATCATTGAAATGCTTCCAAACATTACTATCACTTCAGTATCAATGATAGTATACGCTGTGATTTCCAGGATCAGAAATACAATTATTTTAGACTACATTATAACGAAAAGGCGTTTTTTTTTTGTCGATATTAATGCTTCACATGGTCGTATCTAAAGAAAAGCAATTTCAATTGTTTTGTAAGATAAGTGGAACCAATACTTCCTTCAATGGCGAGCCACAGAAAGGTAAACCATGTATGTAAACGATTGCAAGTGAGAATGGGAATGAAGAGTGCTAATAGTGTTCCTTATACTAGACTGTTGCCTCTTCTGATGAATTGATTTGACGTCTGTACCTATGGAATTATGATTTCTTATCTGGTTATGGAACACGTATCATATATAACTCACCAAGACGTAATAGTATTATTTCCACAGATGAAGATCATGTCATTTAGAAATAGAATTGTCAACTGTTTTGCGAGAGTAATTCATATATATGTTACGTCTGTCATTAGATCTATAGTCATTATGATGATAAAACTTTATTTTTAGTAGTAGAAGATTGAAGGTTGAATAATGATATAGAGCCACTAAATAGACTGCTCGAGCATAACTGAGGCTAGTGTAGACGCTATGCTGTCAGCCATACTTGTTTGACTATCACCATAACCACGATTATCATCGCCACCATCGCTCTCTTCATCATCATCATCGACTTCATCGTCTCTACCATTATCACTGCTAACAATGCCTTCTTCATCTGCGCTGTCATCAGCAAGTGGTCTTGGCGAGAACAGGTTGACATCACTTCTGTCAGCAAAGCAAACGACTACCAAATCATCATCTCCTGCCTCGGGGTTGTACCTTGGTGGATTCTTTTTCAAGATTTCCATCAAGTGGCGTTTGTTTTTTTTATACAGCCATACCCACTTGAGATAATCTATCTTGATCAAGTGGTTCTGGCGAGCAGCTTCATAGATGCCATCAATACGAGCGAGTAAGTTCTGCTCGTATCTCTGTGCCTCTTCCTACGACATTACCAGAAATTATTAACTGCAGAATGGATTTGGTATTTGACACTTACAACAAGAATTGATGTTTCCTCGACACACTTTCTAAGGGTATGCCAGTCTTTCATTCCTTGAGACAGCCTCAAGAAATCAGCATCTTCATTGTTTCTGAGCCTTTGCAGCTCAATTGCGACACTGGGCACTTTTTTTACTGGGATCCCCTAATATGTCAGAGAGAGATTGAGAAATCCTACTCTTGATTAGAAAATTTGGTAATCAACAGAGCTTACCTCCAAAGTTTCTATCGACAAAATTGTTAATGCTATCTACTACTAGTCCAGCCTTCTTTGTAGAGGAGGCAATGGATACTAGCAGCCTAGCAGCTTTATCAGTTCCTAAGAAAATTGATTAAAACCAATTTAAACGGCTTGGTGTATCTTGCTTTTTCTTTACCAGTCGAATTGGGCCTACGAAGCTCATTATCGTTCATGAAAATGGAAAAGATTAGTTGTCTTAAGACTTTAACTAATATGTTGTGGCATTCATCTTTGATTGCATCAAAGTATTGCTGCATTGTAATGTGACCAAAGGTTGTCGGCCTTCCTCCATGGACAATTAACTGAGGAAATAGTCGCTCGAGTTCATTGAGTTTTGCTTCCAGTTGACGCTTCAAGCCAGTTATATAGCCACTTGTAATACTAAATGAAAATCAAATGATTAATTTGTTGGCTCAAAAATATCATGCAATATCTTACGGCGAATCTCTTGAGTTGAGGAAAATGAGTTGACCAGCTGTCACTGCATACTCATGCTTAATATCGTTCATAAGCAAGATGTTTCCTTCAGCCCTTTCATGTAGCCTTTGAAGGTTCCTCACGTTGGAAAAGGGCACAGCGAGCGCAGTTCTGTGGCTATTCCACTGTACTTTGAAACTGCTGTAGGCACTCTTGGTCATGTTGAGTTGTCTGATAGTGTCCATTGCTTTGTCGTAGTTTTTCACGAACAAATTTGCTATGAGTAACGTAAATTACTTGGTGCTACTGTTTAAATAAACATATTAGTCAACTTACGCAATTCTATCATCTTCTCATCGCAATATGCCTCAGCCAATTCAATAATCATGGCCCTACGGCTAGCTTTGGTCATCGACCTGATTTGCGCGACGAAATGGTTGGCAAACGACCAAAATCTCTCTAGAAAAACCATTAATCATCAATAATGCCTTTGGATCATACCTGACATACCTGCTCCTTCTCCATCTAGAGCAATGAATAAGAAGCTTTTAGAGCATGAAAATGTCAATCATCAAGACTAAAGGTCTTACCTGTTAACCCTAGTGCATGATCCACATACCTGGGGTTGTTTTTGGCTTGGCAAGCAGCACTAAGTGCGTACGCATGAAAAATACTCATCGCATACCACACATCACGCTCGCTTTGAAGCTCTGGGAAAGCTTTCTTTTGACCAATAATTGCAATCAGTATATTGAGTTTACATATGATCCAGGCCACAGGAACTTACGTTGAAAGTTTCTCTACATGCGCATGCTACATCATACATAATCAGAAGCTTCTGATCTTCTTCCAAGTTTTTAATGACATGTTCTACACCAGCCAAAGCATACTTTCTCCTACAAAAAGATTAATTACAATTAGATCCACAGCCGACTAATCTCTTACCCTTCTCCCTCAAAAATATCAAATAGTCTTTCAACAATTCCATGACGAGCACAATTTATACTGAAGACACCTAGGAGACAATCACATTTGGGTTAGATAATGTCCAATGAAGGATGAATTCATAATTTACCATTTTCATCAAAGCGGTTGCTGGTAGTTCTGCGGTTATTACTGAGAGCTTGAAACTCGCTATCTAAATTTTCCAGAAGGCACTATTAAGATGATATAAATGTGAGCATTGGAATTGTCTAGTATAAACAAAACATTTACATCCTCGGTCGCAGCAGCCTCTGCTCGATCATATTTGTCGACATCTGCTTTGTCACCAAACTTTGCTTTCTCAGCCTCAGAAGTAAGAAAGATGTTTGGATTGCCATTATCAACAATATCAATCTGTCTAGATCTATATCTGTTTTGTTGAAAATTTCCATCCATTGTGATTCCCTTTCTTGGTGCCCCCCTGGTTGTATTCTGATTAATTGTTGTACTCTTCAAAGGACAGTTTCTTACCTTGCATGCCAAGCAGCTGCAATCTCTTTCCACATCATGTTGACGATATACGCTGTCAATGGAGTGTTTTTTTAACTCTCTGATAAACTACAGCCAGTTCGTGAAACGAAGATGGAAGAGGTTTGAACTGGTGTTGTCAAGAAGCCGATTAGAGGGACATGATTTTAACTGATAAGTGAAATACATACTTTGGGATCATAGCTTGAGAGTCTCAGGTTGCTAGCATTGTTTGCTTTAACAAAGCCATAAACCGATGAGTACGCATTTAAGCGATTGTCAATCATAGACTCAAAGAGGGAGAAATGCACTGCAGACTTGGGAAACACAGTTGCTGTTGGCATCATTTGAGACATCAAAAGCGACTCGAGCAATGTTTGGTGCGAGCAATACTCCACTTGGAAAATACATCGCTCTATTCCATAATGTTAATCCTCACATTTGGAAGTTTTTCCTTTGGTTTTTGTATTTACTAAACATCATGAACCCATTGATAGACCATGAAGTGATTCGGGAGGTACAATCGCAGCTTTGGGGCTTCGTTCCAATAATTATCGGCGCGTCGAGGCATGGATCGGCATGGCCATGCAATTCGTGGCTTTCTATATAGCTCTTCAAAAGCACTTCACTGAGATCTTGCCACTTGAGATATCTGTCTGAGAGGGAAGTATTGACTTCCTCATCAACATCTCCAGTTAGTTCATCTAAGTTAATGACATTTGATCCGCCATTTGGTCTATTGTTGGCAGAGGACGAACTAGGTTCTTGCTGATTTCTTTCAGCAGAGGATAAGGGGCGAGGATGTCTTGCAGGAACAGCTCGACGAGCTTCATTCACGTTGACCCCTGAAGCATTCATGTTTGCCAAATAGTTTTTTACTAATTGTTTTTGTTTTCTTCTTTTTTGCTGTTGAAATTCCATAGTGTACGTTCTGGGTTCCTTCTTCAGAGATCCAGCGGATCCACTTTCGTCTTTCTTTCTTTGTTTAGTTATTCTATTTCTAGACATGTTCAAAAATCAAATATATATATATATATATATATATATATATATATATATATATGTATTTTAAAAGTGAAAATTTCGGAAATGCAGGTACAATGACAGTTGCTGTTTGTGTGCAAGAACCTTGTAGTCACACTACTTCAGTTCCTTTGTATCACTTAGTAGCTGCCAATTATAAATCGAGAATAAGCACAATAAATATAATATGAAAATTTGTGACGAAAACGTGATATATATGAACCCCATTAGCTCTAGGAGTTTGCCCACTATATATGCGTCTATACAGCACAGCTTTTTGATATCTCATTCATATATTTTTCAGTGCTATACCATCAGTAATGTACAGGACAGATACAATCTCAAAGCTGAGGCGCTGATTGGAGAAAGGTACGATTGATAATCAAAGCATCATCGATTTTTAATCGATTTTTAATCGGAAGTGATAGTTAGTAAGGGGTGTCAAGATTGGACAAATTTGATCTTCTTTCGATTTAATTAAGCTGTTTTGTGATATTCGACTATATAAATTGTGATGATCACGCAACGTTTCCTAGTACATCTTTGGAGTACTTTTCAACGCGCTTCCAATGATGCTAGTTGCAATGGATGTTTCGAATAAAACGATTGAGCAATTTGGTAAAATACGGAATGAAGTTTTTGGCCAAAATGTCGAGATTTTACATACAAGGGCCTCAAAAACAAAGCTTCAGGGGTTGCTTTAGATCGAGAGAAACATTTTGAATTAATATATACAAGAGCTCTTTCGCGTAACCATCACTACCCCTAAGGTGAAAATTACGCCACTGCTTAAATCACATCTACAACCTTATAACCACCAGCGTTCCACTACCCATCCTCATGGCTACCACCACTGACCTCTCTTGGGTCACGGTCCTCTCTCGAGGCCTCTCCAAGAAGGTCATCAATGCTCCACAACAGCGAGCTAAAGATGACCATTTTAAACTAATTCCTGAAGTTATGTTCGAACACGAAGATCTGAAGGCCGAGGTGCTCACTCGTAAAGCTACTGCCATCCTGCAGCAAGCTTTGACACCGGGATCGGTTTTGTTTGCCTTTCCAAACAAACTTTTTGTGCATCGTACAACAGCGTATCGCCTCATTCAGGAACAGATAGCTGCTAATGTCCAGTTTCGCCCCCTTAGTCTGTATCACCAGAAGTCAACTGGAGATCTCTTGGTGGAAGCTAAATTTGACTCCCCTGAGGATGCCAAACGAGCCATCAACAACGGCATCACTCATGGCGATGTGGTATACAAAGCTACTGCTGTCAAGGACAACAGCGAGGGCAAACTCACCCATGTGCAGATGACTATTGTCCGCATGCCAAACATGACCACTTTTCTGGAGGACTTGCAACGCTCGCTGAAATACTATGGTAAGCTATACCAAATCAAGAAGTACACTGTTGATGGCTTCTTTGAGGGTCATGTCAGCTTCCTGATCGACACTTCGGTCAAGTACACTGACGCGGAAGGTCACTCCTACGACGTACAGCCTTTGAGTCGCATGCTTTACCTTTCCGCCTGGGATGTCTATGTGCCAGCGACATACAGAGGAGCACCACCAGTTTGCCATTTCTGCCGTCAGAGTGGACACATTTGCGCTGCTTGTCCTATCCTAGCTAAACGCAAATGTTTCAAATGTCACAAGTTGGGACACACTGTTAAGTTCTGTCGAGAGGAAGAGAAGCCTTTTGACGAAGCAATCGCTGAATATGAGTCGAGCCAAAGGGATCACACTGATTCCTACTCAGTCACTCCAATTGATAAAGTTAACGAAAAAGAGAAGGGCCACAGAGCATCCCCTGCGATCAATGGTATTCTCGCGCAGCAACTGCCATCTCAGCCCACCACCACAGACAAGCTAGCCGGCAAAACGACCGAGCTCACAAGTAGCCAGATCAGTACCTTGTTTTCCGCAGATGACAGCCAAACCTGGGACCAGTCTCCGGATGTGATGGAGGTAGATCCCCAGACCCTCCAGCGTTCTCCCAACGGTAGCGATGCTTCTAAGCATGCTCCGTTAGCTTCGTCCTTCCATATGCATTTGGATCCCAAGTTATCTGCTGACAATGTCTCCTCTCCCAATGATTTCCAGACTGATGTGCCCTCTCTCCGCCGTCATTCTATGAGCTCGACGTCTATGTCGCAGCCTCAAGTGTATCATGTCGCCCATAGGGCATAATGATACAACAATCATTGCGCATAGGTACCCTTAATGCCCGGAGCATCTTTAAGGGTTCCTCAAAATCTATACAGAAGGAATTCACTTCCTTTCTGCGCTCCAAAACCCTCCAGCTAGATATTCTCTGTCTGCAGGAGGTCTCTCATTACCGTCAGCAGGCCCACCTCACTGATGATAATGTGCGTGCTTTCTCTTTTATGTTTCCTCGGTCTTCCTTTGTCGTCTCGAAGCATTGTGCAATAGTGTGTCTGAAGCAAGGCTTGGAGCTCGCGGATGCCACCATCTCTCGTGACGAACGCTGCATCACCGCCACTATTAAGGACGCTAATCACACCATATGCCAGATAGCTAATGTGTACATGCCCGTGCACAGAGCCCATCGCTATGCTTTCCTGGAGGAGCTGATGTCCATGCCCTTCTGGTCTGATATGCTTGACTCCCAGTGGATCTTGCTTGGGGATTTCAATATCCATTTACATGATGCGGTCGAAGCTCGTCTCCCTAGAGTCCAACCTTTTGTTGAATTGCTGAACACTCATTTTTTCAACTGTTTTCCAAAAGGCACAATGACTCTCCCTAAAGCTGGCACCACCATTGACTATGTCTTTGCTCCTCCTCCTATGGCGACTCGTATCATCAACACTCAGACTCACCACATTCCACCTGAGTGGACCGATCACAGCCTCCTCACAATCGATCTGGTCACCTCTGGCGTCCAGTTGGGTCCTGGCAGCTGGCGTTTGAATCCGTACTTGCTTGAGAACCGTGAATTCCAAGCCCTTTTGGATAAAACCGTGGATATGTTTTTGGCGTCTGACTATTATACGACAGATGTGGCTGATATGGGTGTCTCTGCTCAGGAGAAGTGGGAATCTCTCAAGTCGATCATCAAGTACTGTGCCAAACAGTTCACCAAAGGCCAGAAGGCTCGCTTCAAAGCTCGAGTCTCCCACCTCCAACGTGAACGGGAACAGCTACTTGGGACCCCGGAGGAGTCGGCAAGGATCAAAAGACTGGAGCAACTGATTGAGCAACGGATTCAAGATGACACTCGTCAAGCTATGCTGCGTTCGGCTACTCGTTGGCTGGAAATGGGAGAGCAAAACAACAAATACTTTTTCAATGTGATCAAGGATCGTGAGGCGCAACAAACCATCCAGTCCTTGAAAAAGGCTGGCACTGGAGAGAAGCTGACAGACATGGGCGACATTCTCCAAGAAGCTCGTACTTTCTATCAAGATCTCTACACACCTGAAGACATTGATTTGGCTGCCGTCAACTCTCTCTTTGACAATATCCCTGCTGATGCGAAGCTACAAGAAGCTGAGGCAGACCGGCTGATTGAACCACCCTCCACAGACTCTGTCTTGCTGTTACTGGACCATGCACCCAAGAACAAGTCTCCTGGTTTGGATGGCCTTCCGTTTGAGGTGTATCGCTATTTGGCGGCGAAGTTCCCTGCTGTTCTGCTTCTCTTGCAGCAAGTGCTGACTGATGCGCTGCGTGGTGTCTTCCCTGACTCTTGGAAAGAAACGAGGATGGTACTGCTGTTCAAGAAGGGCGATCCAGAGCTCCTCAAGAACTGGCGACCTCTCTCGATGATCAATAGCGATGCTAAGCTGTTCACCAAGATGTTAGCCAACCGGTTCAAACGTGTCCTCTCCCGATTGATTACGCCGTACCAAACAGGCTTTATGCCTCACCGGCTCATCTCGGACAATGCGTGGTTGAACCAGACGCTGATGACCAACCTCCGTGATGCAGCTCCTCAGGATCCCAATGTCGCCGTACTCTTGGATCAAGAGAAAGCCTATGATCGGGTCAATCCGACATATCTGGCGATGGTTCTTCGTCAGTTTGGCTTCCCGGCATCGTTGGTATCCAGTGTGTCAAGTCTGTTCTTTGGTACTCGTATCTCCTTGTCAATCAATGGGTGGTTGGGCGCCCCCATCGATCAACAACGTGGTTTACGACAGGGTGATCCGTTGTCCCCTTTGCTGTTCAACCTGGCTTTCGAGCCGTTCCTTAGAACCATCTTGGCCTGCCCTTCTCTTCAAGGCGTCTCAATGTCTACCGCTGTCCGTGCTCCTCTCGCAGGGCGTATCTCTCGTGCCTCCTCTCTCGTGCCGGTCCAAGGCGACCATGATCTCCTACGCGCTCCGGCGACCCCTCCACGGGTGAAGCTGTTGAGCTATGCCGATGATCTGGAAGTCTTCCTGACTTCTACGGCGGAATGGCCTGTGCTGCTGTCTCTTTTGTCGCTCTATGGCAAAGCGTCCAACGCCAAGGTCAATTTGGAGAAAACCGTGCTGTTGTCGCTGTCAGGCGAGGCTCATGCTGATTGGAAGCGAGTGACGGAAACGTCTAACATTGAGTGGTACGACAGCTCGTCAGTTGGCTCTGTGAGGTATCTAGGTTACCCTCTGTATCATACAGAGGAACAGTTGCAGCATTTCCTGAATTCCATTACCGTGAAGATTCAACGTCATTGCAATCTGCTCACCAAGCGGCAGCTATCCATTCGTGGAAAGGGTTTAGTGGCGAATTCCCTTCTGCTGTCTCGCTTGTGGCATCTCCTGCGTGTGGTTGTGGTTCCTGACAAGTGGCTGGAGGAGATACAGCGCGTGGTACGCCAGTACATCGTCTCGTTTTGGCCTACTGTGGCTTGGGATTCTCTCTGCCTTCCTAGGAAGCATGGAGGTATTGGTCTGGTTGACATCAAGAAGCAACATCTCGCCTTGCATCTCATATATGTCAAGCGTCTGCTTCGTCCCAGATCCCCAGCGGATTTCCTCACTCCCTGGCTGATGTATACATTCCATGTATACTCAGGTCATGCTACGGTGCTGCCTTTGCTGCTATACCCACGTACCTGCTGGCCGCGTGTGCGGAAATGCCCTCACTTGGAGCATCTGGCTCGTCTACTCACTCGTTTGCCTCCCTTGACTCTCACTCCTGAGTGGCCGTCTTGCTGGCTCCTAGATCTGCCCTGGTTACAAGTATGCTCCCTGTCTCCCACAGCGACTTTGCCTTTGACTAGGAACAGTGACAAACTGCCACCTCATGCCTTGATTGCCAGCCTCTTGAGCGTGCTCCCCAACTCCCACATCTTGGTTTGCGTGCGTCCCCGTGATACTGCTGCATTGCAACATCTGTTCAATGCCTTGTGCCCCATCGAGGGTCCTCCTGTTTGGGCTGTCCCTGCTCCTCTCAGGTCCGTCATGGCCTTCACCGCTCCAGAGCGAACCGCACTGCTGGAGAGTTCCACTACCCCCTCTCCACCCACGGCTAGCTTTTCGCATTGGTTCATCACCACTGGCCCTCGCTCAAAAGCTACAGTGGACAAGATCACTCTCGGGGCGTTACGCCGTTCCTGGCATCCGTCATTTGACATGTTGCGTCGCCCAGCCCATCCTCCTGGCTATCGCCCACCACATCTCCTGCTTCCTCCTCACCTCTGGCGTGATTTCTGGTCTCTCTGTCTCCCGCCCAAGGCATTTACACCGTGGTGGCGTTTGCTGCATGGACATCTCTCGGTGCAGGTTCGCCTGCACTCCATGAACCGTGTGAAGTATCCTTCCCCACTGTGTAAGATGTGTCATGAAGCAACTGAAGATGAATACCATATGGTCATTGGCTGCAGTATGAAGTCCCTCTTCTGGTATGAGTTTGTCTCTCACCTTGGTCTTGCTGATCTGTTCCCTACGGACGAGGCCATCTGGATTGGGTTGACCACCCTTCACGGCCAGGACAACAATCCTCTGGACATTTCCATCTTGGAACTTCTCGGCGCTGCCTTCTCATCTATCTGGCAACATCATTGGGGCTGCACAATTGATGGTAAATCTTGGATCACTCGGGCTGTTTTCTCCTCTTTTCTGGAAGATCATTCCAAGTTAATTTCTTCTTTCTTAGACATGTAAGACCCTTATGGCACCTTACTGTCTATAATATAAATAAAAAACACATTTAAATACAAAAAAAAATTTTGAATTAATATATTTGATCATGCACCACGCATAATCTTTATTGATGACAACTCATTTTGAATTAATATATACTACCATAGTAAAAGTCTTTATTTTCAAGGTGAAAAATGCAATCGTTTAATTTTTGTAAAAAACCATGAGGTACCCCTCATGCTTTTTGGTCGATTTTTGCCCGTTTTTTTTTTTGGTCCCAAAAAGTTGAGCAAAGGTGCCAGGAAGTTATTAGTACTCAAGTACAATTGTTTGGCGTTATTCCGGTGGCTCAGAAAGGTGTATATATTAAGATATGAAGGCTTGAAAGCCAAAAAATTTGGTTATGCTTTGCTTTTATTGATCTACTATTACTCGTTTTTACTTGTAATTAACGGGTTTCATATCAAGGGATTAGTTTTGGGCTATCGATATTCAAGGGCACCAGCACAAGCCAAGCGCTTTTTCAGCTGAACATACAGCATTGGTTTTTGATACTGTACTGATTCGTTAAGATACACCAATTTAAACAATGTATACCAACAAAAACACAGATTAAACATGAGGCATTCTTTCGTTGTACATCACAAGCACGAAATACAATCCCAAAATAAGCAGATACCGTGTATCATCAACATCAGCAAGCATCAGCTTTGTCATGATGACTGGCAACCAATGTAGCATTGCAATGCCTGAAGTTGCATAGAATGGCTATATTATAGAGTGAGAAAAGAATTTGTGGAAAGAATAAACAGTAAAGGGCGAGGTAGAGCAAGTAATTACTAGGAGAGTTATAACATTCAACAAAGTATGATTGTGTAAACATATGGATATGAGCGATCAAGGCATATTGCTTCAATCGGGTGAAGGCCTCAGTAAAATTGGCTAGTATTGACATCTTTGCATGCTCTTTATACTACATGTGATCGTTATGTCTATCCTCTTAGTTTTAGTCCTAACAACCACAGCGTTAGTTTGATTGTCTATGATCACTTTTTTCGGATTGATCAAGCGATATCAGTAAAGGGACTTTAGCGAACAAAGAGAATCCTTCAATTGTAAAATGTTGATCAAGAGACTTTTACGCTCCTCTTCAGCATATTGCCATAGCTCAATAGCTTGGGGTAACAATCAGCAGATAGTATACACAGCAATAACTCGTCTGTAATGGATTAAAATAGTACATTTTTATTTACGATTTATTTTTTCAATCTTGAGATCAAAGTTTCTTCCAATTTGATGCCATCACTTGCGAAATTACGGATACCTTCAGAGAGTTTCTCAGTAGCCATAGCGTCTTCATTCATATCCCAACGGAACTTGACCTCATCATCGAAGTAGGCTACCTTTTCTTGCTTCTTACCGCCTTGAGGATTCAATTTACGCTCCAGCTTCTTTGTGTCCTTTTGAAGTTCGCCCAGCAACTTGGGTGAGATCGTAAGGAAATCGCAGCCTGCCAATTCTTCAATCTCACCAGTGTTACGGAACGAAGCACCCATGACAATTGTCTTGTATCCATGTTGTTTATAGTAGTTGTAAATGTTGGTGACAGAGATGACACCTGGATCCTCGGTTTGAGAGTAATCTTTGCCACTATGAGCCTTGTGCCAATCGAGAATACGTCCCACAAAAGGAGATATCAATGTAACACCCGCCTCTGCACAAGCAACAGCTTGAGGAAAGCCGAACAAAAGAGTCAAATTGCAATGGATACCATGCTTGGTCTCCAGTTCATGCGCTGCGTGGATGCCTTCATATGTAGATGCAATTTTGATCAATACACGCTCCTTGTCGATACCCTCTTCTTTGTAGAGTGCAATTAATCGCTTCGCTTTTTCGATGGTGGCTTGCTTGTCAAATGAGAGGCGGGCATCAACTTCAGTGGAGACGCGGCCAGGAACAATCTTGAGGATTTCTTTTCCAAAGTTGATCAAGAGCTTATCAAATGCCCAGCCAGCTTGTTCTTTGATATTGCTATCACATGATGTCAGTCAACATTAGTCGCATTGGATCACTGTCAGTGCGATTATACCTGCTCTTTTTCTTGGCATATTCAATAGCTTCATCCACAAGCTTGGCATACTCGGATTTCTGCGAGGCAGCCAAAATCAATGAAGGATTGGTAGTAGCGTCTTGTGGTTTGTATTGTGCAATGGCTAGATTAATCGCAATTCAACTTATGTCAGTGAACATTCCTCCATATCAGTTATGTTTAACCCTTACTTTCAAAGTCACCGGAATCGGCGACGATGGTTGTAAATTCCTTGATTTGATCGAGAACAGTGGTCATTTTGCAATGTGATGTTGTTATGTAATGTTAAATAAAAAAAAGTGGAAATGGGAAATATTCCTAGCAGGCTTTTATACCCAACTCAATCCCATGTCAATCGCTGCCAACCGCAAAGCTTGCATAAGAGTTTCATCATCCACGCTAGGCTCAAACTAGTTTGTTGCAGCCGCAAGCTGTCATGAATCATGAGTTTGCTCATAACGTTATTAAATGACCGCGCACAAAATTTAGCGTTTCACTGGGTAAACACATTTCCCAAATTTTGGCATTTGTAATCAAAATATCTAAGAAATCCAACAATCCTATTGAATATGCTTTTAGTCATTGCAAATCCAAATTGAAAGAGCATCCTCGTGACTCGTGTAGCACTGTAATATATCATATAAATGCTTCCCTTTTCCAAGTTCACATTTAATATAACTCTTTTTTCGCTTCACTTACAACATGCCCAATTCCACTTTCCCTGCAGTCATTTCGTTTGCAGACAAGAAAAACTCTACCCCAGTCATCACTGCAAAGTTTGGAGATGAAAACGATGAAGATTTCGGGGTTCGCATGGCCAATGCCGTTGAAGTGCAAGAAGTAGATGTAAATCTATATATGAGTAAAGAGCTTTGGTTGCCTGCGGGTGCTCGTGGTGCCTTTGGCGGACAGGTAAGTGCATGCATAGAACTCTTGATTAGAAAGCCATCAACTCAATGTGATACATTCAGATTGTCGCCCAAGCTTTGAGGGCCGCATTTTACACTGTAGGAGAGGAATTCGATATTCACGTACGGTATCAGATCAAACTAGCTTTCCGGAAACACAGGACTAATAGGTTCATCATCAATCATAGTCATTGCACAGCTACTTTATTTTACCAGGGAACGTCGAAGTGCCTGTCATCTATCAAGTATCCCGACTCCGAGATGGCAGATCTTTTGCTACTCGATTTGTCACTGCATCTCAAAGAGGCAAGGCCATCTTTGTCAGTAGTTTTAGTTTCACCAAGCCAGATACTAGCATTCAAGTAACTCACCAGACAGAGATGCCCAAGGTGCCTGAGCCAGAGTCTCTTCCTTCGTAAGTAAGGTACGGATGACTGCGTAGACAGGGTACTCAATACGCTGATTAGGGATGTTGAGTTGTTACAGAAAGCTTTGGAACAACCTGATCTGCTTCCTAAATACCGTGAACACATCAAACTCCGTATCGAGGAGAGTTCTCCTGTGGACTACCGTGAGATCACTATTCCTCAACCCACATTTGAAGCAGTAAGTTGGCATGGATCTTAGGGATAAGGGCGAGATGACTGATTGGTTTTGTCTCTAGCGTCGTTGGTTCAAGACAAGAGGACCTCTTGGGTCAGACAAGAGATTGCATGCTTGTGTGATTGCTTATGCATCGGATAGTGGATTTGTGGGTACGGCAGCCAAGGCAAATAATGTGCCTGCCAGAGGTATTAGCATGCTTGCTAGTTTGGACCATTCCATGTGGTTCCATTATCCTGCCAGAGCGGATGAATGGTAAGTTGATGGTATGGATAAGGCTGGACCCATTTGTTGATGTGGTGTATTAGGTTGCTTTATGACATGCACAGTCCTCGTAGCAATAGCGGTCGTGGTATGGCATTTGGTAGAATCTACAGCAGAGATGGTACATTGATTGCTACCACTGCGCAAGAAGGACTTATTCGATTATCTAAGTATGAGCAAGATAAGATTAAGAATTCGATACCCGGCAATGGCAATACCAGCAAATTGTAGACATGATGCCATTACCATATTTATCATATACGCTAAAAAGATGTTCTCTGCACTATTTATATTTCATTAATAAATCTCATTTTTATAGACAAAGCTACTCCAGACCGAAATGCTAATCATCTGGAGCAGATCAGACGTTGTACCTGATTTGTTGAACAATAATGATAGCCACTATTATGCTCCGTTCACTCGTCATTTGAATAAATTTACATTATAAATCAGTTTTACTATATAATCATCACCTCCAAGATGGCTATATATATATATATACATCCGGTAACTGGCTCTTTCTATCAATCAAGAAGCAAGTCTTTATGCCATGCTGTTTTGATCGACATGCCCATGTATCCAAAGCGACTCCAGCTTGAGATTTTAAAAACTCATGGAACAATTCATCACCAAACATGGGCCGGAGAAACTGAAGATGAATTGCCTGTCAAAATAGATGTTACAAATCGTATTTACAGAAACTCAGTGAGATGCATTGCAGTGTGATGGCGCTGAATAGCATTACTTAATAGCACAAAAGCAACTATATAAGCATTGGAGCTTGTTTAGTACTCTGCTTGCATGCTTGACCTGGTACAAGTGTACCACAATTCCATTGCTTTCCCATTGAGAAAGAATGCTGATCCATAAGATGTTCCGTATTGGAACCACGCCATTACAATATAACCTCAGAAGTTATTATGAAGCAGACTTCAAAAAAGTTTATTTATACATTTATTCAACCTTTTTCTTTCTCATCTAGCTACAATAAGAATGAACGAATACCAAATTGTTGGCAAAGGCAGAACAGTGCTGCCAATAGGCCAGTTTGCTCTCTATACCTTAGGGCCTATGGTGGCCCTGTATACGCTAGCAACAATACCGCCGCATATTTTAGGAACAAGGATAAAGCAAATACTTGCATTTCCTTTGATGGCATGTCTAGTTACGATGCCATACCTCTACATGGATAAAAACGATGGTTGGCTATTCAATGCTTGTCTGGTTGCGTTTGTGTTACTGATCGCTTGCGCTTGTAGATATGTTTTGTGTGCTCTGTCAAGCACTGCCTTTTGCCGCGTATCAACGGCTGAGCGACATCTACTGGATTCATCCTTTTCTGTACAAGAAAGATGCTTATCTATCTGCTTCTGATCTCAATACTGAAATGTGGTCCTGCATTAGAAGAGACAAGAAGGTGGATACCAAGACAGGGAAGCATGATACTGTCAAGGACAAGGTACGTCTACAGCAAAGTACACATGGACATCACTACTGACTAGACTCTGATCAAAGAGATTCTATCATCTGATTGCGCCAATCTTACTCAATGCCTTGGCTTACGATATTTGCATCTGTTATCTCAAGACATTCACTTCACAGGATGTGTTGGAGATCCAAAAGAGTCATCCATGGCAAGCATTTACATTTTTCGTTATTGGCATCACATTCATGACAGTGCTATTTAATATGTTTGGCGCCATCATGCAACTGATATACTGCCTTGTCGCTGGGCATGGCTCTTACGCATCCAGTAAGTACTATATATGATACTGAACATACAACACATGCTGATCTCAGTTTTAGATGAATGGAGAAACTTGATGAATTACCCCTTTTCAAGTACCTCGCTAGAGGATCTGTGGTCACATCGCTGGCATCGCATCTTTCGCGTCGCTTGGGTAAGCAGTGCATTCAAGCCAGTCTATTATTCGATCCGTCAAATCACCAACAAGAGCCCCAAATTCAAGCATTTAGCAATTGCTTTGGCCAACTTGGCTGTGTTTGTTGCCTCTGGTATTACACACGAGTACATTGTCTTATGCAATGCTGGATGGACGCTGTACACACAGAGGTACATGGGGCAGGAGATGGCCTTTTTTGTGCTCCATGGCGTACTGGTTGTCGTGGAAAAGACCATGGCGTTCTTTCTGCAGCCTATGCTTCCCACATCCGTGACCCAATCTCCCATTGTCAAACTGGCAAGACGTGTCTATGTCATTTACATTTCCTACATTACGTTCCCCTGGTTTATCAATAGCTTTGCACCCTGGGGATTGTTCAAATTATCGAGCTTTACTCCTTTAGGCCCTGTTTTAGACAACTATTTAGCTGCTACACCATACCTTCTACAATATTGTGGCTCGCTTATCAAATTGTAAATAAAAATCTATGCAGTATATGTGGTGCGACATGTCATGCGGAGGCGAATGAATGCCTGTTGTATTCAAGGCTGTCAACGTGGTTGCCATGGTGATGGCTAGTTTAACCATTTTTGCGGATTTTTTTTGTTTATTGCAGTTGTCAAGAGAAAGCGAAAGTTTATTGTCTTTTTTTTTTATTGTCATTAAGTGAGAAATATATAAATTAGAATCTATCATTGAAAGAGAAATGTTAGTAAAGCACATCAATAACTCATATTTCGAAATCATTACCTGTTGTAAGCCATGAAACCACGAACTCTAAGGTAATCAGTCAAACATTCGATAGGACCTTGACCTACGACAGCGAGCTCTTGATCCCAGATGTATTGCTTAGCAGTCTTGTGAACAGTATCAGCAGAGACCTTGTTGATAAAGGCCTTCAACTCCTCGGGAGTGAAGCGCTTGCCAGAAGCAAGGATTTGAGAACCAATATCTTGAGCAACAGCATTGGTGTTATCGAGGCTCAACAACAAACTAGCTCTAACTTGTTGCTTTGCACGTTCAACCTCAGAAGCAGTGACAGTTGTGGAGAGACGAGCCCATTCTCTTTGAGTGAAATGGACGAAATCATCGATTTGATCCTTGTTCTCGGTGACAACATACATACCCCACAAACCAGTATCCTTATAACCCTTGGTGAATGCAGTGAAAGAGTTGGCAAGATGGTTGTTGTGGACGATGGTGGACAATCTAGAAGAAAGGTTGGCAGCAGCACCTAAGCTCTTGTCCCAAGAGCCAATGATAGCTTGCATGACGAGCAAGTTGAAGTAGTCCTCAGAGAGGTAAGAGGCACCCTCAACAGCAAGAGCAATACGAGCTTGAGGCAAAGTATCATCACGGAGACGGATCTCAGAACCAGTGAAGGTAGTCTTCTTTTCAGCAACAGGGGCAGCAGTTTGGAGGCCACCGAACTTTTGCTCAGCGAGACGAACGAGTTCATCGTGATCAACATCACCAGAACCAACGAGAACCATACGGTTAGCACCATAGTTTTGGTTCTTGTAAGCAACCAAATCCTCGGCGGTCAATTGCTCAACAGTCTCCTTGATACCGACAACAGGGCGACCCAAGCCTTCACCTTGGAAAGCAGTGGCGTGCAAGTGGTCGAAAACAACGGCCTCGTAATCAGTCTCGGCAGCGAGTTGTTGCTTGTAAACAGCTTGACGTTGCTTATCAACAGAAGCAGCATCAATGTTGGTGTTTTGGATGAGGTCGGCAAGAATATCAACAGATGCGTTGACGTTGGCACCCAAGGTCCTGGCAGAGTAAGAGGTGATTTCACGGCCGGTTTGAGCAGTGAGAACACCACCAACCTTGTCGAATTTGGCAGCTTGACCCTAATGAGTGAATGCAAATCATCGTTATTTCATCTAGTCTCGAAATATGTGTGTTTGTGTGTCTATAATGTGCAGATCTATCAAATGTCGATACCCCCATCCCCTCTCCATCTCCCCGGTATTGTCAGACGCATCTCCCTCCCTCTCTCCATATATCTACAGCAGAATTGAATGCTACTAAAAGGGATTGATCATTACCTGAAGGGCAACATGTTCCAAAAGGTTAGCAGCACCACTGGTCTTTGCAGATTCGTTGCGAGAACCAGCATCAATCCAGACACCAACGGTAGCAGCACCAGATGAGCGGTTTTCCTCAGTTGCAACAGTGAGGCCGTTGGGCAAGTTGGTGATGCGAGTAGCTGAAGCTTGCTTGGCAGCGGTAGCCAAAGGACGAACAAACTACAATCGAATTTACAGGGTGTCAGTTACCCGTAATACACATTTTGCTGCTAACGTCGCTTTTGAAGGGGTCGATGAGATTGCTTACCTGCTTGGTCAAGCCAACGTTAGCTTGAAGGGTATTGGAAAGGAGCCTTGAAGCCATTTTTAGTTGATAAATAGAAATAAGTTAGAGTGGGGAGAGGAAACAATAAATAAATATGAGATCCAAGTTGTCTGAACGTTTTTTTTTTTTTTTTTCATCTATGGTCTCTTGTCTTTCTATGCCAGGACCTTACATTGCTTGTCCGCCCCCCTGATACAAAACCCCACGTCATCAATACAATGCGATTGGCAAAATGTTGCCTGATCCACTTGAGTTGAGGATCTATCGACTGTCGATCTTGTCGAAACACTAAATACTACCATACTTCATTCTCTATTGCAAAGAAATATACAACCTCAACTTAAAAACTAACATTAATAAGCGCTGGAGGTCTCTGAAGCGCAATGCAGCAAAGTTGACAGCCCAATCCTAATGTCGATGATGCAAGAAAGAAAGCGTACGTGCTTTCTTGTCAATATATAGCTTGTAAATCATTAAGCTGCAGCGAGGAACACTTGTTATACAAGCAAGGCATATATACCTTTAGCGGTCGCCCATACATGTCTGTCGCATGTCGCAAACCTAAAGCTAGGACATGGAAGTTTTGATCATTGCTGTCTGTTTCCTCGTAATCTCGTAATACTATTCGCTGGGATCTTTCATTTTCTTATTAGAGGTTTTCATATGTCCACACGGAGCAGCGCAATACAGTAATAGATATTTAGCAGTGCACCGACCCAAAGAGTACTTGTAATGCTTTAGGGATGTCAACAAAATCGTTTGTCATTGGGAGAAGACTTGAGGTTTGCCAATCGAGATTACGAAAGAATCAAATTGATTTTGCTATGTCTGTTTTAAATATACGAGTGTTTATGCTTCGGATGGCTCTCTACCTTCGCTTTGCTTCAGTGAGAACCAACCTAGCGCAGCGGCAGCTCGTGCTACTGATTGTCCTTTCGTATCTTACCAAAACACTGCTGCTTTCATGTTGAACCTTTACTTACACAGGAAAACCTCATATAATCTGTGGATCTGATTCTTATGTGATGCTCTACATCCATATACACGTAGCTACTTCATCTACGAGTAAGCAGCATACTGGTATTGCCCCTTTTTAGTCCTTAGTGTCCCTGATACAGCAACATATGAGCGCATTTGAGCTGCGTTTTCTTGCGTTCAAGGCCGTTTTAAATGGTCAGAATAGCACCAAACAGTTGTTCTCATCTAGCACTTACTTCCTGACACCTTTGCTCAGCTTTTTGGGGATCAAAAAAACATGGCCAAAAATTGGCCAAAAAGCATGAGGTACCCCTCATGGTTTTCATCAAAAATCAAACAATCGCGTTTTTTTACCTCAAAAATGAAGACTTTTACTAGGCATATATTACATCAATATGTTTCTCTGGATCCAGTGCAACCTCAGAACTTCGTTTGTGAAACATTCATATGTAATATCTCGACATTTTGGCCAAAACCCTCATTTTATATTTTCATGATTTGCTCAATAAGCTACATCAAAATACCTCTTGTAGATAGTACCATTAGATGCGCCTTGAAAAGTACTTTACGGAAGCTTAAGGGGTTTTGGAGAATTTGTGCAACTTACCTAGTCGAATTTCCCAAGATAGGTCGAATAAAATCCAAAAACTGCAAAAGTTAGCAAATCAAGGCAGGATGTCAAGCGGAGATACACTAATTTTTCGCGGCTGCTGGCCAATCTACCTTCCTCATGATGCCAATCGATGTTTGTGAAGCTAATATGAAGGATGTTGCGAATTAGAGAGTGCTATAGCTTTTCTTAGCTTCTCTTTTTCTTGATGATGTGAGTTGGTTTTGTATCCAACTCATTCAGTCTTTGCAAATGACCCAAAAAAAGTTGTAACCTACTGATGAAATTCAAAATGTCATCCTAGAATTAGACGCACAATAATAATATTAAGCCTTGTTTTTCATCAAGCAAAAGATGGAAAAATTTATGTACATCTGGAGAAGTTCGAATGATTGAATATAGTCATAGTCCTTTCATACAGGTCTAGGTGGCCACATAGTGCATTTTACTGACCACATTACTGTCAAACAGACACCAACAAGACAAGGTGTTGATAGAGTGTTAATACCTTACCAATGTCTGCAGGCCCATATTAGAGCACTTGTGCTCACGCAGAATCCAAGCAACTGACAATGAAACAGGCTCGACAGGTAGCCTCTTTATTACAGGATCTCGGGTGTTTAATCAACTTCCGGAAATCGGTTCTTACCCTCACTCAACTGTTGGGATACCTGGGCTTTGTATTGAATACTAGATCCATGACGGCCCTCCTCCCTGCAACCAAACGAAGGGATATTCGTCGTTCAATCAAACAAGTACTAGACAAACCTCATCGGCGGTCTCCCAGGGTTATTCACAGTTTGGCAATGCGAATACAAGCAGCAACATTTGCGATTTTCATCAAGTTTAAAAATGTATATCAATTGCCTACTTGTTTGTGACATAGATCTACCGAAGCTGGAGGTAATTCGATTTGGAAACTATACATCATTCGCCCGATGCCTGGAAAATCGTGCCGACCTTGTATTCTAGTATCGCAAAACACTCTATCCATTGCGCATCTCTGTAACTGCCTTGACCTGAGAAAGTCTCGTATGCAAAAACTATGTACAGAGTTATGCAAATCTCAAATGTTTGTCGCTCACTGCATCTTGCTCTATTGTATTCGATGCTCTTATCAAAGCTTGCCTTCAGTTGCAAATTCTGAAGCTTGTATTTCACTATAGCACAGGGGATTATCGAATAACAGAAGGCAACAATGCTAGTAACCAAGGGGACTTCTTGCTATTAGGACTTCCAGCTTCTCAACACGAAGTTCTCGAGATCAAGCATGATCTCATGACTACAGATTTATACGTATACTTACGCTGCTGCTGCCAGTTCCTCTCTCAATGGGTGCTCTTTATCGACTCTTGTCCAGCCACTGGTCCTCTTCCTGATACATTTGATGCCTCTCAAGCTAATGCATTACCACTCACCACTGCCTCAATCAATGGTGATCCATCCGGAGCGAACGCACTGGCACAAAGCCTACACAAATGGCTTCCTTGTGTGAGTCAGCTGGATGTTGGCTGCTTTCATGTTGGCACAGTCATTTTCAATCACTATAATTTCTCTTTGGAATTCCATCAAAGGAATCTCTCACATCTTTCTGTTAACTTAAGCACCTCATTTGATAACAAAATAGGGCTCGCGGAAAGAATTGTATTGGAGATTACAATAGAAAATGCAACAGTATGGCATCAAGTAGAGGGGTGGTGGAACACTGATACTCAATTCGCTCTCAGGACGACGAGCAATATACCAACGCTTCTGTACGAGAGGCGCGAATGAATTCCTTTAACACAACGGTCGTCAGCATCGAGGGACAAAGTATTCAAATGTTGCATGTTTACTTTAAGGGTCATCAAGAATCTTTTGTTTAAGCAATTCACGTGATTAGATATCTTATTTTAGGTATCTACAGGCATTATACCGTGCTATTAATAATGGACTAAATGGTAACGCACAGCAATCCACATTCGTAGACACACATCTACATGGCATGAATTAATTAATTGACAACTTTATTTCAGATGATATGATTAGATAAATCACTCAACAGCAGTCTTCTTCTTGAAATGCGACAAGGATATACGAGGCTGCTTACTACTGGTAGCATTGCTAGCTGTAGTTGTAGAATGTCCTGTCTCTAGCGAGGAATCAGAGTGCTGTCGTTTTAATTTCCAGGAGAAAGATTTCAATATAGATGGCGATGATGGCTCTGACCTTGTTGTATCGCCACTACTGGTGCTGCTGCTACTTAGTCTTCGCAGGAAAGATGTTCTTGATGGCTGTTGTTGCAATAATGGACGATGCTGATGATGATGAGGCGGATGGTATGGATGCTTTTGTTTCCAAGAAAAGATGGAGGATGATTGCTTTCGCTTCGTGTTTGATGTGGGTGATGATAAAAAAGATTTTGGTTTGGATGGCACCACTGTAGAAGCAGATACAGCCTTCTTTTTCAATGCTAGTTTTTGCACTGCGGGCATCTGCTTATTTGATGGATGTCTTTGCTGCTGCTGCAGGGATGATGGACTAATTACAATTTGAGGAGGTGTAGGAGAGGGTGAGCTTTTCAGTGTACCCACTGGCTTTTTTTCAAAAGGCATGATCTTGTTGTATGAGAAATCATCATTGATGATAGTCTTGTTGTTTTCTTGTAATTTCCAATGGTTTATTAATACAGATATGATCCAAAACAATGGACTGTAGATTTGAATCCAACATTGATAGCCAGCATCTTTAATTTGATCCATGATGGTTTGTGATAATGGGTGTTGTGTCATTTGCTACGATCGCCAGCGCATAAAAAATGTGAATTTCAAAGAGAAAAAGAAGAGATCAAATATGTTTCTATCTTTCAAAAATATAGGTATGAGGGAGGAGGTTATATATACACTAGAAGGCAAGGGAGAAGAGGGGGGGGGGTTTAAAGAAAAAAGAGGAGATAAATCAACAGCCTGGTTAAAGGAGTCAGCTATCACCATTTGCAAATGACAAGACATGTAGACTAGAGTCATAGGAGTAAAGGAAACAGCAGAGCGATTACTGTATCTACATACAAGATGTATTCATGCCGAAATGTTCAGGCACCAAATCTAGACAAGGATCTGCTGGTTCAGCAGTTAGTGCACCCACTGAAGTAGTCAGATACTACATCTCCTCTTTTTCTCTTCTAATTGACAATAGTTTAGGAGATGATAAACTTGTATATTGCTTCCATCTTTTACCTTGACGCTATCAATATAGTTTCAAGAATTCTCAAAGAAGGGAGGTCTCTGAAAAAAAAAAAAAGGTTGCATTGACATGATGAATACTCAGTCGGCATAAATCAAGTGAAAATGACAAATACTACATGTCACCTTGGAGAGTGATTGCATAATATCGTATCATCTCTTTCTTTCTACCTTTTCGGGCCAAGATGAGGGCATAAATCCAACATGACATTATCCAAAGATTCGTTTGAAAGAGAGACCATGAGAACAGACTATCTCGATGGGTAAAACAATCTTGATTTTCTACAGCATCTCAAACCGAACTGTACTGTATAGTGAGTAGTGAGAGACATCCCACATCCGCATTTTACACACACACACACATTGCTCTATTTGCCTCCTCTCTCCTTATTTTGTCTCTCCTCATGAGAATGCACAGAGGGCATGAAATTCTTGGGATGTGTAATGCGTACAGATGCTTGCACATGCGTCATTGAGTAGGTTGAATGGAAGAAAACAGCATTCATTATTCAAAAACCGCATTTGGTGTATCCTAGCACTAAAATTTTTCATTTCCATATTCCTGCCTTTACCTGTTGCGTTGATACATATAAACAGTTTACACACAAAAGCAACTACAACCACAGCAGTTTATGATTATACGGCGTAGCACTATTCGGAGTGCACTTTTATTACAGTTATCCATCTTTCCTTTCATACAATCCAAGACTATAGAAACCCATACAAAAGAACATTCTCTTCAACTAGTACAGCTCCAGAATGTACCCTCATTAGATCCCATTCCTGCACCAGCACTGTCGGATTTCGATGAGGAGGATGGGGAGGACCAACGTGATGGTGATACAACTGTAACCATCACTACGATAGTTACAGTGGCGACAGAGGACCCAGAGACAGAAACCATACAACCTAGAGCAGAAGAAGACTCTTTTGACGGCCAAGATGATAGCAATGCAGATGAAGATGAAGAGCAGGAGGGGGAGGAGGAGGAGGAGGAGGAGGAGAAGGAGGAGGAGGAGGATGTGGAATCAGAGGATAGCACCGCAGAACAAGATGAACAAGACTCTTTTACAGCCAAAGAAGAAGAGCAAGATACCGCAATAGAGCCTACAAGCACAAATCCCATGTATATCATTTCCGCAGCATCGTTCAAGCAACAGCAAACGACTATACCAACCATCATAACAACAGCAACAGCATCAACACAAGCACCGCCCTCATCCTCATCTACATCCTCCGTCAACCAATCCAACAGCAACACATCATCCAACAGCAACACATCATCCAACAGGACCACCCAATTTACCAACACATCAGACCCACTTGTCCAATATGATCTAGAATGCAAAGCAGACGATGTCTATTGTGCCAAAGTCAGTAAAGCAGTAGGATCTGCTATCGATGAGTTCACTCGAGTCATCAACGTCAAGAATTCACTGTTGATCAAGGTCATATATTATAGCTTTTGCGAGAAAACATGTGCAAATGGCACATATGGTTGGGGGTCACCTACATCGCAATTCACATTACCCTTTGAGGATGGGGCAGACCTGAATTACGTTTATCCGCAAGCACTGGCGAAACAATTAGCGCCTTACAGTAGCACGTCCGTGTGGTCCAAATATGACATTGAAATAGAAATCAACCACGATGCGTATATGAATGCAACAGATATCGAACAGGCCATCGGTGATGGATGGAACAAGACGGGTACTCCGCCTAATGGCAAATACTGGTTTCATGTAAGTAGATTGTGAATGGGGATACATAAACTATGGGACTCATTCTATATTGCAGAATGATACAAATGCGCAGGGCATCCTACGAGAGATTGCATCCCATCAGATTGATCTTCGTTACGTCGTGCTACATGAATTATTACATGGTTTGGGATTCCTGAGTAGCTGGGCTGCTTATTTCTGGACAGATGCCTCGCCATTTCGCACACTTGTGGATGGGGTGATTGATCCCATTGAACTGCAACTGGTAACGCCTGGGCCCTACTGGTTTATCAATCAAGACACAGGACCAGCCTATGTCACTGGATTCCAGCCAAACATGATATTTGACAAATATTTAGTGAATGTGGACACAGAGCTGAATGTCACGAGCACCTTATCCCTATCTGACCTTGCTTTCGAGATGCAGGATTTTTGTGTTCAGAACAGTAATGCATTTATTGTCAATTTTATCCGGGCATTCAATAAGGCGAATCAATCGACTACAGCACACAAATTATGGGTCTCCATGTCTCAGCCAGAAACATTGACATTTCAGTTCCAAGCACCAACCGTGAGCAACAGTAGCTATAATCTGATACCCTATTTGAATCAAACGTATCAGAGCATGACATTGTTGACCGGCCGAGATCTGTCCAGTAGCTCATACGAACATACTGATCCCACCATGAATCGACCTGGACTCATGATTTCGCACCTTGACGATCGATATCAACACACACCTGACTTTCTAATGACGGAGGAGTATCATAAAGGTAAAACATTGGAGCAGCTGGTGGACATTTACTATGGCAACATACCCAGTTTACACTACAATGGTACGGCATCCACGGGTAACAGTACCATGGTGCAATTGACTTACAAGTCGCCCATTGGGCCTGGCATTCTACGTATGCTGGACTCTATTGGCTATTCTACCGTATTGACAAGGACAAATTACACGACAGACGGCAGTGTCAAGACAGCCAAGTCTCGGTCGAGTTGCGACGACAGCAATACGAGTCATGGTTTGAAATCATCGCCTACCCCTACATCAGATGGATTACCAGTTTCGAGTCAGAAATCTGTTGTTCTTGGATCTCTAGCCATAGTGTTTTCTTTAGTCTTAATAATGAAATAATAGAAGCTTTCGATTTTTTAGGCTATAAATGTCAGCGCTACTATAGGCAGGAGGACGGAAATGGGAAGGGTATATTTGCCAGTTTAAAAATAACAAATAATGAGGTAGCACAATCATTGGTCAACTTTCGTTTGTAAGAAAACACAAATTTAAGGGTAATTTGTTTCTACTTTTCTAAATACAAGCACAATGCCAATGCTAAACAGCTAAAAAGGTTATTTTTATATAACATTAGATTTGAAACTTCCATCTTGACCCTTTTAGTGTGTGGCTCCACCCCTGCTTAAATAGTAAATTTTTTTCCATTTTTATGCGCATGAATTGCAATAGATTAGATCTCAAATCATTGGTTTTGACATTTTGTTGGCTTACTAAATGCAAATGTTGCACAGCCATCTCCGATTATTGAGCCCTAACAAATCTATATAAATAGGACGGATGCAATGCTTTTCAGCCCTTCCCTTTACTCTCTCTCTTGTACATAATTTTTTTTTTTTTTGAAAATACCTCTCTCTTATAAAATGCAGATCAAAGCTATGCCTGCATCTACTACATTATTTAAAACCAAGTGGAATACGTTTGTTGCCAAATTAACACCCATCCATTCGAGCGATTCACAGCAACAGCCAAACAAGCTGCGCAGAGACAGTGATGATACCATTATATCCAGAATAAAAAACAGAAAGCACAGTGATGCCATGTCTGTGGGCACATTTGAATCAACTGTCAGTATGAAGGACAAGTTTCGTCAAGCCATCCCATTCTTTCGCCGCAGAAGCTCATCCAACATCTCTGCATGCAATGAGGAAGTTCTCAATACTTCAACCACACCCACAGCTTCCGTTGATTATTACCATGAGTTGGAAAAGTTGCAAGCACTGTATACATTGGCTGTCGACGAGGTATGCATTTGTCTCTACTTGTACGAGAGCACAATGACTCATTCTGTTTTCATTCCATAGTTAAACTACGCTGAAGATTCGCAAGGATCATCTTATTACTGTGGTGATAGAGTAGCTGCACGTGAAGCCATTAACAATTGTGCCAACGCATACATCGAACTGCTGCGACATACCACAGACGCACTCACACGTGAAGGTCTTCAGTCGTCCATGACACCCAAATTGATCAAGCTCCAAAAGCGTATCGATGCATTACCCGAAGTAGATGAAGATGGTGATTACTATTGAAACATCTCTTTTTATATATATATATATATATATATATATATATTGTACATATGTAACATAATCCCTTGTCTATACGCTTCTAAAATTATTAATCTCGAATATATACCACCTTTCTTAATATAAAATAAATGCTCTATTGTATTTCTACATGTATGAAAATTTTTCATTGTAACACAAACCGGTTAGAATCGGTTTCCATCTGCAAAAAAAAAAAAAAAAAAAAAAAAAAAACGTTGAATAAGGATAATTTAAAAATCTTCAGTCCGGGTATGGCTATTGTTGTGCTTTGTTGAATCGGGCATAGTGGCTGTTTGATCAACATTTATTCAGCTAGGCCGCATGATACACTCATTTGCTATACATCTTAGATGTGAGTCAAAGACATGTTGGGTGTTGAATGATGAGCAATTACGTATACATTAGTATCAAAGAAGTTACACCGGTTGATTTCATGATTTATAATGACTTCTTGTCTGTCTTGTCCCAACAGTAAGTGAATAGATTTTAGTAATAAGGAATTCTACACATTTACCCATTCTTATTCAACACCAACATCGCCGGGGATCACAACACACACACACACACACACACACACACACACACACACACACACACACACACACACACACTAAATTCATGTGAAAGATTACAAGGTCAGGTAAAGAGAAGCATTCATGCTTTGAAATTCCATCCATACGGATCAGAACAACAGTTATTCTTTACGTAATCTCATACTTGAGCTTCTTAAAATGGTATCCATTTCGATCTGTAATCTTACAGTCATCTTTTCCCAGAAGAAACAAGCTTCATTCATTCCAATCGGATGCACATTGCATCCCATGTATATATATAAGCATGCCCTCCTCAACAACATCAAGCATGTCGATATTAAGATTAAGGTTGATGCTGTAGAACCCAAGGCGGAAGTCTATTGACAAATGGATTATCCATATATTTGAGACAATCCGACACTATACATTTTAATTGAGATCGTGAGAATCAATCCAGGAGGGCTTTCCTTTTTATGGTTTTCTATTCATGTTACACTCGGATACATATAAAAAAAAGCGCTTTATTTGTATAGCCTGTAGTTTTACACGATTCAATTCTTGCAGACAGATGTGTGTTCCTGAGGGCCGTTTATTCGCGAGATCTCTTTTTCCCTTTTCCCTTGATATCTTCCACCACCTCCTCTTCTTCTTCTTCTTCTTCCTCTTCCTCCTCTTCCTCCTCTTCTTCCTCCTCTTCTTCCTCCTCTTCTTCCTCCTCTTCTTCCTCCTCGTCCTCGTCAGATGAGACATCATCATCAAATAAGCTCACTGAGGTGGAAGCTGTAGCCGTCTTCTTTACAGGCTCATGTGTCAATTTTTGTCGCTTAATTGCGTCGCTTACTGCTGATTTCACGTTTTCAACTACATCTTCCTTGTCTTCTAAAAACTTGTTGTCGTCAAACAAGTATTTCCTGGGCTCTCTCTCCTTGAGTGCCTCTTCAATCTTCTTTTTCAGCTTTTCTCGTTTCTCTGCTTCTCTCTCTGGGATTGCATCTAATTCTTCCTGTAATCTAATCAAATAAGCATCTCCATTTTAATGTAGACATAGAGAGCATACACTTACTTTTTGGCATCGTTCACTGTACGAATTCGTCTGCCTTGTAAATCTCTACAGGCCTCGAAATTGGTCGTCTTTTGTGCATTCATACGACCACCTTGAGCACGCAGCATGGATCCAAACCCACCCTTACCGCCCAGCATTCTACCAGAGAGCTGAATATCCAAGAATTCGCCATTTGTAGCCAGATCTTGATCAACTAAAGAGTGGCCACTGCAAGTACGCAGCACTTGTTCATTGATTGGAATGGAAGTAATTTCATATATTTGCTGTTTCAATTCATGTGCTGTAGTGGCTGCATTGTTTGTGTTTAAAGGCAAACACAAGGGCTTTTTTCCAGAATACAGGGAAATGATAGCTTGTGTCATGATGAGATTTGAAATGATAATGGTAAGAAATAAGGTCAAGAAGAGAAAAAAATTATATTCGTTGCTTGTTGCTCAGTTCAAGCTTATCAATCCAATCAACAGCATAGCTCGTGACTGATATTGATGAGACGTTTCCAATCTTCATTGTCAAATGCCAAAATTACATGGATAAACGCTGAAAGCTACGCTTCATCATCATTATATATATTGGAAAAATTGAACATCAAAGCGTCGCCGTAGCCAGTCAGAGGCTAAAAGCCCCTCTCCCAAGAACATAATGCATCTAATTCAAGTGGTCTCCTGCCTGCTATTTGGCTGTGGATTGAGTGATTTGTGGTTTCAGGGCAGCATTTGGTGACATTGACCTTAAGATGGTTTTACCGTAGCGAAACAAACGTGCAAAACCATAATCAAGCAGTAACTTTGACATCTTATTTTCATTATTAATAAGCTTACCAACAACATAGCGCATCGAGATTTGCATGAATTAGCTTTACCAAAATCAACATACCTCCTCCTATTCGAATTCGAAGTTGCACAGACTGCAGAGCTGCCCTTCCAGAAGATTTCAGCTATCAAAGATGTAATTCATGCCGTGTAAATAAAAATTATGAAGCGAAACATAATCAAATTTAACAGCTTTCAAGCCTTTATATCTTGACATGAAAACCTTTCTGAGCCACCGGAATGACGCCAAACAATTGTACTTGAGCAGTAGTAACTTCCTGATACCTTTGCTCAACTTTTTGGGACCAAAAAAAAAAATATTGTCAAAAATCGACCAAAAAGCATGAGGGGTACCTCATGGTTTTCACCGAAAATCAAATGATCGCATTTTCAACTTGAAGACGAAGACTTTTTCTATGGCATACGAGCCTTTCAGCACTTCGGGTGGTTTCCTGACCTACGCTTCGCTTCGGTGGAAACCAACCTACGTTCAAACGGCTCGCGCTGCCGCGGGCCTTTGGCTAATATCCCAAAATTAATATAGCTAAAATGTTAGAAGAGGAACCCTGATTGTTGATTGATATATAATCACTAATCATATGAGTGTTTATGCTTCGGATGGTTCTCACCGAAGCGTAGCGAAGGTAGAGAACCAACCTGCGCAGCGGCAGCTCGTGCTACTGATTTCTCTTGCGTATTTTATCAAAATACTGCTACTTTCATTTTGACCCTCCACTTACACATAGCAACCCTTCATATTATCTGTGGATCTGATTCTTATGTGATGTTCTACATCCATATACACGTAGCTACTTCATATACGGGCAAGCAGCATACTGGTATTCCCACTTTTTAGTCCTTAGTGTCCCTAATACAGCAAAATATGAGTGCATTTGAGCTGAATTTTCTTGCGTTCAAGGCCGTTTTAGATCGTCAGAATAGCCCCAAATGGTTGCTTTCATCTGGCAGTTACTTTCTGACACTTTTGCTCGACTTTTTGGGGACCAAAAAAACATGGTCAAAAATCGACCAAAAAGCATGAGGTATCCCTCATGGTTTTCATCGAAAATCAAACGATCGCATTTTTCATCTTGATAATGGAGACTTTTACTATGGTATATCTTGAATCAAAATGTTTCTATCAATCCAAAGCAACCTCTGAAATTATCTTTGTGGGACTTTGATATGTAAAATTTCGACATTTTGGCCATAAACCTCTTTTCATATGTTTACAAATCATTTAATAAGTGAATTCAAAACATCTATTTTACTTAGTACCATTGGAAGCGCCTTGAAAAGTACTCCAGGAAAGCTTAAGGAAGCATGGGGTGATTATCATACTTCACTTAGTCGAATCTGCAAAAATAGCTCGATCGAGTCCAAAATTATCAAAATATGTCCAATCTGGAACAGACTATGATTCTGGGTTTGAATTAATTTTGGCTGGTAGGGCCAGCTGGAAAACTCATGCCCTTTTCATAAGGCAATACAGTAGTAAATGCCCTTGAAGCGTATAGAAAGTAGGTGGAAGGTCATAGCACTATCGTTTATAATGATATTTTATTGCCTTCTATATCGTTCATAATGATATTTTATTGCATTCTATATTTAATAACGTTAGTCTGGACATTGACAATGCATGGGTTGCATAAAATGTCTGCAGTAAGTAATGAAATCTCTGAGGCTCTGAGACGTCGCTCAAATAAAACATTGACAGCATTGAGCAGAGGAAAGAGGGTAGAAACAACAGTGGTTTTTGTTGATTGATTGTAAAATCATTATTCTCATATGAGCCAGGACAGATAGATGCCTTGAAACTCAGGTTCCATATTAGGATTGTAAAGTGCAAAAGTACTGAACATTTATTATGTTATGATATGAGCCAGGACAGATAGATGCCTTGAAACTCAGGTTCCATATTAGGATTGTAAAGTGCAAAAGTACTGAACATTTATTATGTTATGATATGAGCCAGGACAGATAGATGCCTTGAAACTCAGGTTCCATATTAGGATTGTAAAGTGCAAAAGGACTGAACATTTATTATGTTATGATATTACATCAAAAGGTTTCTCTGGATCAAGTGCAGCCTCAGAAACTTCATTTGTGAAACATTCCTATGTAAAATCTCGACATTTTGGCCAAAAACCTCGTTTCATATTTTCTGGAATTGCTCAATAAGTTCAGTTGAAACATCTGTTTTACTTGGCACCGTTGGAAGCGCCTTGAAAAGTACTTCAAGAATGTATTAGGAAGTACAGGCTGATCATCATCGATTATATAGTCGAACTTCGCAGAATAGATTAAAGAAGTCGAAGAAAGACAAAATCTGTCCAATCTTGAACAAAAAAAAATATTCGGCGTTTGAATATATTTTGATCTGCTGGCTGACCAAAATGCCTTTTTGATGATGACAATGATGATTGCAATGCTGATAGAATGGGAATCATAAACCTGAAAGAACTACCGCTTAGTTTGAGTACTTTTTTTTGGATCTTATTGGATGTTTTCATATCTGACAACGCCAGTCAGACTGGCTCTCCACCAAAATATATGTGAGCGCGACTTCCTAATCATGATTTGCAGCATTTCAACATGGCATGTAGGCAGTATGCATCTCATTGGTTTGTTTAAAAGAGACTAATGCCAATGGCTGAAAAGCTACTTTGGTATGTGCTGAGGGTATCTTTAAAACTTGTGTCAGGATATTTATTGGGAATGATGGCTGCATTCTCGTTGACAACTGACAAATTCTGATCGCGCCTAACTTCACCAACAATTAGCTGCAATTTTATTTGAGAATTGAATCGAATGTAAGCATCGTCGTTAGTATGATTTCAGGCTAGTCATTCTTCTTCTTCTCCACTTAGGATCTCATGAGCTTGCCCATAACTTTTGATATGATGAAACCAGCCGATCAATATCGCTGCGCTCGATGATGGCGTCTCCCTGCTGGCTCTCACCGAAGACTTTTCAAATCAGAGATAATAAAAATCAGGCATATCAAGTAGATTTTAAACAATCAATTAATAGTAAAAAAAAAGGCTATATTAGAGTCAGGAGGGGGAGGTATCTATTTACTGATGTTGCTCTAGAGATGGCAACATAAAGCTTGCCATGCGTAAATACAAGACTTGTCTAAGATCTACAGCGACGTTTTTGAGAGATTATCATTGCAAAATACACCTTTATAGGGAAAAACTCCCAAGAAAAAAGTATTTGCGCTAAGCAACTATCTTTTCAATTCCATGATCCCATTTAATCAGCATCGCAATTATCGTTGCCATCAACAGAAAGGCATTTAGGTCAGCCACCAGCAATGCCGCCGACGCCAAAATATATTCAAACGCCGAATATTTTTTTTTGTTCAAGATTGGACAGATTTTGTCTTTCTTCGACTTCTTTAATCTATTCTGCGAAGTTCGACTATATAATCGATGATGATCAGCCTGTACTTCCTAATACATTCTTGAAGTACTTTTCAAGGCGCTTCCAACGGTGCCAAGTAAAACAGATGTTTCAACTGAACTTATTGAGCAATTCCAGAAAATATGAAACGAGGTTTTTGGCCAAAATGTCGAGATTTTACATAGGAATGTTTCACAAATGAAGTTTCTGAGGCTGCACTTGATCCAGAGAAACCTTTTGATGTAATATATGCCATAGAAAAAGTCTTCGTCTTCAAGGCGAAAATGCGATCATTTGATTTTCGGTGAAAACTTTTTTTTTTTTTTTGGATGATATTATTTTATTAGGATAGTAATTAGAAATAAAACAAATGCATCAAAGAGATGGACAAGTGTATGGAGACAAAGTGACTTGTCATATATAAATCTTGAATAATAAACTAATGGGAGAGTTGCCTAAGATTTGACAATCTTAACAGTTCTGTGCGGATGTGGCGACAGACTTGGATGGCATTAAAGGGGATGAGGTTGTAAAACTGTTGATAATGGTGTCTCCAGATAGTACGCATAATGGTGGCAAAGAGATCATATATGGTAATGTGTAAGTCATAATTGTAGATATAATAATGCTTCAGTTTGAAGATTTTCGGTGAAAACCATGAGGTGCCCCTCATGCTTTTTGGTCGATTTTTGACAATATTTTTTTTTGGTCCCAAAAAGTTGAGCAAAGGTATCAGGAAGTAAGTGCTATATGAAAGTAGTTGTTTGGTGCTATTCTGAAAGCCTGAAACGGCTTCTAACGCGAGAAATTACTGCTCAAATGCATCTAAATGTCGCCCTGTTTTGCATATTCTTGAGTACTAAGAGTTGTGAACACAATGTTGTCTGCCATCTATGGAATGTTTTTATTAATATAAGGATGTGTGGCATCTTGGAAAAAGTCAAATCCACAGTTATAGATTGTTTATAAAGGGTTCACATATGATACTGGATACTTGCAATACTAGATTTTAGCATATAGTGTGTCATTAGAGTGTATTGACGTGGAGAAATTAACAATATTCACTGGATTTTACCTAGGTAATACTGTATCTGGCATTTGTAGACTGGTCTTTGCAGCAAAGAGTTGATTTTAAATGGTGTTTTCATCCTTGACTACAGTTATGTACTAGTGGATATAATGGCTGGCTGACTGGACAGTGCGCATAAGTATATACAAGCCTTCCATAACCTTACAAAGCTGTATTAATGACTCCAAGCATATTCTGAGACCAAAGCTTCTGCTAAATCTTTAGTTTATCTGATTTACACCACTATCTTACATGGTTGATTGCTATTAGGAACATGAATGTCTTTTGACACTAAAGAAGGTACAATTATGCAGTGCCAAGATGCTAGTGATGCAAAAGAGATATAAACAAAGTGGTAATCATTAAAGGGGCTTACGAGTATTCTGCATTGCGTCTAGGATGCAATACGATCATGTAAGGATTGCTTGCCATCATTTCAGCTATTTCCTTGTACACCGCCATATTCCACTTTGTATTAATCCACTTCATATGACAATGGACACCAGATGCCGCCTCATTCATGCATAAGAAACCGTTGATAGGCAAGCAAAAGAAATGTGCACATGTGTATTCAGTTGAGCCATTCTGGTGTAAACTGACGATCTAGACCCTAAATAGAAATCAGTACATCCCACCCAAGATAAACACTGAACCGTGAAACGACACAGCAGATTGAATTACAATCATTCATCACTGTTTCGATGCAAAAAACAAAAGAGCAAGGTGTCTCCCTTACGTACAAGTCCTTTTGCTTGCAAGCTGTTTGCCATTTGTGTGCTGCATCACGATTTCTTAACAATCGCACTATATACATACATGCCCAGATTTCTGTATTCTGTCGTTTTAATGTTACGACGACGATCTTTGTGGGTGTGTCCTCTTTTCTTTGTTTGTTTCATAGATTTTTTTTATAGCTATTTCAATAAAGCCTTCCAATTTACTTGTATAGTAGAAAATTGCCGAGTATTTTCGGTGTTTTGTACGCCACTACATGATGATTAAAAGGCTATTGGAGCTAGTATAGGATATGCCATGCACACGATAATAGCGACTATACCTAAAGAGACAAAAGAGAGACAGAGAGTAAATGTAAGAGGCGAACGAGCAAATTAAACTTATTTATGCTAGCTTACAACAAATAGAGAGATCATACTAACATGTATGATCCCGAGGAGATTGCTTCTAAACTTTACAGTGTGGATCGAAATCAGCTAAATGTGTGCTGCTTGAATTTATGTATGAAAGGGCGATGATGATGCTACTTTTTGCTTCACTGCTTCTCATCTGCTCGTGAACGAGCTTGCATAAAGTATACGTATGTATATATATATCGCTTTGTTTATTCGTTTTTCGCTTTTTCTTTCCCTTCCTTCTAGCACTTGATCATACTACATGAATCATTATTAGATTTGCTTTATTTCACACAGCACACTTGTACTTTATTTACTAATATCAATAATGACTACACATCCAGACGAATTGATGTCACCTAATGCGATACCTACCATCCAGATCCAAGAGCCTACATCGCCCCCACCCCATTTACCAACACTGCGATCACAATCGTTTGAGCTGCCCAGAGAAAAGACAACAGGTGCGCGTGCTCACTTCGATACACCCGCTTCAGCAGTAAGACCAGGCTTCAACCGTGCCAGTATATCTCACAGTGAGGGATACACATTCCGTAGACCCTCTTTGAATTCACGCAAATCATTTGCAAGATCCGTATCTTCCTTTTCGCTGTACTCACATTTTGCTGGTGAAAGATTCAGCCATCCCCATCATCGTCATCATCGTCACTCCTTATCGAGAAAGAGCAGTGCCAAATCATCAGACGTAGAGGATGTTTCCATCAAAGATGGTACTTCAAGCGACAGTAGCTATAACAACACAAGCAGCATTGATGAAAAGGATGGCGAAAACGAAACTCCTAAAGCATCTGTAGGAAAAGCAATGTTCATGTTTCTCAAGGCTTTCATTGGATCAGGAGTACTTTTCCTACCAAAGGCGTATGTAGAGTCCCTTGCTGTACAATGATGAATAGAGGCTGACTTGTATACAGATTCGAGCATGGCGGACTGGCATTATCCTGCGTGTTGATGGTCATCATTGCGTGTATCTGCCTATTTGCATTTTTGAGATTGGTCGACACCCAGCTGGTAATTGGGGGCTCTTATGGCGACATTGGCCAAGTGCTGTTTGGAAGGTGGGTCAAGTACATTGTGCTGTTCTTTATTGTCCTATCGCAAATGGGGTTTGTGTGCTCCTACTTTGTGTTTATCTCTGGCAATTTAGTCAATATTGTCGATGTCTTGTCCCACTGTGGTGCGCAGATCGAGCAAAAGTATTACATCTGGTTTCCCTTGATTTTTATCATACCCTTGGTATTAATTCGACATATTGCTAAACTGTCGTTCACTGCCATCATTGCGGACGCCTTTATTTTGTTTGGTTTGATCAGCTGTTTGTATTTTACAGCGCACGAACTAAAGAGCTTCGGAATGGGGCCGGAAGTCAAGGCTGTCAATCCTGCCAACTTTGCACTGATGCTTGGTACAGCAACATTTTCATTTGAAGGCATTGGATTAGGTAAATGAAGATGACATGGTGCCTATCTAGCTCTCTTGACTCATCAGTTCTCTCTAGTAATACCTATTGTAGAATCCATGAAGCAACCAGAACGATTTCCATTTGTCGTTACAGTAGGAATGGCTATTGTTTGCTCCATTTACATCTTGATTGGAGCCATATCTTACATGGCCTATGGTAATCACATTCAAGCAGCTGTGGTATACAATTTCCCTCGTGATAATCCACTTACCATTGCTGTGCAACTGCTCTACTCGATTGCCATTATCTTGACGTAAGTCTTCATGTATGCAAATGCCATGTACTTTTATTAAATCATCTAATGTACACAACAGTGCTCCATTAATGCTGTTTCCGGCAACGAAAATCTTGGAAAACGGTATATTTCGAAAATGCAGATCGGGAAGCCAAGACTTTAAAGTAAAATGGTGCAAGAATCTGTTTCGAGTTTTCTTACTATCTTTCTGTGCGGCAGTGGCATTTGGCATTGGAGGGGAAAACCTGGATGTTTTCGTATCGCTAGGTAAAGTGTACCATCTAATATCGGAAAAATAAGCTGATTTTAACACATTTACAGTCGGTTCCGTTGCTTGTGTTCCCCTGTGCTTTATATTTCCAGGCAAGTTTCGACCCTGCTATACATTTTTACTGCTACCTAACATGTCAATATTTAGGACTCTTCCACTACAAGGTATCCAAGAGCTTGAAGGAGAAAACCATGGACATTGTCCTGTCGACATTCGGCATTGGCATCATGATATTTACACTGTATGTCACCATCGCTTCATTTGTGAAGCCGGAAATTGCCTCTTTTGTATTATCACCTTATTGCCCCACATAGAAATTTGCATGAATAAAAGAAAATTCTTTTTTACTGCTCAGCACCATCATTATTGAAACTCACACATTGCCTGACATTTTTTCTGTGATTCCAAATAGTATAAATAGCACGATATTTCTTGACGTGTCTAGTAAATCCATATCAAATACATATTCTACAACTCAAACAAACATATTCCAAATGACACATAGCAAAGATAACAATGCTCGCCCAGAACGCCAAGAAAGACATGTTGCCAGGTAAGTTTGGATGGAGAGCATCTTACGAGATCAAAATGGCTCATTATTATGAAATTAGAAATGGCCAAACTGTCACCATGAAGAAGGGAGGCGCTGGACATGCCAACTGGGGAGTCGAAGGCGATGAGGTACCTGACTTATATGAATACACGCATGAAGTGGTTGAAGAGGCTATTACCAAGGCTGACAAAGTGAACATTGTTGATGCTGACACGTTTAAAAACATGCGCTCTTAATTCCTGGACACTGGCGTACTATATCTTGTAAATACCTCTCCATCTAATGTACCATAATCAATAAAACCCTCAGCTTTAACGTAATCTACACTGCATTGTTGATGTTTACTCAAGCATCAAGCCGACTTGGCATTTCAAAGTAGGATTATCTCAAAAGAAATGCCGCGAAAACAACATCTAAACCTACTCGTGTTGTTCTGTTTGTCTGACAAGTGTGTGTGGCTACGATAATCTTGCTACTGACACAAACTATGACAAATCCAAACAGATATAATCGCTGACTTGCCTAGAACGAATAGAAAGCGGATAAACCAGCGTTAGCCGGTTGGTCGTGCGTATGTGCCTCTTATACTTGACATGTTGTGGACAATCTTTATCATTCAAAAAAGACAAATATCTGTAGACACCTGATGACCTATGATTTGATGTAAGTTGGCATCGTCTATCTATATGAACGCAGCTGTCTTGGTGTGTGTGTATGTTCAGACTTGTTCTTCATGCCCCTCTAATTTTGAAACAGGAGTATGGCGGTTTCTATGGCGTGTTGTATCACCAATATATAGATGGTATTCATGTCCATAACGGACATCCGCAAGAAGCATTCTGCAAGCCTATGATGCTTTGATAAAGAAACCGTACAGTGACACATGAACTCCAAGCCCTCCCACGTTTTTCTTTGAGAACGGGATCCATTCTTGCATAGACTAAGCCCTAATTAGCCACCATTGATAGGTACATTATTGCAACAAGTGTTTATGCTTTGGATGGCTCTTTGCCTTCACTTCGCTTCGGTGAGAGCCAACCAGCGCAGCGGCAGTTCGCGCTACCGTATCTTATCAAAATACTGTTACTTTCATTTTGACTTCCATTTGCATATGAAAACCATATTATCTGTAATTCTGATTCTTATATGATGCTCTTCATCCATATACACGTATCTACTTCATATACGGGTAAGCAGTATACTGGTATTTCCTCTTTTTAGTCCTTAGTGTCCCTGATACAGCAACATCTGAGCGCATTTGAGCTGCGTTTTCTTGCGTTCAAGGCTGTTTTAGATCGTCAGAATAGTACCAAACAATTGTACTTTAGTAATAACTTCCTGATATCTTTGCTCAACTTTTTGGAGACCCAAAAAACATCATCAAGAATTGGCCAAAAAGCATGAGGTACCCCTCATGGTTTTCATCGAAAATCAAACGATCATATTTTTGCCCTCAAAAATGAAGACTTTTGTTATGGTATATATTGAATCAAAATGATGCTATTGACCCAAAGCAACCCCTAAAACCATCCTTGTGAGACCTTGATATGGAAAATCTCGCCTTTTTTGCCAGAAATCTCATTTTCTATTCTACCAAATTTCTCAAAAAATTCATTCAAAACACCTACTACAATTAGCACCATTGGAAGCGCCTTGAAAAGTACTCCAAGAATGTATTAGGAAGTACTTTTTTTGTAGGGGAGTTGTACTCCATTTTTTATGTAAAGTCCTCTAAATGTCATGATGAGGGGAGAAGAAGACTAAGATATGTTACTGGATCAGTAGAGGTGCGGTCATGCATTTGGTGGATTTGGTGTGTAGCAAGAAACTCGCGCCAATCTGGTTGTGGGTGTCCAGAGAGCGAAATGGCTATAGTTTTCCTGTAATTTAGTAGTGCATTCGATGCTCTCATGTATGTATAGATAGAGTCCTGCAGAAGAAGAAAATCCAAAAAGTTCTTCAAATAGACTAATGTGTCATCTGCATAGGCTAGAATTTTGTACTTAATTGGATTGCAATGGGTGGGAGAGACTGAAGGAGTGTTGCAAGGGGAGGCTGGCGGAGAGGATGCGTTGGTGAGGCTTTTGGTTAGATCGTCTATGTCAACAGTAGGTGATGGATGTGATGGGGCTTTTTGTTGTACATGGAAACCCTCAAAAGTAGGGTTCTGTTGAGTGGAGCAGAGGAAAGGGTCAAAAGCAATGTTGAAAAGGAGGGGACTGAGTGGATCACCTTGTTGAAGGCCTCTTTCTTGAGGAAAAGGTGCCGTGGTGATGTGGCCATTAATGTTGATTTGGATGTTAGTGGAGAAGAAAAGTGAGATGATACAGTGTGTGAAAGATTGTGGAATACCAAATTGGAGCATAATGTGTTGAAGATATTCGGGATGAATACGATCATATGCTTTTTCTTGATCCAAAAGAAGAGCAATGGCGGATGAATGGTTGGTAGTAGCTAGGAGTTTGGTGGTCCGTAATGCGAAGCCGTGCTCGCCAATGAAGCGGTTCGGCATGAATCCAAGTTGTTGGGGGCTGATTAGTTGTTGCATATGTGGCATCAGACGTTGGTTGAGCAGGCGTGTGAAGATTTTGGCATCGCAGTTGATTAACGAGATGGGACGAAAATTCCTCAGGTCTGTGAGATCGCCCTTTTTAGGGAGCAGGCACATGCAAGTAGTGAGCCAGCTGTTGGGAAAGATACCGAGGGTAAGAGCCTCCTTGAAGACGGCATGGGCAAGTTGGGCTGTTTGTTGGTGGGATAATAGCACCGCTAGGATTTCATAGGGTAGGCTATCCGTACCTGGGCTGCTATGGTTGGGTGACCGCTGTGCACCAGTCATAATCTCGTCGATGGTAAATGGCGTCTCCAAGGTGGGCTGGCTGTTTACTGGGATCTGTGCTGTGGCAGGGATGGTGTTGCATAGTTCAGAGATGCTGGTATAATCTATGGGGTCAGTAGTATATAGCTTACGATAAAAACATACTGCAGCATCCTGCATAGTCTCTGCCGTATCGCAGATGGAGTGGGTGTCTGGATGTTGGAGAGTATTAGGAAGTGCGGTCTGATCATCACAGTTTATATAGTCGAAGATAATAAAATAGATTAAAGAAGTCGAAAAAACCAGGTTTAGGCCAATCATGAGCAGGAAAAAATTAACCGAGTGTGAATAATTTTTGGTGGCGGGCGGCGCTGCTGCTGGCTGGCCCAAATACTTTTCTGATGATGACAATAATGATTGCAATGATGATTAAATGGGAATTATGAAGTTGAAAGTGCAGTTGCTTAGTCCAAATAATTTTCTTTGCTTTCTTCAGTAGGTTTTTCCTATAAATATGTCTTTTGCAATGACAATCTCCCAAAAAAAAGTCATTGAAGATCTTACACAAGTCCTGAGTTTGTGCATGGCCAGCTTTATGGCTGATTGTTCTCTTGCTTGCGACTTTGGTAGAGTATCTTTGTACTTTCGCGAAAGCCATCTGATCAAGTACTGACGATATTATCCTTAATCAAATTTTTCCTGTGTGTTCGAACTCACTGCACCTTGTAATAGTTGAAACTAGTGGTCATGCCCTCCTTGTCCCTCTTGTATTAGATAAAACGGTCTTCCGGTAGCATGTTAATAACATAGTAAATACAAATAATCGCCTGCTTTTTCTCCATAAAAAAAAAGCTACACTTGGTTCATATAATCAATAAATTGGCAGTGGTTTTCCAGTAAAGTTATACACATTAATACATGGTATGAGTCATGTTTTACCAGAGCAATATTTACGATGATAATAAGCTGTGTCGCCATTGATCTTCACTTTAGTTTGCAGTATCGGTTTCCTTAGATCTTGGGCGTAGCATATATCCAACCCGCAGAGCGAATCAAATTTTATTGCGAGTCTTTTTGCAGCTTCATCAGTGCTTTCTCCGTTGTAAGAGCATTGTTCCGGGAGATATTTGTCATAAAAGGTACCAATGAAGGTTGATTAATATAAACAAGTTGGTCCACAAGAAAAAAAAAAAAAAGTTGCTCAACCATAAAAAGATAGGGGAATCTATCAGTTCATGCAAACATTTGTCCAATTGATGGCCAGAATGTCAAAATATCACCGCATAGAACCATGTTTGTATTGCAGTCATGCGATAATCTCTGTTTCGTTTGTTTTTTCCCATCATTGCAGTGGCCATAAAAACGCCCACATTTGCTAGCTTCCATTTTTTCTTTCTTCATTCTTCTTCTTTATATATTCAAAATCATGACTCGTAGCAAGGATTCCGTTTTTTCTTACCAACAGCGCCATGAAAGACATGTAGCCAGGTACGCCCGCCGTGATTTTGTTGTCATCTCATCTAAGAATGTAGAGACTAAACATGCTGATTAGAAATGGCCAAAGCGAATTGCGTTATGGCGTAAAGAAAATGGGCGCTGGTGCTGGTAACTGGGGTGTCTTGGGTGATGAATTGCCTGATGTTCAAGAGATTGTTCGTGCCGAGATTGAAAGTAATAGCTTGCCAGGAAATCATCATCAAAACGGTACAAAGCTTAATCTGGTTGATTCAGAGACATTTGAATATATGCGCTCAACTGAACAAGCTTCCTAAATGCATATGATATCGACTCCTCTCTTTCTGTCTAGTCAAAACCCTTCCGCTTCCTCTCCTTTTTATTCCATCGCAATAAAATCAACTGTTTATGCAGCTACATCTTCCTGTGGCTGTAATACTGTCTCTTGTAATTTGATGGCTAGTTTCTCTTCTTGCAACTGATGATATCGCTTCTCCATAGCCTCCAATTCATGGATTCGGTTGACCTGAGCCACCAGTTGCTCAGTCGCTATATTCATCCAAGTTAATGCTTACATTTTAAGCAGTTCACCAATGACCCTTACCCGACTTGAAATGCTCTTGTGATGTACGCAACGATGGCGATACAAACAACCCAAACCAATGCAATGGATCCCCGCTCTTTTTGATCTTTTTCTTGTTCTTTTTTTCGTCCAATTCTATATCATCCTTGTCGTCTTGAGGCTTCTCTTCCACTGCCACCCACTCTGAGTTCTTCTTTTTCTCTGGCTCATGCACATTGCGCTTCCTTAGGCCGTCTTTCTTTTCGTCTAATGCTGGTTTTGGCTTCACAGGCGGTGCTATTGTCTTGGTGTGCATGATGCTTTGATCGTCAATTTCACTAGCAACCAGCGTTATCCAGCTAGCCTCATTCCTCCTTTTTGCAATAGCTACTTACATTTGCAATATGGCCTTCATACGCTCGTCATACGAAAAATGAGATACTGTGCGTGCTCCCATGGTATATTTGGCATGCGCTAAATTAAGAAATCCCTATCATGTGTATGCATTGGCCATTTAGCGAGTGAAAACATCTGTGTATTCTGTCTGTCTCTTGTATACTTTTTGAAACTGGCCTCCTGTTTCCTTCCATTGCTGCGAGTATTCATTCAGCTTTGTCAAATACGCTCTACTTAGAGTGTCCAATTCCTGGCAGATAGCTTTGTAATTGCTGCTAGACATGCTTTATTAGTTATTAATAAGATAATAAATGAGAGAAAGAAAGAAGGAAGAAAGCGCGCGTTTTTGTTTATCGTTGAAATGCTGCAAATTTAATTTAAACTGTTGGTATCAAGCATCACAACAGCAAGCATGATTCAACAACCGATGTTAGTGGTGCTTCTTGTTGTCTCCTGCTTCTTCTTGCTCCTCGTCTTCTTCTTCTGCTTCTTCTTCTCGGTCAGTCTCTTGATCGTCCTCAGTCTCCTTGTCCTTGTTGGACCGCTTCATGACAAAGTAGTGTGTGATTTGGAGTCCAATGATACCTGAATCCATGCTTATTTAAGCACATTGCGATCACCTTTAAAAATAGAAACGACACTCACCCGTAATGGCCAGCACAATGATAAAATGGGCTGCAGCTATATTTTTCAAGGAAGCCGTGATATCACTCACATCTGCTGACTGATTGACGACCGCAATGGCTATAAAATGTTGGGTTATGACCCTAAGCGTACAATGCTCATTTTCACACCTACCTGGTTTCACGGACGAAAGATAGGTAGTAACTCCAAACATCATCAACACTGGATACAACATGCATGAATATCGTCTAAGGGGAGGGTGGGGGGGGGGGACGGGGAACAGGCTTACCTAATGAGGCTCCATCAAATAGCAAGTTTCCATCTGTCATAGTTAATAAGCCTGTAGCAAAACCAGTTGCTGCAATACACAAATTAGCAATAGGAACGTATTTCAAGATGTTGGGAATATGGCCTTGATTCGCATAATAAAACTAAATGGCATGCTAGTTAGCAACACTGCGCCAATATGGATTCATGTCATGTTTACAGTTGCTCGAGTGATCGCCTCTGGATATTCTGATGGGTTGGCCCAGAGCAAATAGTAATCGAATGCCCAATCTGACCAATAAGTCTACATGTACAAGACATTGCATGAAAGTTAGATCTACATTTATAATTCCCGGGCCAACAGGGTTTTGCTTACACCATAAGAAAAAAAACATGAACACAGTATAAGAGCCACTTTGGCTGTTTGCATGTATTCTCTGTCCATTTTACTGCTTGCAATTGTGAGAGTAAAAGAGAATGTGAAAAGAGAAAGAGAGAGAGAGACAAAAAACCAACTCGCCCAATTTACACCAAAGTAAATGACATCATGTAAGCTGTATAAAATGGGTTTGAACTCTCTTGTGGTTGTACGCTTTTTTTTTTTTTTTTTTTTTTTTTCTTCTCTTCTTCTTTTCATTCTCTTTTTCTATCTTTGTAGAAGAAAGATGGATGATTATCCAAATAGAAGACGACCTCATAATGCAGCAGCCCCCATCATAGGTTCTCCTTTATCTGATCCAGGTATATCCTCATTATCCACATCACCGCAATCCTTCTTTTTTGAGAGGACTCAATCGCTGGATGCCATCACACATCAATCCTTCCCAGATATGGGAAGATCTCTTTCTGTCGTAAGCGAGATCGAGGTCATCCTGGATGATGGCACTACGCAAAAGAGAACTGTATCGCTCTCTACGATACCTGACCAAGACGAGCACGAAGATCACTACGGATCAAGACGAAGCAGAAGAAACAGGTACCCATGATCCTCTGCTTGATCTGTGTTGTGCAAAACGCTGAAAATTTTTCTTAGCTCAACAGACAATCACCATGATGATGCGGATGCGGATGACACAACACCACTATTAAAGTCGCACAAGGACGTATATCAGGCCATAGGCTATCAACCTCATCAGGAAGATCAGTTATCTTCTTCTTCTGACAGTGATACAGACTCCTCCACCTCAGACGACGACTCAGACGAGTCATTCTTCCCTGTGCAAACAACGCCTTCCAAACGCAAATCACACTATGTCATTGAGGACGATCATGGATCTGCAGGCTGGGCAAGTCGGCTCTATTCCACGATACATGCCCTTTCAGCTGCTTGTACATTTACGCCTCGTCAACGTCTTGTGCTCAAGTGCAGTTTTGCCTACATGTTGGGCTCCTTGTTCACATTTGTGCCTGCCATGAACGCACTGATCGGCTACAACCATGTCTCCAGCCATCTGGTAGCGACAGCCACCGTTTTTTTCAATCCTGCGAAATCACTAGGCGGCATGGTAGAAGCGGCACTGTATGGTTGGGGATACACACTGTTTGCGTTGGTCGTGTGCTTGGGCTCCATGATTACAACCGACTTTTTTGTGGATCGCAACATGTTTAACATTGCGCATGCCATCTCGCTGGGCTTCTGGTTAGCGGGATCTACATTTATTGTGGCATTTCTAAAGGCACATTGGAACAAACCACCTGTTGCCACAGGTAAAAAAAAAAAAAAAAAAAAAAAAAAAAAAAAAATACACGTATTTATATTGGCCTTTTGACATTTATACCTCTATATAGCATCTAGCTTATGTTTCATCATCATTTTCATTATTGTGGTTCGAGAAGGGTCAGCGAATCGAGGTGATTTCGATACGACTCGCATTGAACAAATTACATCTGCCGTGGCGACTGGTACCTTGGTCACTGTGTCATGTTGCATTCTCTTCTGGCCTATATCCGCAAGCAAGAAGCTAAAGTAAGTTTCATGACATATGTTTAGACTAGCAAAAAAAAAAAAAAAAAATACTAAATTTTATGAATCCAAAAGGCAGGATTTAGAGGCTACACTCATGTCGTACAAGGTGCTTTTGAAACTGTTGACCAAAACCTTCTTGTTGGATGATGATCTCCCTGAATTCAAGGCAAATAATTCCCTCAAAACAGCTATTGACTCTCACCGCGCTAGTTTCACATCGTTGCAGAAATCACTGGCTGAGGCAAAACTGGAGGTTATTTGGAATGACGAAATAAGAGGCTGCACAAAGGAATACGATGCTGTGGTCAAGAGCATGCAGCGCCTCGCTCAGTCGATGGGTGGCCTCAGAAGCAGTTGTGGTCTCCAGTTTGAACTCATGCAACAAGATGGTGCAAAAAACGCTAAAAAGCCTGGTTCATCATCATCCCCCTCGGCTGCATCATCGTCGCGCAATATCAAGCTTAGAAAAGGCAGGGAGACCTGGAACATCAAAGCAGATCATCACCGTCGTAAGTTGGAAGGCCAGATCAGGCGTCAAAAGCAACAACAGCGACAACAACAGCAAAGCGCCTTCAAATCAAAAAGAGCACTGACAGAAGACGAATTCTTTCAACTGCCTAACCATCATAGCCATCAAAACGAAGATCCAGACGACGACACATTAATTGAATTCATTCACACTATACGCCAACCGTTGAAATCACTTGCCTACACGTGTAAACAAACCATCCTTCATTTACAAAATGAGTTTTCCAGCAAACCTAGAACTGGGCCCAGCCACGAAACACTCAAGAGTAATCTGATTAAAGCCATTGCCTTGTTTGAGGTATCGCAACGTCAAGCTGTGAAACGATTAAACAAGCATCGATTGAAACGCCATCCTCCTCCTCCATCCAGTAGCACCAGCGCCTTTCACTCTTGGGCTGATAGCTATGCTCCTTCCGAGGATGTGTTTTTGGTGTACTTTTTTGTATTCAACATGATTGAATTTGCAAGAGAATTGATCTCGTTGGTGGAATCAGTAGAGGCACTCTCCATTGTCAAACAAAAGAAGCGCACCTTGTGTGCCCTGATCTGCCAATTCTTCACCAGCAAAACATCTGAAGCGACGACGACAGCAGCATCAGATAAAAAGAAGCCTGCCTTTATTCCAAATGAACGACACAAGATGGACACTTTGCACACACCTGTACCCAAGACACATTGGAGACGTATTATTTTGCGTGTATGGAGAACATTTTCACTGTTTAAACTACAAAAGGTGAGATATGCTACCAAGGCGACTGTGGCTGTGATTCTGCTAGCCATACCTGCTTTTCTGGAATCCACGGGTGCCTGGTTTCGTGAATGGCGCATGGAATGGGCTCTTATTACTGTAAGTTTTTGTTTGCTTGTATGTGTATAATTGTACTCATGTAAATACCCAAAGTTGATGGTTGTCATGACACCAGTTGTTGGAGGCACCAATTTAGTCGCCATTTATCGTATTTACTCTACTACGTTGGGCTGCTTTGTAGCTATGTGTTTCTATTTGCTGTTTCCAGACAACATGTACATTTTGATCCTGTGTACCTGGCTGTTTTCTATTCCTAATTTCTGGTTAATTCTTCATCACAAGCACGGCAAATTTGGTCAATTCACCTTGCTCGCTTACAATCTGGTCATGCTCAACAAGTACAATGACAGAGAAACACATCGCATTGAAGTGACTCACTTGGCATTGCAGCGATTGCTGTCTATCTTAGTCGGTGTCATTTTTGGTTTGTTCGCTACTGCTTATGTTTGGCCCTATGAAGCCAGAGTGGAACTACGGAAGGGTGTTTCTGACTTTTTGCTTCGGCTAGCTTGGCTCTACCAGCGATTGGTATCCGTCTACTCACAACGACCTTCTTCCTCGCCTACTGAGAGTAGCGTCATTGCATTCGCTTCGTTGGACGATGTACGCGCACAAAGACAACATGCCTCGCAAGTGTTTATGGATGTGGAACTTGGGCTTCAGCGTACCTTGTTGGAGCTGCAAGAATTGCTCAAACAAACGCCCAATGAACCTCGGTTAAAGGGTGCATTTCCCGTAGCGACCTACAGCGACATTTTAGCTTCATTGCAAAATATCACAGACAAGTTTGCCTCCATGCGAACAGTGGTCTTCAAAGATGTCTGGTATGAGCAAGTGCAGCAAGACTTTATCAGCCCCGTGAGCCAAGAGAGAAAGGAAATGGTAGGCAATGTCTTGCTCTACTTTTACATTTTAGCCTCGGCCATACGACTCAAGACGCCCTTGCCACCGTATTTACCTCCAGCACGTAAGGCATGGGAATCATTGATCACACGATTGCGACAGCTCCCTGTCGTTCAGTCCAAACAACTGCTTGAAAAGGATCACGTCTACTTATTCTACTATACCTATGTTACTGTATTGGAAGACATTATTCGAGAGTTAGACAAGGTAAGGCAGTACATTGTTTATAAAGTTAATTTATTTACGATGCTTTTTCTTTTGATGCACATACAACACAGCTTGGTGCCAACATGACGCTCTTGTTCGGTGCCCTTGTACCAGGAGATCAGTGGGAGGCATTGTTTGATGCCAACGCAGACGACATTGAGCAAAGTACTAGTCTTTTGCTGTTTGAGGAGAACCATTAGTCAGTATTTTGTTCCAATAACACTAGTGCATCCTCTCTCGGTGATTCCAAATGTAGGGCTGCTATGGCATCAGTCGGTGTCATGACCTTGATAGGTGTTCCTGGCTCTGTTCTGAGTTCATGCACCACATAATAAATCTGAATATTTTCTTTGTCATTGAAATTTTTATCTGCTTGCACTTGATGGAAGCTCGCCATCCTGACAACAAAACTCATCAACATATCTGGTCATCATTGATGACTAGAAATAAATGACTTGGAGGTGATAACAAGGCTACGCTTCATCATTCTCAACTACAGTATTATTATCAATTTTTACTTATACTGTATTATCCAGTATACAACATCACTACTGTCTTATAGTATTTACTCTCTATTCTCTGGATTTAGTTACAAAGCATGCTATCATGTCACCATAATCTTCTCATGCGACATTGCCCTTAGTCATGCCTTATGAAGAGTCGAAATGCTCATCGTAACGTAATAAATTTATGGTCCCTAGACATTTTCAAAGCATCAAAAAGGAAAGAGGTTGATCTAACAGGTATTTTGATCGACCAGAATATAGTATGCAAAGAGGATAGCATGACTAGTCACATTAATATGTAATTTGCTATCTACTTTCCATGCGCTTCAAGAGCATTTCATACTGTATTGCAGTATGAAAAGGGCGTTGAGTTTGCCAGCTGGCCCCACAAGCCAAGATTAATTCAAATCCAGAATCATATTTTGCTTTAGATTGGACACATCTTGGTGATTTTCGACTCGATCGAACTATTTTGCCAGATTCGACTATATAAAATATGATGATCATCTTATGCGTCTTTAAGCTTTCTTGGAGTGCTTTTCAAGGAGCTTTCAATGGTACCGAGTAAGATTGAGGTTTTGAATAAACTTATTGAGCAACTTATGAAACTATGAAAAGAGGTTTCTGGCCAAAAAGTCAAAGTTTTGTATATCAATGTCCTACAAAGATGATTTCAGAGGTTACGTCGGATTGATAGAAACATTTTGATTCAAGATATACCATAGTGAAAGTCTTCATTTTTAAGGCCAAAAACTCGGTCATTTGATTTTCGATGAAAACCATGAGGTGCCCCTCATGCTTTTAGGTTGATTTTTGCCCATGTTTTTTTTGATCCCCAAAAAGTTGAGCAAAGGTGTCAGAAAGTAAATGCCGGATGGGAGCAATTGTTTGGTGCTATTCTGATGATCTAAAACGACCTTGAACGCGAGAAAACGCAGCTCAAATACACTCAGATTTTGCTGTCTCAGGGACACTAAGGGCTAAAAAGGGGCAACATTAGTATGCTGCTTGCCCGTATATCAAGTAGCTACGTGTATATAGATGTAGAGCATCACATAAGAATCAGATCCACAGATTATATGAGGTTTTCCTGTGTAAGTAAAGGTTCAACATGAAAGCAGTAGTATTTTGATAAGATACGCAAGGGCAATCGGTAGCGCGAACTGCCGCTGCGCTAGGTGGTTCTCATCGAACCGAAGCGCAAGCACTCGTATCATATAAAGAAAGGGGCCATTATGGTGCAGTGAATTCAAAGATTTAATGGCAATTCAATAAACATAATACCGTATGATTTGTCATGGATATCGTAAAGCTGTTTCATTTTTCTTGTAGCTACCTTTCTTTCATTTTCGACCCACCTCTACTTGCGTACAATTAAGTCTTATCATCATCAGGACTGAAGATTTCTCTTTCAAGCCTATGTGCTAAATCTTGAGAGCGCAATGCAACACAAAATATATCATACTGCAAAAGGTTTACCATTCAAAGCATGTCATGCAACCCTCAGTACAGCAAGGTACAGCAAGATATTCGACAACAAAAGTTGGATCAAGCTCCAGCAACAGCATACTAGGTGAATTCTGCTCTAACCATTGTATGTTGTTGCTTGTTAATTATGATAGACATCCCCAGATCTTTAAACACTTGCAATTTGGAGTAATGTGATGATGCTGCGAAGCAACGATTACTCATTTACGACGAGATGTACAGATACTATGGCCATCGTCCAAAGTTAAAATTCAAAAGATACATCAAAAAAGCAACAAACACACGAAGAAAAATGTCTAGTGCTCGACAATAACAACCCGGACAAGAACAAAACATCACCATGCAACGACATATACCGTTACAATATCATAACATACGGAGCGGCTGTTTTCTTGCCATTGATGCGAGGTAACAAGGCGGCATCCTTAAGGTCGTTTTTTTTAGGGCTGTACAAACGTACTGCATTCGATCTCACCATTACACAGGGCAAACAAGTTTTATTTTGTAAAATTGAGCATGTTTATTGGAAAGCAAATCCAGTTGAACATTCGCTAATTGCTTTAAAGAGGTTCGCTCTAAGATCTTCATAGGTCAAGTATTGAGGTAAATCGATTTGATTAAAGCTATAGATGCATGAATTAGATTTGACTTGAAAAATACAAACTACAAGGCACACAACTTACCAAGTATGAGCAGATGGCAAACGATTGACATCACCAAATTCCTTGTGGATCTGAAACTTTTGAACACCATTTGAACCTTGCAACTCTGCAAAACCTTCCAATGGCACCTTGGATGTGCCTGTAGAAAACTGCAGTAATTTGGCTCTTTCTTCTTGATCAAAGGATCGCACAGCACGCCAGAACCATTGAATTTGAGGAGATGACAGCGTGTATCCTTCGTAGACAGTGTTGGCCTTCCATTCATCAATGTCAATGTCGGGTAAACCAGAGATCAACAGTTCCAACTCTTGCTCATTGAAGATTTGGATCAACGAGGCAGGGATGATATCGTGGAACCCTTCCAAGAAAGCATTGACTTGGTCTTTAATGGCCAGCACCAGCTTTTGCTCTGTTACCAAAGTGACATATTCGTGCTTGTTCTCCTCTGTCACTGGAATATTTCTTCCGTCCGGCTTCAGATCAATGATCTTGTTGGTACCAAAATCGTCTGTTTCCACGCTGAATGTAAGATCGATGATGTCGGTAATATCATTCTCCAGCATCCACACTAAACTCTTGTAATAGGCAGGATCCACAGCTTCCACATCGCGATAGTCCACAGAACGTCCCAACATCAGCTTGTAGAATGAACGGGTGAAATAGGCATCCAGTAGGCGACCATCATGAATAGCTTTACCAATAATACGACCTACACACTTAAAGTAACTCAAATGCTCAGAATTGACACCGGAAGCTCGGTTTGGCTGGTAGGTGAGTTTGTCAGCAGCCGATGTGATGAACAAGGCATAATTGGGATCAAACATTTGACGAGCCAAAACAGAAAACCATTCACGAGCAACACCACCTGCATCCACGCCTTCTTCGCCATGGAAATGAACATTGAGCTTACCATACTTGATCTCATCGCCAGTCAAGCCCTGCAATTTACGATAGGTATCTTCAAATACGTTGGCACGGTCCAGAGAGAGTCTCAACGAGGGATACTGCTCACGACGATTACTACGTTTGTGCAACTGTTGAACGAAATAGTTTCTCTTGTTGTCAAATTCCAGAATCTTGGGATTGTGGATCAAAAGCGAGAAAGAGCCGCTCATCAATGAAGGGTTGTTGCGCACCATGATGTTGAGGATCTTTTTGTGCTCCTCCGTAAAGCTCAAAAAGAACCCTTCAACAGGGTTCGCTGTCTCTGTACTGCTCTTTGCCGTGTACCCTTTATGATTCACATACTTGGAGACCGCCATGAATGACTCCACCAAAGGCAGCAACACGGATGCGACATTGAGCAAGTCTTCTCTCTCCTGGATCAAACCAAGACAGGCACCCAGTTTTGTCCACAAGGGCAAAAAGTCCAGCTTGTCGTAAATCTTGAGCACAGCCTTTTCGTTTTGTTCAGCATGATCCGATGACACCGTACGCTTGTTGTTGCGCGTATACAAGTAGTCCATGGCCTTGAGCACACGTAGTAATCTGGCCTGATGAGATGTAGCAGCAGAGAATTGAGCAAGCGCAGAGCCTTCCAGCTCAGCACCTGCCTTCAGTTGATTCAAAATCAGGTACAGCTGCTGCAAATCGACAATGATCTGCTTGCCACAGGCATTTGCAATGCTGGTGAGTCCATTGATGATGGTATCCATAGCACCATCTAAAGGTGATAGGCGTGAAAGAACGTTGACGGTCGACCTGAACGTATGACTAGAGCATTCACCGATAGACAGCACGTCCACTATCTTTTGTATGTATTCAAAAGGTATCAAAGGCGGCTGAGGAGGCGCACGGCGATGTGCCGTATCCGATTTGACCTTTCTGTTGTAATTTGACACCAAGTTGGGTATAGGACGACACATGACTTCGAGCAGATTCATCAGTTGTTCCATCAGAGTGACATTTTCGATAAATACAGGGCGATCCAAGAGACCAATCAAGACCAGAATGGGATACTTGACAGCGTTGGCGTTGTTGATGAGTGTCTTGCTTGCTGTCTTTGATTTGCGACTACTGCCGCCACCTGTGGAATGACGACGCTTCAAGTAGCTCAAACTATCATGTTCCGTCAGGAAATAAGCAAGAGATCTGTCATTGAGGGTTACTACATAGTACAAAATCTCCAGGCAACGCTGAGCAATCAGATTGGGGACATTTTCAGCAGGAGCAGACACCACATGCACCGGTTTCTGTTCACTCTCAGGAGGCTTGTTACTATTGGATTTGTGGAGAGAGAGATTCATGAAGCTACGGTCAACCGCTGCCAAGTCGGTGCTACCGTCTTGTAGAATGCAGATCAGCAGAGACAACAGGTCAGATCGTGTCTTGCTATTCTCACATAAACTGAGCAACAATCTGTTCAGTAGAGCCTTGGAGATGGATTGCGGTACAAACACCAAACGAGCAAGTGTCGCCAACTGAGACTTGTCTACAATGCGAATGGCGTCCTTGGGATGGCTTGCTGGTTTGGCTGAATCTCTCATGCTTGATCTATTTACGTGTTGATCTCCATCGGATGCTCTCCCAATTCGCCAAGTAGCGTTGGCGTCATCTCGACTCGGTGTAGGACCACCAGAAGCAGCACCAGCAGCGCCAGCAACAGGTTGCGTGATGGGGAAGTTGACACGAGAAGCAAGACCCAGATTAGGATGCATTTGAACACCTTCCAGTTCAGTTGTATTAACGGCAATGTTGGGTGTGTTATTACTGGTGCCATCATTGGTTTGGTTGCTCTCCACCAATTGATCCATGTCTTGTGTATCTAAAAAGTCTCTGGCTTGACGTCTGCTACGATCAATGGATTCTTGTCTAAGCACTTCGTTACGAATATCAGGTGGTAATGCAGCCAAAAATTCAGGGCTAATTTCATCTTGATCCATGCTTTCAATATAAGGGCGTCGTTCTGCCATTTGTTGACTAATGACTTCAGCTCGAAGATCGTCGGGAAGTGCCTCCAAGAACTCGGCATCAATGCCTGTACCAGTGATATCGACTTCTTCGCCATGAATCATGACAATCACACGATCTTGTTGATCATCTGCTGCTATTTGGTCCTCCTCTTCTTGGTCTAAGTCTTGATCCTCTTCCACTTCTATCTGTACCTCAATCTCACTGTCATCATCGCTTGATGTAGCATTCAAGAAAATGTTTTGTATCTCTTGAGGCTGTTCAACTGTACGCTGATCTTGTTCAGCCTTGGGCTCGTCTTTTTGAAGGTCTTTCAACTCGGCGATAATACAATTGGTTAATTGAGAGGCTTTGGCAGATGCAACAGCAGGAATGTAGACCATGTGCGCTTCTTGGGTCCAACGATCCGTAGTGTGAGAGGGTTGGAATTCTTTGAGTAAATCAAGGGTTTCCTTGCTTTCCTGACTTTCAGCATCGTTTGTCGCATTGGCTTCGGTATTTATTGATGTGACAGCACCTGGTTGAGTGGGTTCATCATGGTTGTTTCTTTGACGCTGCTGACTGAACAAATTCTCCAAAATACGAACAGCACTGCCACCAATGATGTCCTCATAGGCTTGCAGATGGTTGCTATTGGCACCACACAAAATGGCAGTTTCAGCTGAAAGAGACGAGGGGTCTGCAGGAGCATCAGTTGTATTGGATGTGCCTCTCAACAATGGGTGCAGGATGACGTTGTCAAAGGGTCTTCCAGCACCATTACCGTCGCCTGTAGTGGTGTTTAATGAACCTCTGACTGTAGGATTAATAATATGAGTAGCTATAAATGTCATATTAGTCTGAGTAATCTTGTTGCCATGGAAACCCTTACCATCACCACCTTCGCGCGCCATACTATTAAATAGGTCGACTAATGTAACATGCGTTAGATAAGGTAGTCTTCATTAAGCCGGCAAGCAACTTACGATTACGCTCTACATCTTCGAGTTCTTCAGCAGTGAGACCATCTGTATCTAACTCATAATCAGCAGGATCAATGTCCATATCATCATCGTCATTTTCATCCACACTTAACTAAGAATATATAATTATTTGAATGAGCTGCATAATACACTACATGAATACAAAGTGCTTACCAAACTGCTATCTCGACGACGACGTCTTGCATGTCCGTTCAAACGACCCTCCTCTGTCAATTGCCATGCTAAATCTCGACTATCGTTGGAGTGAATGGAATCGCTTCTATCAGAATTGAGAGATTCGTTGGATGAATCATATTCGTTTGATGAAAAGCTGTTGGCGTCGCTTTCAGACTCTGAATCCGTGACGCTACTAGCCGTGTCAGACTGTTCTCAAATGCAACATGAGTCATCTGGTACTGTTGAACCACTCACTTACTTACCGAATCTTCTTCATCTGTGTCAGCATGATGGAATCGATGGCGTCTAAACACAATGTCCTGATCATTTTCTTCCATGGAAGAAGCATCCGAGTCCAAGTCGATCTCTAAACCACTGGAATCACTGGTATCCTCGATAATTTCTTCGCCAGAGCTGCGTGTTATATTAGATACTGGTCAACAACTAGAAAGTGGGGGGGGGGGAATTACCTAGCCATGGAAATGTCATCATCTGATTCTTCTTCTTCACTGCTTTCTTCTTCCAATGCTGTGCCATCAAACATGGCCAGAGATGAATTTCGATACAAGTCATTGACTTCACCTGCCTCTGCGTCTTCTTCATCAGTGTCCATTGGAATATACATGTCTTGGTCATCGTCGTCTTCTTCATCTTCCGCATCACCGTCATTTTGCTGATGTACTGCATGAATTACTTGATTTGCGTGGTCAATTTCTCTTTGAATGGTGTCGAGGACAGGCGGAGAACCAGGGCGAGGAGCAGGAGTGGGAGGTGACTCACGGTGGATACGAATTGCTGATTTCGTCAACTGCTCCAAGGGTCTCAGAATCGAGTTGAGGATGGATTTGGCTTGAGGGTAATTGACATCCACATCGCTAATGACCGAAATCAAGATGGGCACAAAATTCTTCTCCAGCATGAGCTTGGACACCTGCTTGACAGCGTCTTCTTCCTTGGCGCTCACATCCACATTGATGCCAGTAGGACGTGCATTCAGTATGCGATGACACAGTTCAGTCAATGCAAAGTATCTGTTGTATTTGATACTGGCAGTGGCATTGGATTGCAGTGTGTCGTGCAGTGATTGCACTACTACATCCAGCACATGGTGTCGCACACTGGCAAGTACCTCTCGATGTGCCTCAATGTCCTTCTTCTGTATCTGTGTAGTATCATAGCACATGCCTACCAGCAAAGATGCCACCCACATGGAAACACCTTGCTTTTTGCGGTCTTGGTCAGTAAATGTGTTGATGGCGTTGTAAGGCAGCAATGTGTTGGTCAGTTTGAATAGGATGGACTGGCGAATACGTGTGTCTTTGGCAGACATGTCAGTGGAAGATGTTGCTGCTTCAAAATTCACAATATCAGACTTGCAAGAGGGGTAAGAAGACACCAGTTCAAAAATGCACTGTAACAGAAATCCAGTATAAGCGAGCTTGATGTTGGACTCGGTGTTGCTGGCTTGCGTCTGTACGAGCTGATTCAGCAAGAAATGAATGACCAGAGATGATGTGTCCACCGTCGATTCAGTAGGCGTGGCCTGCCCTTGCTTCTCTTCCTCTTCTTTAAGGCCAACATAGCGAATGCTCTTGGGTGTGTTGCCTAGTCGACACAGTTGTGTGCTAACTTGAACAAAGACTTCTGGATCACGCAATACCAAGTTGCTATGGTTCCTGAGAAAGGCATCGATATCCAACGAATCCGAGCGAGAGTTGTTGGCAAAAAAAGTAACCAGCCATTCGCGCATGGTAGCTGTCAATACCTGCTCGCTTTCCATAATGTGTCGCAAGATCATGATAATATACGTTTGCTGAATTTTAAGTGCTTTGAATTCAGAACTAGGTCGTTTGAAAAGTGGCGTCAAACCACCCAATTCCACAAATTGCAAGGCGGCTGAGTGGTGCTTTGTTAAACGCACAATGATTCTCAACACAGACACCAGGTTATCCTCTGTCAACGAGTCCATCTTGAGTAGGTCAATGCAGTACTTCATCAGCGTGGTTCTGTTTTCTGGCGTCACAATAGCAGGCTCACGTCCCGCGTCGTCTTGTTGTTGTGCTGCTGTGTCCTTGGGCTCATCGGATTGAGCTAGAGCGGCCTCCAAGATCAGAAACAGTGTTGTCAGCCACTTGGGATCCGGGAATTCGGGATGAGCGACGATCATATCCAGAAACTCAAACCAACTCATGTAGTCTGACATGGTAGTAATCAACAGGGCCATGACATCTTGCATACTGGGTTCACGCAACATGAGGGCAAAGATACGAATCTTGTTGAGGGAGGATGTAAAGGTGGTGAGTGCATTTTGGGAGCTGGTTGTAGTTCCATCACCACCGAAGAATAAGCGCACCGTCTCTTTTGTATTGACATCCCAGTGATGAGGGTCACCACAGCACAGCATGGCCATCAGTCCACGCACTTCAAAATCGAGGTCGCTGCGTTCGTCCACCAGACGAGACAGAATTTGAGGAATATGAGCACGCATCTCTTTGCGGTTGTGCTGCAGTTCTTTAAGGATTTGCTCGTGCTGGAAATCGGCGTCTGTCTTGACTTGGACCATCAAATGATTGGGTCTAGCTGAACCTCCATCCTGAGAGGGCACATAGATATCATCGTTGTCGTCATTGTGTTCTTCTTCAGTCGTATACATGCTTTCGTCTGCTTCTCCTTCTTCATCTTCAGAGGCAATGTCCTCGTATTCATCATCATTGTCATCCTCTACCACAACATCTTGTGCTGCTGCTTGATTGGCGGAAGGAGGTGTTCTCAAAGCAGAAGGTCTGTATCTAGCTAGTACCATGGCAGCTTGTGCGAGGTTATTGTTCTCCCGCAAAGCCTCTGTAGCCAAAGCTGGGTCATACCACATGTTGACCAGAATGCGAACACCAGCATCAAATTCAGTTGAAGTCAAAGGATTGGAGCTCTGCAACTGAGGCAAGATGTCCAGCTGAGGAGGGCCTGCTTCCACTGTGTGTTGTACCAAACGTCGACTAAAGAGATTGTCCAAAGCACAGATACCGTAACGCATGGTACGCAACGCATCTTCCACACGATCCGGTTCGAATCCCATGTCAATCAACGCTCTACGATTGGTGTCATAATGCTCAATTGTGCTGACATCCACCTCGCTCTTCTTGATGCCACCTGTTCTACGGGCCCGACAACGCGTCTCGCCTTCCTGCTTCATGTTTTGCGTGACACATCTCAGTAGGGAATGCAGCACATGTCTCGAGAACTTGCAGAGAAGAGGGCTCGAGAGATATGTGTACAGCCCGGTTAGTTTGAGTTGCATCGAGGCGACCCAGAGGTAGGGATCCAATAGTTCAGGGGAGGTGGTATAAGCGTCTTCTGGGCTCACTTGGATGAGGATGTTGGTATGAGGCGAGTGGAAGAACAGTTTAGAAGAACCCAAATGATGGAGAATAGCAAGCAAGAGTTCAATGCAGGTGTTGATACGCTGTGCCAATGCATCATCCTGCTCGTTTGCCTTGATCTTGTGTTCTGCTGCTTCCCAGAAGCGAGGGAGCATGTCATTCAGCAGGAAATCAATGACACCCGCTTTTTCAAAGGCAACTGCAATAGGTGTTTCCAGGGCAGTGCGAGATCTGTCGTCCAGCAGCAGCATAGAGATCATGGAGAACATAGATGAATAGTAGTCATATTTGCAATCAGGCATCTTGCTGTCTGCATCAAACATGTATCTAAGACTGGTGTTGAAGAGATCTGCCACCTCTGCAGCAACGAGTTTAGCACGTTCAGGGAAGGAGAGACTGGATCCAGCAGCAGTGGGAATACGACGGTTGGTAGATACCTTGATAATGCCTTGCAACACTGGCATGAGAGCAGGTGGTACTTCACTGAGTAGCAACTTGAAGCGTCTAATATTGATCACACGGGGGTCCTTGAGGTCTGCCTGCTGTTCAGAAGAGGCGCCTTGTGCGGTAGAATACCATGATTTGGGAACAGCGTCTCGAAGCAAAATGTTCTGCCACACCATGCATCTGTGAATATCACCAAGCATCTGTATCACATTCTTGTCTTGAGGGCTCTTTTCAATGCACCATTCCACTAAACGTCCAGCAAATTTGTTGCTTGTCAGGATGGCAGATGAAAAAATAGTAGAAAGCAATCCAATATAGCCAAACAAGACACTGAATTTCTTGAAGAGGCCGTTGCCTGCTTTCTGCGATACGTCATCTTTACCTAGAAATAGAGACATAAGTATATACGTAGCCAGGGTAACAATGATAGGGTGTCATGTTGACTTACCATTGGCTTCGATGTAATCATAGACAAGGGATCTATCATTGGGCAGTTCGTTGAATATAAAGCGAGATGATTCAAATACTTTGGCAGCAATCAGTTTAGCAAGCGCATTGGGCGACACATCGGCAATCACACGAAACACAAAACCGAGAGAATCAAATGCATTGGATACTGAAAAGTCGTAGGGTAGCATGGGCAGCGAGTAGTAGCTCAGTAGTAGTTCAGGTCCACCGTATTTGACAAATTCCTTGACATTGTCTACATTGCGCAAAAATCCTTCCAAAAACTAAGAATGAAAAAGTTTAGTCCATGCACCCAACTTCCGTGGTGATAAGGTACTCACTCTGGCTACTAGATCCACAAAGCCAAGCAACAGGCACTCTGCTCTCTCTAAGGGCGGTTCGTCTGTGCGTCTCTGATACACTAATTCATGGCAATTATCCAGTGGTTTGCCCTTTTCCGAGCGTCCAATCTCATTGACTTGCTGTAACAACTGGTTTGTACATTTGAACACTTCAAGTTTCAGCTTTGGGTGGTGTCTGATCAGTTCATCCATGGTTGTGCCCAGTGCTATCGTATTGCCGACATCAGAAGCGTTTGTAACAAAACTGGGTGCAGTCATCAAGCTGAAAAAGTGGGGCAAAGGAGATGCCTGGTCAAACATGTCGAGTCCAGCACTGTTAAGACAAATGGCACCAAAGGAATGCACCGATGCCATCAATACTTCAAAATTGGGTTGGTCGTACGTCTTGAATGTCTTGAGAAATGTCTGTGGTAATTTGAGTTCTTGTAGTACGGACAGTGAGGTAGGTTCGTTGTGAATAAATGTGGTGGCGACGTTGATGACAAGCGCAAAGACACTGGGTCCAAAAATGCGATGGTGCTCCATGACCTTCATGATAGTGTGTGGGATGCTGGATTCAATCAAGTTGCGCAATCCATCTGCTGTATCGCTACTTTCCATCATGCGGATCAAAAATCGCAGTGCATTCTTGGTCAGCGTCAGTGCATCGTAATTGGGTGGCTGCTGATTGCTCTCAATGCACTCGTCCACTTGTGTCTGGATCACTTTGAGCAGTACGTCCAGTCCATTTGCGCTGCAGAAGGATGAGAAAGACGTATTGATGTTGCTCATGATGGTGTCTAGTAGTCCAATCACTTTGATCAAGGCTTTTCTATAAATCGGGTTGGTGTTGCTTGGGTGATCCAAAACTTGAATTAGGGTGGACATGATGCCAGCTGACATAAGCATGGTGCCACCAGCAGATGTTTGTAATAAGAATGTGAGGAGGGTGAATAATGCGTCCAAGAAGTCTACTGTAAAAGCTATATCAGTAGAAATAAGATGAGCGATGTTTTCATACGCAAGAGCCCATCTATACTTACGGGATGTCGATTGACACAATTGACGAAGTATATGGAGCAATACGCCATGGTTTGCAGACGCATTAAAAGCGGCCAATACCTCTGTTACCTTGGTTCTATGTCGTGCAATGCCATCCAAGGCATACAATGCATAAGTTTGAATATCTACAGGAACACTGTTGTCGTAAGACACAAGCTGGGCAATCTGAGGCACCAGATGGGGCTCGTATATAAAGACTCTATTCTGAGCAACTGTTTCTGACATGGTATGTGCTATTGTAGAACCGAGTTAGTCTATGCATTCTAGGTCCTCTCTCTCTCTCTCTCTCTCTCAGCCAGTCCATAGTTACCCATGATCACGATGGATATAAATCGAATAATAAGCAATTGCTGGCGGACGGCCATGTCCGCCATGTGGTTGGCAATGCGCACTCGATTCAGCAGTTCAAAATGGCTCTCCTGTGGTACTTGATGCTCCTCTACCAGCTTCCAAAATAACTCTCGATCTGTGTATTGATTTGGCACAACACTGACATTGATAGCGTGCAGTCCCTCCTCTTCGTCCTGTTGCTCTACTCCTCTGCTGGTGCGGAAAAACGACATGCAAATTCGATTGTTGCCCATCACCGTGTCTGTGGATGACAGGTCTGCAATGGATCCTCCTCTCGCTAATTCTGTCACCTTGTCCTGGTGAGCCAAAAAACTGGATTGTACTGCTTTGGGGTTATTCACGCGCTGCGCCGGTCTCAGCATGAGTCGCAATACGGCTTCCAAAATATCAATGTCGGTAGTGTTTAATAGGTTGTTTAGATGCTATATTACAATTAAACGGTGAGCATCATCACTGCCCATGTATTGATCTACAAGCTTACCTCGTACGAGTTGTAGATGTTTCTGTTGGTACAATTTTCAAACAAAATCTTGGAGAACTGCAGTATGGCTAGCAACATTTGCTTTGTGTCGTCTGTAAAGGGTGTCTTTTGAATGTGATTTTCCTTGAGGTCGTACGCTTGGCATGTCGTTTCCAGTAACGCATCGAATCGGTTCAAAACAGCAACAAACTGGAACAAATCGCCTCTTGGAAAAGTCCAAGCTGGCAAGGCCCAAGTCTTTATATCGTTTTCATCGTCTTGCACCAAATGCTTGACGGCAGTGGCGAGCGCCTCAGGCTAAACATGATGATACATTCAGCAAGTGGCCAAAAAACACAGATTTCTTCAAGATAAACTTACCAATGGAGCAGGTTTCCTGATGGAAACTCTGGTAATTTTCATATTGGTTTATATACAAATGTGTAGGTGCAAAAAGGAAATGTAGAAAAAGAAAGCAAAAAGATTTTTCTTGCAGGCTATTCATCAGATACCTTATGCGGAGTTGTGCTGCTTTGACAAACGAATGCTTGACTGAGGGATACTTTACCAATGATCCGGGACTTTGTCTGGGTTGGGCAAGCCAAGTAATCATCGTCTATCGAGGAGAACTACGGTAACGTAGTCAAGTAAATGCAGAACAGGAATACACAAAGTCTGTATAAAGAGTAATACCTCCACGCGTTTGTCGTTGTTTTGGGCAATTCTCTACCAAGCTAGCCAACAAGACACTGAGATATTCAGTTGCTAATGTGCGTGCTACTCATCAAATCTATACTGATGTTTCTCAATTGCGTTGGATTCGTTCTGAGAATGATCCCATTGAGCTCGCAGCTGGTGTTGTCGCCAGCGCTACCTGGAATCTTTCTTCCTAGTGTCCTGGTGACATGTATGCATTTCAAGTTATGGATTTCTACGATTTGTATAACAAATTTGTCACATAGATGGTATTTATGAAGAGGCATCTTTTAAGTAACAAGGAAACAGGTTTTTTTTTTATTCAAACTGTAAAGTTTACAGCATAGTGAATTCACAATGTAACTACGTGAATATGGCAGAAAAAAAGTGAATTACTATTACCTTTGAACAAACGTCTGATGGATAGAACGAAATAAGGAAGCGGTAAGGAGGTTTGTTTCCGAGTGATGTGGTTGTGATTGTTCTAGCGTTGGTAAAAAGGTTTTCCGTTTATCATATTTTGCTTAACCACTTTCTTTCATTTTTCTAGTTGGTTGACATATATTGAGTGATGTAGCAAGACAAGCACTCAATATACAAGATGGCATTTTAACAGCACAAGTCGCGCACTGGAAAGACATGGAGCTCTCTCTCTCTCTCTCTCTCTCTCTCTCTATCAATTGAATCTTGCTTTCCTGTGTTTCCTTACAAAATGTGGAAAGAAGCCTGGTTAAACTGAAAGGATCCAACTCAAACCTGGAAATTGACTTGCTTTTGGGTAGATATGCTACAAAGGCTGAATCATACATTGCTGATCAAGATTTCATCCTGGCTTCCAAGAGCCGTTTAGAATAGCAGAATATGTAACCAGATAAATGAAAATAGAGCTGTATATATTATTCACTCTTCCAAGTTTGAACCAGGATTAATCTAGAGTTAAGCCCGAGCATATATATAGTTATTTAACAAGCGAATCTAGGACCTTGATCTGAGAACCGGGAGAATTGTAAACATCTTGCACCAGTAAAGGGAGGCTTGATGAATAAGAGGTTTTAAAGATCATTAGTAAGAGAGCAACACTAGTGTAGACATTGAATGGAATGGTTTTCATAGTAGCATTTGCTGAAAGAACACTTGCCAAAATTAGGAACCACTTCAGGGAAGGAATGCTATAGATTCACCTCATTTTAGGAGCTCAACTCCAACAGCATATTGACTATTAGTAGTAAGAAAACTGATGAGCTCAATAAATGCATTTCTGTAAAAAAGAGTCTAACTAGCTAGCTCTATTAGATATTTGAATACTTAACAGAAGCAAATTAAAACAATAAGAACAAAGCTATGGTGTTTTTTTTTCAATTCTCAACTCCATTTCTATGAGCCTAAACAAGCTTCCTTGACCTTTCTGATATGAGCAACAATATTCTCGTTAGCCAAAAGAATTCAATCACCGCTCAGTCAGTTTTCGATTGGGTAGGTTCTGGTCAATTCTCGACTTGATTAAACTATCTTGCATGATTCGACTATGTACATTGTGATGATCACCCCAAACCCCCTTAAACTTTCTTGTAGTATTTTCTAAGGCGCATCCAATGGTACTAATTATAATAAGTGTTTTGAATGAACTTATTGGGCAAACTTAAGAAATATGAAATCACGTTTTTGGCGAAAATGCCGAGATTTTACATATGAGAGTATCACCAACAACATTTCAGGGGTTGCTTTGAGTCGAGAGGAACATTTTGATTCAATATACATTATAGTAGAAGCCTTTATTTTTACGGTGAAAAACGCGATCGTTTGATTTTTGATAAAAACCATGAGGGGTACCTCATGGCTTGGAGTCAATTTTCAATCATCCCAAAAAAGCTGGGCAAAGGTGTTAAACAGTTAGTGCTAACTCAGAACAACTGTTTTGGTGTCATCCTGCCAGCGTAAAACGGGCTTGTAACACGAGAAAACACGGCTCAAATGTACCTAAACTTTGCCTTGTTGTGTCTATTCTGAAGCTGTAGGAGCCAAAGCGAGCAAGCTGTGTTCCCTTTCAAAAATTGTTTTCATTGATACGTAGACTACTCGAGAGCACTCAAATTCACAGTTATGTGGAGGGCTTGTATGTGACAATAGACGGCTAAACAGTCTATATCAGTAGGAATTTCGATAAAACTTACAATATTTCAATGAATTGAGCCGAAGAAATCCATGTAAACTGGCTCATATTGAAGTAGAGCAAAGGCGAAAGCACAGAGACACTCGTTTAGTGGTATCAACAGAATTCTTCGATCATGGCAAGGCTCATTATGCGCTTCTTGTTTTGAAAATGCTATTTTTTGTTGGGGCCTCCATCTCTCTATTGATTTGAGACTTGCAATGCAATTTGGATATACCTGTTTCTATTTCAAATTGCTCTCTCTGTGGTGCTCGAGTGTGTGTATACGAGGACCGGATGCAACACTAACGCCAATGCTCTACTAAAAGGGATTCTACATAATACAACAACAAAGTTTGTTTATTCCAAATAGACATAAATAGAGAAGCATGATCAGCATGCTGCCAAGTGGAACTAAGGCATGTACACGTTATCAAGCAGTAATATATTGTTTGTTTGATTAGACATTTATGGCTTAATGATTTTAATTGCTGTGAAATGTTATGTTTTGTACAAATACTAGAAAATATTTTATTTTGGATGGTTGGAAAAAAAAAAAAAAGAAAAAAAAGACAGCAAGCAATGTATATAGAGACTAAATGATGGCAAAATGGGTAAATGATATATAGAAAAAAAACTAATGAGCAACATGATGAATGATTATAAGAAAGGTTTTGTTTGTAGATGAACAGTTTAGCAGTTGTTTACTGTGCTACTGTTGCATTATCTACGTAATTTAGAACTACGCCGACAAATTCGTCTAGTATTTTGTTTGAATCGACATATTTAATTCCACCTTTTGTAGTAACTGTGGGTATGCAACATTGTTCTTGGTGTTCCTGGTGCTTTTGTTGTTGTTTTTGTTGTTCTGTACAGGCGGCAGGTGATGTGGAAGAAGATGCATTGTAGGATAGAAAAGCATGCATAGAGGGTAGCACACAAAAGTCATCTTGAGCAGCTTCCCCTGCTTTCTTGCCTTCAACTTTGACAAATTGAGTTGGTGCTTGTGTTACTACTGCTGCGTCTGTCATGGCTGCTTCAACCGCTTGCTTTTTGGAGGTGGGTACGGGTGTAGTAGAGTGATGGGAAGAGGATCGACGTCGTTTGTTGTTGTTTTGGTTGTCACTCGTGACACTGCTGACGCTACTAGTGCTGCTACTGCTAGTGCGACGTTGTAATGAAGGTGACAGATGCGGAAGTACAGGGCTGGATGAGGCTGATGAGAAATCAGGTGGTGATGAAGACCAAGAACTAGTGCGAGTAAATCTATCAATCGATGGCAGTTCAATCTTTTGCTGTGGTGCACTGTAGAAAGGTAGTTCAATGATATCACTAGTGCTTGATGCAGTGCTGCTGGGCGATGTAGGGCTTGATGGAGAGGACGAATAGTGTATTACGGGACTCATCAGACGCAAGGAATCCCGCATACCAAGAGGTGGAGCCCAAGCGCCATTGGATTCTCTTCTTTCCATCATCATGCGTCTGCCTAATCGTCTTGCTATTTCTTCTCGTACAAAAGCTTGTTTCTCAGCGGAATCATGATCACCGTACTTTTGGCGTGCTAAGCGATACACACGACAGCGTAAATCGTTTTGTCTGTTTTTCTCTCTGTTTTCTGCTCTCCATTTACGCATTCTATCATTGTTACTGAAACAGATCAGAAAATTTTGTCAATGCAACAATTATCAAATGTATTCAATGTTGGATTTTTTTACCTTTCGGTTGTCTCTTCCTTTGATACTATTTTTTTGGAATGGCCCTTCCATCGTTTCTGATCGCGACTTCGGACGTAAGGTATGTTGTGAATGTTGGGGTTTTCCATGTGGCGCTTCCTAAAGGTGGAGAATATGAATATGCTATTCTACTGATGATTTATACGGGGACACATGGAAGGCAGGAGACGAGAAAAAGGGAAAGAGGGGCTGCTACTTACAGATTTGAGCGGGTGGCAAAGACTATAGTAAAAGAAAGAAGGTTGTTAATTTCAGGTGGAACAGCGGCTGATGTCTAGTACAGTATTACTTTTAGGACATTGGGGACAAGCAAATACTCTTGCAGCATTTTGATCATCATCCAGAGAAAGCATGTTTATAGGTATATATGTGTATGCAGAGTATATAGAAAAAGTGAGTGAAAGAGAGAGAAAAGAAAAAGAGCAAGATTAATATACTGATGGAATAACAAATAGATAAACAAAAGAAGGACGAAAAAAATTCATCTATCCATATACTATTATACACACAGATCAAACAGTCCATTACAATATTCAACATTTAGGATTGCATTGAACCCAAGCAAAATATGGGGGGTCTTTTGGCGGGAAATCCTCTGGTTTAAGGGGTTGTAGGCAGGTGGGGGGGGGGAGTGAGAGCAGGAGAAGCATATACAGAGATCAACTGACTGTGTGTATCACCGTCTGGTTTATAATGTAATCTTGTTCATTACTACGTTATTCATGTACGGCGGTGCTTTTGTGTTTACCATCCAGGATAGAGATGGATAGATTGCAGTGGAGTGGTCTATGGACAAATATTTTCTTTTTTAATATAAGCACATTTTACAAACAAGAAAGATCATTCCGTATAGTCGCAATCAAGCAAGCAAGAGACGGAACATCCCCGCATTCCCGAGAGAGGGCCAAGTCAGAAAGAACTCTTTTGTCTTTGCGTCTGTTTTTTTTTGTATATATAGCATGAGACATGTTGGCACGCGTCAAATGTGCAGCAGTAAGAAAAACTATATGGAGCATTGGGGGATATATTAAAAAATACTCTTGTACTCGGCATTTGCTTCCGATCAGTCAAGTATCATTGCAAACCTCCTGCAAAAGAAACTTTGTTTTTCGCTTGCTCATCCTTCCCCCCCCCCTGAATTTGACTAGTTGAACATTTTACTGTCATCATTTCTACAGGAGTTGGACTCTTTTCATTGTTGGTGTTGGAGAATGGAGACATGGTTATGTTTCCAAGCAGTAATCAAACTGTAGATCAACCCGTGTGAGATGTTATGAAACCAATTATTTATTCAATTCAACAACAAATAGTGCCATGTACCACTATCCAACGTTAAGATCACTATCCATACATCCATCCTCGCTGCTCTTCCTCTTCTTCTTCCTGAGCTTTTTGCTCCGTCTCCACCTCAAATCGACACATGGGACATGTATGATGCAGCTCGAGCCATGGCACAATACACTCGCGATCAAACAAATGTCCACTAGAGTGATGTGGTGTGAATAATGAAACAGTAAATAATCATGTAATGTAAAACTCACCATGGCATTCGTGTCACAGCGCCCTCACTGCTCTTCAAGTTGTCCTTACAAATAATACAGGTTTCTTCGCTAATCCATATAAACAAAGCGAGAGAGAGAGAGAGAGAGAGTCAAAAAGCGGTTCACGATCCTAGTTCATAGCTTTACCTTTCCAATGTGCTGTTTTTGACAGTAGGCAGTGTATCAATAAACCGCTTGGATGCTGGTGGAGGCCCTTTTGCGTTGCTCTGTGATTCTTCCAAAAGTTGTGATACAAGGTTGTCTAAAAACTGCTCTTGATCAGCATCACCTCCTGCCTGCATTTGTTCTCGAAATTGATTAAAGAAGCTATCATTATTATTAGATTGTTGCATACTCTTTCAGGTAGAGTACTCACTTGGCTGCTTGTATCAACTGCTGCACATTGGCTGTAGTATCGCCTCCATGTCTGCTTGAGCCTGGCGATAGGATTGAACCAGAACCTGGATTCATGAATGCATCCAGGTCAACATCGTATGTTTTCTTTTTGCTTTGACCATGGTTAATTCCTAGTTCATCTTGGTACCGAGTACATCAGCCACTGATTTATCATACACATATACGAGCGTATACATACCAAAGTAGCTGGACATGGTGAAATTGAGTATAATGCTGTTGAAAAGCTAAAATCCACAGATACGTAAGTGTCCCCCCAAGGTCAACATGCGCGTGGTTTCAATTAGGCTTTATTATGTAAGTGATCTCGTTGGGTCTATTTCATGCAATTACAGCTGTTCATGTTACGAGGGGTTCTCTATTCTGTTTCTTTTTTTTTCTGGCAATGAATGCTAATACACTGACAAGGTGCCTGTTGATGTTATCCTCAATCCTAAGATTCCAGTGTTGATGGATACCAAAAAAGTATCACGGTTGATGTAAAGAGCAATATCTGTATACAGTATTACCCACTAGCCGATCTATCTCGCTACGTGCAACGTCAGCATCACCCTGCGGGCTATCGTCAAAGACATTTAAATGAGATATAATAAAATTTTGGTATATCAAGTAGAATTTAAACAATTAATTATTAGCAGAAGAATGTTATATTAGAGCCAGAAGGAGGAGAGAAGGTATCTCTCAGCACCTTTTTGCTTATACTGATACCATACAAAGCCTATTATTAAGACGACGTGAAATAAAATTCAGGTTTTATGCAGCATTTGTATACCACAATATCCATTTTCTGATTATACCATTCACTGCGGCTGATGCTCTTAACAAGATGGCGACATAAAGCTAACCATAAGTAAATACAGGACTTGTTGTGTAAGATCTACAGCGACTTTTTTGAAATATTGTCATTACAAAAGACATCTTTATGAGGCAAATCTCCCTCAAAAAAAAGTACTTAAGTTAAGTAGTTGTCCTTTCAATTTCATGACCCCCCCCCATATAATCAGTATCGCAATCATTATTGTCATCATCAGAAAGGCATTTGGGCCAGCCAGCAGCAGCATTGCCCACTAAAATTGATTAAACCTCAGCTATATCTTCTTCTTAAGATTGGACAAATATTGTCTTTTGTCGACTTGATTAAACTATTCTGTGGTATTCGACTATACAAGTCGTGATGATCACCTTATGCTTCCTAATACATTCTTGGAGTACTTTTCAAGGCGCTTCCAATGGTGCTAATTGTAGCAAGTGTTTTGAATAAAATTTCTGAGAAAATTGGTAGAATAGGAAATGAAGTTTTTGCCGAAAATAGCCAGATTTTGCATATCAAAATTTCATAAAAATGCTTTCAGGGGCTGCTCTGAAACCATAGAAACATTTTGAGTTAATATATGCCATAGAAGTCTTCATTTTCAAGGTAAAAAAAACGCGACCTTTTGATTTTCAATGAAAACCATGAGGGGTTCCTCATGGTTTAAAGTCGATTTTCGACGATCCCAAAAAAGTCGAGTAAAAGTGCCAAGAAGTTAGTCTTGGATGAGAGCGATTGTTTGGCGGTATCTGGCAGGCTAAAACGGCTTTTAACGCGAGAAAACACGGCTCAAATGCACCAAAATTTTGCAGTATTAGGTACACTTTTGACTAGAAAGGGGCAATACCAGTATGCTGCTTGCCCGTATATGAAGTATCAACATGTATACGGGCGTGGAACATTGCTTAAGAGTCAGATCCGCAGATAATATGAAGGGTTTTCCTGTGTAAATGGAGAACCAAAATGAAATTAGCAGTATTTTGATAAGATAAGCAAGGGCAATGGGTAGCGTGAACAACCGCTGCGCAGGTTGGCTCTCACCGAAACGAAGCGAAGATAGAGAGCCATCCGAAACATAAATACACTCGTAAGTAAATAAAACATACTTTGGCGTATCGAATGATGGTAGAAACAAGCTCATAGCAAAGTTACAAAAATTGCAGTATCTCATAACAAACGTGGGTCACATTGAAAACACCATTGTAGCAAGTTTACCAAAAGCCAGATAATTTGGGGACATGTAAGCCCATTTTTTTATGCGAATACAGTATCCCACTCTATAAAGCTCGTAAATGATTAAAAAAATATGAGATGGTTCAATTTTATCGATAAAATGTAAATGTAATATTATGGAATTGTAGTATATATATATATATATATAAAGAAAAAAGTAAGCCAGTTGCTTTCTCCTATGTTATACTTTTTATGCAGCGAGAGTGGATAGCGGTAAGCTTAATTCAGTAATTTGAAGGGTATATGTCAAAGGCTGAGGGGCCATCGTCTTGATTGGCGGTAATTGCAAACTTTGCTTTTTCAAGGCTTGCCCATTACACAATGATGCTTCTAAAGTGGTATTGATAGGAGACACAGATGAGGGTAACCTGGTAAGTGCGGCGTGGACTTGACAAGCTTCATTGTTGATATCTAATTCCAGAGTCTTTCCTTCCTCCATTCCCTTTTCAACAGTAATGATGAATCCATTTTGGCTGTATGATTGAAATTTGGATGTCTTTTTCCGGAGCAAGGAACAATGGATTGGGCGGCGATGGTCAAACATGGTCTTTACTTTCACAGGATCCATCAGTACCGAGTAGTAGGCTCTCTTTGATTTGGCATCAAACCCAATGGGCTTTGCGCTGACTTGTCCTAAATGTATCTATACACATGGAATTAGATTCTATCCTCTACAAGTGTGAATGTACAAAAGCTTACCAAGATTCCCCATTCATCGCTGGATTTAATGATACGCTTCTCTATCTCACAGAGAGAGAATGATTGAAATAACCGACAAGTTCTTTCAATGCGAACCAAATCAGTCATTGACATGTAACTAAGAATATTTGTAATGATTTCTGCTGGGAGTAAATAGTCCATTTTTTTTTATTGAATTGAATATGAATGCATTGAAGAATGGAAGAAATATAGGGTAGAAAAGAGTAGAAATCAAGAAATGAGCTTTCTCAAAGCCGGCCTATTTATACTTGCCAGCATGGAGCTTGCTATTTACAGATAGATAATGATCGATAACTCCGTTTATTGGCACTCGGAGTACTTTCAAGTAACCATTTAGTATAGTTTGCCTTTTAACCAAATCAAGAATTTGCTGGTATTCGCAGAAAAAGTGGGTCCACTTGCAAAATGAATATAGCTTGCCATCGATAACGGACTCACGGCGCATTGCGTAAAGAACCGAGAGCATATTTTCCTTGATATTTATGCAGCTGCTCTCTGACAAGACATCATCTCTCACACTATTTAACCCCTTGTTTTCGCTTTGTTGATTACATTTTAGTGTAGAGGGTTCCGATCCTGTTTAGATTTAGATTTATCGGGGTTCAGCATGCAATTATAGTTATCATATCGATAAAATGGCAAAAAAAAAAAAAAAAAAAAAGGGTCACCCGCTAAAATATACATCATACAGCGAACAGGTGCCTAGCTGGTTGAGGTGAGATGGATCATTTGGTATTAAATCCACATAGATCTTGATGACTATTCTTGAAATTCTCATTTGCTTGAAGCTCTGCGCATAGCAAGGCACATATTGCACACAATCTCAAAAGCTTATAATGTTGTTTTGCGAGATGATTGTACAACAACAAGCTACGTCAGAGGCATTAGTGGGGATTTGGATACCGTCCACTCTCTATGTCTCTGTACAGTGCCTCCAATGCTAATGGACGCTTCTCAAGATCGGCTCCCGCTTGTACTGTATATATCCCCAAATGAAGCTTTTCTCACACAATCTCATTTCCACATTCCACTGGTCCAATTGGCATTCTTGACCGGGATTTTCGTACTGGCCACCTTACTCAGATATTAGAGCTCTCTCTTAAGTGTTCCATTGTCCAGGATCCAGTAAGCATTGATTGGATACTATATCCATCCTCCAGCGAATCACTCTTAGTCGAGAATACAATCAGATCGACACATGTAGATAGAGATTGATCTCTGTCTCTCTCCTCCTCTCTTTCCACCTTGTAATCGCTTTCGCATCACATCGACTGATTGCCATCAAACCCTCATTTCCATCATTCAATGTTACGATCCCAGTTGAATACACTCTACCACTTTATTATCGACATTTACAAACTGCTGGAAATCGGTATTACTGATTTCAGATAGACTTGCTATATACATTGATGGTTTATTTAGAGCAGGAATAGGGCAATGCCTTTCTAAGCATTCTCTTTTGGGTGTTGTCGACAAATACTGTTCTTGAAAGTCTGTTTGTTCTCTCAGGTGAAAGGCCAGAGTTCAAATGACGAAGACCAACTTGCCAGCGCTTGTAATTGCCATTCGCTGTAGGAAAGAATCTACACTTTGCATTAGGATGTCGTTCAAGAATGAGTGGATTTGAAGGTTTTACCTCTTCTTTGCGCCAGAATGAGATTTTAATTTGTTAGCCATGCCTCTGGAAGATTGGCCCAAAGGAGCCAAGGGCTTCATAAACAATGCAGATGTGGAACTGACTATAAACAGAAATGTGCTTGTTCAATACACTGTATTGTCCGTTTTTTTTTCTTATTAATACATACCTAGAGCACGAAACATGATGTGGGCAGGGGGGATGTTTCTTGTTGAAAAAGTGTCAAAAACTAAAAAAAAAAAAAAAAAAGCTAGAAGGGGTACCCCCCACAATCAGTACTCCTCAATGCGCCCCTCTGGCATTTGTTCAGTAGTATGGACAACCAGTCACCATAAAGTACTCAAAGTGCCGAGCAACCAGCAATTCTCGAAAGCACCTTTTTCATCAAATCCAAAAAAGATAACCTCTATGAGTACTATAGAAATCGACACTGATACCATCCAATCTCAATTGAGCTCATTGGAGTTGCTAAGGTAGAACGAGAGAATCTGCTTTAGATGCGATCGTCCCGTCTTAATGTCGAATGTAGGAGCAAGACACAGGCTCTGGTTGATTGTAAAGCCACATTATTATCAAAGACCGAAATACTTGACAGCAAGAAAAACCTACTGGAAGAGACCAATGTCGAAAAGCAGAAACTGCAACGGGAACGAAAGCTGTTACGAGAAATGCTGCAGAATATAACCAAAGACCTGACGGCGGTAAATTAGCGAGAGGTGAAAATTGAACGACTCAAATGTTGATCCATCATCGCACTTGTAGATAACGGAAGCAGAGCAATCACTGGCAAAGGAGAGTGAGGAGCTGGAGAGGTCTGTCAACAAGATGAGAACCGAGCAGTATGAGCCATTACATGGTAACATGAGACAGAATTGATGCCAAGTGGGTTAGATGGACTGAAAGGGTTGATTTTAGAGCAAGTGAATGAAATTCGGATGCAAAATGGCATGTCAAGATTACCGCACATTCAGCAGGAATTGGAAGCACAGATGGCCAAGTAAGCGTCGCATTGATTCGGTTCTGGTTTGGCGTACTGATCTTGTTTTCACGATAGAACACTGGAAGACAGGAGAATGAAATGGCAGCAAGAAGAATCTAGCAGCAAGAGAAAAAGTAACAGATCAAGAAAAAGCTAAAATTCCCGAGGGTTTGATACATCTACTGTTTGAATGTGTGTTTAGATATACTTTTCTTCAGCATTCTATCTTTTCAATGGGTGCAAACAGTTCAAAATCGAATAAATCAAAGAGATCCATAAATTCCCATGACTCGAGTAGCCAACTCCACAGAACGGCCTCTGACGAGTCCTCCTCGACCACGGGAAATCTGTTCAATAAAAGCTTATTTCTGAAAATGAAGCCGTATAAAAAAGCATCATCACTCATCATGGAGCAGAAAAAATCACACTCCACCTCGACATTAGCGTCTGGTGCAACAGATTACGATACATACAAGATGTTGGATCACGATGACACGGTTATAAATGCCGCAGCCACACGAGTCAATCGACGGTATGAGCAGGAAAAGGCTGCCATGTTGCAAGAGCATTCTTCTTGTGCGCCATGCATTATATCTCAGCATCCCGACTTGAGCTGCAGGAAAGATCTTTATGATGATACCACTAGTAGCATCTATACCCATAGCACAACAATCACACATTCGTCATCACCACCACCGCCACCCGAGTCGACAGTTGTAGCATCTGCAACTACGACACACCAGCGGAAGCCATCACAATACAGCGATTGGTTGCGAAGTGGTGGTACATCGACTATGCGCAAGAAGGTGACCAGCCAAGAGGTCATGTTGAACCTCTTTATCCAGCCCAACAGCGAAGTGGATCGCAGGAAAGAAAAGGATAGGCAGCAGCGATTAGTAGGTTTTTTTTTTTTTTTTTTTTTTTTTTTTCTTTTAAGTTTACATGTGTATTTCACACACACACACACACACACACATACACACACAAACATCTCCCGCTAAAACATACCTATTTAGCATTATCTGCTAAAACGAATTTGGCAAGTCATCTATCGTGCTGACCTCAAGGATCCTGAGGTGATTGTCAACTGGTGCTGTGGCATTGGATTATGGGACATGGAAATGGCAACCTTGTTTCCTGATGCCAAGGTGATTGGTGTCGACTACAAGGAGGCAACGCTGTCGAACTTGCTGCATGGCTTACCCAACTTGGAGTTTAGATTTGCTGTGATTCATGATACGTATACTGGATTGGAGTCATTTGAAGACGACTCGGTCGATTTCGTCATTTTGAGAGACACATGGCTGATGAATGCTCCTGTCTGGAAGTGGGATAACTTGCTAAAGGCTATTTACCGTATATTAAAGCCCGGTGGTTGGATTGAAGTGGAAGAGCATTGTAATGTGTTTGTCTAGAGAGATGGTCTATGCACCACTAATGCTTACTCTTCAATAGCACTGGTGATAGAATCAGAAGGCCCTTACAGTCGTAAATTGCACGCATGGTTTGATGTCTTTTTCAGTGAAATTCAAGTCGATAGGAACATTGCAAAGAAACTAGACGGACACCTTGCGCGTGCTGGTTTCATAGATATCAACAAACAATCCGTCGCTATACCATTAGGAGAATGGTGCTCTACAGAGTGTAGGTTGCGAGTGTCTATAGTCGCGTTTGCATCTTATTCATCATCTTATATGCAGCTTTGCGAGAAACAGGCTTTCTGTTCAAGGATCTCATTGAAAGAAGAGTGCGCGTCTTGTCCAAGTGGATTTGCCAGCTCAATAATCTAGACATGAAGGACATGAATGCTACAATTGCTACTGTGATGGACGAGGAGATTGATCAGTACCATTCCTGCATCGACTGGCTGTCTTACACGGCAAGGAAAGCGCCCACCACATCATGCAGCATGCCCCACAGTACTTTGGTACAAAAAGAAAAACACCCCCTCTCCTCCCTTTACATCGACTCTTCCAATACAACACCTCCACCACCTTCACCACCGCCGCCTTCTGTTGCGTAAAAAACGATTTATTTACTGTATCATCTCGGCTCTCTGCATATCTTGTTCATTGTCCTGCTCCATTTCACCTTCCATGTCCCTCATTTGTTCTGCTATTTCTTCTAGTTCCTCTAAATTCCAGCCTAATTCGCTCTTCTTCATTTGAAAATGATGTAGTTCATGTGCCAAGGTTCTCAGTACATTGTCACTGTACACACAACATATGAGCACGCAAACATCTATTTCCTGTAACAGTACTTACTTTGCATGCTGGATCCACACACAATAGTCATCCAAATATATCTTGCTATACACATAATACACATCGTGATGGTCAAACAGATATTTCATGTCTAATAAAGCCTTGAGAATAGCCCTCTTCCCCAGTTTAAAGAGAATGTATACATCTTGCAGCACCTTTTCGCAAAGACTCATGTTTCTGTACAGTGGATATGTCAAGGCTCTACGATAGGATGAGATCATGACATCCTTTAGCACTGTGAATTGCTCCAAAGATGACAGTGTAGGACTGATTCTTCCAATACACCACACAGACTCCACATTGTTATCTCCCTCTGTGATACGATGGTTGTACGCATACGCAAACATGAGGTCCACCAGCCCCAGATAAGCGCCCTTTTCATAGGACAGCAGGTACTCTTTGTTGGGCAAATCACGCATCACTGCCTCTTCCTTACTGCTGAACTTCAACAGGGTATCCTTGGTATCGTCAATAGATAGATTGTCCATATCAAGATCTCCAGAAGCATCATTGGGATTGACCTCTTGAATCAAGGGTTCTAATTGGCTTGATTAGACAATGGAATATATACACACACATGCATCCAGCATTTACTCTTTGCTTGCTTGGCCTCCTCAGTCTTTTGGTTCTTTTGCACACGTTTCAGCTCCTTTGCATACACGGTTTTGTACTTGCACAATTCCTTAATTTCCTCATCATTCACATAATCCATGCAGTAGTGATCCTCGTCAAAGTGCGTGTTCTCAGATGCAATGCGCTGCTCACGTCTGCTCTCGACTGTTGATTTCTCGGGTTCATTGATCTCGTTGATTTCATTCATGCTCTCGTGTACGTGCGTAAAATAGCCGTTGTACTGGTTATTGAAGCCGTACTGTGTTGTGATAGAGAGCTGCTCGTCACCGGAAGGCACTTCTTGAGGCAGCTCCCAGTTAAAGTCAATGGCATCCTGGATCTGCTCCTCATTCATGGGATCGTTATCCACACCTCCAACCACTTCAATCAATGGTTTCTTGGGTTCGCTGCTGGCTGCCGTCTTTTCGCCTGTTCTGGCTAGTAGTTTGGTGAGTAGATCCAGGTCAGCAAAGTGCTCGCCCTTGGTTTCTTTGGTGACTCGAATACTGAATTGACCTGCTGATGGATCATAGACAGCTTTTGAGTTGTCATCTTCCACAATATTGCCAGGGAAATGCAATCTAGTAATGGTCAGTGTGCTTGTCCTAAGGGGATGAATCATGGCTTACCTCAAAAAGTAGGGACGCAAATAGAATCGAAACTCGCTGCCTTCTACATAAAGATCCACATCTTGAGCCTACATTTGCATGTCAAACAAAGGTCATCTCTAAAGAGCATTCATGCCAACTCACTCTCACATACGGCGTATTGATGGTAATATGTACAGCATCGTTGTCTTGATTGACTTTGAAGGTTGGTGTGATCATGGGCTTGTTAGCAAAGTAGATGGGTGAGAGAGAGAGAGAGAGAGAGAGAGAGAGAGAGAGAGAGAGAGAGAGAGAGAGAGAGAGAGAGAGAAAGAGCTTTTTTAATGACTGTTTAATGCAAATGCCAGTGACTGACACTAGTGTCCTGACATGTACCAACATGTTGATCTGTCCGATGGATCAAGCCATTGATCCTCATGCTGTACTTTATTCGTATTCTATACTGATCAAATATAACAAAACCAACTCAACATTACGCTGTCATACACAATGTTGAACATTTGGGGCATCCGTATATTTTGGACAGGCCAGAACAAACAAGTATATCTCGTGGGCCATAACTATAGTCCAATGAGCGGTGCTTAAGCATTTAGCCAGCATAGTACGCTTGGCAGCTTTCTTAACAGCATTAGTCGAGATAACGACAAATTTGCAGCTTCCTTTTACTGCCTTTGTGAACATTGCTCACCCATTTAGAAACTGTATAGCCTGCTTCTGTGAAGTTTCTGCCAACCCAAGGCATTTTAAGAAGAGGGCATGCACAGAGTACACCCTATTCCAACTTTTACTAGACGTACGTCCACATTCATATAGTAATCAATAAAGCTTTACTAGCAGCATCTGCCCAAAATTTGCAAATCCCAAAAATTAACAGCAACACACCCTATCTAAAATTCAATTATACCATCGTATATTAGGCAAAAAACCTGGTATAATAGCACTAGTCGATTAATCTCGCTACGTTCGATGACGGCTTCGCTCTGCAGGCTCTCGTCGAAGACATCCCAAATCAGAGATATCAAGTAGAATTTTAACAATCAATAAATAGTAAAGCAAAGAATATGCCAGAGTCAAGAGGGGGAGGCGTCCATTCACTGATGCTCTAAGGATGGCGACATAAAGCTTGTCATGCTTAAATACAGGGCTTGTATTGTATAAGATCTACAGCGACTATTCTGAGAGATTGCCACTGCAAAAGACATCTTTATATGGAAAAACTCCCAAGAAAAAAAAAGTATTTCGGTTAATCAATTGTACTTTCAATTTCATGATCCCCATTTAACCATCATCACAATCATCACTGTCATCATCATCATTATCATCAGAAAAGCATTTGCGTTAACCAAGGGCAGAGCCAAAACTCATTTAAACCCAGTCTATTTTTCCTGCTCAAGATTGGCCAAATATTGTCTTTTGCCGACTTTTTTAATCTATTTTTTTGAGATTTGACTATAATATCTATGATGATCATCCTTTGTTTCTTAATAAAATCTCAAAGCACTTTTCAAGACGCTTCCAATGGTGCCAAGTAAGATAGATGTTTTGAGTAAGCTTATTGAGCAATTTATGAAAATATGAAAAGAGGTTTCTGGCCAAAAGGTCGAAATTTTACATATCAAAGTCCCACAAAGATGATTTCAGAGGTTGCATTGGATCGAGAGAAACATTTTGATTTAATATACATCATAGCAAAAGTCATCATTATCAAGGTGAAAAATGCGATCGTTTGATTTTTGATGAAAACCATGAGGGGTACCTCATGCTTTTTGGTCGAATTTTGGCCATGTTTTTTTTGGTCTCCAAAAAGTTGAGCAATAGTGGTAACAAGTAACTACCAGATGAGAGCAATTGTTTGGTGCTATTCTGACAATCTAAAACGGCTTTGAACGCGAGAAAACGCATCTCAAATGCACTCAGATTTTGCTGTGTTTTGCACAGTTTCGGGTAGTAAGAGGCAATACAAATATGCTGTCTGTACGGATATTGGTTGTTTCCAATGATAGTATAGGCGTGGAACATTGTTGAAAAGCCAACTCCACAGTCTAGGTTGTTCATGAATGGCTCTCATGCAATAATTGAGGACTAAACAGCGAAACTCTGGCATATATTAGTAAAATTACTGAATGCCACACTATATAGGATGCCAAAAAGCGCGACGTTAACCGTATCGTTGTCACATTGCCATACTCTTCAATGATCATATGAAATAATAGAGCAGCATTCTGCATTATCATATACGAGTGATTATGTTTCGGGTGGCTCTCTACTTTCGCTTCGCTTCGGCGAGAACCAGCCTGCGCAGTAGCAGCTCGTTCTACCGATTGCCCTTGAGTGTGTTATTAATTACTGCTGCTTTCATTTTGACCTTCCACTTACGCATAAAAAACTTTTATATTATCTGTGGATCTGACTCTTATGTGACGCTCTACATCCATATACATGTAGCTACTTCATATAAAAGCAAGCAGCATACCGGTATTCCCCCTTTTTAGTCAAGAGTGTGCCTAATACAGCAAAAACTGAGTGCATTTGAGATGCGTTTTCTCGCGTTCAAAGCCGTTTTAGATTGTCAGAATAGCACCAAACAATTGCTCTCATCTGGTAGTTACTTGTTACCACTATTGCTCAACTTTTTGGAGACCAAAAAAAACATGGCCAAAATTCGACCAAAAAGCATGAGGTACCCCTCATGGTTTTCATCAAAAATCAAACGATTGCATTTTTCACCTTGATAATGATGACTTTTACTATGATGTACGAGCCTTTCAGCACTTCGGGTGGTTTCCTGACCTACGCTTCGCTTCGGTGGAAACCAACCTACGTTCAAACGGCTCGCGCTGCCGCGGGCCTTTGGCTAATATCCCAAAATTAATATAGCTAAAATGTTAGAAGAGGAACCCTGATTGTTGATTGATATATAATCACTAATCATATGAGTGTTTATGCTTCGGATGGTTCTCACCGAAGCGTAGCGAAGGTAGAGAACCAACCTGCGCAGCGGCAGCTCGTGCTACTGATTGCTCTTGCGTATTTTATCAAAATACTGCTACTTTCATTTTGACCCTCCACTTACACATAGTAACCCTTCATATTATCTGTGGATCTGATTCTTATGTGATGTTCTACATCCATATACACGTAGCTGCTTCATATACGGGCAAGCAGCATACTGGTATTCCCACTTTTTAGTCCTTAGTGTCCCTAATACAGCAAAGTATGAGTGCATTTGAGCTGAATTTTCTTGCGTTCAAGGCCGTTTTAGATCGTCAGAATAGCCCCAAATGGTTGCTTTCATCTGGCAGTTCCTTTCTGACACTTTTGCTCGACTTTTTGGGGACCAAAAAAACATGGTCAAAATTCGACCAAAAAGCATGAGGTATCCCTCATGGTTTTCATCGAAAATCAAACGATCGCATTTTTCATCTTGATAATGAAGATTTTTACTATAGTATATCTTGAATCAAAATGTTTCTATCAATCCAAAGCAACCTCTGAAATTATCTTTGTGGGACTTTGATATGTAAAATTTCGACATTTTGGCCATAAATCTCTTTTCATATTTTTACAAATCATTCAATAAGTGAATTCAAAACATCTATTTTACTTAGTACCATTGGAAGCGCCTTGAAAAGTACTCCAGGAAAGCTTAAGGAAGCATGGGGAGATTATCATACTTCACTTAGTCGAATCTGCAAAAATAGCTCGATCGAGTCCAAAATTATCAAAATATGTCCAATCTGGAACAGACTATGATTCTGGGTTTGAATTAATTTTGGCTGGTAGGGCCAGCTGGAAAACTCATGCCCTTTTCATAAGGCAATACAGTAGTAAATGCCCTCGAAGCGTATAGAAAGTAGGTGGCAGGTCATAGTACTATCGTTTATAATGATATTTTATTGCCTTCTATATCGTTCATAATGATATTTTATTGCATTCTATATTTAATAACGTTAGTCTGGACATTGACAATGCATGGGTTGCATAAAATGTCTGCAGTAAGTAATGAAATCTCTGAGGCTCTGAGACGTCGCTCAAATAAAACATTGACAGCATTGAGCAGAGGAAAGAGGGTAGAAATAATAGTGGTTTTTATTGATTGATTGTAAAATCATTATTCTCATATGAGCCAGGTCTGATAGATGCCTTGAAACTCAGGTTCCATATTAGGATTGTAAAGTGCAAAAGGACTGAACATTTATTATGTTATGATATTAAATCAAAATGTTTCTCTCGATCCAATGCAACCTCTGAAATCATCTTTGTGGGACTTTGATATGTAAAATTTCGACCTTTTGGCCAGAAACCTCTTTTCATATTTTCATAAATTGCTCAATAAGCTTACTCAAAACATCTATCTTACTTGGCACCATTGGAAGCGTCTTGAAAAGTGCTTTGAGATTTTATTAAGAAACAAAGGATGATCATCATAGATATTATAGTCAAATCTCAAAAAAATAGATTAAAAAAGTCGGCAAAAGACAATATTTGGCCAATCTTGAGCAGGAAAAATAGACTGGGTTTAAATGAGTTTTGGCGGCTGGTGGGACCGGCTGGCAGACTCTATGCCCTTTCCATCATGAAGGAAATACAGTAATAGATGCTTTTGAAGCATATAGAGAGTAGGTGGCAAAGCATATAGCACTACATTTAGCCATTCTCTTTTTCTTTCATTCTATATTCAATAACGCCAGTCTATTAAAATACTTGTTAGATTAATTTTTTTTCCTTTTTGAGGCTTTGAAAGTGTCTAGGGGCCATAAATTTATCATGTTATGGCATTACATGCAGGCAAAATCTCTTGATGTCAAATTATGTGTATATGATTAAATTATGTACAGGCTTTAAAATACATTGGTCATAGCAATCAATGGACGGTACAAGCTTTGAAAGAAGATGCAATCATAAAAGAACATAATATTGAAGCTAATGACAAGACGTGGTTGTTTTTTATTAATGTGTATTTGAGTTTATGAGATCACCATACTTGATGGATTAAAATATTTCAGATTTTTGAGGCTATTTTGACTTGTATAGATAGAGGTAGCAGAGATATAAGAACGACTTGGCCTTGTATAGATGTCAGGCATTAATTGTCTTGATAAGTGATTGAGTAAGAGGAAGCACAGATGAGAGTAGGGCTTGACCTTGTATAGATGTAGAGATGGTATATTTGAACAGTCTTGTCATTTTAGGAGCTTGTAGGAAGCACAGAGAGCTTG